CAGAAGTATTAGTCAACCATCCCTTCAGGTCAGTCTCTGTATATTTTCTCACTTCTTAACAGACATGGGCATTGCGCCTACATTTTATACTACCCAGCTTTGCTTGGGATTGTGCATGGACTGGTCATGTGAACCATTCCATGCTAATTCCAATCCCAGTAGGCTGGGCGATGGGCTAAGTTTCACTCAAATTTGACAATTGCTTTGTTACAGTTTCCCATGCATCAGTTAGCTGCAGTTAATACTAGGCTGTTCTATATAAAAATATCATTATTAGTTGTTCTGTTGGTGTTTAGAAATTTGACATTTTGTTTGGCAAATGGTTAATGTAGAGCCCTTCGAGTAAAGAGTCAGCCCAGAACTCCTCCATGAAGGGGACAACTCAGAGTCCACCCCGGGAAAATCCAATTCGAAGTCCTTCCTGGAGAAAGGCAATTCAGAGGCCCTCCATGAAAGAGCCAAGTCAGAGTCTCTGCAGGCAAGAACCAACTCAGAGTCCTTCCAGGAAAGAGCTTACTCAGAGCCCTTCCAGGAAAGAGCTTACTCAGAGTCCTAGAAGAGAACCAATTCGTAGTCCCTTCGTGAAAGAGCCAATTCAAAGTCCCATCTCGAGAGAGGCAATTCGAAGTTCCATTGCAAGAGAGCCAATTGGTAGTCCTGCCATGAAAGAGCCAACTCAAAGTCCCTCAAGAAAAGAGCCATCTCAGAGTCCCTCAAGAAAAGAGCCAACCTGGAGTCCCTCAAGAAAAGAGCCAACACAGAGCCCCTTCAGGCTGGTTTCATCTTATGCGGTAGACATTGAGAATATGCAACGCTTTGTTGGGAAAGACCTAGTATCTCATGGGTCAAATTCAAATGGGCATGATGATTGTTATAGGGGAGTACATATTTCGCAAAGTCCATTTTCTGAACAAGATGCAGAGAATTCTGTTGGACGGAAACGAAAAAACCTAGGAATAATTCTTGATGATGGAGACTCTATATATAAGAACCCCAGAATCCAGAGTCTGAAAGTTCACAGAAGTGAGAACTATGATCCAGAGTTCATGTTGGGTCAGTCAAATATAGATCACAATGACAGAGAGAAGTTTGGGGCAGATACAGCATGGAAGTGCTGGACTGATGTGTGTGTACTATTTCCTGATTTGCGCTAGTCTGCTTGAATAGCCAGGTTTTCTGGTAGAGATAATATAAAACCATTTATTTTCATTTTATATTTTTGACTTCAGAGTTTATCTTGCAGATTTTAGTAAAATTCTCCGGAGATACAGAGCAACTTCTTTCTCCATTGACAAGCAAACTAAGTTTAAGAGCAGTATGTGCCTTCTTTTTTTATACATTACATCCTTCCAAGCAAGATTTAAACTAGGTGATAGAGTTAGCCATCGCATGCTCAATTTTCCCTATGTTTTCTTGTAGTCTCATTATTGTTTTATCATTATCATGTAGATTGGTGTGCTTGAAGATATGTTGGTTCAGCTACTGAAGGCTAACAAATATGAGGCACTTTGTTCTAAAGTCCAGTCTCAGGTTTGCTGAACTAAATGATAAATGAGGTTCTGCCATGAACATATTTAGATATTATACTTGGAACACTGCATCCTATAAAGCTAATATAACTTCTACCTTTTCCCTTTTCTGCTAACACTGATATTTTATATCTGTGTACAGAAGGTCGACTACATAAGTGTTGGACATAAAAGGTGGTGTCGTTTATCCATGAATGTTTTGACTACGTAGTTTGGGTTTTCACCTGTCCTGGGATATTGTCTAGCTTAATAAGCATTGACATTAACCTTTGCAGGGCAGCTGAAGCAAGATTACTGCTTTCTAAATTAGCGTATGAAAAGGCAAAGTTGCAGTTAATGCATGTGAAGCGCGATAAGTTACAGGTTAACAAAACAAATTAAGTTGGTTCTCTAATGTTTTTCATATCTACATATGCATACAGCTTGTCACATGGCCTCATACTTTCCTGCAGAGTAGAGTGCAGCTCTTAAGCTCTGCAGTTCAGAAGTGTCAAATGCTGAAGTTGAGTTACACCCAGTGTCAGTCTAAACCTGGTAAACAGGAGACTCATGTTGATGGTAGTCATCGTCAATCCTCTTTAGTTAGTTCTGAGGGTGAACAAGAGGTAACCATCAATTTTGAGATTCTGGATCTCTTTTCTGTTTCCTTTGCTCTGGAAATTTTTTGTCTGGTATTCATGAATTTTTTAACAAGAGGGATATTAAATACATTGAGAAAACTGTTGCAAAGATTATAACTAAGAATAAAAGCTAGGGATCTTATTATAACTAAGAATAAAAGCAAGTTTGCTTCCCATGTTGGGGAATTTGAAGCTTTGAAGCAAGGACATAGGGCACACAAAATGACAGAATCCTAAATAAATTGTCCTGAACATTGTGAGAAGACGAGAGTAAATGAATTTTTTAAGTATTTTTAACTATCACTCATAATATTGTTTTTCTGTAGTAGAAATTTGATTTTAGTAATTTGTATACAGATCCTACTTTATTGGGAATAAATCAACGGTGTTACAAGTACTGTTGTTTTAAGTTTTCTTGTGAACCAAACAGAGCATATTCACTAAGATGCATAAACAAATTTTACGAAAGATGCAGTAAATAAAACTATGAGTGGAATTTGAAGAAAGTAACATGTTTCTGCTATAAATAGTTCCAGAAAATTAAATAAGATGAATACAGCCTAAGAGAATGATAATATAATAGGCTGTGGATGCTCTCCTTCCTTTGTTTTTGTCAAACAACGAGTTCAGCTTATAGATGCCATAAAAAAATTATGTGAAGATAACCTAGTTATTTCAAGTTATGAATTTTTGTTTGTATATATCTTTCATTTGTCAGGGCTCCTGTAATAATGTGAGCACAATGAGGCGGGAAATTAAAGCTTTAGATAGACAAATAAAAAGCTTAATCAATTTCTTTCACACCCATATCAAGTTGAAAGGAGAACCAAGTTGTGCCGATACTATTGCTTTAGTTAATCATCATCTCGAGACAAGAACGTGTTGCAGGTTTATACATCAGGATTTGCAGGTATTTCTTATTCATGCTAGGATTTTCTTGAGACCAAAATAAATGTCTTATCTCACTAAGAGACACCTGTCATTTCAACAGCTATGGAATGTTGATCATTTTGAGGTTAAGAATGGCCATTACAACATTCATCTCAGCTATCATGGTTACATCAACCAAAGGTCTTTTCTTTGTTCCTTTTTCTTGGTTTTCTTTTCTTTATTCTATTATATTCATTCTTGAGGCTAAGTTACGTTTTATTTATTTATTACCAAATTCAAGTATTACGTGTGTTTTCATCTGTAAATAGGTTTATGGGTACAGTGGGTCCAGCATCAAACATAGTCCTCTCAAACAAATTGAATGATGTAAAAATCAGAAAGGTAATGAAGTCAACAAGTTCTCTCTTCTTCTTTTTTCTTTCTTTTCTTAAGGGTTTAATTTTTCTTTTCTTTTGTACATCAGAACTTCCCAAACATGGATGCTCAAGTTGCATTTGCTTTTGTACTAAATTCTGAGGCCACCAAGAAAAGTGTTGATTCGAGATATTTGGCACAAGAAACACAAGTATGTTGCCATTTAGTGAATGGAATTTTGGGTGCATTAATTTATAGGAGATTGTTATGCTGCATTTTTGTTCCGATAGGTTGTGGACTATGTATGGCTGTCAAATTGGATAATATGTGTCTAACTCCACATTCTAGGCTGCTCTTTACTTCACTCTATTCTGTAATGCAGGTAACCCGTTCATTGCTATGTAATTTGCTAGATGTGGTTGAGGAAGTGGACCTGGCACGATCTGAGATTTATAATTTGATCCAGACAAGTTTTCAAACTCCATCCGGTAACAAATATGTTCTCATTATGAATGATAATCAATTTATTTATCTGAACTTTCCTCATCATTCACTGAATTAGTTTTAACCCACCTTAAATACTTAAATTTTAGTATATATTCTTGTTTTGTAGCTGAGCAGCTTGATATGCAGCTTTGTTTCCTTAACTGTAAGAGCGGTAGAAAGGTGACACTGACTCTTGACATGACATGTTTGAATAGGTACAGTCCTGTCCAACTTCATTAATTATCTTTGTTGCTTATTTAATTTGGCAATTTATGCCATTTTAATTGTCTTGATATCTTACTTGGTGAATGGTTCTTATAATAAGCAATGCATGTCGCTGCTGCAAATTTCTATTGGCCTTTTAGTTTTTGGGCCCATATATCTTTTGTTTGTCACCTGTATACATTTTTACTTGGTCCAACAATGACATTCAAATTCTATACAACACTATTCTCTGCTGGTTTTTGTTAAGTTTTTTACATGGCGACTTGTTGGTATCATCATGTATATGTGTCTGCTTCCTAGGCCCTCAATGTGATGGAGAACTCTCTGCTTCTGTAGAAACCAATGTGAAACTACTTATGATTGTATACAAATGTTTGTTGTTGCTTTGTGCCTTGTTTATTGTCGGTTGAAAAAACAGCTTGCTGGGGTTGAGTCTGTCAACGTTCTCTATGCCATTCGTACCTCGATGTGCTTTATATGTCGATATATGTGTTACATTGTTTCGAATACATAGTGACATGTTTGTTGGTGTCTGGACAGTGGGATTTATCCTTCAGAGATCCTTCTGCATCAGATACAGCCTTCCGTATCTGCAGCAGAAGTGGTGCTTCCACAGCCACTTTTAGCTGAAATAAGAGCTGCAGCTGAGAGCCTTGAATCTGGACATATGAGGATAATAAGGCTCTGTAAGTGTATTTCCCAAGTGGTGGAACTTCACACGGACGATAATTCCCGATAGAGGTCAAAGGTGGCACCAACACATCGCTGGATTTTTTGCATGCCTGGACTATGATTTGTTTGTTCTCTCTTTAGATATTATGTTGAGGTGACCCTGTATATTTTAGCTGAAGATAGTTTCCGTTACTTTTATTATCCACAGAAGCATAAGAGGCTTTCACGTTTCAATGAGACTCAAATAGGTAAATGAATGCACAACCATCCTGATGTGCTTCTCCTATCAAGCATTTACAAGTAGAATTAATATTCAAAAGGTATAACAATTATAAATAAACCAAAAACTCCAAAAGTATTTACCCCAAACGCATAATTAGAATAGGGAAATGAGAAAGTAATAGGTTCCGTGTTGAGCTAGCTGCCCTGACTAGAGGCATACAAATTGTACAGTTGACGGAACCATCTGTTTAAGTTGGTGCATAGCATGATCCCTCGCCTCTTCTTCCTCCTTGATATCTTTAATTTTCCGATTGTAACCGGTCGGATGACGACACCAACGCCTTACAGGATCAATAACAAGTTTCTCGAGTGCAACAACATTTTCTATCAAGTACATGACATGCTCAACAGCATTTATACGACCACGATACCCTACTATTTCTACTATCTTGAGGTTACGATGCGGGCATTCAGGAGCTTTTAACATCTTCGGTGGCTCAAATAGTAAGATTCTCAACTCCTCCCGTAACTCGCATGATAATAATTGCAACTTCTCCTCCAGTGGCTTGCATGGTGGTGGTGGTGGTGAGAATTCCAACTGCATCGACAAATAAAACAATTTATTAATCAAGGCATATATCAAACGTTCATCAACAAATTCATAACCCTTCAAGGAATATCTAGCCACCTTAAGTACAAGCCTCTGCAAGGAAGGAGATGCTTTCAAGAAAGAATTTAAATTATTAAGAGCCCATTGATCGTCGGCCGGGACTATTAGCTCCAAATGCTTCAGATTTGGCAACGTAGGAACAGGGAACGCGCATCTATACTTAAAGAAAGCCAAACACAGAGTAATTAAAAGGGACACGTAATCCAACAAAAAGAAAAGAAAACCAACACATCATAATTAAAAATACTAACATCTCCATTGATATTCAACGTGAGGGTCTCTAGTTGAGAAAGAAAGCTTGAAAGTTGGGTGAAGGCAAGACTCAGAAAATCAGCACCACTGGAACATTCCGAAAACTCATAAAGGGATACCTCAACAAGCGAGGGCATGTTACTGAGAAGCACATTTATCTTGAGTCCAACATAGACAAATGACACAAGGTTTGCGTCATAAATCTCAATGCTATCAAGGCGAAGACAATGTTTTATCGATAAGAACTTTAATGAAATTGATGGACGGACAACTCTTAAATCAACCAAGTTTGTGGCACTATGTATTGATAATCGTTCGAGAGTTGGACAATTGGACATGAAGTACTCAACAACTTCTCGGGTCACATCAACATGTTCCAAATGAAGAACCCTGAGGAACTCGAAACCACCGTATCTGCAACGAAATGGCGTCAAGGAGGACCCCTTTTCCTTTTCATCAAGACCTAACAGTGTGCATGGAAAAGCATAGGAATCCTCGTACATGACACCATACAGTAACAAAAAGTCCAACACAAACACTCGAACTCTCTTTTTCATTGCAAATTGAATCCATTTATCAATGGAACTTGCAAAACGACGATCTAGATCAAAGCAAACTCTGAAGTGTTCGATATTTGAGCCTCTATGTTGTTTCAACACATGGTTGACCCAATTGACATATCTACAACTTTTTTGGTTTTTAAATTCCCATTTGAGGGCACGGAAGTCGCGCAAAGTATTATCACAATCAAAATAGAGATTTGTAGTAAAGCACCACTCATAACGCCATCGCTTAGAAAGAATACTAGTAGCTGCAGCTTCCTTCAGAGGCAACAAAGATAATATGCTACCACCAAGAATGTCATGTGGCAATTCACTGATTCTATCGGTTAAGTTGGACGCATCCTGGACAAGAAAACATTAATATAAAAAACAAAAAATACAAGTAATTTTCATGGTTACATTAAATTAGTAATTATTATTTTACGAAAAACAAAGAAGCCAAACCAAATTTTGCACCAGTTAGATATCTAGAAATTATATACATATATATATATAATTGCAATTAGCTATCTGGGGAAATTAAAAAGAAAACAAAAGTTGAATAACAGTTTTTCATACGTACTTTACGTGTTAGATTATATATATACCTCCATTGCAATTTTGCAATCTGCAAATGGGTGATGGCTGGCTTTGGCTTTCTGGGGAGCGAGGTGACGAAGGCCGCGTCGAGGCGTGGCGTGTGAGAGTGAAAAACTGTTTGTTGTGAGCCAATCGAATAGTTTGCATCCATCTAATGTGTCTTGCGTTTTTGTCTCTTTTTATATATATTTTCTCTGTGGGCTTCCAGTCCTACGCCGTGGTGTAGAGCTGTGGGCCCATCCTTCTTTGTTTCTTTCTTTATGTTGGGCTCTGATGTCTTGCATGGCATACCACCTACCGTATGCACCCCAAGAAAAGAAAAAGAAAAAAGTTCCTGTTTTTAATATGCAGCAACTTGGAAGCCAAATGGGAAATTAGGGATAACACTCGAACTTGTGGGTTGTTTGCAAATTGTTCCATGTTTGAGGCTCTATGTTGTTTCACTGCATGATTGGTCATTGATGTCTCTATGATTTTTCTAGTCTTTCTAAATATTGTCATTAAAGCTGACATAATTCCATAAAAAGAAAAAAAGAAAAATACTACATATGCTGCTAACAAGATCGGTGTTCTCATGGATTAATGTATGATTGGATGCAGCTTGTTTCTTTATCCAACCGGCATCCTCATGAGAGGTTGGATCTCCTACGCTTGTGAGATTCAAGAGAGGTATTGCACTTTTCTCTCCTATTCACATTGGGAATTTCAAGTGCAAATATGTAAGAATGAGATGCTACTTTCTCATCTAGCACATGTTGTTTGAAATCTCATTTAGAATAGTTCATATATCAATGCCATATGACCTATGATGCCTTCAATTTATTTCAAAACAGAGCTACAAACTTCTCTTCGTTGTCTCATTAGATTGTTTTGTATCCAATTTTTCATCTAAAGAGAATATAGTGCTGACTGATATATATCTCATAGTAGAAGAGCATGGTTGTCAAGTGCAATGAGAAAAAGGTTGTAATTGGGTTTAGTTCATAATTACGATGGATACATTTTGGAAAGTAAATTCTTATACAAGCAATTTTAGACTATGAAATTCAACATTTTTTTATCCACAAAATGTTGGTGGATCCCTATTTTATTTTTATTTTTATTTTATTTATGGGTTTAACCAGTATTATTTCTTATAAAAAAAATTCATTTTTATTCTTGCCTAATGGGCTAAAAGCTGGAAATTATTAGAATGGGAGGTATGGGGAAGAATTTAAATTCTCATTCCCCAATATCACTTGTATATATCAAATAATTGAAGAAATAACTCTAGTCCAATAGGCTAAATGGTATTTTAGCCCTAAACCCTAAAAGAATCTGAAAAAATTGTATATTTAAACATACTCTTTAAATATATTCTAATATTTTAAAAGTATAGTCGCACCGTGTTTTAAAGCCTTGAGCCCATTTTCTTTATTTTGGGCTCTGAATATAATGTACACACAGAAAAGAAAAATAAAAAATTCCCCAACTTTTGACCAAGGTTCCATTACAATTGCTAGGTGTTAGATTATATAATAAATATTGGTCTTGAACAAAATTCCATGTTGTTGGGAGTACCATTTCATCCATTAAATATGGCTCTGGTGCTGTTGTAGCCTGTTAGAGCATCTCCAATTTTGGCTATTTTAACATAAAAATCACTCAATAAATGAAACCATTTATTGGAAGCCAAAGTGAAAGAACAAAAAATTGACGAAAAATCATGGGAAAATTGAAACTTCACAGAAACTATCATCAATCCAACTTGACTGAATAATATACTTTTCATGTACACTGTACAGGATTTCCTTACAAATAGTACTACTATCAACAATAAATAGTCAATATCTGGTTTAAGTTTTGTGTGTGTGTGTAGATTTATGTGTTTCCTCATTGCATTATTCTTTTGGATTTACAATTAATAGTCAATATCTGGTTTGAGGCCCAAGCATCTATCTGTGTAAGTGATGCATCATCATAGGGGTGGATCATGACAAATATTTACCTTTTAATTAGTTATTTTATGAGATATTTTTATTTTCTTATTTATGTAGTTTTATGGTATCTTTTATTATTTATGTGCAATTTTATAATTAATTAGTTTACTTTTGGACCAAGTAGCCTTTGCTGCTCAAGTTTTGTAAAGCCTATAAATAAGGTTAATGTAATAGTTTATTTGTGGTATGGATTTGCTACGATCTATGTGAGTTTGCACTAGCCTTAGACTTCGGTGTTTATGTGTATGTTGTTGGTGACCTATGTCTAGACCTCGATCCTCATCAATTGGTATCAAAGCTACGGCTTAAGATCAGCGTTCTTGGATAGATTTTTTTTAAGGAGGGTCGTGACGACAACTACAACGACATGGAGAAAAAAACTAGGAGGATTCTACGGCAACTTACGGAACGCATCGAAGCTTGAACTCAGATAGGTAAGATTTCTGATGGGGAGAAGGCGTGAACCCTGATCTGAACCGCATAACTCGCATCAACACTCAAAGTCGGGGAAGTCTCAACCGGGAGTACGAGGGAGATAGCCATTTTCATTGTTGCGCTCTGTTGTGTGAGTCAAGTGAAAAGGGACAAGGTGATTCTCATTGTGTCTTTGAATATAAAATGGATTTAGTAATTTTGGTGCATCTTGTTTTTCGTCAAAGTTATTAAATTTATATTTACCTCCAATATTTGGACCTGTGAGTTAGGGATGATGTAATTAAGAAGGATAAGCTGTGAGCTAGGGTAATGTGGAATATTACAACGGTTCAGCAAAGACAAGTTGGGCTTGCAGTGGTTGTCACAGTGAGAAAGTAGTCTTTGTTCCAGGAATGCTGTTTCTCCAGGATTCTCATGAATTGCCTGATGTCCAACCAACTGTTTCTCCTTCCTTGCAACTAAAGGTGGGATTCAAAAAAAAAAACAAAAAAAAAAAAAAAATCGAAAAAAAAAAAAAAAAAAAAAAAAAAAAAAAAAAAAAAAAAAAAAAAAAAAAAAAAAGCGGACTGAAAAAAAAAGGAGCGAGACGCAGTAGTAGTTATTAATATGATATTCTGACTTGGCATTAAGATCAGGGCGATATTGAAGTTTAGGTTTTCCCATATTGGATCTAGGTGGAAGAGTATATGGTACCATATTAGGTGATTCAGGGACTACCTCGAGAGCTTCTTCATCACAAGACAACTGAGAAGATGGCAGGGCATGAGGGGTTGTATTTTGCAGTTGCTCTTCGAAGACATCATGAGCCACTTCTAGCACCAAATGCTCATCGAGGTATTCTTTGTTTGAAAACGACCGCTCGCATATAGGGAGTCGACCGGTCGAGTCACATATGCTTTCAGCATGTTCTTCTCAGTTTAAGAACGACCAGTCGACAGGACTGGTCGCTTCCTCTTGGCTTAAAAACGACAAGTTGACATTGTTGGTCATCTGGTAAACATTACTGGTTGTTTTCGAGTCTTTACCTCGCGTTGAAAATAACGAGTTGATTGGAACATCTTGATTGGTTGCTTGCAGTAATTCTTCCTTGTCTTCTTCAAAGCACGATTTCTTCTCTTCACTTCCTCTCTTCCCCTGAAGAAAAGGGCTAGTAGGAGCCATAAAGTAGGATAAGTCTTCATGAAAGGTGACATTCATGGTGACAAGGAGCTTCTAGGTAGAGGGTGGTAGCACTTGTATCTTTTTTTATTGGAATCATAGCCAACAAACGCACAACGGAAGGCACAAAGATCTAACTTACTCTGCTGATGAGAAAAAACATGAGCATATACAACACAACCAAACATGCGAGGAGGCAGCTTAAGGATAGTAGGAAGAGAAATGTGATGAACCAAGGTATCTAGTAGAGTCTAAAAGGCCAAAACATTGCTAGGCACTCGATTAATCACATATACTGTAGAGAGAAGAGCATGTCCCTATAAGTAGTGAAAGACCGATCTATCAACCATGTAGACACGGGTAACCTCAAGCAATTAAAGATTCTTTTGTTCGGCGACACCATTTTGTTGCGGAGTGAAAGAGGTGGAGGTCTGATGAATGATGTCGTGGTCCCGGAAAAATTGAGCCAAGGTATTGTTCACATACTCCCTACCATTATCGGAACGGAAAACCTTAATGAAGGCCTGAAACTGGGTGGTGATCATAGCATGAAATTCACGTATTGTGGAGGTAACAGCACTTTTATGGGCGAGCAAATACACCCAAGTCATGCGGGTGCAATCATCAATAAATGAAACAAACAACCTTTTGCCAGTGGAAGAGACTTTAGCAGTACCCCCAACATCAAAGTGAACCAAAGTAAAAGGTAATTCATTCTTATTATCACTTGAGGGAAAGACAGTTCGATGGGTTTTGGCCAATACACAAGTTTCACACTGAAACTTAGGATCATCCAAAGCACCCAAAAAAAAACAACAAAAAAAAATTTGGAAACAAGTGTCGAAGATAGCCAAAAGATGGATGTCCTAAGCAAAGATGCCATAGCCAAATCTAATGTTGATCTTGAACATGTGAGTTGGGACTAGCAGAACGAGCATGAGCTGAACTTGGTGGTGATGAGATCACCAAGGAAAACAACCCCTCTCTCCATTTACCAGGCCCAATTGTCTTGTGAGTCGTAAGATCTTGAAACTTACAATAAAAAAGATTGAAAAAGTAACATAACATTAATGTGACTAAAGCAATTTCCCAATCGACAATAAATTGCAATTAATAGAAGTAACAAGTAGTGTATAAGATAAAGATAAAGAATGGGAAAGAGGTATAGACCCTTCACCATCAACATTAGAAGGGACTCCATTAACACTAGTAATATAAGGGTTACGAGACTTAGGGGACAGTAGAGAAAAGATTAGAGTCAAAATTCATATGATCAATTGCACTATTATTTATTATCCATGTAGTGAAGCATTTACCCGAGTCGAGGTTGGAGTCAGGGAGGAAATTATGAGATGAGGAAACATCGGAAGTTACGATACAAGCAGCTTTGGGAGCCAAGTTGTGGGTCTTGAGTGCCTCCCACCACTCGGGATAACCATGGAGCTTAAAATCACTTCTCAACAAGGTGATCACCATCACAATAGGTGCACTTTCGAGTCCCATTTGCATCATCGGGTTTGGGACCACGAGTAGTCAAGCTGGAGGACACACGATGGAGAGCCTGTTAGGGCTTGATTGCCATGGCACTTCAAGCACCAAGCATAGAGGATTGGCGATGATCTTCCTTAACCACAAGAGCATAAGCTTCAAGGACAGGTGGAACCAAGTTCATAGCAAGAATTCGACTACAAACTGGATCAAAGTGGGGATCGAGTCCCCCTAAGAAATCATCCACACGATCAGCATTAAGTGCTTATTGGTTAAGAGCCACATCATCAGGATTGGTGTGCTTGTAGGGACGAAGGTTATCAATTCCCTATCATATTAAATGCATTTTTTCATAGGAAACATTCACATGCTCACCATTTTGAGAGGTAATAACAACTTGACGATAGAGTTAGTACAACTTGGAGCTATTTTGAGTGACAGTATATATCTTCCGAGCTGCTTCCCACACCGCATAAGCTATCGGACAATGATCAAATAAGGCACGTACATTCCTGGCTATGGAGTTGAGAAGCCAAGACTACACAAAACAATTGTCTTCTTCCCAAGAATCATGGTCGGAATCATCAACGACAAGGGCAGGTTTTTTGCCATTAATGAATCCAGCCATGAGACACCCAGTGATGAGACCATGCAGGGTAGTTAGACCCATCCAACTTATCTGGGGTAATTTGAGAGGCGTAGTCGTGAGGAGAACAAGTTAGTGGAATTGTGGTATCAGCCTTGGTGGAGTTGGTGGCGTCACCCATGAGAGATGTAGGAGTAATGCAGTGAAGGTATTATAGCAACAACAAGATAAGAAACAATAAGGCAAGTAATAACATAATAAGAATAATATCACAACAAAGACAAAGGCAGAGTTATAAGCAATATATGAGTAAAGTAAGAGCAAGGTTAAGTAGAGACAAGGCAATAACAAAGTTATGCAAATGCAACCAATATTGATTGCTCTAATACCATGCTAAAATGATAGTATGAGAGAGTGTTTTAGTTTCAATTGATGTGATTTCTTTGTATTACTAACATTAGAATTTATACAAGTAGAGAAGCCTTGCTAACCAAGCTCTGTATTAATTAAAATAGTCAGTTGGTGGCAAGTGACAGTTGATGCCATTAATGTCATTTCGGGTCCTAAACAATCTCCTAAAGTCAGCAGCATTTAATGCATTAACAAGATTTTAACAAGCCAACATATTAGTGAATTTAAGTCATTTTAAGAGAGGTGATATGTTAATAAAATCAACTTTTTTTTCTTTAAGTTCGAGTGTCCACAAATATTCATAGGTAACAAATGGGGGTCATGAATGAGTAATGGTTGCAACACAACTCATCAGCTATTCTTCAAACAGTCATTGGAATCAATAGATTGTGTAAACTTTAAATGAGTATTAGCATACTTAAACACAAAATCTCTGCAAAATTCAATTATCGTTTGTATGACTTCAAAAACAAAACCAAGGAACAAAGCAACAAAGACAAACAATGAAAAAAAAATTCAAATTAAATTGTGTGAGAGATTATTTCATGAGGCACTTTTTTCCTCAAAACCAATTCACATACTAAAAAGATCATGACATTGAACTTATTAACCACAAAAGTTTCGAACATGCTATAAGAAACAGAATTTTCAACACACAAAAACAAAAATTTTGCCTCAGAGGTATCTAAGCAGTCACTGCTTGATGCAATACCATTCTCAATGCTTGCTTTCAGTTCTGACTTAAGTGCAGATGAGTACTAAAGCTTCAACCTTATTCCTTATGCAAAGAATGTAAGCTCAATCAGATCAAACTCCACATAAGAGCATTCATAGACATCTCCATATCCATCTCCATCCAGTGCCCACAAAGATGACTCGATGAATCTAACTGTTGCATACCCCATGAACAATGTAGCAGACCCAGCACCATCATTCTCCTCTACAACCTCAGCTCCAACATTTTGAATCTTCACGATCAGATTTTCAACTTCTTCATCAGTGAGGTTGATTAAGGATTTTCTCTTTGATAGAAGGGATGGTTATCTTAGCATGTCCAACAACAACCGGGAAGTCAACATTAATGGGTTTCAGATTCTTCTCCTGAGCAACAAATGTGTTTGCCCTCCCAACATCCAAGGTAGAAACACTAAATATCTTCTTCGGTTATAAACACCTTTCTGTTTCAGAACTTATGCGACAAATGACATTGTGGAGTTCACCGAATTACTGATAATGTGGATGAGGGCCTTATGACAATTATCAACCACAACCTCAACCAATTTCTTCACAATGTTGGCATTGATGTTGAAGAGGTCATCATGAGTCATCATCGGGAGCATCACAATATTTGGAACATGTGCATATATGACCATCACATTTACACATTTTAATGAATTTGCTAATTAAGAAGCTCCAATGAAATCCAGAACCTAAGCGAGATTGTCGCAGTGACTGAGATCAGCAGCAACACCTCGTTACATCTTTTGTGTCATATAGATGGAGGGCAGAGACCTAGGGAGACATCCTGATCAAAAGCGCCAGAGGTTCACATATCTCACAAGCAACTCTAAGAAAAGCTACTTTATAATATGGGGCCTCGGAAGAGGTAGCTGCTGCTGATGTTGCCCTCATATCACAATCTTTGCATCAATCAATCAAAGATTATACAATGATAAAAGCATAATTGAAAATATAGAATCCCAACCCCAAAATCATTCCATAATCCCTAAACTCAATTATAAAAGCACAAACAAACATCTTAATCAATGTGTACTTCCCAAATTCACCCAATCAAAGATTATACAACGAATGATGTTGGTACTGTGACTAACCGAGCAACTAATTAAGCAAGATCAGCCATGTGCCATGCTTTAAGAGGTTATCACCTTAGCCAAAGAAGTCTTACCACAAGTCACAACTCTAAGCAAAGGAAGGAGTACGACATTGGAAGACTACAAGAGGTGAATACTCCCTTTCACATATAAACAAAAACCACTATCCACGTAGAAAAGGGTCTTAACCTTTGGGTCTTGGAAATTGGATCATTATCTTGGGCCTTGGACCCTCTCTCCTTTTCCCTTTATCTTTGGGTCATACCCTTTGTATAAATGTAAACACACATTATTATGATGAGAACATCATTCTCCGTGGTTGTAGCCCATCATTCGGGTGAACCACGTACATATGTCTCATGCATGCTTACTTACTTTACTTATGCTAACTGTCACTACCACAACTAGGGATGGCAAAAATCCCTGCAGGTGCGAGTACCCATCGGGTCTCTAACCCTAACGGGGGGAGATTTCAGGTCTAAACGGGTATCAAGTACGGAGATCCCCAAACTTGAAAAATCTCCGACATGTATGAGGAGGGGATGGTATTGGCGTCCCCATCCCCGAACTCAACCCAAAAATATATATGTTTATATTTAAATAAATAAATAAATAATTATAATATATATGTTTAACCCTAAGTTAACCTCCCTATCTTAATTCTTCATAATCTTCTATGGAATTTCATATTGATATAATTTTGAATAGTTGAGTTAAACTTTATAGTTAATTTGGATGTGTTAAATGATAATTTAATATGAAACTTAATGTTAAAAATAATAAATATAAAAAGATAAAAAAAGAGCAGGTATAGGGGATAGGGGTCCCTCGACGAAGCCGGGGACGAGAATTCCCCGAAACCTATTAAACAGGGATGGATTCGAGTATGAGGGCGGGGATGGAGAGCGGGGAAGGGGATAGTATTGTCATCCCTAACCACAACATGTCGAAGGTCTTCACCTTCACTCAACTTGCAAAAGGCAGTTACTTACCTTGCCTCTCGAAGGCACGTACACCTACTGAAAGCCCACGCCTTCACACATCATCTACCACTTCACATCTATCTAAGTTGAACCCAATTTCGACATCAATAGTTTGGTGCCGTCTGTGGGAATCGACACAAAAAGCTTTTGTCGTTCTCCCCTTCTTCAGTTCCTTTCGTCACTCTCCCAATCAGCATCTCATAATTGTTGTTTCATTCCCTTCTTTAGTTTCCTTTGCTCATGTTATGTTGTCAAATGGATTTAAGATCAATAAGAGTGAAAAATTGGTATATGTGAAGAGTTTCAAGAACTTATGTGTCATAGTATGTTTATACATTGATGACATACTAATAATGGGAAACTAACAAATATGTTATCAATTCTACAAAGAAAATATTGTGTTCCAGTTTAGACATGAATGACCTAGGACTTGCATATGTCATACTTGGAATTAGAGTTCAAAGAACCAAACACGGTTATTTTTTAACTTAGTCCCATTATCCAAAAAAGTACTTAGAAAATTTAGTCACTTTGATGATTCGTTTGTTGTGACCCCTTTTTGATCCATCGGTTCATCTAACTACAAACAGTGGAGATGTTATATCTCAGCTAGAATATTCACAAGTAATTAGGAGCTTAATATATGTGATGAACTGTACAAGGCCTAATTTGGGATAGACTACGAGGAGACCTTTGCCCCAGTAGCCAAGATGAGCACTATTAGTGTCCTATTATCTCTAGCAGCAAATCTCGATTGGCCACTACATCAGTTTGATGTCAAAAATGCATTCTTACATGGAGACTTGGAAGAAGAAGTATATATGGACTTACCCTCAGGATGTAATTCAACTCCTGACAAGAAAAATCAAGTTTGCAAGCTCAGAAAGTCATTATATGGGTTAAAGCAATCTCCCAGGGCATGGTTTGGCAGATTGACTAAATCTATGAAGAATTTTGGATATACACAGAGTCATTCAGATCACACCCTGTTCTTGAAGTGTGATGAAGGAAAACTTACTACATTGATTGTTTATGTAAATGACATAATCATAATTGGAAACGACACAAAAAAGAAACTGAAGTTGCAAAAGTATTTGTCTCAGGAATTTGAGATGAAGGATTTAGGTGATCTGAAGCACTTTCTCGGAATCGAAGTAGCAAGGTCAAAAACTAGTATATTTTTGTCTCAAAGGAAGTATGTAATGGATCTACTCACTGAAACAGAAATGCTTGGATATAAGCCTGCTGACACACCCATTGAGATGAATCACAAGTTGTGTGAAGACACGGACCAAGAACCAACCAATAAGGAACAATACCAACGCCTTGTTGGAAGGTTGATATATCTGGCGAACACAAGACCATATATTGCATATGTTGTGAGTGTGGTTAGTCAGTTTATGCATTCGACCAATATTTCTCATAGGAATGCAATTGATCGAATATTAAGATACTTAAAGTCAGCACCTAGGAAAGGATTAATGTTCTCAAAAAATGGAGATTTTGAAGTTGTTGGATATACAGATGCTGATTGGGCTGGTTCCATTACAGATAGACGCTCTACTTCTAGTTACTTTACATTCGTGAGAGGTAACCTAGTCACTTGGCGAAGTAAAAAGCAAAATGTGGTTTCTCGGTCTAGTGTAGAAGCAGAGTATTGAGGAATAACACGGAGTTTGTGAATTATTGTGGATCAAAAGACTCTTGATAGAAATGGGCTTCAAGCCAGAAAAGCCAATGGACTTGCGTTGTCACAATAAGTCAGCTATCGATATTGCTCATAATCCAGTTCAACATGATCGAACCAAACATGTTGAGGTGGATAGACATTTTATCAAAGAAAAAATTGAGAAGAAAATCATTCGCCTACCATTCGTAAAATCAGAAGATCAACTGGCAAATATCTTAACAAAAGTTGTTTGTGGTAGAGTATTTCATGACTCACTAACCAAGTTGGGCATTAGTGACATATATGCACCAACTTGAGGAGGAATGTTGACGTGAGTCTCCTAATTAATGAAGGAGATTTATTTCATTGATTAATTAAGGGATTTACTTTCGTATTCTATATAGTTGACAAATCATTGTATAATTAGGAGATACTATCCTAATTGATTACTGTATCTATTTCCTTATAAAGTACTCATGTAAAACTCCTATATATACCTCTTTATGAAGAAGAATAAAACCTAACTCAAAGTATTCAAACCATATTCATATTTTAGCAAATTTAGTATTGTCTTATTTATGTAGATTTATCTGGCCTGAGGAAGGGTTGGATGTGAGTTAACTAGACCTTCAGAGACCCCTAAAACATGAGAAATTATGACTTACTCATTGAAGTGTTGTTAGAAGGGCCACTTTTTTGGAATTTAGTCATATATTGATTTTCAGGCATGTTAATTGATTTCAGTAGCTTTGCATCTAGATTTTTTTTTGTTCTTCTAGGATTTGCAGCCTTTTCCACACATCAAAATGAAATTAAAACTTTAGCAAAAAGGACAACAGAAAGTCTCGCGCTTTAGACATCAGACTGGTGTAGACCAATTTCAAGCAAAACCAATCAAGAGCGTTTACCCCGCGTTTCCCTAAGGTAAAAACTTATTCTTGTTCTAAACTAGTAATGAGAAACCAAACTGAGCTTCATATTCTCTTTTACAGGTGAAAAACAAAGCATGGTGATTGGTCCTTGAGAACACCTCAACATGGGAATTATATGCTCTCATAAGAGTATCTTTCTCTTATCACTTGGTTACTCACATGGAGTTAACCATCAGCTCCTAATACTCTCCAGGTACTATGTGGCTTTTTCTTGCTTTGCTTGCTAACATTTGTTGTACCGTGCTTTACAGGCGATGAAATTGACTTTAATTTCATATTGTTATCTGGGCTTAGAGCAAGAGCACTATATTTCATATATTGTTAGGAGTTCCATTTCATCCAATTTTGGTTGTTTTAACATAAAAAATCACTCAGGGAAAATTGACCAACATTAAATGCATATTTTTCATGATTATTTTGTCTCCATTAACAACTCAAAATTACAATAATGCAATTTGTTTTTAAAAAAATTTCATATGGGTATAATTGGAAAATTAAACAACTTTGTTATACATTTCTATGCAAACCAAACATGAGAAAAGAAATAAAGTGATATTTCCTGGTTACTTACCTAGCAATACCAAACATGGGAAAGAAATCTTCCATTTCTCATCCCTTAGAAAAAGACATAGACCAAATGAGGCCTTAAGGTTACAACAAATTTTTATTTTGTGCTAGAGAATGCACGAAAAGCTTTCTAGATGCAAGAATTGTTATAGTTTAAGTATACCCCTTATAAATGGGAAGGGAGATATTGAATTGGAACGAGTTAAGCCCCATTTGGTTCACAAAACGAATTTGAGGGAAAATCATTTCCCATGTCATCTCCCAAGGGATGAGAAATGGAGATTCTTTTTCTATTTTTGGTAATCCTCGAAAAGTAACCAAGAAATACCACTTTATTTCCTTTCACATGTTTGGTCTGTTTAGGAATGTAAAACAAAGTTTGTTTAATTTTCCAATTCTACTCATATGAAATCAAATATTAAAAAAAAAAAATGCATTTAATGCTATGTTGTAATTTTAATTGTTAATGGGGACAATATGGTCATGAAAAATGTGTATTTAATGTTGGCTCATTTTCCTAAACTTTCTCATAAGGAGGAAAACAAAACTCAAAGGGGGATGAGGGGTTCAGTTTCCCCCTACTTACCCATGTGCAAGACAACGATTTCTCATGACTGGACTTACCAAACATAGGAAATCAATTGATTTCTCATCCCCAAGCCTCCTTTCTAATGAACCAAACAGGGCCTTAGAGCAGTTCCACCGGTCCCTTTGCCAAAGGGCGCTACCTTAAAAAAAATGCCCACACCGAGCACAAATGGTTCAGGCAGCAGTGGGCCCTACCCAAACATAGATGAGCCTAAAGGTAAGATTTGCATGGGTTGTTACCTGGGCAAGCTGATCTCGTGATGATGTCAGTGTGATGTCAGTGGCCAATTAAAATACCAAAAAAATTTACAAAAAGTAAAAAATACAAAGAAATTCAAAACTTTTTTTTTTATAAATACTTAGTCATGTTCTTCACTTCCCACACCAAAACTTCATACAAATTCATCTTCTCATATCTCATGTGAATAGTTGTTGTCATAGCAATAGGTGTGAATGCATCAAAAAAATTGCTAATACATGTACTATTCACATGAACAGTAATTGTCCATTGTCTTCTCTTGCCTTTTGACCATAACAAATGGGTGGAAGTGTTCTTAATAACAAAAGGATATTGTTTTAGAAAAAAATAAAATAAAAAATTTGTGTGAAAATCAAGTTTTGGAAGTGAGATTTTTTTTAAGACCAAAAATAATATGTTTACTACATTTTTCTCTATCGGATATTTTTTTTTGCTGGATCTGTCAGAATTTTGTTGGTGCAAAGTCGACTAGATATTTCTAAAAATACAAATTGACAGTCAATCTGTCTTGGCAGCTTACCAAAAGCTACAAGATATTTTCTTGGTCTCTCGTAGAAATATCTTGGTTGATTAGTCAATGGCTGTCCACCTGTTTCAATCTGTAGTTGCCTCAGTGGACCATTTACTCTTATTTGATGGGAAATTCTATTTATGGGTCACTACAAAGTGCCTTGGGCAGAGATCTTTTCAAGGATCTAGTTGAAATTTCTACTTTGCCAAATCCCACACTGCAGGATTTTTGTTCTTTTTTTCTTTTTTCCATTGGATAACTCATAACTGTCAACGAGCACCATCTTGAGTTTCCCTCAATACTGTTCATGCATGACAAAAATATATTAGTTTTCATTCGCTTTTTCACAAAATAAAATAATAATTTTGAGTTTTGTGTTGAAGATTAGTTTGTAATTGCCAATCGGATCTAACCCAGTAGAAAATGACCTTGATTTACAAATGAGTGATCTTATGTTTGAATTCTTATAACACTTTAATAATGTATGCGAAAAAGACTTCTATCCCCTTTATATCTTTAAAATATATATATATATGTTATGGAATGTGAATTTAGGTCAACTGTTTTATTTTCTCTTTGCTGGACTTCAATGCCATGCTGGCTGTCTTTTTACCTTCATCAATGGCATGACTGGGAGATAGTCCAGGGAGGAATGGAAGGGAAGGGAAGGAGGATATTATCATATTATGAGGGGCCACGTGGCAGGAGGTGAGGGAGTCAATTAAGCAAGAGGAAGGGTAGTTGGGTAAATATCCCAACATAGTATTTTAAGATAGGAAAAAGGGTAGCACTTTTTGTGAAAGTGGGGTTGAATCTCACAGGTCCTTTCTTTGTCCATTCAAGTGGGCTTTTGATTACGTACACAAAGCCATTTTCACGGCCTTATCTGTCCACATAGTATATTGCTTCATAGCATCTCTCCTTCCTTCATCATATCCTTCTATACTCTCCTCCCCCTCCACTACGCATTATTATTACTCAACTTCTTAAACACTGACATCTGCCATTTTTTCTTGTTGCTTCCAACTTCTTTGGGATTTGCCCATTTGTAAGAAATCAATTGGGGATGAGAAGACGAAAGCTAATAGAAGCATGCTCTCTTCATCTTCCATCTATACCTTAATCAATTGATAATGATAGATAACCCTAATTTAACCGTTATATATGCGAGATCTGCATGTCATTAATAGTCAGAAATAATTCATAATCTTCGAAAATTTTCTTTGTTATGATGTTATAATAAGCATGAAACATCCTATCGAGAAAAGAGTATATAATTTATACACCAAGTTATATAAACCCACAAATAACCTTAGGAGTACCATCCAATTCATCATGTACGACTTGTTTCTTGAGATTTTTTAAAACTATAATTAGCATATTTAATATGCAATACATGGGAAGCAATGTGATAGTGATGCACCGAAGTTATGGTACAAGTAAAAGTGTATTATTTTTAGGGTTTTTTTTGTGGGTTCTTATATTATGTCATGGAGTTATGACAGGATGATAATCATTATCCACCTATTATTGTTGAATGCCACATGAGACTTTATTTTCACTTTTTGAGAGTCTTGTTGGTGCCATGTTGCCTCATCGACACTCATTGAGGTTTCTAGAGCTTTAAGGATCGGATTTATGGGATGTTAGCATTAAGAGAGTACGAAAGAAAAGTACCCATTTGGATATTGGATTGGATGGGCGCCTATCAAATGGATACCTTAAAAGGAAAAGAAATAAAAAGAGATGAAAAAAAAACATAAACAAAGAAAACATCAAAAGCAAACGATAAACAAAAAATTAAGACCAAGGGAAAAACCAAAAACAAAAGACTATGGAGGGACAGATGTAAAAGAAGGGATTAGGACACATGACAAACCACTTAATGAGAATTAGGCCACATATTTTTTTAATTAGGCCAATAGATTTTTTATATGATGAGGAATTAGGCAATGGATTTTATTTTGTTTTAGATGAGGAATTAGGCAATAGATTTGTTATTTTCTTTTTTATGAGGAATTAGGCAATAGATTTTTTCTGTAATGAGGAATTAGGCAATAGATTTTGATTTAATTTAATTTTAGATGAGGAATTAGGCAATAGATTTTGATTTTTGATTTTATTTTTAATGAGGAATTAGGCCAACAGATTGGAAAGACCATGTGGATGTACCTTTTAACAGCTTCACCTTATTTCTATTCCCAAATGGAAAAAAATAATGTCAAAAATAGAAAACAGAGAATCAGAGAGATATGAGAGTAGCTTGCAAAATTAAATATGATTTATAATGATGGAGGGACCTGGAAAAGAGAAAGGCCTAACTTTTCCTTTCACTGGGAAAAGGACATGGACCCACATAAGTAATGCACTTTTTATCAACTTTGCTGAAGTCACCATCTTTGGCCTCTGACAAAAAACATTATGCTTATGCTCACACCCACCCCTCAACCCAAACCCCATATCCAGTCTTTCTATCTTTTCCATCTCACATAGAAATTTTTGGAAAAAAGCTCCTATCCTAGGGTTCCTTTGCCCTGTAGAGTTTTTATTAAATCTCCAACTTTTAATTAGGTAGTTAAAAGAAAAATCAAAAGCTGTCTACCGATCTTATCCTCCCTCTCATGCCACGGTAAAGTTTCCTGAATGCACTCTCTGTCTGTTAAATTTTCTGTTGCTACTTTTCAGGCTTGTTTCTAGTTCAAAGCTTTTCTGGGTTCTGTAATAGATTTCTTCTGAGTTTTTCCTATGTTGGTGGGTCTGTTGATATGCTAGACATGGTGAGAGATTGGTCCTTAAATTACCCTTTTCTTCATTTTGGTTCCATGAGAAGTATGAGGCTAATCTTTGTGATTTAGTCCTTCAATTCTGTTTTCTTTATGTGGGGCTGGAAACTTGTTAATCTGTTCACTAAAAAGCTCATCTCTTTTGTTTCTGGGTGATGCAAAGTTGTCAAATTTGTTCACTTTTTTTTACTTGCTGCTTTCATTTCCTTGTTTTCCAATATCTGCAAATTTTGTTTCTTTTATTTTTTCGATGAAAATTTCTTTGCTTCTCTTTATTACTAAAAATAAACTTATTTGTGAAGCTGTTTTTTGAAATCATGTTTTTTGTTTCCTTCTCCTAGTTTTTTGTGTTATCATTTCATATGGTGAAGCTGAAATAATTTTGGATCCTTACTCACTGTGTTTGATAAAATCTTTTTTTCTTTTTTAAAATTCATTTTCAAGTTTTCAGATTAGTACTCGAACCATCTCGTAGACAAGAGAAAAAGTTGATCTGGAAAGTTTTATGCGCGGCCATGAGGTCTAGAATTGACATAGTAACCTCCTTGTTTCAATTTCAATAGGAAACAGGAAAAAGAACATTTTTGTTGTTTAAATTTCCTTTTCTACAAAAAACTTATTCGTCTTCTTCTTCTAAGATATTTTGACAGTAATAATACTGAATATCTATCTATGACGTTGTTTGAAGGTTGCACTAAGACACACTCAGCAGAATTGTGGTCTTTCTAAGAAGCTGGTTTCAGTTAGATTGATAAATTGTTTGGAAAAAACTGGACAAGTTTTGATTAGAAGAGGAGAGAAAGAGTCAGTCGAAACATGGGTTACATATGCGATTTTTGTGGGGATCAAAGGTCCATGGTGTATTGCCGGTCTGATGCGGCGTGCTTATGTTTATCATGTGACCGAAATGTCCACTCTGCAAATGCCCTGTCCAGGCGTCATTCAAGAACACTTCTTTGTGAAAGATGCAATTCACAACCTGCATTAGTAAGATGCACAGAAGAGAGAGTGTCTCTTTGTCAGAATTGTGATTGGATGGGTCATGGAACATCTACCTCAGCTTCAGCACATAAGAGGCAAACGCTCAATTGTTACTCTGGCTGCCCATCAGCTTCCGAGCTGTCTTCTATCTGGTCATTCGTTTTAGATTTACCTGCTGCAGGCGAATCTGCTTGCGAGCAGGAAATGGGATTGATGAGCATCGCAGAGAACAGCACTGGAAGTGCTTGGAGCCCTCCAGAAAGTAACACTAAACAAAATGCATCTGGTACAGTTGAAGTGAATGGTGTGCGTTCGGTTGATAAGTCCAGTGTTCTTGTTGGTTCCTCTTCGGTGCCTGAACTTAACCCTGCTACTCATGTTGTTGGCCAGCAGGCCGGCTCTGAAAATGCAACATTGCCTAAGGTAATTATAAGTCTCAAAATTATTATCTTAATGCAACATTGGCTATAAAAAAAAATTCTTCTCTAAATCTGTGTGTGATTTGTTCTAAGTTTGATAGTGTTTTCATCAATGACCTTTATTTCATGTTATTAATATACAGTTATTCTGTCATGGGACCAAAGGTCCTGCAATCCCTGAAGATGATGACCTTTATGATGATTTCGATATGGATGAAATGGATTTGAATCTTGAAAATTATGAAGAATTATTTGGTGTATCTCTGAATCACTCTGAAGAGCTTTTTAAGAATGGTGGGATTGATAGCTTGTTTGGGGCAAAGAACATGTCCAGGTGTAATTCCAATTATCAGGATGTGGGTGCTGCTGAGGTAATTTCATCTCATTTTTATTGCTTTATGTTGCTTGGACTTTCTTGAACTGCTTTTGTTCATTGCTTAGGCCCTTGTCCCGAACTTTGTTACTGTATAACTGGAAATTGCTCTCTTATGTAGCTAGAAAACTAACTATGCCATATTACTTTGAAATAATCAACTACAGAACTACATTATATCAAACAAAAATAGTGATTATTGGTAGAGTCCATTGATATTTCTAATTGTCACAGCAACCTCATTACGTATGCTAGTTTTTTATCTGCAGAACTTTGGACTGGCTTAAGTATAAAGTATGCGTGGCTGTTCCATTAGTAAAGTAGGCTTTTTACTATTTTTTAAATGTGTATGTGAGTATGCTGGAGAAGAAGTGTAGTTCTTTAGTCTGAACAAAGCCATACTGTCAGTTGCTCTTCCAACTGATGCTGGAAAATGCATTTGGAAAACTATTGTATCAATAATGGTTTGATGAAATGAGGAAAAAAAATGTTGTGATGGCAGTTGGAATTTACTATTAGAAATCATTTCATCAAACTATTGTTTATTGTACTTGTCAGAAGAGAAAAAGTGTATTTTTAAACAAGTCGTGTATAAAATGAGTGCTTTGGCTACCGAAGTTTTATCTTTGAAGGCAAGTGGCCATACTAAACTTTGTTGTTTTTTCCTTCTTTCCTTTTTTATATTTATAAATACTTCCTACTGTTGAACTGTTGTTATTAAAGCATGTCTGAAATGGAGTTTATGAAATGTACTTGTGGTTAACTATTAGTGCTTTTTTCCAGGGGTCTTCAGTTGGACTGGTAAATGCTATACAGCCAGCGTGCAGTAATGCAGCATCTGCTGATTCTGTAATGAGTACGAAAACTGACCCAATTATTTGTTTTCCGGCAAAACAAGCACAATCAAACCTTTCATTTTCGGGTGTTACTGGAGAGAGTAGTGCTGGAGATTGTCAAGACTGTGGGGCTTCCTCAATGCTTCTCATGGGAGAGCCGCCATGGTGTCCTCCATGCCCTGAGAGTTCCATGCAATCAGCTAACCGTAGTAATGCTGTTATGCGTTACAAGGAAAAGAAGAAGGCACGCAAGTAAGTGTACTTCCAGAAGTTAGATATATTAACGTGCAAGCATGCACATACAGACTATATGCCTGTGTGTGTAATGATTCTTCATTCATTTATTACCAAGTTGCATTGTTTTTCTAGTTTTTTACCTCTTTGTATGACCACTACCCGGAGTAGACTTATATGTTTGTTTCTAATTATTTCCCATTTATGGTAGATTGAATGATACAGTGTATCTTGATTTTCTTCTGCCCTCTCCTCTGGCTGAAGTTGTCGCACTTTCACAGAATTCTTATCTGGTCATGAAATACTTTTGCTTGCTGTTCTGTCTTTTAAACATCTTTTTTTGTTTGTTTGTCTTTTCAATAGGTTTGACAAAAGGGTGAGGTATGCTTCTCGCAAAGCAAGGGCTGATGTAAGAAAACGTGTGAAAGGGCGCTTCATTAAAGCTGGTGAAGCTTATGATTATGACCCCTTGAACCAGGCCAGAACCAGAAGCTACTGAGTACAATTTTTAACTATGCTTTATAAAGCAAAAGAAACATTTGCTGTTTGATTGGAAAGACTCACTTATTATCACCTAACAATGAATAAAATTAATGCGTCTTTTCCTTGTGCAGTGACAAGCTGTATGATTGTATCACAGGGCCTTGGTTTCCATCGGGAGAAGAGGGTTGATGCAAAAAGCCAGGTTCTGGTGCTTCACTAATGAAGTGGAGGAGCAGATTTCTTATTCCACATCACCATAACAGATTGACAGATAATGACATTATCCGGATCGCATAGCCTGCCCTGTCCTTTAAGCTATGATCTTTCCTGTCCTGTTCTGTTTCTCTGGGCAAAGTTAATCTCTTCAATCATTCTGCGGGAAGGATTCATGTTGGTCTTCCAGCCATAATATGCTTCATGTTGATTATCTCAGTTATTATATTTTTGTCCTGCTGGTCTGATGACCTCTATAAAAAGTGCCTGCCATGACATCTTGGGTGGCCAAACTTGTAATTGCCTTGTCAGTAGAATAGCCTGCAATTATTTCCTTCTCTTTTTCTGTTCGTTTGACATGCACAGGATCTGTATGTATGCCAGTTGAGTGTTATGAGATCTGACCTAAAACCATTGTTGGGCAGACTTTAAACTTGAAGTTGTAAATTGCAGTTTCTTTTTTGTGGACCTGGGTACACAGGAACAGAGGTTGGTTACTTATGCAGTTAGGGGAGAATAGTTTGTAGTATCTTTATACCAATAGGAGGGGTTGTTATTTGTTTTTGTTGCCATCAATGTAAAAGGTTTTTTCAATTGGAATACGGTTCACCTTGTAACTCTAGTGGTTATAGCTGCTTTATTGTGGGGATCCAGATCCTCTGTTTTGTTTTTTCTGTCAGTATATGCTTGATCCGGATCCCTGATCAAATATACTAGAAATCGGCAATTTTGCCTTTTGCTAAGGTTGTAGGCCACAAATGCCTAGGACATGATAATTTTTCATCATCCAGCTCGAGGACCGACAGGCTTACTAGTCTTGATCGTTACAAAGGTCGACGCTACCACATCAAGCCCGTTGTTGTATCAAAGAGCCCAACCCTTAAACCAGGTGATGGTAGAATGCCTAAAAATGTATAAAATTAGAATATTGAGGTCAAGCAAATCCAGAATATTGATTTTCTGTTCCTGTAAGTTGCTGGGCCAAAAAATTCTAAAGGTAAAAGAAAACTAGCACAAATGAAAAGGAGCCAGAAAAAGAAACTGAAACAGGAGGAGAGTGATCATATACATACTTTGGCCATCGCATGATTCAAACAATTAATAAAAATGGAAAACAAAATTCCTATGCAGTAGCAACAAGGAAAACATATTAAGTTGACAAAATTCCGCATAACAAACAATAGGCATGTAGCTGTTTGAGCAGTTCCACAGCATTAATCATCATCAGAACTATCTTCAGATACTCTTCCAATGTCATCTCCCACAACTGTGTCCTGTACATAGATTGCAGAGCAAATGTCACTGGAAACAATAATACCTAATAGACGCCCATGCACCCTTAGTGTGTGCGCGAGCGTGTTTGTGTGCACACTCGCGTGTGTGTGTGTGTGTGTGAGAGAGAGAGAGAGAGAGAGAGAGAGAGAGAGAGCCCTTGACGAGTGTAACATTTAACAAGATGTGATTAAAGATCCTTACCGGCATCTTATCCCAGTCCTTCAACTTGGAATTTGTGAGCATGTAATTATCTCGTAATGGAGCCCAGGCAGGCCCTTCACCATCCACCGGGCCTTTAGACGTATGAGACTGCATGTTAAATCATTCTCATATATAAGATCCACAAGAAAGATGATTGAAAAATATATTGGCAATTTGGCACTACCGAAGATGTTTGCATCTTAGTTTAGGTCTACCATCACAATTTCACAGAACCATGTGGTAGGAATATAATTAAATTTCAGATTATTCCACCAAACAAATTACGGAGCAACGATATATGATGGTTAAAATATTTGAATGTAAGAAACGTCAAGATGCTAAAAAGCTATGGCATAATGCAAGAAACTGATAAAGGAAAAAGGAACCAACCTTTACAGAAGCACTAGCACCTCGGGAGGACGTTTTGCCCAACTCTGAAAAGAAGGCTTCTTTTCTCCGTTTTTTTATCACTGGAAACATTTAGACAACAATGACTAGATTAAACACACAAGTGGAACCAAGGTTTTCACATTTTAAACTCAAACATGGCCACTGACTAGCAAAACATGTGTTCAATGAGTCTCCCAAACAAATATGGGACTGATCAACTTGTCCTAAAATGGGACTAAAAGATGCATGGGAATAAGGAAATATTTCATATACAAAAATGATGATAAGCTAGATTCATGCCACCCTAGTTTCAATGCTTGTAGGTACATATGACAAGGCATTGCAATTTTTGTCTCAGGCGAGATAAGTCAAAAGATGGATATGATGACATGGCACTTCAAAATAAGCAGAACATAACTTGCCATAATATGGATTATTTAGAGGTTGAGTGCTTATGGTGATTTTGTGTGCACCTGGTATCTGGAATTCAAACCAACGTTTTTAAAGGCAACCAAGATATGAGAAACAATAGAATACCTCAAGAAAAAGTAACAAATCCGACAATGATATGAACTATGAGATGTGTTTGTGTGTGTGTGTGTGTGTGTGTGTGTGAGAGAGAGAGAGAGAGAGAGAGAGAGAGAGAGATGGGAGGGGCAGTTGAGGAGAAAAGTTTATATTGATATGATGACAAGTATGCTTCCAATCTCGCATTAGACTGTAATACCAATATATTACTTTCAATTTCAGTTAAAATTTTAAAACCAACATAAGTCCATAGTTGATATCTGAAAACCTAACAACGTAAACTGGCAAGAAGAATGAGGGTTCTCAAATTGTAGCTGCAGTACTAAAAGCACACCTTTTGCATCTTTAAACTTGGAAGGATTCAGTCCTTTCTGAGCATTTTGTGCTTTGTTGACCTGCATTAGACACCAATAGGAACTCACGATTCAATGTGACAGCAGAATACAATCTTATCAAAACAAAAAATCTTTACAATTTTAAAATTTAAGGTTTGAAAACAAGCAAACAAGATTAGATTCTCATAAAGCAACTTACAGCATTGAACAACTTGACCACTGAGAGTCCAGCATTGCACATGGTAAATGTGAACTAAGTCAGTATGACAACGAAATTTGATAACGCCCATAAGAGAAATAACCTCTGATCACATATATCTTAACCAAGCGGATAAAAATGGGGTACCTCCTTTCGTAGCAACACCAATTAGAAACTTTTCATGCGAGTCCAAATAGTTGGCAGGCTTCACATGCCCCTTTTCTATTACCTATTAAATTAAAAGGAACTAACAAGTAAGCATTAAACCGTAAACATACAGTTGCAGATACATTCATACACATTACAATAAAAACAAATTGAAGATATGAATTACCAATTGTTTTTCCTTCTTAGCCTCACCCTTGACCTTGCGCTCGTTCTCCTCTTCAGCAAGCTTCTCTGCAACAAGTTTCTTTTGCCCCGATAACACCGGCCCCTGCGAAGCACTCAAAGTTTGTTACTTTAAACACACACAAAAAAATCCCAAAACCTAAACAATTAGACATTAGAGTTCAAATCTATTACTCACCAATACATCTTCAGGAACAGTCTTCTTTATTATACTCCTGAATGCCAACCTAAACGCATTACTACCCTCCGTAAATCTCATGATGCCGGGCAGAATCTCACCGTGCTCCTCATCATCTGAGAACCCATTATCCACATTCCTTTCACTGTGGTCGCCACCTTTCTCTGCTTCTTCTCCTGAAGAAGACCCACCAATCAGCTCGTCCTCATTGTTGCCCAAAGGTGTAGCGTTGTCTTGTTCGGACTCGTCCTCTGAATTGTAGTCTCGGGCTCGTTTCCGATACAGTTTCTGCATTTTCTTGTCAATCTTCTTAGGCTTCATGGCTCTAATGCCTTCCGCTGACTGTAACATCTTTGCTTTCTTCTTAGCCTTGGAGCCCTTCTTCTTCCCAATTTTCCTCTTCCTTGGTTCTCTTGCTGCTTCTGCCGTATGGGTTTCTTCGGCCATGGCTTTTTGTGCTTCAAACCGAATCAAGGTCTAATCTTTTGGCTGCTGCTAATGGGGGAGAGTTCAAAATTTGATTGCGTGTGACAATTAATTGCAGAGTCTCAGAGACATTTGGACAAGTAATGAAAACCGGAAACGATGGAGAGAGTGCTAGGGTTTTACCTGGCCGGTTGGGCTGCAAAGAGTAAGCTTAGCTAGGTTAGCGGGGTTTTACGAAAAACCCCCTTTCTTTCTTCTTCTTTTTTTCACCAAAATATCTGTAGAAATCCTTATTTATCAATTTAAAAATAAAAAAGTCTGTCACAAGTTTAAAAACCAATTGAAATATATACTTTTCTTTTTGGTAATTATTGACAAATAGCGATAATTATACGCATACAAGACAGCACACGTGTGACGTATTTAAGAAAGAAGGTTTAAGTATTTTTGTTTTTTTATTTTATATTTATTAAAAGATAATTTTTTTTATTAATAATTTTTTTTATATATTAATTTTTAGTCTACTTGGATGATACGTCAACACAAAAATTGAGATTCACTTTTGTCACATTATCCGGTAACAGAATTTTTAAAGGGCTTATTAATGAAAGGTGTCTTTTGAAAGGTTTTATTAAGTTGGAGTATCAGTTAAACGGATCTCTAAAAGTTGAATATGATTTTTTAATAACTCCATAATCTTGAGGTAAACTGTAGTTGATCCAAATAAGCAATGGCAAATGCACGTTGGGACAAGAGGGGCCACACGACCCCTTGGGATGCCGGAAATTTGGTCGTGGACTCCACCGACAACCCCTTGTGTACAAGATGCTCGATGAAAGTCCCTTGTTGGCTTGCCTTGTGTTGTTCTCTAAACTTCTCCCATACGCATTTGCTCTACTTGTAGCACCACAACTTGAATTTTTTTTTTTGGTTGCAGAGGCAGCCAAGAAGATGATGTTGGTAATTTGCCCTAGTTTATGCCTCATTTTAGTTGAAACTCACCGTTTCACTAGTTGTAGGTTTTTTAAAAAGTTTGCGCCATGTATAAGTATGGCCCAAAGTTTTATTAATAACTTGTATGTCTTTTTAAAAAGTCTGGTCCAAATGTTTATTAATAAAACCCCTTTAACCTTTTGGAGAATTTTAGTGTTATTTTTTTATAAATAAATTTTTTTAAAAATTTGACACTATTACACTGTAACCCTTTAAACCGAAAATCCTGAATTTTAAGAAAAGTATGCATTTGTTGCGTGTCACCCTTTTTAACATTTTTCTTTTTCTTTTGATACAGTCATTTTTAACTATTATAGTTACGAACGAGATGGAAAAGAAGAGAAGGAAATATTCAAACTGTAGTAATCGATACACAGATTAATGCTCAATGCTCATGTCATGCCACTCTCAGCTTAAGTGCTCAAACTCTATTACCAATGCTAACCTTTGACACTTGGGTTTAGTGGTCATATATTAGTCATGGATGTAAATATGAAATGCTCTGCCTATGCAGTTAGGGCCTAACGAATAGAACTTATTAGGAAAATGTGTTTCAACCATATCTTACTCTTAGATTAAATGAACATCTTTGTCGACGAGGTCTAATCTAATGAAAAAATACCTTGATTTGCATATCAGTGGTCTCAGTTTCGAATTCCCAAGACACCTTGGGAGTATGTGTGTGTGTGAGAAACCCCTCGTTTAGATTATCACTTATATATATATATATGTATATATATATATAAAGACTTGGGATATAACCTTCTTAAAGATCTCCCCTTATGTTATCTTTGTTAAACTTTAAAGAGACCGATCAACGGTCCATTACTAGCAACACCATTATTGTCCCTAACTTAATCACTTACAAATCCTGGTAGGTATAAGGTTTTATCATAAAAAGCCTCTATGATATTAGTAATGGAACTATTTATTATATGTTGTATTTTATTTAGTCAAGTTTCCGAAATGGAACTTACATTCTTCAACACGCCCCCTTATGTGGGACCACCACATAGTGGGCTACACATGGAGCGAAGTCTACATCAGAATTAAACATTTAAACCCAACATGTGAACACTGCGTATTGGGTAAGGGATAAGGGGTAAGGGTAAACATTCAAGCTTAACATGTGAACATCACATGTTGGGTAAGGGTAAACATTCAAGCTTAACATGTGAACATCACATGTTGGGTAAGGGTAACGGCCCAGTTAATCAGCTTGCTCTGATACCATGTTAAATTTTAAAGAGACGGACCATCAATCCACTACTTGCAACATCGATATTATCTCCAACTTAACCACCTATAAAGCCTAGTGTGTGTGAGGTTTTATCACAAAAGGTCCAGGTAATATTAGTAATGAAACTATTTATTATATGTTGTATTTTATTTAGTCAAGTTTCCAATTCGGGACTTATATTCTTCAACAAGCTTTGCTGATATGAATAGGTTGTCATGGCACCATGGTATTCGTAATGGTATTTGAGCCCTTGTTTGAATTCATACAATGAGTTTCAACTCTCTTATCAAAAAGAAAAATTTAGGAAACATCTAGGAGTTTCTAAGTATAAGGAGAGAGAGAGTAGTTCCAACCACACTAGAGTGAACTAGCTATCTTACTCCTATAATAGCAACAACTAGGAGTTCCTAAATTTGAGAAGATAATAGCACCTTGTTAAATACTTTTTGATATAAAATTTCAATATATTTCAATAGCAGGGTTTTAAATGCAATAGCCCTTGAACTTATACTTGAGTGTTTCATTTTGGTCCTCAACTTAATTTTCGTTCCATTTTTGTCATCCAACTATTTCATTTGTGCCAATTCAGTTATTTCGTCACATTTGTCATCAATTTTAATCATGCAATGGCACGTGACGTACTTTTTAAGAGCAAATCTAACTTTTGAGTCCATTATAAGCCCCGTAGACAAAATTAGGGCTAAATTGAGGTTCTAGTGACGGGTTATGGTTCAAATTTGGGGATTTTGATGAATTAAGGTTTCAATTTTAGGGAAATGAAATAGATAGGTGAAATAAAGTTTCAATTTGGGGGGAAATGGGTAATAGAGAGCTGGGTCGGTCGTTTTAGGGGGATGTATTCAATTAGGATTATAAAGCGTTTAAAAAAATTTTAAAAATCCGGGTGTATTCAATTTGGATTTATACCAACTTTAAAAGAGGTTTTACAAGTCTGGGTGTATTCAATTCTGACTTGTATGAACTTTTAAAAAGTCCATTCAAATATGGGTGTATTCAATTAGGATTATAAAAAAGTTGAATCAAATCTAGGTGTATTCAAAAGGTCATATATTTGGAAGGATTTCATTAAGTGATAAATTTTCGTAGGTTTTAAGGGAAGAGCTATAAATAATAAAGACCATAATAAATCCAACCTCCCCCACAAGTATTTCATCAGACGTTTTTCTCTCGCCCTAGCTTTCCACTCTGCAACAGAACATGAACAATCTCCTTCCTCTATTTGTGAAGGAGAGAGTTAGAGGACTTTTATATTGATGATTTTACCTCTTAAATTGACTTTTAAATTGACGGAATGTAATAGAATGACTTAATTGTCATGAATGAGAGAGTTAGAGGACTTGACATGAAAATTAGTTGGAAGGCCAAAATGAAACTCAAATATAAATTGAAGGACCATAACAGTTAAAAACCCTTTCACTTCTTATTTTGAATTTTATGAAGTGCTTAAAATAAAGAATACGGTTAAAGTAAACAATTTCCAAAGTGATGTTCTAGCAATTTTGAGTACACTTCACATGAACATTTAGTTTAGAAATATTATCCGACCACACTCTATGATCCAATACAAGTATAGTAATTAAAGGGTTTGGGCACAATTTTTGAAATAAGTTGGGTGAGTTTATTTGTCTGAATTATAGTTTAAAATATCGATAATATTGACGAAATATTGAGGATATTATCGTTTTTTTCGGGTCACAGATATTTTAGAACATATCTATACATATATCGTATAAATATCGATAATATCGATATCGAAAATTTCACTCACACTTCAAAAATATGTTGTCAAAATATCGCTATAATATTAAAAATATCGAAAATATCAATGTAATTGAAAAAATGAAAAAAAAAAACACAAAGCACACACGCAAACAACTTAACCACCATGTTGCTTATGTTTTTGTGATAATACACAATGGGAAACTCTATGTGGTACTAAGTCACTCATGTATATTACCATACAATGTATAAAGTGTAAAATATTGTAGTAAATCATTATATATAAATGATTATGGTATGTGTAATCTTCTTTCATTAATTACTACATATTTTCTAAACTCACAGTGTTTGTCAGCTTGTTATATAATCAATTTAAATTAGTTAAACTCATCATGCAATGTATTTCCTTCCAATTTTTTATGATAAACTAATAGATAATTGACAAAATAAACATCCTCCAAAGTTTCAATAAAAATTTCAAGTTTTTCTTACAATTTCCGTGGTTTTTATTCAATTTTAATTGATATCGATAATATCCGGATATTTCCATCAAAATTTCCATGTTTTTGAACTATATTTCCAATACTATCGATATTTTTGACCTTGGTATGAATAAATAATGTGTGAGAGTGAAGAGCGTCCGTCCACAGGCAGGCAAGCAAGGATGCACGCACGCAGCCAAGATGGTAACAACTTACAAGACGTGAGCTTTATAAATGGGTAATGGACAAGAAGTATAAGATAAGAAAGATGCATGAGCACGTGAAATTCACCTGAGACCGTATCATTATCAAGCTTTTCCTATCACCTCCTAAACTAGATGTTCGATTCAATGAACTTGGCACTATATACTGCACTACTCTCACTTTTTCTTCTTCTTCTTTTTCCTTTTCGCTTGTAAGTAATACTACGATATTGAGACAATGAAATTCAACACGGGATTTCGATGCATGTGTAATTACTCTTCACCGCTTTACTTATAATTCATTATCCTAAATTTCATGTTTTATAGTATTTTTCGAAGCCGTTTGATGATTTAGAAATCTGTCACTTGAAAATGTGATCTAGTTTATGATCATCTAGAGTACAATATGTTAAGATTTCATCCACCAAATGTTCAGAATTCAGGGTTAGGGTTTAGAGTTTAGATGGTGTATGTAACGAGTATTCTAGATGCTAAAGGTGCATGCAATGCAATATTGTGCATAGCGTTTATCATGATGTTGTATTTGTAAGAGATTTAGAGTCTTGGTGGAGAATGAGACACCCAGAAATCTCGATTCTCCACTCCTTAATCATGACAAGGAGACAAATATATACATATGTGTGTATATCATCATATCATCATCAATTTTGTTCTTGATGCACGTCGGATCTGTAACTTTGTCAGGCTTTAATATATTTTGTTTCCAGATTATGTATGTATGTTACAAACTGTGCATGTGCAAGGCCATGTCCATTTGCGGGCGCACCAGCCATTAGCCATTAATTGGAGTCACCAACAATGTTCATGTATGGTAACAACAAGTAATATTATTTCAAGAAAGGTGAAAATACAATACATCCAAATTTCATGAAAGGTACAGCTTTAAGTTAGTTAGTTAGGCCAGTGTACTCGTCCTTTTATATATAAGTTTGAATTTCTCTGTAAATTATAGCACCTTAAAATATCGCATTTGATAATCTACGTCATTATAATAATATCACTATCAATCATAATTGGGAAGCGGGCATTTTCAAAGACGAAGTTATCTACGTAATGTTCTTGAAAGTTTGGGAGTTAGATCGATCTGTCCACTTCATAATCATAATTTAGCAGTTGCGAAGTATGGTGAGGAGCATTAAAATCATTCCAAAATCACTTCAATCAAAGCTGTCTAAGCAATTTTGAATTGATTGGTGATTGATTTTTCTGATTTCGTGAGCAAGATCAGTAATGACATGTGGTTGCATATTTACAGGTGTATATCGTATATGGTGCGAAACCTAAAAACTCCATTGATTTTTCTCTGAGTTTATGCGCTGCTTCTTTCAACCCACACAAATAAAAAGTGTTGTGAAGAGATATAACTTTAGTGGTAGAGTATTCTACGCTTGCATCCATAGTAAGAATTAATTCACCTTCATATTAACATTATGTGCATATGAAACACATTCCTTGCATGTAGACAAAACATTTTGATGTGGGGCAAGTGACCATATATATTCATATAGTTTTGGTCTTTCTTTTTATTTTTTTGTTGAAAAAAAGTTTAGGGAGAGATTGGATACTCTCACTATCAACGCCAAAGCAGACCCACAACCTCGAGCCTTAAGGACTTACGTGTGGTACCCAACTTCTAACTGCCACAAGTATGGATTTATGTAGAAAATTACAGATTGCGCACCAATGAGAACAGCTGGCAGCGAAACTCAAACACTAGTGGAGCTACAAACAGTGTAGAGAGGACCTTATTAATTGAACCAATCCTTATTGACAGATTTAGTCTTTCTATGCGTACAAGCATAAAACACTACATAGTCCATCTTTACCAAACCAAAGGATAATATTTTGTCATTCTTATGGGCTCAGCTCAGATTCCATATTCAAAAGGCATCTAACTCAAAATACACAAAATGTAACTTACAAGACACTATCTCTCTTTTTTCTTGGTGACCAAATTGGAAAAAGAGAATCTACAAGATGTGAAAGTTCAAGCCCTCAAGAAAAAAAAAAGCCTAAAGCCTAAAAGGGAAGGCTCCTCTTCATCTTCATCCAAACTGCATATATCCAAGCCCTATGGTCCATGCATGGTCCATGGCTACATTATCTGGCTTTTCTTTAGCCAAACACGTTGTCCCAGAAACAGTTCACTGCCCATTTGCCACCTGGACAATGGTGCTGATGATTGGGGTACTCCTTTGGCCCACTACCCATGTCGTTTTTCCAGCCCTCCTCAGGAAAATCGACACGTAGGCTAGCGCTAGTTTTCAGTGAGAGGGTGAGTCCAACATACACAAGGAAATGAAGACACATACATACACACCCTGCGTGACTGAGAGATTGTACAAATGGGACACGTTGGCTTGGCGACAATTGGTGGAAAGACGACATGTAATCAGACGTTCAATGACACATGTCCACATGAGAAATGTGGGATCTTGCTACTCATCACACCTATTCGGTAACATGATAAAATGGTCCACAAATTTTTTATTCTTTGCAATCAGTTTTATTCTTTATAATCAATATTATATATTTATATATTTATCTCTCTCATCATGTACTCAAAAGGAAAAAATTTATTGTCATAACTCGTAAGATATAATTATATTATCTCTTTTCTTATGTGATGAGAGAGAAGAACACATAGACGTATGTAAGAATTAGTCAACCTGCATGACTATTTGGTTTTTTTAAAAATAGTTTATTTAAAAATACAACTTTTGAGCATGTATTCATGCACCCGAAAACTCTATGTTCAATCTCTCTTGTCAATTGTATAAGAAAAAATATATGAAGAGGGTTTGTTTTGCAAAAAGATGAAAAGTGTAAACCAGTTAGGTAAAATCACGCCCTTTGCGAACTTTACTATTAAGTTTTCCATTACATGATCCTGTATTAAAATTATACCATTCTAGGTAGGTAAATTGAACACAGAGGTATGAAAAAAATAGGCGTGTAACTAGAATGTTACCAAAAGAAGACATGTAAGTTAAGATATGCAAATGGAAAAGAAGGTTAAAAAGCCTGTAAACAGAAGGCGTTGATATAAAGTAACCATGGTTAAGAGAAAATTGGAGTCCGCAAAAGACGGGAGTCTAACCATGATTAGACAACACGGGTTAGTTTGCCGGTAATCGTAGGTGTGGAGGCTTTGCCATTATATATAAACAGATTGTGCAGAGCAGCCATTGTCAAACAAAACTATATATATTTTTATGTGTGTGTGTGTGACTGCTGCCTAATTCCCAAGAATCTCTTCTTCTTCTTCAGCTCCTCTGGGTGGTACTCTGTTTCTATCTGGACCCAAAAGCTTAAGCTCCAAAAATCTCGCTCTTTGTAAGTCTGATGAAGCTCAGCTACAGTTAAAGCTCTAGTATTTATTTTCTATTTATGTATTCATTTTTGCTTTTTCTGGGTTCTTTTGAAAATGATTTATTTTGTCTGTTAGCAATCAAAGGAAGTATTTTTAATGTTTTTTTAAGGATTAGTAGGAAGAATTATAGATCTCAAGTTACCTTATGATACATTTGGTTGCTGGGTTTTCTGGGTTCAGGAAATTGGGTTGTGTGTTGAGATCAAGTTGCTTGCTTTATCTTTCTAGTCTTTAATTTGTTATTGATCTTCTATTTTGACCGTGTTGAGCTTCGTCAAGGTCACAGTTTTGTTAGATCTTGATGATAAAAAGAAGCCTTTTGAATGGTTTTTCTGTTCCTCTCTATCCAATTTTGGCATTGGTTTCTTATTCATTGCATTACAAGGTTTCGAAAATAGGATCCATTTTTGTTTCTACATGCTCATCTTCTGCTTGCTTCCAATTTTTATTGACTGCTGCTGCGTTTGAGGGAATATAGGTTCTACTCTTCATCAATCCCACTTACCAACCAATCCCACTGACCATTTTGAACATTTTAGTTATTTCAGTTTTATTTTTAAATATTTCATTAACATTAGAAGATATTGAATTAGTGCAGAGGTTGTATGAACCTGTATTTTGTGGGTTTGCTGCAGATCGGTAGAATTATATCCCATTGGTTGCATTTTCATGATATCACAGCTATCAGTTTTTATTAAGATCGGTTTCACTTTTGTGAAATTTTGTTTGTGCTTGATACCAATTGTTTGTATGGTGAAATTTTGAGCTTTATGCTTAATCTGTTTGTTCTCAGTTTCATCATTCTTTCTTCTCTATTACATAAAATTCTAATACCTTCCCTTTGTTGTATTGCAGGTTGGATATCAAGAAGATTTTGGTGACATTTCATCTTTACATGACTCAACTCCTACTCATCAAACTGATATAATAATTTATCTCCCCTTTTGTGTCTCTGCCAGTTCATTCTGGTTTCCCTGTCCCTAAACAATCTTTGACTTGTTTGAGCTGAGTTTGGACCTTCCAGTGTCTAAAATACATTTGTATTTATAAATCTGATCCCCTTGGAACTCCTGTTTTGATCAAAATGGGTCTCTCAAGTCTACCAGCTCCATCAGAAGGAGTTCTATGTGTGCTTTTAGTAAACACAGCCCTGTCAATCTCCATTGTCAAAGGCATAATCCGATCAGTCCTGCATATAGTTGGTATCCGTCTCTCATCATCATCATCCTCAACGTCGTCCTCAGCATCGTCACCCCCCATCAACAGACTCCACTGAAATCGCCTCAGAATCATTTGAGTTCCATCTCAGTCCATCGGCTAGTTGCATCGAGGAGATCAGGAGCCGAATCCCAGCAATTCGGTTTGACACTGTGTGTAGTTTCAAGCAGCCAGAACATGAATGCCCAGTTTGCCTGTCTGAGTTTGAGCCCGAATCAGAGATAAACCACTTGTCTTGCGGCCATCTTTTCCATAAAACTTGCTTGGAAAAGTGGTTGAACTACTGGAACATTACATGCCCTCTTTGTAGGACTCCTTTAATGCCTGGGGAGGACACACCCTCTGTTTGGTGAGCATTTACAAGCATGAAAGTCCAGGAGATTTCATGTACAGCGTTTAGTGTACAGGTATTTTACAAGAATGCTCGGCTGGCCGTAGTGTTGTTATACCTATGTTATGCGTGAGTTAAACAGCGATAATACGTTGATGGGTCTCAGAGACCAAAATTTTTACTATTGTACATATTATGAAGTTACTGGAGTATAACATATCTACTTTCAGCTTTGAGTTTATTGAATCTTCCGAGTTTTATTTGTGTGATGATGATCAAGTTGGATAGGCCATATATTGTTTAGTCATATGCTTAACTTGGCTGCCATGAATGAATTTCAATGTGATGAACAGCATATATTGTGTTTAGTGATGAATCCCTGACATTTCCATCCAACCATTAGTTTAACAGAAGCATGTCCAAGCAGCCAAGTTCCTTGACAAGTCTTTTCTTGTATATGGAAGGGAAAACATTAGTTTCCAACTCACAAGGGGCAAGGTAGTTTTTGCTTGTACTTTGTATGGGGTAAATTTTGCTTCTCTCTTGCCAGTCCCCTCGTTAGTTGTAACGTGTTGGCTTTGTGTACCAAAGGTTAGCATGTCTTGGGTTCGACTGGCACCCGGATCAGCGAGTCATTACCAGAACTTTTGCTTCTTTCTCAATGAAAGTGGTCTGAAACTGTGAATGAGGTTTCATTTTCTTAGCTCCCTTTGAGTTAACATCATGGAAAGTGAAACTAGAGGGAGGGCTTGATGGACCATTCAGAGATAAAATAACTACAAGACAATACAGAGATGTAGATGTGGGTTGATCAAAGGCAGGACCGCCTGAGAGAACGTTATTATAGTGGTCCCTTTTGTTTGTAAGTTAGCAATGTGGTTCTCTTGTGCTTTTCTGAACCAAATGGAAGGGGATAAAAATAGTAATAAATTCGTTTCCTTTCAAGCACATTCCAGTGCAGTGGAATTCCATCATCATGCCAAAGGACTTGATGGTGGCAGATCAGAGGGATCATCAAGAATATTATGGGCATATTGAAAGTTGGATGGTTGAACTTGGGTTAACATGAACCTGTTTGAAGTTATGAGCCAACCCTATGAAGACATGATATAATTAATATTTTTGATATTATATCAAATAATAGTTAAGCCTCTGCAAAAAGGGAAAAACTTAAGTTGTATTTTGTTAAACCCACAAGTTGAATCCATGAGCGAGGTTGAACACTCACGTTGGCCTTCCAAACCCCTCAATTCTTTTGAATTGCACCATAATTATTAGCAGAAGAGTTTGTTGGAGTTGCCAAATTCTGTTACCATCAATGGCTCGCAGTTACCTGCGGACGTGATCCACAGATGCTAGCATAATTTAAAAGACAATGGACTATTAACTCACACATGAATAGTTAAGTGTTAGCCAAATGCAGGAAGTTAGAAGATGAGAATGGCCATAAAGCACTTTTGAGTACCCGCATCTTATTCCATGTTCTCATTCTTTTGGCAAACTTTAAAATAAAGTGATTATGGGTCTCCATGGGCAGTTGCAAATGGGAGCCATCATTAGTCATGCCCTTTTCCAATCTCTGATTATTCATGTGAAGTCTCTACCTTGAACTAACTGCCAAGGGAAGGACTAGCACTAAATCCAACCTTGGTAGTTGATACTCCTCAGACTCAAAGAAGGAATTGTCACCAGATTAAGTTAATCTTCTTTGCAATTAAGGAGACCAACAAAGGGTGCAAATGATTTACCGGAAATGTCCGAATGCAGGTCAGCCTCAAGCTTCTCAATCATTTCTTGAGAAGTAATTACCCACCATAGACTGGAAATTGGTCTTTGAGAAAGTAGGGCTGAAAATATAATGGAAAATGTTGTCTTTGTTAGACAATTTGACATGTTACGTTGTCAGACAATCTAACATGTTATGTTGTCAGACTGTGAATTTAATGTGAAAGTGAACGGTAATATCAGTTTGACAACATAAATAAAAAGGTAAAGTATGCCATTTTCCAAGCCAATGTAACTTCCATTTAACCCACAAAATTATTTACAACAAATAAAAAGGTAAAAGCTCCATTTTTAGCAATCTTTTTTAATAGAACAAAAAAAAACCCAAAAGCACAGCAAAATTATCCACACACTTCGCACACACTCACACGTGGGAGAGAAGGCGCCAAGCCAAAAACACCTAGTATCATTCTATCTTCTTCTCACAACTCACAAGTAAAATTCATTCTATCCAGTATCCACAGTCCCAAAGTCGAAGGCTTTGAAGCTCACACCCATTAAATGACGGAAGTGCCCCTTCTGCCAGTCCTAATTTACCAACCCAGGACCTCCCTTTATGGCATCTCTGCTTCGCTGTCCCTGCTACACTGAAGCACTGGAGGCTAGGCGGTTCATGGACGTTCCTGAAGCTCAGGCTCGTCCTCGGCGCCACAACCATCTTCTCGCCCAACGAACCCACTTCTCCTCTTGGCCCGTGAGCCTGAGATTTCTATCGCCGTACGTTTCATACTCATTACCACACATATGCTTTTCGAGTTTTCTTATTGCTTCTGCTTCTGAATTTGTTTGGGTTTTATTAGTTTCGAATGAATTACAATATAAACGCATTGAATTCAATGTCTTTGTTGTGTATGGAGGTGCTAAAGCTTGCGTCTTGTATGTAACTATGTTCTAGAGCCGAGTTTTATTTGCTGCAGACCCAAGTCGTGTAAATGGTCCTTTTAATTTTCAGCATTGCTAAACTCACAATGTATATAAAAATCGAATTGCAGTACACACTTGGAAATCACAATGATGAGAAATTGTATTTGATTCAAACCACTTTCGTTGATAGATGAAATCTTATCGAAAGACGAATATGGCTTGCCAAATTAAATACCAGTTGTAGTAGTTCCTCTAACTATTTGTGCTTGCTATGAAAACTTAGCATTTATGTGTCAAAAGAAGATCAAAAATGATATGGAGATGCTGTAAATGATACTTTGTTAAGTCTGATGTCTTCCTACTTCTCTGTCTCTGTCTCTGTCTCTCTCTGGAAAGAATTAATACATTATAGTATCAAAGCAGGTACATATGCCATCACATACCCCTCGGAAATGCATTCAGATTCACTCTTTGTATGGCGAAGCATAGTTCGTTCCTAAGATCCCCTATGATGTCCATGGAGAAAGGTAACACAAAAAATCCTGTTTTTGAACCTCTTAGTTATTCATGTTTCTGCACATTATAAGGAAAACCATACCTCCCCTTTTTTTCCAACACTAAAATAAACAAGGATTTTAAGAGAAGGCCTCTCTGTTCCATAAAGGATAAACTACTACAGTCATTAAGGTTTCACATCATCCTTTCTGGAAGCACTCCTATAGTTTAAAATGGCTTATGGATCTAAGACATTATGGTTTCTCAGGAAAGTCAAATGCTGTTGTTAAAGGAATGTACAAGATAGTCTGGACTATAGCGGCTGATCTGGCAGCTGGTGAGTTTCTGTACATAACTGGGGACCCTACTATTCTCGGCTGCTGGGAACCGGATATTGCTATACTAATGTCTCCTACAGAACATACGAACTTATGGAAGGCTGAAGTCGGGGTAATTTTGCAATCTGCGCAAAGTAGCACATGATTATGTTGGTTATTTATGAAGCATGAATCTGTGCATCAATTTTATTTATTTGTTATGGTAGCTTAAACAAATGAAAACAAACAACAAAATCCAATCAAAGGTTTCTAATATGATAAAATTAGTAGTTGAAGATTTCCCTTTAGACATAGTACTAACTAGAGATACTTGTCCAGGGAAAAGAATAAAGATAGACAGAGAGATACTCTATGCTGTTGATTTTCAATTATTTATTTTATTGTGCTGTAAGGTCCTCCCTTATTCATCTTTTACTGCTTGGCAGATTTCTGGTGGTGTAAATTTCAAGTATAACTATTTTATAAAGAGAGAAATGTGGCCTCCATCTGACATCATTTGGAGACCTGGACCTGAATTCTCTCTATCAGTACCCCTACCTGTCAAACAAGGTGGAAGAATTGTAGTGAGGGATTCATGGATGAGGCCTGATACCACAATGTCTCCAATTCTTTCGTGGGGGTCACGGATAGAGGAGGCATATCTTCCAATACCACCTTTATTCTCAGCTCCAGCTAGAGGTAAATCTCCATTTTAATTCCTAAGTATATGAAATCTCCTTCCTTGAAATGTTTCTGAACACTCAAATGCTTCCAGTGGTTTGACAGATGAAGATGAGATTATGAAATACCTTGAAAGTGATATAATAGAACCAAAGCCAGTCTTAAATCTTCCTATGGAGAAGCGCATGTTATACTCTGATAGAGAACTTACTGCAAGTGCTACCCACAAGGGCTTCATTTCCAATACTGACTTACTAGAGTTGAACCCATCCTTAAATGAACCTATGGAGGATAACGTATACTCTGATGGCGACTGTATAGTGAATACCAGTCAGAGGGGATTAATTTCTAATAGTTTTTCAACTGAAAGACATCATCCTATTGAGGAACCCTGGTTACTCCAATCACCTCTCTTCTTTCTTGTGTCCAAGGATAAGATGGGTTCTGATATGTCCAAAAAGAATGGCGGCATGAAAGATTGTGTGGCAAATTTGGACGATGCAGGACAATCGTTGCCTGAAGAAAGAAATAATCTAATTTCGAATGAACCTGTGTCTACCATTATACTGATTAATTCTTCTATATGTACCATGCAAAGGATAGCTCTACTGGAATATGGGAAATTGGTTGAGTTACTACTGGAACCCGTTAAAAGTACAGTGCAGTGTGATAGTGTGTATCTAGGGGTGGTTACAAAACTTGTCCCCCATATGGGTGGTGCATTTGTAAATATTGGGAGTTCCAGACCCTCACTAATGGACATTAAACAAAACAGAGAACCATTCATATTTCCGCCATTCCGTAGGACAAAGAAAATGGAAGCCAATGGTTATATGCTTGATGATCACGTGAATGCATATGGAAATGAACGCATGCCACTTGATTACGAAGTGACTGACGACATCATTGAAATCAACTCTCAGGATGATTTTGTAAAATCCATTCACGATGTTGATGATGATGATGATGATGATGAACATGAAATTGAGGATGAATTTGATGTTTCAGATGTTAAGGAAAACGTGAATGGTAGTATGCTTGACACTGGTGATGTGGGAAATGATTATCTAACAGGTGACACTAGTGCTATTCCTGTTGCCATAAATGGTTCTAGCAGTTCTCAAATGTCTCACCTCCAAAATAAGAAGAATGATGCAAATATTATCGCTAATGAGAATAAGTGGGCTCGAGTTCAGAAAGGCACCAAAGTTCTTGTACAAGTTGTCAAAGAGGGGTTGGGTTCAAAAGGTCCCACACTGACTGCTTATCCAAAATTGAAAAGCAGATTCTGGGTATGTTGTGATTCACCATTATCCTCCTTATTAAACTCTAACCGTTCCTAAATATTTATTTTATGAATATATAAACACCTCTGAATCCCTTGGCTTGCAGATATTATTAACTCGATGTGATAGAATTGGAATCTCCAAAAAAATTGGCGGTGTTGAGCGTACACGATTAAAAGTCATAGCAAAAACTTTGCAGCCTCTGGGTTTTGGTTTGACTGTAAGGACTGTTGCTGCTGGCCATTCTTTAGAGGAGCTGCAGAAGGATTTGGAAGGTCTGGTTTCAACTTGGAAAAGTATTACGGAACATGCAAAATCTGCAGCACTTGCTGCAGATGAAGGTGTGGAAGGGGCCATTCCTGTTATTCTACACCGGGCAATGGGTCAGACGCTCTCAGTTGTCCAGGATTATTTTAATGAGACGGTGACTTTCCATCATTTATATCAAAGTCATTTTGCCAATTGTTTGTTTCATTTTTCATGATTTGTTTTACATGAATCTTTTAGTCTTATCCCCTAAATTGCATTCTTTATTATGGATATTTCAGGTTGAGAAAATGGTTGTTGACTCTCCAAGGACATATCATGAGGTATGACATAAACTGTCGTAGAGGACTATTTTACTGGACTGAAAATTGTGCGTGCAGTTTTTGAGATGAGAGGAATGTGTGTGTGCATGTGTAGCATCTCATATTTCCAGAATAAGTTGATTGGTTCTATATCTCTAATGATTTAACCTTTTCTAATTGCACAAGTCTAGTCACTTGGTTTCTGAAGATCTTTTGTCCTTACTTTTTTAATTTTCTTTTAAATTACTCTTTTAAATTACTAAGAAGTCAACTTTTACCACACTTTCCAGGTTACCAGTTACCTTCAGGAGATTGCCCCCGATCTTTGTGATCGAGTTGAGTTGTACAACAAAAGAATTCCTCTTTTTGATGAATTTAACATCGAAGAAGAGATCAACAACATGCTTAGTAAAAGGTGAGGGGCAGACAATATTACTTATGTTGGCAGTTGTCACAATTTTCTAGCTCTGCAGATGCCTATTAAGCCACTTGTTAATGTTTGTTCTATGATTTCTTCATATTTCTTGGCTTACAGGGTTCCACTTGCTAAGGGAGGCTCTTTAGTGATCGAGCAAACTGAGGCATTAGTCTCTGTCGACGTGAATGGAGGACATGGGATGTTTGGTCATGGGACTTCACAGGAGAAAGCTATTTTAGAAGTCAACCTTGCAGCTGCTAAACAGGTATGCTAGATGCTGAACTCTAATTACCACTTTTGGCATTGTTTTCCTTGTACGGACAAGCAATTTATACATTTCCCTGTAGATGATAGCATACTGATCTGTGTGGGTTTCTTCTTTTTCTATGTCAAACTATAACATGGTAACTTGCTCTGTTACCATGTTATAACTCATTCTTCAAAACTGGCATAGATTCTCCTATTTATCCATCTAAATGGTGAATCTTTGCAATACTTGTTTGACAGAGAAAACTGTGTTTCAGATTGCAAGGGAGTTACGACTGAGAGATATCGGTGGCATAATTGTGGTAGATTTCATTGATATGGTTGATGAATGTAAGTCGAAGTCTCTCCCTCTCTTGTAGGTGTGTGTGCATGATTGACATATTTAGGCATGGCCCGTGCATGGGAGTTATTTTTTTCAAATGCTTGAAACTTACGCAGCCTATGACGTTTGAGCCTAATTCTGTTCCACTTTAGGATTGATATCAAGGCTATTCACATTAACTTGTAGAGAATCTGCATACCAGCTGCCAGACATATGCCCCTAAAAGTTATGAACTGAATGAGGCTTAAACTATAAAACTAAAGAAATGCCCAATCAACAGTCATGTTGCTCTGCTAATAAATTTTGCAGGAGGTTGTAACACAAACATGTATGATAGAATTTTCTACAAATATAAATAATAGCAAAGTCGATATTTAAGGTTGCCTAACTATCCTTTTATCAAACTTAGAAGGCATGATGTATGGTCCAGGGCAACTTCTAAAAGGTTTGGTTACATAACTGAGTTGGTCCTTAAGATTGAAAGAAACTTAGAGATCTTCATGTTTGTATGGGGAAAGGGAGGCATTTTTAGAAACTTTTTCTTAAATTTCTATCATTCTATTTTGAGAACTGCAATATTTACTGATGAATTCTATTCGGCACTGCCTTATTTTCAGCAAATAAGAGATTGGTCTATGAAGAAGCTAAGAAGGCTGTTGAGAGAGATAGATCAATGGTTAAAGTCTCTGAACTTTCGAGGCATGGACTTATGGAAATAACAAGAAAGCGAGTATGTTGCATTAACGCGGCTCACACTTTCCTGCTACTTTTCATTATCAGTAAAATTTTAAAGAGCAATATGAAATTACAAATAAATAGAGTATTCAATATTCATTAATTTAAATCATGGGGGCAACATGAAAATCTTCACAAGGTTTATATATCAACTGGAGAAACTTGGCTCAATGATTTATGAGCTCGATCCGGCTCAATTGTTTTATCTGATGATAGATTGCATCATGTTGGACAGGTACGACCTAGCGTGACATTTATGATTAGTGAACCATGCACCTGCTGCCATGCCACTGGGAGAGTAGAAGCATTGGAGACCTCCTTCTCCAAAATTGAACAAGAAATTTCTCGATTACTGGTACGTGAAGTTGTAGACTACTAGGCATACATTGCTTTGTATGCATATAAATTTGAAAAATGCAGCACCAGAAACACTTGGAAAGAAACCTACTAGTAATTCCATGTAATTGCAATTCTTCCAATTTTTAATTTTCCGCTTAAGAAAATTATTTTTGAAACTTTTATCAGGCGATGATGGAACAGAGACCAGACCCAGAGAACCCTAAATCCTGGCCAAAATTTATTCTGAGAGTTGACCATCACATGTGTGACTACTTAACTTCTGGGAAAAGGACAAAACTTGCATTCTTGAGCAGTTCCCTCAAAGTTTGGATTCTACTAAAGGTATGTATGATTGGAGGGTGTTCTTGATTCAGATTCTGAGTTTCTGTTCAACATATGCATGAATGATTCCAATGACACTACCCTCTTATGAAAAGTGACCTCGGTAGTATGCAAAGTGCATGAGCGAATAACGGTTAAAAGTTGCTTTTCTTAATTGTCCAAAGAACATTTAAATTGAAATTTAAGTTGCTAGTATAGGAGAAATTTTTGCTTTATCACTGATTGTAATCTCTTCAGGTTGCTAGAGGTTTCACCAGGGGTGCATTTGAATTGAAACCATTTACAGATGAAAGGGCACACAAAGATCAGCGGCAAGTAACCATTCCGATGTTACGGCCTACAGAAACCAGAACTAACAATCCTGGCAAAAAAGTGACCTTGTTTCCAGTCAAAAAGTGGAAGGCCGGTGGAAAATGATATTTGCCACATTGATGTGCATTTGTTTTGTTAACAGACCAGAACCATTTCTTTTTTATTTTTTGACGTTATTATATAAGAGGAGGATGTAGAGAGAGGAGAAAGAGGAGAGGAGAAGGTTGGCATTGACCTGTTTCACTAGATGGCATTTTGTTGATAATAGCCTGTATTTTGCTTGGGTAGGCTGGTCCATCCAATATGAACTTCAGAACTACTTAGTTCACATTGTAGGAATGCTACGCCAAGTTTTGTTACCGGGAACTAGTAGCATTTTCAAAAGCGAAGCTATATATTGTCACGCAAATTCTTGTTGGTTACTGGAGAACTCATTTACTTTGTTCAGTCTTCTTTGTCTACACTAATATTTCAACAAACTCAAAGAAAAAAACAATACACAACCCAATATGAAATTATTCAATACACAGAGGGGTAGAGATTGACATCAAATAAAACTCAAGTTCAACTTGAGACTTGTAAAATTCGAAGTGATGAAATATCGATAGTTGCTTCTTCTACAAATAAAAAACTCATGACAAAGCTACTTAATGCTGAAACTATCTGTGGAGGCTTACAATTTCTCAAATGCAACACATAAAAATAGCTAAACAGTACACGTGGATATCGGCAATGTAGCAAATGGCAAAGTCTCGAACTAATCTGTGGGGATTAACTGGTCGCAGTGCTGCAGGTGTTGATGCCATCCTTGCAATCATTGGTGAGATCATTGAATGTTTCTATCTGTTTTTTCCCTCTCAAGAACACCTCTGTATCAACTGACACTCTCATGTAACCATCAAATTCAACTGGAACTCCATTGTTAAGCTTTGTTGTGTCGAAGTACCACTCACTGTTTTCATCCCAAAGATCCTTGTACTCGTCAAGGAAATGAGTGGTATACTTGTCCTTCAAAGGGTCAAAGAAAGATGTATCTGGTTCGTTTGTTGCAATGTAGAGGTTCCTTCCATCTTCAATTTTGTCCTGCAGGGTTGAGAGAAGTGCATTAGGTGAAGTATCTGCATCAAGATTAGGCCAAAGCTCCTTGTTATGTGCCTTCTCTCCTCTTTCAATATGCACAGAATCATAATCCCAGTTCAATTTTGATGAGATTGCAGACACTATATCCATTAACCTTCTCGATTTCCATATCAAATGCCATGGTCGTTGAACAACAGACTCCGTTTCCCCTTCACACACCCTATACCAATAATTGTCTGGCTCCACGGACCCGAACTTTCTCATAATCAAAGCATCCTTGACGTCATTAAGTTTCATAGGTGTGACCCTAAAATCCTCCACAAGATGAAGATTCAACCCATCTTTCTTCTGCCATTTCTCCCAATCTGACCAGAACTGCTTTGCGTCTAATACAGATGCAGACTCTCTTAAATGCTCAAAGTCAAAGTAAAACCTGAAATCCTTCCCTTCCTCATCTTGATTCGACGAAGTGTACATTGAAGACAGACAAATATTCAATTCCATGACCAAAGTTCGGTTCAGGTATTGCGCTTCACCTAAAGCACACAAGAAACTCCACAAGTAATGGTTCATGCTCTTGCACCTATCTCCACCACCCATGTAAACTAAGTACTTCCCACGACTAAATGAACCTTCAGACTCAACCACCGGAAGGGTATCATTCACAATCTCCCCCACAACTGGCAAAGAATTCACCTCCTTCTTCCCATTCTTCTCAAACCCAGGCTTCTGATTCTTCTTCCTCTTCCTGGCATTTACTCCAGTATGGTACTCTCCAATGTCACCAACACTAAGAGTACAATTTTCAGACTTCAAAATAGTAAACCTCCTGTAATCCTTGTAAAAGGAAGCAGTCTTCCCTTCCTTAGGCCTAAACCGCCAAGCCATATCACAACTGTTATCATCCGAACCCTGCGCAGGTTTCCCAAACCGGTAAAAATGAATATCCTTAAATTTTTCAATGGTGGCCCTCATCAACAAATGGAACACTTCCGGGTCCCGGCAATCTATGGGACCCTCACAGCTAGAAGATGCGGCCCCAGAAGCGTCACTGATCGTGTTATCACCCTCGCTTAAGTTAACAACATCAGTCATATTGATAAAGGTTGCAAATTCAGTTTGATTGGGAGCCATGAAATTCTCACCAGTCCTGACCACAGTGTCATCGGATTTGAAAGTGGCATTGGATTTGGATGTTAGGAAAGTGGTGATCTTGGTTGATGGGTGAAACAAAGGGTCTTCAGGTTCATAGGTGGCGGCAATAATGGTGAAGATCAACACTCCGAGCACAAAAAACGTGAAGCAAAGGTTTCCAATCAAGGCAAGGGCATTTGGGCCCAAATTCTCAGGCCTAAAGCTTCCAGTTCTGGAAAATGAGGACCGACCCAACATTTTTTGGAACCAGAAGCTTAAGCTAAAACCACCCAAATCTACTATCTAGCAGAAAACAAAAGTACCCAGATAGCCAAATCGCCTAAGAACGAAGAAATGGCCAAAGACCTATGGTTTTTAGATAATGGGATTGAAAAAGAAGAGATTCTTTTTTATTTGACTTGTTTATTTTCAGATCTCGAAGCTAATGCGAAATGGGATTTGAGAGATCTACCAATTGAAGAAATGTATGAAGCCAAAGACTAGCAGATAAGTGACGGTCAGAGAAAAGAGAGTTTATAGATTTGTCAGGATTACCTTCTGTTTCATATGAAGGTGAAGCTAAAACCATCAAGAAAGTTTCATCACCATTTTTGTCTTCTCTATCAACTTCGCTTCTCTGTCTCCAGTGTGAGTGTGGTGTGGGTGTGGGCTGTAGGCAGCTGCTGGATTTCTCAAAGTCTGAGGCTTGTGAGCGTAGTCAATAAGACAGATTGTTAGAGTGCGCAAGGGGCGCACTGCGCCTATCCACTGCGATGTCTCCACGTGGAAGATACGACTACGTGGAAGGAGATGACAGGATTGGCGTATTGCGCGTCCTGGTTAACAATTAGCTTTTATGCGGTTTTTATGACGAGATTTATGAAATGAAGATTAGGAAAATATAAAAAAGTACCGGCTTTAAGTAGTTCGGTGTTTACTGAAGGGAGGTGTCTACTTCATAACAACTGCAGACACACCGACAGTGGCAAAGATGTAATTAGCTTGTTGGAGACTTTACTGCAAGTCTAACACTTGGCTACTTTAATAATGTTAAAAAAGCTTTGTTTAGAGCTAGAAATTTACTGAGGGAAATGGCTTGTTCAATAATTGATGAAATATTTTAAGCTCCAACATGTCAAACCTTACAGGAATTTTTGTTCTGAAAGGAAAGCATAGGAGATTTCCTAAATTGGATGGATCATGGAGATGGGTGTCACATGGTAAGGTTGGTGCTTCACTCTCTGTAATGTGATGGTGGATAAGGATTATGTGGTACTAAATAGAAAACAGCCCTTCAGCTGAAGTACATAGAGAATGGGCTCCAGCCTACCATATGATTCATAAGCCCATCTCCAATTTGCAGAAAAACTTGTGTTAAACGGGGATAGCAGTGTTTTGTTACTCCAGGCCAATCATAGTATGTCTGTTTCATACAAGTGTTTCTCCCAATTTTGGAGTTGCTTTGAATACAAGGTTTGCTCAAGTTTTGCACATGTGATGAGATTGCCACCCAGCCACAGCCTTTATTTTCACTTGTGGTAAGAAGAAATGTGCAGTAAAATAGCAGAGTAAATTTTTATATATACATGACCAAAGTTGAGAGATATACAATGGACCCCCATAATGCCACTTGATCACCCCCTACTCTAATCCAAGATTTCAACCCCAGTGATTTAGCAGGGTGCAGAGTTTTAACTGCCCAAACAAATACATAGATTCAGATTAAAACTCTAACCCAGTGTTTTGTGAAACTCCTACAGCCAAAAAGATATATATTATGTAGACTGCGTATTGGAAGGTGTACAAGATGCAGCTCTCTGCTGGATGCGGCTCATGCTATGCTCCATGCTTCTTTTAACCATGTCTTGCAGTAACCTCTTTGCAGTTTCAGCAGCTTTATCAGCTCCATCAACCCTTGTGGCAATGTCATATACAATTCTCTCCAAAACTGAGGACGCCAATTGCTTTTGCTGGGGAGAATCTCTAAGCAAATCTAGCAGTGTACGAGCTCTCTCCCGAGCTTCAGCTGTGCCATCTACAGTCAATCGAAGCAGGCCTGGGACTGCACCTTCGTTAAGAATGAGTTCCCGGTATTTATCTCGGCAGCTCTGACACATAGAAAGCAAAGCTCCAACCGCGTGTTCTGTGCTCATAAGAGATCCATCTTCAACAGTTTCTACTAAGGTTAATATCCCACCATCTGAGTTTGAGATTGCAATACGCCCTTCTTCAGAGTTGGATAGGATTTCAAGAAGGGCACTAGTTTTTTCGGCAAACTTGGAATACTTTTTGCATTCTTTGAGAAGGTTGATAAGAGGGGGAACGGCTGTAGCATCCAGAATATCAGTTGAGTTCTCTTGACAGGTAGAGAGGTTGTGTAGGGCAGTCACAGCATCAACTTTTCCTTGAACACTTCCAGAGCTGAGGATCTCAACCAGGAGAGGTGCAGCTCCAGAATCTGCAATAATTGGCTTGTTCAGTGCAGCAGCTGAGAGTGTTAAGATTGCTGCAGTGGCTAAATCCCTTAAACTACCATTTTGGAACTTGAGGAGCTCAACAAGAGGAGGGACGGCTCCAGCTGTCACAATTTTGACCTTGTTTCTAATAAACATCAAACAAGGACCCAATCAGACATACTGACAACTTATTTGAATATTTTACTAGTAATAGCCATTACCTAAGATGAGGGTAATGGGCAGAGAGCAAAAGATTGCAGAACTAGTGAGCACTTAAAATTCACATATAATAATGTAACAACACCTATCACACTGAAGCTCACATGATACACAGTTAAGAAGAATCCTGACATTAACGAGAAAAAACAAAAGGACTGGAGGCCTGATTTTTTTGGTATCAGAATGCTCGTGCAGCATTAAGAGAGAAATAATAGTATGGGAGTTTCCCAAATTCAGAACCTGATTCCGAAAACTTAAACAGCATTAAAATACAAAGATTTATACTTCGATAAGAAAGTTCTCTCCATTAACTACCACATAGATATTCATTTCCATATTTACAAAGAAAAACAAACGAAGACAAAATTAAAACGATAACTAAACTTGACTGCCTCACCCCCTTCAACAGAAATTTTATCCTAACAAAGCCATCTCATTTGTCCAGGCTTGGGTATTCCGTCTCATTTGCTGCATAACAAATCTTCCAAAAGAAAGGGTAGGAATCAAGATCCAGTTGGATCTTCCAGTGTATCAGTAACACGAAGATGAAAAATGGTTGAAAATATGCTCTCTTTCTCAAGTAGTTTGACACACTAAAGTACTGTCCTTTCTCTCAATTTTTCTTTAATGACCAACATGGCAGAAATTTCCCTAAATTGGATTGAAAGGAGCTAATTCTTCCCTCAAGTAGCAACTTTTACTAGTATCAAATCTTTTGCCCAACCCCAACTTCCTCAGTAACTAAAAAGAGGACAAAATCACTTTATCTACATTTCCTACATCTCTCTCTACCCCAGCTAGTAAATAAAGAAGTGATCAAATCCACATAATTATGGACAGCGAGGACTCTTATTGAATCCAGAAGCTCAATCGAGAAAACACCAAATACAAAACCACCTCATCAAAATCCATTTGGTTGCTAGGAAATGTGAACAATTCTTTTCGTTTTTGTTATCAAAATCAAGAACTAGCAACCCCATGTAAGAAAAACAAAATGCCCATATCATATCATCTGATTTCATCTCCAATAAAACAAAAAGACAATCCCAGAACAAAAAGGGTTTCGCACTTTCCCTTGTTACCATTTCACAGCAACAAAATGAGCAAAAAGATGCAAAAACCCATCAACAAAATTGGCATAAACCAGTCTCTCACAGCCCATCAATGAATAAAACACAAAGTAATCTGAAGCCATGGAAACAAAATTACCGTTCATTGCGGACAGCGAGGTTGAGGAGAGCGAGGAGAGAGACTTGGCGTGCATCTGGGTTAGGAGAGCACAGCATCAACACCAAAGGTGATATCACACCAGCCGCGCCCAACTTTGAGCGGGTCTTTGAAGACAAAGACGATGACGAAGAAGAAGACTTTCTGACCAAGTTTCTGATATCTCTGGCGGCTTCAATCTTGGCCTCCAGATCACCATGGACGAGCTTTGAGGAGATTTCAAGTATAAGGGTTTGCTTCCTTTGGTTCCATGTCTCTACCTCCTCCTTCTCTACCACTTCTCTTGTTTCTTCTTCTTCTTCTCCCACTCCCACTGAGCTTTGCTCCTCCTGTCCCATCTCTCTCTCTGACGCTCTTCCTTCGTCTCCCCGTCTCTTATGTTTAGAATAAGAGGAGTCTTTTTATTTTCTGATTTTTTTTTCCTTTTATTTTATGATCTTTTTAGATTTTCTTTTTCAGATTCATAACATTCCTGCAACCAAAACCAAACGAATCATTTCACCAAAAAACCATATGATCTATAACATTATTTTCCATTTTAACACTAGCAACGAACTAAAGAGATTTGCTAACATCAGTTGTTTACACATGTATAATCAAATAATTTATACCGTTCCAAAAATATAAAATCGTAGATACAAAAATACTCAATGAATACATTTCCTTTTGAAACTTTTTATTTCATGTGAGTATGAGTATGAATCCTTGATGTGGAAGAGAAGTTTACTTCACACAAGCTCAAAAATGATTACTGAATATTGATTAGGTATTAAGACAAAAATTAATGTAGGCATGGTGATGGTGAGTAGGATTATAAAAATGAGGGTGGTGGTCTACAAAATATTCTGCGGTCGCAAGAATATATGGAGGGAAGACCAAACACCCGAGCCAGGACAACCACTACATGTCCAAATTACACCTACCAAAGAAATACCCACAACTCTTGGTCATTTTAAAATCATGCAAAAGAAGAAAACTATTTTAATCCACTTGTTTTCTGTGAAGAATTTATTTGGAATATTTCTTGTCCTTTTTTGTATAAAAATCTAAAAAAATGTACACTGACCATAACGTTTTTGTCTATACGGTAACTTTTTTGTTTTTCCTTTTTATTGTTTTATCTGGTAAAACCATTGGTTTGGCTGTAAACCAATGCAGTCAATACTAAACACCAGTTGGTGCCAAACATCTTTTTTTTTAATTTAAAAAAAAAGACATTTCTTATTGAGATGAGCGATAGTATATTAAACTTACACATATTATACGGATGTTAGGACTCGAATCCTGAACCTTGCCTGAAGGAATAAATACTCCAAACCACTACACTAATGAGTTCTTTGCATGCCAAAAACCTTCCGAAAACATGCATTTACTGTTAGTAAAAGACGTGAGAAATTAAAACATAATTTATGTGTTATACCGCATATGCCATTGTTAAAGATGCCCAAATGATTATTTCTTGTTTAAAATTACGAGGAAACGGTTTAAAATTTTACATAAGAATATGTTTTCTTTTGGAAGATCTATATGTATTTTGTCATATGTCTGGTTTTCTGTGTTGTTAGACTGAAATTTCCACTATCTTGTCTTCAGGAAGATAAATTACATGATACTGAATTGTTTTATCAAAATATGTGTGCTCATAACTTATAATTTCAAAAAAACAAAAAAACATGTAGCTAATCTGTTGTAGTAATTAAGTACAAACAAGTTACATGATTTGGGATCAAAGAAAGGAGGGCTGCCATGTCATGGCACTTCTCACCGTTCTCTTCCTTCCATGAGATTGAGAACTTGAGCTCTCACCTGAAGTTGAGTGCTCCATTTCACCAGCCTTGTACCTGTGCTTCACATCAATGCCAGTAAATGTCACATGTTTCTTCCCAACACTTTTTTGTCTTCCAATGCTGCTGCAGGTAGAAGAAGAGTCACTCAGCTCACCAACTGCACCTTGTTTCCGTTGCGAAATTGTGTGACTTGAGACGTCCTTGGAAGACTGAGATACATAACAATTGAAAGAAAATTCTTTGTTGGGTTTTCTTATTCTGCGCCGGAGTTTCCTCACAGTTCGACGAGGAACTAGGAGGACCTTTTGGCCAGGAGTGAGGATCTCGTCAACTTTCACTATCGAATCCCAAGGCCGCCTGAAGACTTCAGGCCTGGCTAGCAAGAAAGAGGGGTACTTCTCCAGTATCTTGGCTGCAGGAATAGCCATGTAGTAGCTCTCAACATGTCCACCTGCATGGACAATCTTCAAGATAGAAGTACCACCGTCCTCTGGCCGTGACTCTGGCTGTGTTGCCGGGGCTTGCTTATGCAGCGCATGCCGCACAAATGGCTTGAGTTTATGGACATTAAGCAACTTATGGAGCATGTCTACTTAGCTATGGTTCTACAGTTAGAAATTTATGGTAGCAGTCTAGCACAGAAACACTTTGCTTCCTTTTAAGTTTAAACATAACGCACATCGATGAACACAAGAAGCAAAGCTTAGTATTTCTTCCGATTGGGCCGAGTTTAAGTCAACAATGTTGATAAAGTAAAGGACGAATCTAGGAAGGATAGCGACGGATAGTGAGTGGCTGGCTTTGGCTTTGGCTTCGCTTTGCGGCCTGCAGCTCATCTCAAGAGGCAAGCATGTCACAAAGAACAGTTTATACTGTCAAGTTGGCAGTCATTTGGTATAATTAGGCCACAAAACATCAAACTAATCGCACTGCTTGTACTCATTTGCGCAAACTTACTGATCAAATAGTCACTCATCCCCGAGCTCGACCAATCAAGCATGACACTCTTCAATCATAAACCTTTTTGTGTGTGAAAAATTGCATCTGTAAACACTCAATTCCGCACATGGAATATGGGTCACCATGACGATAAGTGGTCTAAATTAGTGGATATTACAAAGAAAGTAGAACGCATATATCAAAAGGGGTTATTCTGCACTGATATCAGAATCCAACTACATATTTTTCCTTCGAACACAAGAAATTCGCCTCAAAACCCTGCAAACTACGAGATGCCTCAGCAATGCCAGAGTCAACTAATACAATTGACATGTTTGTTTCTGTTATACCAAATACAACAGTCCAATACAGATTTTTCTTGCTATCAAAATTCACTTTACAGGTAAGACAACAGAAAGACAAGAACAATGGAATGGAAATTCTTCACCAGCCTATATCTTACCTTCCAGAACCCTATAAAATCTCAGATATAGAAGCGAAAGAATGAAAGAGATTCTCACCACTCGAAAGTAAATTCTAAGTTTGAAAACTTTAAAAAAGATGAGTAGAAAAAACAGAGAGACAGGAAGGGGAAGAGACGAGAGAGGACTTCAAACTATGAAATGGGAAAAATGGCAACACCATAAAGCAGCAGAAAGAAAGAGAAGATCTGCCACGCCTACCTTGACTAACTAAAACGGTCAATATCAGTTACAGGTGGATTGCACCTTTTATGTCCTCAACCCAAACAATCAGAAGATACTATTGGCAATTTTTTTTCCAGCCTCCTTTAACAGATTTACACTCAAATCTAAGCCAACTTGTATCTTCTTGATGTCTTCCTCTATCCAAACTAGTTGGAGTTGTCCAAAAGAATTCCCAAGATTGGACTTGCAATTCTTGTTTTGAAGTTTACAAAAACTCAAATTTTTGTTTCAGTAGTTACTCGGCCAGTTGATCTGTGCATGCTGAGGCTGCTGATAAACACTGCCCCCAGGTCCCACCATGTCAACAGCCCCAGCCATGGTCTGGGACTGTTGCAGAAGTGGATGAACAGTGGCTGCTGTTACTGCTTGTGCAGGGTGGTAGATACCAGCAAAGGTGCCGTGGCCAGCCTGTGTTGGGGTGAAAGTCACATGCTGACCCTGTGGGGGAAGGTTGTAAAATGAACTTGTTAAGCTGGACATTTCTCGGCCAGGTGCAGCAACCCACACAGAAGATCCTTCACTCTGTAGAAAAGCAATTTGTAAATGTCAAGCAAGCAATGATATCAAGGGGGAAAATGGAAGGACTAGATGCTCTAATAAACATGAAGGGAAGATGGGAAAACCCAGTACTCTCTAAGACTAATAACTATTTGTACCACTTAGGAATGATGAGCCTCTACAAATTCATCGGAAAGAAAGAAGTAGAGATATTTAAAACCCAAGCACAAAGAAAGTATACAGGAGCACCAAAACATGCACACAAAAAACGTCCCAAAAAAGTAAAGAAGCAGAGATATTAAGAAAAAAGCATCCCCAGGAAAGAATCCTTTTATCTGTATTAACCAAAAGTTCCGCTTTGTAAAACATCCTATTGTCCCTTTCCATCCAAATTTACCAACAAAGTAAACAAATTAAGGAAAAGCAGGCTCTGACTTTTATTGCAATTATTTAACATCCGGCAACAACAACAAAAAAGGTACGGAAAAGATAAAAACCAACCTGCTGGCCCGTCATGTATACGTTACTTTCCTTGAACTGAGATGTGCTCAGATCCTCATTAGCAGTAGAGTTTCCCGCTGTTGTGGCAGAACTGGGATTATAACCAGCTGGGGAGGAGCCATATGGTCCATAACCACTTGCCATTCCGATATGAGCAGAGTTCCCTGTATTAGTCCCCGTTTTGTATTGTGGCAGTGAGTATTTGACTCCTGTGGCAGCTGCTGCTGGAGGAGCTGGATACACACCACCAGCTTGAGGTTGCTGAGGAAATGCACCATTGCCCAAAAATTGGTGGATGGCTGGAGGTGGAACATAGAATGGGGAAAAATAGTGACTGTAGGGAATGTAATTAGGAGCATAATGAGATATGTGCATCCCGGCTGGCGGTCGAAAGACAGGAACTTGCTGCTGAGTTACACCTATCGAGCTTTGCACAAGCCCAGAAGCCTGTGTCACCAATGGTGTTGGGCCAGCTGCAGATAGAACCCCACCCTGCAAATAGCCATATAGTAGCATCAAAATAAAGGAAACATCTATAAAACTAACTCGTCACCTAGGTGTGTTAGTAATGCAAACCTCTTGTGGAGACTGAGAACTTGGAGGCAATACTGCAACATTCCCATTGTACTTGGAGGAAACCCCATGAGAAGGAAAAGGAGAAAGGCGGCCGTCACTATCAGCACCTGAGCGGTAAAATTGGGCATAATAACTTGCTGGGTCAAAGGGTGGTTGTACCTATGGACACATAGTTATGATCGCCATCAAATGATTGCAAAATCAAAGAAAAGTCAATCAAGAAGGAACATCTAATAAAAAATAAAGAATATATATTAAAACTATTCTCTAGTGCGGATGTCCGGATACTTCTTAATGTCCGAACTCGTTTTGTTTTTTTGCATGATCAGAATTCATTCATTCATTCAATGGGAAGGAAACCATTTCCAATTTGTTTTGTGTACCTCTCTTCTTTTCAATATTGTTGTCATTAATAAAAAGGCATTGAAGCACATAAAAAGCGTCCCAGTTCTCTCTACAGGCCATCAATGGAGGAAAAGCCCAATCTAGAGGTGATGTTTGACTTTTTGGTATTAGCAGAGCATGGTTTCTATTCTACTAGTACCAAGAAAAGTGAGAAAAGTATTTGAGTTGATTTATTAGCACAAAGAATGCAAAAAAACAATTAGTCCGGACATTAGAAAAATATGGATGTTCGCATTAGAGAACAGGGTTTAGGGAAGCTTAAGTTTGAGAGCTGTTTTATTATATAAGCAGTTACAATATAGGAAGGTCTCATAAAATGGGAAGCTAAGTTTGAGAGCTCACCACAAAGCTTGGAAGGCGAGAAATATCTCGTGGTTGAGACTCAGAGTTTTCAAATGGCGCAAGCTGACTCCCCAAAATTGGGGGCACAAACCCAAAACTGTAGTTTGGGGAAGTATGAGCCACAGAGAACTGATGGCCTCCAGACGGCAATGCAGTGTCATGCTTGGATTCATTCTGTCCTTGGGTTGCACTGGATGAGACGTCACCCTCACCAGATGATATATTTTCAGGTACATGAGTAGGTGATTGCGGATGATCAGGATAATCATCCTCATTGGCAGTTGCCAATGCATTTTGATTGCTGGATCCAAGATATAAAAAATAACAATAATAAAACAGCATCAGCACAATTTCGCTACAGAGAGATTATATGGTATACCACAGTAGATAAAAATGCTGGGATCAGAAATATGTTTGTTGTCAAAGTTACAAGCACTACACTATAATTGCTTAAACCCGAACAGAGGCTACACAATTACTTGCTTGAAAATGAGCTTTATTGCATGATTAGGCTCTGATAAAGGGTATTAGTTTACCAATAATCCCAAAGCACAAGCTGTTAGGATGTGGGTGAGCAATAATTTTATATTCTGACACACCCCTTCAAATTTGGGCCTCACTCTACAACTAAAGTCCAACACTAATTGCAAGGATTTGAACTCAAGATTTCCTGCTCTGATGCCATGATAAGGTTTGGTGGTTTACCATTATTCCCAAAATCTTAAGTTGAAAGGGAAAAGGTCAACTATCAATATCAAGCCAGGTCAAATACAAGCCAAAAAGCTTTGATGAGACAAAATGCGCCAAAAATCTGGGGCAATAATTCAATTTTCTACATCCAAAAAGTTCCTTGCAAATGACCTACCCTTATTTTTATTGACCACCCTAGTATTCGACAGAATGAATTTCCTGATACTACTAGTTTTATTAATGTTGTATTGCCTGAGGAGAACAAGTAGAGAATTTAACCAATAAGGGAGGTAAAAATAAAAACAATGCACCTAGTCTCAGGCAAACTTAAATATACAGCATTGATATGATACAGTAAAGTAAATAATCATCATTACAAACCTTGATAACTGTTCCTCCACAGCTTCTTCAATAACCTGAGAAGTTTCAGACCGAGGTGTTGAGCTCTTATCAGTCTCAGGACCACTGACATAGCCACTAGTCATGCCAAAGGTAGCACCAAAACTTCCAAAACTCAACTTGGTTCTTTCAGATTCAGGAACATGGATGTGATTTGGAAGAATAACTGTTTTGCGCTGGGGAAGGTGCAACTCTTCTAGCTTCCTCTGCAATTTTGAAGTTGCTTCTTCTGAATCAAGGACGCTTGAAACAGACTGTGACTGGGAAGGGGCCTTTACAGAATCAGCAGGAACCTCAGATGCGACAGCAGTACCAGCTGTTCCTTGACCTTGAACAACAGTGGAATTTACAGGTTTTGGTTTCCACTCCTTGTTGGTACCAACTGCTGAAGACAATCATACATCACACAAAGTTTGCACAAGTCAAAAACTATCATAAGCATTAAAGAAATAATAAACATCAAGTCATCAGGTGTTTTTTTTTACCAACAAGGCAAATAGATATAGCTTTTCTATTAGGGCAGAAAATTATCCTGTGTGACAATACAAATTATCTCCAAAATTACAAAAGACTGGACTAACTCCGATTTCTTTCTTTGCAAAGGAGAAATGAAATATCTAACAGTGAACTACCCAATACTGACCAAAGCAAAGCAGAGAGACAACACTATTCGTCAAGCAGAAAATCATGTTCAAATTTCAAAGAATGTCAGCCAACCATTCTAAGTGTACCATTGTTAAGTAGATTCTCTTGTGTAAGAATCAAAAGTTATTACCAACAGAGAGACACAGAACGACCGATAGTGCAAGGACAATTATCAATGTTTTGAATGCTTCAAACAGATTAGAACAACTTCAATATTAAGTTGAGAGATTTAGTATAATGCAAAAGCACATCAATAAAATAACAAAAGCAAAAGGTGGGTCATCATATTTTCCTCTCTTTTTTTCCTCTTTTCTTATGGAAGCTGCTTGGGTTGGAGGTGAAGTCTAACTATTAACACAATCCCTAATGTCTCAAAAACCCATATGAACTCTTGACAGTTTCAAGTACCCAACATAATTATTAAGACAATAAATATATAGGGGAGTACACACAACAAACAAAACCAGTATCATACCTTTTTGAGTGCCAACTGATTGTTGTGACCGGCTACTGTAATTAGATGATGGCCGACTACCCGAACTGCCATGAGTGGATGTAGATGAAGGGTGTGAAAGATCAGCAAGCTGACTTTTCCCAACTCCCTGTGTTTTGCTTGCCACTTTTCCTGGTGCTTGAGAGCTACCAATCTCAGAAGCTGCAATAGCATCATTCAAAAATGCTAAGACAAGTTATAATTCAATACTCGCTGCGCGGGGGATAGTCTATCAAACTAAATTGAATTTCTAAAATTCTAGATCAGCAATTAAATTGATCTCAATAATTGCATTTGACTCACCAGAAGGATGATGACTCCCTACTTCACGTTTAATTGTGCCCACAGAACCTGGGAGCCGTGAATCATTAGATGGCACAAGTACAGGATCTGAAGAAGAGAAACAAACTGCCAATGTAGATGCTGGGGGTGGCAACACCAAGCTACTACCGGAGCTTGGTGCAGGCTGCTCGTGCAAGTCCTCATTTCCAAATTTAACAGTGGTGTTCTTGTTTGCATCCACTGGGGGGACTGAACTTCCCAAATTATCCCCAACCAATGACAAACTTATATCAGGACCACTTCCAGCAGATACATGGGAGGGATGCACAACATTAGTACTTCCAGAAACCACATTGGTAGGACCATCCACAATGACCGGTGCAGAGCTGCAAATGTTATTTAAACATATAAGTTAAATACCAAACATAAACTGCATTCAAGATGAATGGCCACGGAAATTACAAAAAGGCATTTGGTTTAAAACTATAGCCACCTTGTTACCAGACTTCGCTCTTTATTTTTTGTCTCACGAGAGGTTGGCAAAGAGGGAGCACCACCTTTCTCTGCAACCTGACTGGGTCCATTCTCAGTTCCAGGAGCAGTACTTCTACCACCACCAGCATCTGACAAAAAGTACACAGAATAAAGTTAGCTTGGCTGGTATGACTAAGCTTGGTGGCACAATAAGATTCAAACTGTTACAACAGTAAAGCAGGGTGTAAGCAAACATTTTCAAATCTACAAATCTAAAAACTCCACTCATATTGGGGAGAAGGGGAAGATATAATTTTTCCCTTAATTCCGCCCGAGCCAAAGATACCAAGAAAATAAAAAAAAGGTGTAGCTTACCAGACTAGGCAACCTTTTACGGAACTGTTAAATTAACACAAGGGAAATAGTAGTAGGAGAAAAAAGTTATACAGTTATAGTCAGTAGAAATACATAAAATTTTGCTAATCGGCAAACATAATTAAGTCATATAATTGAACCCAGGATTTTGGCAAGGATAAAAAGAAAAAGTACAGGCAATAGTGACCTTCAAACACATTCTAATTTGAGCGTCACTTACCATAACGAGGTGAGAAATTCACCCGACCGCCCCTACCCCCTCGTCCCTGCATTCCAGGTCTCCACCGCGACTCTGCAGACTCTCTGTTGTTCAGATTCTGCAAGATATAAGACAACTAATTGGTATTCAAATTTAAAAAAACCATAATTAAATACGAATCAGGAGGAAAATAATACCAAAGACAAACTACACATGTTTGTAAAGAAACCACATTATAAATTTTCTTTTTAAAAAATAAAAAGAGTTGCTTCATGATAGAACATATTAAAAATCCACTCCCTTACAGACCAGTTTCCCAAATTAACTGATTTGGCTGACAGTAAAAATCAGCCATGATTAGAATCTCTTACCTCTTTTCTCTTGTCACGTTTCCTTTTAACCTCATGAAATGGATCTGCAGATCGATACGTAAGAGTATTATTTCACTTAAAGAAAAAGAACAAATAAACGGAGCAATAAGTCCATATATAGTTGGAATTTAGACGGTACTAAACCTTGGACAAGAAGTCCACCACAAACATACATCATAGACCTACACAACCTCATTTGGAACATGTGCAACTCCAAGACAAGACTAGACTAAAAACCAGTTAGTGTATAGCAGGCCCTCCAATCTAACAGAATAGTAGAGAAAAAAAATTGAATCCCTAAACCCTACTGATACAGATGCCCACAAGAAAGCTGAAAATCCAACCCTATTCCAGAGATCCTCCACCCCAAATCCTGAATAGTCTTTAATTTTCATTTTTCCAGGAAAAGACCACTTCACTGTGCTCACTGAAAAAATATTTCAACAAGGATGTTGCTTTCAAAAATATTAAAATAAAACAACACTGAATTCTAAAGTTATTTTCCTTTTCACCTTTATTCCGAACTTACCAAATGGAGGATTAATTCCAAAAACAAGCACATTAACTTCAATAAACCTTTTTTCTTTTAAGGCAAGCTAGAGCTTACTTCTGGACCCCAAAAATAACCACAAGTTTATGCTAGAATTAAAACCTAATTATAAAATTAATCTAAATCTTCTAATTTTACACAAATTTATCTCACTATTGGCATAGTCACTCTGAAATGTCTGAACATGATTGCTATGAACCAACAAAGTACGAACTCAATTCCTAAGATGATATCAGAATCCAACTAAGCCACACAAAGTCACGAACAGTGAGAACCCATCATAGCAAATCAAAAACCCAACTCAATTCCCACATAATCAAAATCAAATCAACACGCATGAAACAGAAAATAGCCAGAACAAAAAACAAGAACTTTAACACGCGGATCACGTCGAATCACCGAAAGGAGAACAAGGTAACCAAGCCGAGGCAACCAAAATAAAAGGAACAAAGAAAGGAGCAGTTGAAGGTACCCTGGAAGAGAAGCTTCTGAGCCGTCTCGTTGGGATCCATATTACATTCCTTGAGCATTGCATAGATTTCCTCCTCACTATGATTGCCCGTGATCTCCTTGATGTCCTGGATCGTCTTCCTCACACTGTTTGGGATTGAAACCCTAAACCCACCACCACTCATCTTTGCAAACCCCACAAAGCCAAAAGACCCAAGACTGAGTGAAAATGTGGAAATAGGACAAAGGAAACAGAGACTTAGATGGAGAATATGAACTGCTGGGTAGAGAGGATTGGGCTTTAGATGACTCTATATGAACATATACTAAAAGATGAAAATTTTAATATGAAAGGAAAAAAATGAGCTTTTTATGGGTATTTGAATTGATCTACGACAAGTAGACAGACAGAATGAGAACGAGAACAAGAAGAAAGGAGGAGGAGAATTGAGAGAGAGAGAGAGAGAGAAGGGGGGAGGGAGCTAAATGAAAGTGTTTTTGGAGTGTAGGGCTTTTTGGTTGATTTGCCTTATTTTTTTGTTTTTTTATTTTAATTATTTTCACAAATTAAAATTCCTTTTTTGTTCCTTTTGATTTGTGTTTGATTCCATTTCTAAAATGCAAAGACTACTAGCCACTGTGCTTTTGATATTTTCATATGTTTTGCTAGGCCTACTCATCACTGTCCACTTTTCAGAATGTGTGTGATCCCTAGCTCAATCATAGTACCATACCACTGCCTTTACACTCAGATCCAAAAAAAATACCATCATATTCACTGCTCCACAATGATAGTTCTTTTTTACTTTTCCTAATAAATTTATATTTTACTCTTTTTTTTTCAAATTTATAAAATGAGGAATTCCAACTTTGAGATCTCTTCTAATATTAAAAAGCTAATTAATTACTGATATTTAAACCTTAATACTCGACAATTCAATATTGTGTTTTTTAATTTGAAATTTTCTATAAGACAATGTAGCGGCGTAATGTAAGCGTATTTTTTTCTCACCACCAGCGCCATGGCTCCCCTTTCTAATATTTAACTCATAACCTATTAGACATAATTTTCTATAAATAAATAAAAAACATATTCCATAAAAACATAAAAACAAAAAGCAAAAAAAAAAAATTTTTTATAATTCATAACATAAAAATTTTATTTGAATTTATTAAACTGCAAAAAAACAAAAAACTCGTATTATTTAAATAAATATTATATGGATTGTGAAAATTGGTGGTTGCAAAGATTGATTGTTTAGCTTATCCTAGACCAATTGCAGTTCATGTAATGAGAATATACTTGAGTTGCTAAAAGGTATCGTTCAAGAATATACAGCCACTATGTTAATCTATCAGCAAAGTTGATGTTTCTAAATCATTAGCATTACTGAGTCCTAAATCATCCAATAATGCCCTAACTTTTGTATTAACTTTTTTAACTGTATGATTAATTGGATGGATATTTGGTTTGACCAGTCTATTTCTTTAGTTCGTGTGTTGACCATTTGTCTCCCTTTCATAATTGTTTTAAGACCAAATGGCAAGTGTCAAGTCAATGCAATGTTGATTCAAGCCAAACATCACAATTTTGGAAGTAACATGTAGGAATAGGAAGGGGAAGAGGGGTGGGTTTGTTTAGGTATGAAATAGTACATTGAATTAATAATGCATCACAATCTAGTTTGGTTAGATACACGACCAATTAATTCGCTTAGTAACGGGTTGGCTTGATTGGTTTGGAAGTGCTCTTAGAAGATTTAAAAGCGTTTTTAAACAATAGAAAACATTTACGATTGAGTTTTTGAAATGATTTAAAAATATTTATGCGTTTTAAAATTGTTTTTTAGAGAAGCACCCAATATGTGGTTTTTCAGAAAGCACTTAAATTTTTAACAAAAATTTCGACATTATTCCAATAGAATCATTTAAACAAATATTTAGATTAAATTTCATATATTGCTAATTAAATATATTTGAAAGAACTTCACATTGAAAAAGGGTGAAATTTTGTGAGAGATATGCTGTAAAATTCAAATAAATCACATAATTTTGTTTTTGGCATATGATGATATAAAAAAAAAAAAAAAAAAAAAAAAAAAAAAAAAAAAAAAAAAAAAAAAAAAAAAAAAAACACCCATAACAATATTCACTTTGCTTATTCCTTATCCAAAAAAAAAAAAAATAAAAAATATGTTCAATGCCAACGTGAGCTTTTGGTCTTGGGCTTGGCCTAAGGCAACATATTGGATCAAAATTGGGCCAATATGTTTGGCCCAAACCCAACCCTAGCTTTGTTTGCTCTATTCACCGCCCTCAAAATTGCCTTGCTTGTTTTGGCTATCTGTCTATTTAGTTATTACTTGTTGGTTCCAAAACCAAAATCGCTGATACATCCCAAAACCCAAACCAAATCAGACGAACATGGCTTCGAAGAAGAGTAACCATAACCCTCACTCAGGCGACGGTGCTAGCCCTGGGTTCGTCCTCTATCTCTCTCTTTCTCTCTCGAAAGAGTTGTATTATCTGTATCTGCGATTATAAGCTAATTGGTTATTGTTTTTTTTGTGTTTTTTTTTGTTGTTGCAGAAAGATATTCATCGGTGGCTTAGCTAAAGACACCACCTTGGGTAAGATTTCTTCTATTAAATTTTATGGGTTTTCTTTAATTCCGCAATATTATGGTTTTTAAGCTTTTGTTAACAGTGTATATCATGATTATGATCCATCAAAATCTTAATGGGTGTTTTTCGTTTCTGAGAAATTGTGGATTTTTGCTTTCCAGTCTTTTGTTTTAGTTTTTTTTTGTTTTTTGTTTTGTTTTCAGTTTTTAGTTTTAACTTCTCATTGTATTTCTGTATGCAAACTCGGGTGGGTATGTTCTTCAAGTCAGTGAAATCGATGCTTTATGGACTTTGTTAACAGCTTCCAACTTTGCTTTGCTGTGAAATTTTGATGGGTTATCTTCAATTTTCTCATATCTGCGTGCAATGTGTTTGTTGTATTATCCGGTCACAGATACCTTTGTTAAGTACTTTGAGAAGTATGGGGAGATAATAGACTCTGTGATCATGAAAGACCGGCAAACTGGTCGACCTAGGGGATTTGGGTTCATCACCTATGCGGATCCTTCAGTTGTTGACCAAGTTATGGAAGAGACTCATGTAATCAATGACAAGCAGGTAATTGTCATCCTCTTCCTCCATTTGTTAATATACTAGCCTCTCTGCGCCCTCCGCGCCTGCGAGAGGGCTTTTTTTTCCTACTATGCTCGACTCTCCAAGTGTTTCATTAGTACATAATAATTGCATAAATCACGTGAGAGGTCTTTTATTCTGCCACTCACACTTCGCATGACTTTGCAAGTGTTTAATTAGTACATAATCATTGTGTTTTTTTGCAATATTGAAGACACGATTTCATGCATTTGAAGCTTCGTTTCAATTGGTTCAACTGCACATCACTTTCTTCCTTTGCAAGTACAAAATTAAATGAAAAAAAAAGTTAAGAGAAAAATGAACCCCAAAAAAAAACTGATCAGACAATTCTTAATTAAAAAAAAGAAGACAAAAATGAACAAAAACAGATCTGTGCTTCAAGTAAGAAAAGAAAAGCTACATGAATGTTTCTTTTTCTTGCTACTGGCAATGGCATAAATGTTTGTAAATCAATTATATGTAGCAAGCAGTAGGACTTCATCATATGCCCCTGAACAACATGCATGACTGCTTTCTATCTCTTCCCCAAAATCCTACAAAACAATAGAAGAAAACAAACAACATAAGAAAGCTAGGCTTTGAATCACAACTTATAGCTCTTTCACATGTTATAATTTATGAAGAAATAACTGCAATGCAACTGGACTGAACCTTTTAACTATTTTTTATTCTTTTCCTACAGCTTCTCAGAAGCCAAACAGAGATTTGAGCAAACTAAAATCAAAGGCCTAAATTAAATTGATTAGTTCAACTAATTGTAGAATTATTTGTTGGGTTATTTTCGTTGTTTTCTTGAGAATGAAATCAATGGATATTATATGGATTTGATGTTCCTTTCAATAGCCCTAAAATGGGGAATTGTGCCTTTTATTGGTATGCTATGATATGAAATAGGCATGTTATGGTTCAATTCGTAAATTTTGAGCTTAATTTTAATGAAGTTTTGATAGTTGATATTGCGTTTCTATTCAGGTATTTAGCTCTTATGATGTTTCTCCCGTTAAATTTTAATCAAACTGTTCTTTTCGAGAATTTTCTTTTACGTAACGTTGTGTCCAATAATTTGATTGTGACTGCATGAATTTGTCACCAGGTCGAGATAAAGAGAACCATTCCAAAGGGTTCTGGACAGGGAAATGATTTCAAAACGAAGAAAATTTTTGTTGGCGGGATTCCAACCACAGTTACTGAAGGTTTGTTGTATTATTTTTGTCTATTGGTTGTATTCTGATGCTATGTTTATTGTTGTACAACTGATGAATTGTTTCTTCTCCCTCAACTTTTTTATTTGGACATCAGATGAGTTCAAAAGTTTCTTTTCACAATTTGGAAAGGTGGTGGAGCATGAGATCATACGTGATCATGTCACTAAGCGCTCTCGAGGTTTTGGATTTGTTGTATTTGACAACGAAAAAGTTGTTGATAATGTTCTTGCAAATGGAAATAGGATTGATATGGCTGGTACACAGGTGAGTTATTGGCAATGTTCATTTAAGGTGTTCGGTGTATATGGACATGTTATGTATAGAGGAATATTTGAAGGTTTTCCTTCAAAGTATTCTCAGAATTGTAAGAATTTTGTTGTATATTTGTATCATAGTTTCAGTCAACTTACTTTTTCACTATCCATATTTCATCAGTAGTGGACTTAATGCAGAGGTTTTCTCCCTCTACCTAAATCCGGGTCTCAAAAAAGGTTTGCGAAGTAAAAGCCTAGGTTAACTCACTTCTTTATTGTAGGTTGAGATCAAGAAGGCTGAACCAAAGAAGGCCTCAAACCCAGCACATGTTCCTGCATTTGGTAGTGACTCTAGGGCACACCCTTACAATGATAGTTTCGGTGGATTTGGAGACTCCATGAGTGGTTTCGGTCCTGGTGGTTATGGTGCTGGAGGTTATGGTCCTGCTTCTTATAGGTCACTGGGAGGTTTTGGCAGTAGGTTTGGTGATTATGGTGGATATCCAGATGGTAATGATTTTGGAGGTGGTTTTGGGGGCTTTGGTGGTGGTGGTGCTTTTTCTGGTTATCGTGGAGAGTCGTCATTCGGCTATTCTAGTCGCTTTGGTTCTTACGGTGGAGGGATTGGCGGGGGATATGGTGGTAGTGGGTTAGGTGCATATGGCCGTGAAGCTAGGGGCTATGGTGGTTATGATGGTTCAGGCTCTACTGATGGTTATGATTCAGGACCTGGTGCTAGTTATGGTGGACCTCGAAGCTTGTACGGTAGTAGGGCAGGTTATGGCGGCAGTAGTCGTTACCACCCTTACGGAAGGTAGACATATACTTAAGCTTTCCAATAGAAGTTGCACGCAGGTTCCAATATCACTCTTTGCGTCCTATGGTTCCATTGTCACTAGGCACTACTGCAAGAGGCACTAAGCTAGAAGATGAGATGAACCATTAGTTTGTCCCTGGGTCTATTCTGTGGCATGGACATCCAAAGTTAGATTATCACTAATTTAGAGACTTTGTCAATTATTGGCTTGTGATTCTAGTTAGGCATCTTTTGTGTGCTCTGTATGAATGATTGTCATCATATATTGAGACTTAGACACTTACTGTTATGTGATCAGCCTAGAGTATGAGATATATTCAAACATAGTTCTATTCTTTTGTTAACATTTCTACTTCTCTCAGACCAAAAAAAACATTTCTACTTCTCAGTTGGCAAGACTATCAATCAAGATTGCACATCGTGTTTAGATAAATTACACGATTTTATCGATCAATCTGATTGATGAACCGATTGATAGTTCAATGTTTATATTTATGTGCTTCTCTTGCTAGCGGATAGCACAAGAATTAGAAGAAGACTCTTAGAATAATCTGCTTGGTTATGTAGGGGTCAATTGCAATGGATGTTTTATTACCTCCCACAATGCATGCAAATGCACCACCTTTTTCGTCTTCCATAACATGATTAAGTATTTACCATAACAAAACCAATGCCATGATAACATTTCAACAAAGGAAAAATATTTTAACCAGTATTATTTGAGATGCAAATAGCACATGGAGTGGCACTACAGTGAAAAAATGGACTAAATTCTCCCCTTCTCCTCACATGGAGTTTGATTCACGTATGAGACAATCCTATAATAATATATTAATACTCCCCCTCCCAATTTTTTTTAAAAAACATTATTTAGTATTTATTGTGAATTAAAAAGGATTATTGTAGTGCTTGCCACACTACAATCATATGAAACGAAACGACGAAAACCAAAGTCAATAAAGTCGGATTACGGAATATGTAATCGCTCACGTGCCACTTTCTCAAGACGTCACAGATTACGCCATGTGTCCAAGCTTGCACGTGACATATGCATAATCAGCATGCTGACTCGTTATTCTTGCGTCTCGTTGTAGCAGGGAGCTCGATTCTGGAAGTTTTTATTTTCTGAAATATCTCGATTTTGAAAGTTCTAAACTTGGACCGTGCGGTTATGACAAGTAAAATACCGAAACCAACCCTCACTGAGATTAGTCATCATCCCAAAGTCTATTAAATCAGACATGTCGTTTTCAATAATTTGTTAATATATTTGGGGGTATATACGTAAATGCGACCCCAACCTTTGTCTTGCTGCCACCTTCATATGCTATGCTTTGCTTTTTTCAAGCTCAAAGATCGAGCCTTTTTGATAAGCATCCAAGGATTCGCTGGCTTTGAACTCAGAGAGGTGAAATTTTCGGCAAACCCACCCCTGTTTTTATGGTATTTTCTTATGGTGATGATCACTGTGAGTTATTTGTGATAGGTGGTGTTTTCTTATAAGAATTGTTTTTAATTTTGTTGCAAGGTTGATTTGTTCTTGTTGATGAATAACATTTTCAGAGTCTTTTATGGATTTGGTGGTAATTGGAGTTTCTGTTTGACGTTTCACATTCAAATTTGTTCCTTGTGTTAGCTTATAGTGTGGTGGCTGTTCATCTTCATCATGTGCTGCGAGTGAGTATTTTGATCGAACCCAAAAGTTTTGCGGCATGGGGTTTGTGTTGTATTTGCTTTTCTGTTTTGAGAATTTCATTGTTTGTGATAACTCTCTGACTGATCCTACCTAACGATTCAAATGTTCCGACATCTGGGTTTCGATTAGTGGTGGTGTTGCTCTCAGAAGTTTCAAATTTTTTTGGTTTAAATTAGAAATATGATCATCGTCTGGTCAGATATTCATTTTCCCAAAAGTATTGTTCGTTAATGAAGAATCATTTATTTCCTTAGTTTGATCATGAAGAATGCGTTAAGTTTTTATTTTTATTTTTATTTTCTACAGAATAAGATGTGTTTCAAAGCTGGAAGTTGTTTGAAATCTGAATTCTGTTTGATATTTTGTAACCTGAAAGTCACAGAATTGTGATGGAAGTTATCAAATTTCATTGACGATGATGTTATACTTCACATGCGTGCATTTCCTAATTTTTTTATATATTTTTTTCATTTTGTCTGATTTAGTCATGCAGTGAGTGTGCATATATTAGTTCTACACATAACTGTAGTTATACTAAAGATTAGACACTGCAATTGTTTCGAACATTAAAAATGATTTCCTTATTTAACAGTGTCATCTATTTTAGGTAACAATTTGGTCTATTCAGGAAGGGGTAAGTTCATTTTAATAAACATTCAGTGATGGAGAATTCTGAAGAAATTTTGTTTAACTCACCTGCCCAAGACGATTTGGTCGTTGGAGATCAGTTGTCCGTTCTGAAAGGCTATGGGGCATATGGCATTGTTGGTGCTGTTATTGTTGCCGTCCTTACACCTGTCTTGCTGTCCACTATTTTCACGGGAAAGAAAAGGGGGAAGCAAAGGGGAGTTCCAGCGGAAGTTGGTGGCGAGGCAGGTTACGCAATGCGCAATGCTCGGGTAACTGAGTTGATTGAAGTTCCTCAGAAAGGAGCCACAACTGTGGCAGCCCTGTTTGAGCTATCCTGTAAAAAGTATTCACAGAATCAATTTCTTGGAACAAGGAAGTTTATTGGAAGGGAATTTGTCACAGCTAGCGATGGAAGGAAGTTTGAGAAGCTTCACTTGGGAGATTATGAATGGCAAACTTACGGAGAAGTGTTTGATCGTGCTTGCAGCTTTGCTTCTGGGCTTATTAATCTAGGTCATAATGTGGATAGCCGTGCTGCAATTTTTTCAGATACCTGCGCAGAGTGGTTGATAGCCTTTCAGGTCAATTTTTTTTTTAATGCCTGCCTTGTGGTGTATGTTGTCCTTTCATTTATTTTTGTCTATGAAGTTGTGAGTGCACAGGCAGTTCTAAAAATAGTTGGTTTTGGATTCCAGGGATGCTTCCGGCAGAATATTACTGTTGTTACTATTTATTCTTCACTAGGAGAGGACGCCCTAATTCACTCCCTCAATGAGGTTGGTGGTAAAATCTCTGCTTTCCTGTTCTTCATGAGTTTATTTAACCCATGAACATATGGGTGATTTATATTATAAAAATTACACTGTATACCTAAAAAAAAAGAAACAGAGAACGTGGATGGTCCTCATATAGTGCTTTTTGACAGACCCAGGTATCGACATTGATCTGTGATGCCAAGCAGTTGAAAAAGCTGGCTGCAATAAGCTCAAGCCTAAACACCATTCAAAATGTTATTTATTTTGAAGATGAGGGAAGTTCAGATACTAGCATATCTGGAAGTATAAGCAATTGGAAAGTTGCATCCTTTTCTGAAGTTGAGAAGCTTGGACAGAAGAGTACGGTTCATCCAAGGTTACCTTCCAAAATGATATTGCTGTTGTCATGTATACAAGTGGCAGTACAGGTCTACCAAAGGTTTGTTTCGCTTCCTGACCCTTATTGCAAATCTGTTGTTTGCTATTTGAGATCCAGAACAATCATATTTTGTAAATCTGTCCATTTGGCCATCTGTAGAAAATAGTATGTTGCTTTCTTTTGGATTGCAGATTCCCAAAGACAATATAGTTTAGAAACTTGAGTACTTAACTACTTATTATCATGTAAGAACTCATATGCAAATCCTTCTCCAAGTATTCAAAAGTCTTATCTATCTGGCAATGTGCCCATTCTCAAATCAACGTTAGTTGAATAATGTACTGTAAAATATTGGAGCATGACTAGTTATTTTCTATTACCTAATGTTGTTCATTTTCCCTTAAATGATTTTAGTGTATAATGTTGTAGGGAGTCATGATAACTCATGGGAACATTGTAGCCACTACTGCAGCTGTTATGACAGTGGTTCCAAGTCTGGGTAGCACTGATGTATACTTGGCGTATTTGCCCCTAGCTCATGTATTCGAATTGGCTGCTGAGGTACCTTTGTTTTAATATTTGTATTACTACTTTACATTTGTTAAATTGTAATTATGATGTGGTTGTCCAGTCTGTGATGCTGGCTGCAGGTTGTTCAATTGGTTATGGTTCAGCATTGACTTTCACAGACACTTCAAATAAAATTAAGAAAGGAACCAAGGGAGATGCAACTATGTTAAAGCCAACCATCATGACAGCAGTTCCTGCTATTTTAGATCGTGTTCGAGATGGAGTTCTGAAAAAGGTGAAGTGGATATTATTCACCTTGTATGTGGTTGTTTAGCATCTGTGATTCAACCATATAGGTCTAAGATCCTTTCTAGGCTAATCACTTTGAAGTATTGTAGGTTGAGGAGAAAGGTGGGCTAGCAAAGAATCTTTTTAACCTCGGATTTAGACGGCGACTGGCAGCTGTAGAAGGAAGCTGGTTTGGGGCTTGGGGTTTGGAAAGGATGGTGTGGGATGCCGTTATCTTCACAAAGATACGCTCAATACTCGGAGGACGCATTCGCTTTATGCTTTGTGGTGGTGCTCCATTGTCTGCTGAGTCACAGCGGTTCATCAATATCTGCATGGGGTAAGTGCCTTCTCATCTTGAGATAACCAGATAGTTGAACAAATAACCTCTCTTTTTTTCTTCATAGAGATTAATGCCAATAATTGAAGCGAGCCCTCTATTTGATTAGGGTAAATGCATTTTCTGGGTGGAAAGTGCTTATGTGCTTATAATGTGTTGGGAGTAGTATCCGTACCTTTTGTTTATCATTGTACAATTCATATTGTCACAAGTGTGCTGTTGATTCTAATCATGTGTAAAATGTAGTTAATTTTGCATGCCATGGTTTTTGAACAGGGCTCCTATTGGGCAAGGATATGGCTTGACAGAAACATTTGCTGGAGCTACATTTTCTGAGTGGGATGACACAACAGTGGGCCGTGTTGGCCCACCTCTTCCTTGTGGGTACATTAAGGTATATTAAATTACTTATTTTCTGGGAAAAAAGTCACTGAAAATTTATGACCAGAGCAGGATTTTTTAAAAGGAGAGTATTATCTGAGTGTCATGCCCAGCACATTATTCAGTTATTCTAGATTTTGTTCTGAGAGTACTGTCTTCCTTTTTATTCTTAGATGATTAGTCCTAATTGACTACTTCCTATGAGTATGAGAATATATGTTTATATCCGACTTTTAGTTTCAATTTCTGCAAGTTTCACTGGACAAAAGAAGATGTGATATTGTAGAGCTTATCAGGAATTTATGCGGTATATGTGTGTGATATACTAGGTAGGATTTAGAGTTGAATATTAAAGCTGTCTTTTATTTGATGATGCAGCTTGTTTCTTGGAAAGAAGGAGGATACTTGGCATCTGACAAGCCTATGCCTCGTGGGGAGATTGTAGTCGGGGGATTTAGTGTAACTGCTGGTTACTTTAAGAATCAAGAAAAGACTGATGAGGTGTATAAGGTGAATTCTCTAATGAGCCTGTATGCGTTTTTCTGTGTATGTGCATGTGTTTCATCATGATCTTCATTCATCACAGCCTGTAGATAGGGGCACTGAACTGATGATTGGTGACTTGTTACATGCTGCAGGTTGATGAGAAGGGCATGCGCTGGTTTTATACGGGTGACATTGGAATGTTTCATCCTGATGGATGCCTTGAAATTATAGATAGGAAGAAGGATATCGTTAAACTCCAGCATGGAGAGTACATTTCCCTTGGAAAGGTGCGTTTAAAATTTATATATTATTTCTGGTAAATTATGTTGCCAGACAAAGCACCCTATAACTTTCTGTGGGATGCTAATTACATTGGTCGCTGCCTTGCTTGCAGGTTGAGGCTTCGTTACAATCAAGTAATTACGTGGATAATATTATGGCATATGCAGATCCCTCCCACAACTACTGCATAGCTTTAGTTGTCCCCGCACGTCAGGCCCTCGAGAAGTGGGCCCAAGAAGCTGACATCAAATACAATGATTTTTCTGAGCTGTGTGGAAAAGCTGAAACAGTCACTGAGGTTCAGCAATCCCTCTCCAAGGTCTGTTCATCTTTACTTAATATCCACTAGATGATTGCTGAGAGTTGAGAGTCTTTTTGTCCGATCTAAATATGAAAAATCTTGTACAGGTAGCAAAGGCAGCAAAATTGGACAAGTTTGAAACTCCTGCAAAGATTCAGTTGCTGGCCGATCCATGGACACCCGAGTCTGGATTGGTTACTGCTGCTATGAAGATTAAGAGGGAACAGATCAAGTCCAAGTTCAAAAATGAGCTGCAGAAGTTGTATGCGTGAACAAGAATGGTTAATGTGTTTCCCTAGGCTGAGCTATATATTTTGGTATTTGTTGGTCCAAAATTTTCTATATCTCAGTAATTTCAACGCTATTACTTTTGCACCTGAGATCATGTGTTCCAATCCCCTTACCTTGATATCGCTTGTATAAAAAAGAACTGCTACTTCTAAGTTTTAGTTTGATGTGGTTGAATGGCATGAAAGAGGGAGCATGCATGTTTCACATGATAGTTGGGAAGAATAATATGCTAGAGCACAACTGCTGCCTAAGATAGCTGAAAAGATTCTTGGTGCCTAATTACAATGACCATAAAAAGTATAAAACGGAAATGAGTTTCATATCCTTCAAACTTGGACATTGTTGATAGAAACTACATTGTTTAAATGGTAATTACAACACGCATCTAAAGCAATAAAACGGAAATGAGTTTCATATCCTTCAAACTTGGACATTGTTGATAGAAACTACATTGTTTAAATGGTAATTACAACATGCATCTAAAGCAATGTGAAAATCCTAATTCTTCGATGCGTTAAGCTACATCAAGCATCTAATGAGTCTCCCATCAGAAGAAAGATCTGAGTTCCACTTGTGTGAGAAGCTAATTGTGGTATGTATAACTGGGATAACATTAAAAATGTTTCTGAATGATTGTATACGTTCCTTGCCTGTAGAGTAAGCTTCATCCGTCTTCTTCATGGTGCAATTTCGGATTGGTAGGGCTCGGCGAATTAGCTTCTGTTGATAGAGATGGCCGTAAGACAAGATACAGAGCAGGGCCTATGAGCGGCACCAATGACACAAAGAGAAGCCAAGAACCTTTGTCAAACCTGCAAAAGAGCAAGTGTGTGAATATTGCGCCACAATAACCATTGCTAGAGGACTTTTGAACAGAAACTTAGGAGAAATATAAACATCAAAACAATCACCATTTCCGGGACGTCATATCGTTATAGACCCAGAATGGAGCAAATGCAGATAGTAGAGTGAAATCAAGGCTCATCACATGTATCTGCATCATGAAGGTCCCAAATGTGTGACATTTTAGTGAGGTCTTACATGTTTGCATTAAACTACTAATGATGAAAAAGAAGCACTTGAGCACATAAGTTATAGGAAAATGCAGACGTTCAATGTGTTGCATGATAGCCATCCTTTTCAAATACAAGAAACTAAAGAAATTCCGGTGAAATATGTGTTAATGGTTGAGTGACTTACGAATTTACTTCCATTGAAGTACTGAAAATATTCCTTCCAGTCAGCCCCATCGGCTAGACCTGCATAGATAACGATGCCCAGTCCTGCAGCAAGTGATATCTGATGTGTAATGGAGTTACTGGCATTTTCCAAAACAAAGTGAAAAATCGATGTTACTGCAGTTATATTCAGCTATCATTAGTACAGCAACAATAACAGCTGCATGTTTAAATCAATCTTTTGATATATCACAAGCAACACAAAAGCATGAAGAAGAAGTGAGAAGTTTCTTACCCAAGCAGTTAATTTAGATTCAAGAAAGTTGAGAGGCCATTTTGTGAGCTCACTTTCTTCAACAGGAGGTGGTGGTGGTCTCCAAAGCACAAAATAGGGAAGAAGAGCATACGCCCCACCAAAGAATGAAAGTATCAAGAAAGGCCAGACAGGAACTTTACTTTTTGAGCTACAAATAAAAGGATGGATAATTCAGATAAAATCCGATTGTGAAATATTGATGGACAGGAAACTTAAAGAACATTGCCACAGCTGCAGATACAATTATATGAAGAAGAGATGTAGCAATTCCTCCAAGAAAATACTGAATATATTAAGGGTGGAAATATCCAAGATTCATCTCAGATACACTACAAATGGAAATTAGAATCCTAATCACAAAACAAAAGGAAAATGGGGGCACAAGAAGTACATAACATCATCAAAGAATTGAATGAGAAGTAAAGAAAATAACATTACCTTCTCCCTGTTGGAAGCAGCAACATGCTATACACCAAAGGCCACAAACCCATTATGTACCAGATGGACACGAGAACTTCATTCATTCTGAAACCATCATCTCCCTTCAAATTCAAGAGTTTCTTTAAGAAATACATGTCCTGTGACTGAAAAAATTAAAGGACCATCCATTAAGAATACGAAATGTGGGATGATAGAAAAGCTTGTTTTGTAGTCGTTGCAAAGATCAAATGAATAACAGGGACTTCAAATGTTTGTGGACGTGCTCTCACTGTCTCACACCAGTTTACTTAGAAGAAAGAAATAGTTAAATAAAAAATTTACTCCAGCTAGGGATTATTGGTTTTTCCATATTCACGATTTAGGACAGCAGAATGAAGGAGAACCAGAAGCTATAATTCATCTTAGGAAGGACAGTCAGCCATGAAATCATAAAATAACATCCTCAGCTAGGGATTCTTCCTCAAATCCAAAGCAACAACATTTGAACAGTTTCACTTATTGCTTTTAATAGTGTCTTAGACATAAGTAATCATTTCAGATTGGAACGTTATTCTCTCAATACAAGAAATTAAACCTTCTAAAGGTAATTTAGTGAACAGAAAAAAAATAAGTAGAACAACAACAATAGCATAAATTGCAATGAAATGTCTTTGCTTCTAGCTACAACTACTTCAACAAAGCAGATCGAATTCTGGCTCATTAAGTTGCGAAGAAATGAAATACTAAACCCGTCATACTAAACAAAAGAACTTATATATATTAAAAATTCATAATTCTACAATACCGGGGTCTGGTCTGGAGCAAGATTGAAGACATAGTACAGCAGTGCACCCCACAACACAAAGAGCAAAACTGAGGTTGTCCAGCTCCCTCCATCTGCACCATTTTCACTCTTACCAAGTTCACTTTCCAAGGAAGCACTCTCGCTCAGAACTGGGTCTTCTGGTTTCTCACTATTTAAGGTACTCTGACAAATTTGAAGAGGACCCTTTTGAAATGTAAAGATTGAAGTTTTACCATTGTGGGTTCCAGAAAAGATTGAAACTTTTGAGGTTGTTTTGGAATGTGAAATTCTGGGCTTGAGGTTTTGGGTTTGTAATGAAGTTCTGAAAGTTGGGTTTTTGAGAGGAAGAGATGGGAAGGTGGAGAAGTTGCGGCAGATGAGGTTGGCACTAGCCAACATGTTGGAAGATTGAAAGATTATAGGGTTTTGATATTCCAATTCATGCTGTAGCTTTTTAGTAGTGAGCTGAGTCTACCAAACGGTGTCGTCTTAAAGTTTCAGACCACGACAAGAAAGGTCATAGCGGGCCTTTAATAACTGCAAAAACGACCACAAACCAATAACCTCAGATAAGGGGCTCTGGCTTTGGATTGGATAGCCATGGCTGAAGCTTCAAGAGTTCTGCAAACCACTCTCATTCCCAGTTTCCATTCACAACACAAACTCTCACATTTCGAAATTTCCGTAGAAACCCAAATTCAGTGCTCAATCTCCACATGTGACAGCACCAGAAACAGAGTGACCCAGAAGATCCATGGGCCTGTGACTTTGATTCCTTGTAAAACGCTTCTCCTTTACAGAAATGGCTGACTGTGTCAGGCCATCCACCCCAGAAAATAGCCATATACAAAGTTGAAGAGGGGGAGAGAGGACTTGTGCTGTGCCTCCTATTTTTTATTTATTTATATTTTTACTTTTGATCACTGCAGAATCAGTAAGGTTTTCTTTAGAAAATTTGTTGGAGAGTTACTCACTTTCTTTTTCTCTTAATTAGAAAAGTGATTTGGCAGCCAGTAATTATGTGCACCTGTATTGGAATTGGGCACTACAACACAACTTTTTCTCTCCCTATGATGTTTGTGCTTGTGTGTTTTTGAATGTTGGGAGTGGACTTGTGGCATCAATAAACTTTTTACAGTATTCTTCAAAGCTCTGATTGTTCCTTCATTTGAGTTTTTTGAGATATATTATTCTCAACTTGATAATAATGTTCTTGTGACTTGATGATCTTACAACTAATGAATTGGCTATTTCTTCCTATCTCTGGCTATTTCTCCAGGAAATAAAGCAGGATACTTGGAGAACAAGAGCAGACTGGGGTTGATCCTAGTTGAGCCCTCTCCGATGGTCAAGTCAGAAACTGTTATTGGTGAGAATGGATATAGGGTTTTCACAATGAGAAGATTGTATTACTTTTGTCCTGGTGTAAGTGAAGGGTATTTATAGGGGGGAGAAGGAGGGACCAAGATATTTTCATAGAAGAGATCTTATCTCCTGTCCCCTTGGCCTAAGTCACATTTAATGTTCTGTCCCTGATCACCATACTGCTGGATAGAGGTCAGGTGGCGAAATGACAGGCGACCAAGGATGGGAGGTGAATTAAATGATCACTCCCCATCACCAGCCTGTTCACTCGAAGATCAATGGATAAGGCGACACCTGTTTGAGGATGGGATGTGCATTTAATCGACCCTTCTTGTTCGCCAGGCTATTTATCGCAGGGGCAAAGTTGATCGACTTGATAGGAGCCTGGGCAGATATGCTGGTCATTAGCGCGCCTTAGGCTTGAGATGCTCGCCCTAGTAATCGGGTAGATACTCGAATACCCAAGCACTGGCCCAATTCCTAGGTTCGTCGCCCTCTGACTGGAAAGATCGGTGACGACAACACATGATTCGTGTATGGTCGGGTCGGTATACAGGTGACCTAATTTGTTAAGGCCACGTGGCGACTTACAATAGACTCGGCTTACGGTGATGGTACAAGCCATCAACAACTTTACTTGAGCAAATAACTTAGTTATATGTACATGCGAGCATACGATGATTAAGGCCGAACCAGAAAATGTTAAGTTTCAAGTATTTTCAGAACTTCAACGTGTTGCATTATTAGTAGGTTATGATCTACTTTTTAACCATATAGTTTTCCTGTGTGAGAGAATAATAGCCAATCTTTTTCAGATATGAGAAACTAAAGAAGTACCGCTAAAATATATGTGTTGATGGTTGAGTGACTTAAAAATTTACTTTCATTGAAGTACTGGTAATATTCCTTCCAGTCAGCCCATTTAGCTAGACCTGCATAGATCACTATACCCAGTCCTGCAGCAAGTATTATCTGATGCGTAACGGAGTTACTTGCATTTTCCAAAACAAATTGAAAAACCAATGTTACTGCATATCATTAGTAAAACAACTATAATCAACCTGCTTTAGGTCGATTATGCTAATAAATTCCGGTTGCCACTGCAGTTATCATCATTTATCTATGACTAAATACAACATAAAAGAAGGGAGAAATAAAGGAAAAACATCAATGATGCTGCTCCCAAGATCAATTGAATGTTTCTCTCCGAGGCTATGATATGTCCAGAGAACAATCAATAATAGTGCTTGTTTATAAAATAAATCACTTACAACTACAGTGAAAACATGGTATTCAATCTTGTATGCTTGACTGGCCAAGTTCAAAATAAAATTTCATCAAAGTCTGTCATTACTGATGTTTTTTCCAATCATGAATTTATCCATGCGAAAATTTTAGTACAGATCTGATGCATAATCTAAAGAAAGATTTAAGATATAAGAGAAACTGAAGAGAGTGTAATGCTATTCAAGAATAGTTGGCTTAAGCAAGTTGAAAAATTCCTACCGCGGCAGTTAATTTAGATTATAGAAAGTTGAGAGGCCATCTTCTGAGCTCACTTTCATCAATAAGAGGTGGTGGCGGTCTCCGAAGTACAAAATAGGGCAGAAGAGTGTATGCCCCGGGGCCAAGTATGAAACCATTAAGAACGGCCAGACAGGGACTTTGCTTTTGGAGCTGCGCATGAAAGGATAGATAGCACAGATAAATTCATTTGTCAAACATTGATGAACATGGTACTCCAAGAATATTGCAACAACAGCAGATACAATATTACAAATAGTAAAGTGACCCTTAATTTGATCTTCAATTTAAAATATTTACACTAGTGGATACCACAAAATCTTATGTTATATTTAACGAAAGTATAAATAAACTCTTAATTGTTAGTGAATATATTGTTTTGATGGCATATGCATTCAACAAAACTAGTTTCAATGATCCAACAGTCAAACTTGTTTTTTTTATACTTCGAGATCATATACGCCAAAAATCGGAAAAAATAAATATTCAGAGATCAAGTAATGGGACAAAACTTTTCGACGATTATAAATAAAAAATCACGATTTAACGGTTATTTTAACTCCGATTTGATGATTTTTTATAGCTATACTCCTTGACCCTATATGAATACAATGAACTAATTCGATTGTCAATTTAAAAAATATATTTTCTAACAAAAACCCAATCCTAACAACAATATTTTTCTAACAAAATCCGATCCGATCTAAAATAATAAATTTAAAGCTACTTAATAAATATATATACCGTTTAATTTCTTAAGTGTTATGCATACAAAATAAAAAACAAAAATAAATTGGTTTAGGCGACGAAATGTTTGGATTACGTCATGCAAAGATTTTAAAAATAATTGTTTTATTTATTTTTATAAGGACTTTGCGCGATGAAGATTATTGTTTCGTTGCACAAAGTCACTTTGAGCAACGATGTATTGTTGTCGCACAAAAGTTTGTCGCGCAAGACTTTGAGTGACGATGTATTGTCGTTGCGCAAAAGTTTGTTGCGCGAAGTGACTTTTTGCGACGAATTGTTTTTTGTCACGCAAAATTTGGTCGCGCAAGACTTTGAGCGATGAATAGTTTTTCGTCGCGCAATTTTTTTTTACTAGTGTTTTATGCTGTTGCCATTTGGTAATTTTGGGCGGCCATTAAAATGCTGCACTCAAATTACCATTCGGTATAATTTGAGTAAGCCACTGAATCCATATAGAATGCATGCACCTCTCTTAGTGTGATGGAGTAGGTGGGTGCCGTTAGGTATCCCATGATTAAGCAGCAAGCAAGAATGTTCTCTAATTTATGAGCTTTCTGAAATTGATGGAGAATTGGCAGCAAGCATGGTTACTCACTGTCCACTGTCTTGTCGTTTGGCAGGCAAATAAGCAGGTTTGGTGGGGCTTTGTAAGAGGCAAGTCCCATGTGAGTTTGGTAAGGCTTGCTGTATGATAGCCGTGTAAGACCTTGGCTCTTGTGAAGCTTTTGGTCATAATGGCTGATGGTTATGAATAACATTCTTTTGCAGATTGTGCACGTGGCCTAGCCATGGATTACTTGATCCCAATGGTGGTCCACTCCTTCCAATATTAAAATGTAGCAAATGATGAATATGCCATTTATTTCATGGATGTGGGTCACGTGGTTCCCTTGGCTGAAATGATGGCTTCCGCTGTCTTGACTTGGACATCTTGCATATCTTGAGCAATTGATTGATATGGTGTGCGGATCTTTGAGCTTTTTTGAAGCATACAGTTTTGTGGGCATAAGGGTGGTACGGTACCATGGATTATTGGCCGATACTTGTCAAACTCTTACTAGCTTGCCGTTCAGTAGCTTCGGCTTTCCATTGAAGATCTGCTCCCACCTTACCGTTCCTTAAGTTGGAATTGAGTTTGCAAAACTACACATCAAGAGCAAAGCATGGCGGGTCTCGTGTGTCACCATTTGGTAATGTGCTTTCGGAGAAGAGTGAGAGGTAGGCATATTGAGGCTAAATGTGAAGTTACTCTTCGGCAATTGGACAGAATTTTGGAGAATGATGTGATGCTGCTACATCAGCACCTGTGACTTTCTATTCCTCCATGGATGTTATGCTTTTCACATATTTTTATCCTCTCAACCATGTGCAAGGGTGCCTTGATGAAGTTCTTTGCTTGGGGTGCCGTACGGTATCATTGGTTCTGATTGGCATTTGAATGGCAGCTGGGTACCATTAGAGATTTTTGGAGAGATGTCTTCTGCTGTGTATTGGCGATTAAGTGCCCAATATAATTATGCCAACTCCCTTACAAGCATATGTGCTTTTGACTAAAATTGATGAGAAATGGGCAATATTGCCCAACAGCACCTGGGCCACAAATAAGGCATTTACCTTTTTGAAGAGTGATGTTCTTGAGAAGGCATCAGCAGCTTGTGTGACTTTCTCTTCCTACCGTTCTGCAGTTTTGGATTGCCATGGGATAGTTGCTTCCATATGTCCAATATTCATCAGGTACCGAACAGTAGTTGTAGGAGCTAGTTGCTTTCATCTCACCAATGGCAAGCGCCGAATGATGACGAGGTGCCAAAGGCATCACATGCGCCAAAGAGGCGAAGTGTCGAAGGCATACCTGCGCCGAATGGTGGCTGGGTGCTGAAGGCATCTCACGCGCCGAATGATGAAGCTTGTAGAACAAGCTTAAGTTCCCATTTTTACTTTTCAAAGGGGTGTCGAAGGTCACCATAACTCACCGAAGGTATGAGTGCCGAAGGTCACATAATCGCCAAATGGTCGGGGTGCCGAATGACACAACATCGTGTGGCGATTGCCAAAAGTATAAAGCTTGCATATTATGCCAATGTTCTATTTTTAATAGACTTGTGCTTTTCTTTGAGCTCATTGTGGAAGATCATTACCAATGGTTATTGCCGATGGCTAATAGTCTTGGGTTTTTTTTCTTTTGGCATATATGCCGTTGATCATTACCAATAATTATTTCCGATGACTAATAATCTTGGGTTTTGATTTTTACCAATGACTATTGCCGATGGCTAATAATCTTGGGTTTTTTATTTTTTCAAATGACTATTGCCGATGACTAATAATATTGGGTTTTTTCTTTTGGCATATATGCCGATGATTTTTACCAATGACTACTGACGATGGCTAATAATCTTGGATTTTTGCTTTTAGTGTACATACTGATGATCATATGTGCCAAAGGCAATAATGTTATGTGATAATGCATATGTGCCGATGGCAGCGATGCAAATGATGATGATGTAGATGTGCCAATGGCCATGATGCGCATGTAATGATGCTTATGTGCCGAAAGGCAATGCGGTCACTTTGTCAGTGATTAAAACATTCTATTGAATAGCAGGGTGTTGAAGGCAAATGATGCAAAATGCCGAATAGGCATGTCTTTACTAGCTGCCGAAAAACAAGGTAAATGGTGCCGAACGGCGTGTTGTACTCTTGGTGCTTTTGAGAAGGAAACCATGAGGTTGTGTCTTCCAAAATTTAGTTGCCACCACCTGGTTCAGAATTCAACTTGTGGTGGGCCCATGAAAATTGGTTTATAGGTTTAGTAATTTTGGAAATTACTGTTCGGCAATTGACTTCAGAGATCCATAGGGAGTTGGCCTGCACATGGAGCCACATGGGATGCCGTTTGTTAACCTCAGAATATTTCCAAAACTGACAGCTTGAATTTGACACTCTTGATATGCCATTTAACATTCCTGTAGCCGCTTGGATTTTGATTACAGTTCGGCAATTTATGCTAGTGATGGGGCTGAAGATGTGTCAGCTTTAGCAAGCACGTGAATCACCGATCAAATACCTGTTGTTTAGCACTTGCAAGAAGGCATGGGTGTACTGATAAAATTCTCTGCTGGAGGTATCGAACGGTAATGTCGTTGGAACATTTGGATGGCTTGAAATATTTTGGTAGAGGAGAAGTTTTGATGTTGAAAGTCCCCTTCGTTGTCAACCTTGCCATTCAGCAGATATGGAAACTGTCCTTCGCAATCTGTCGTTGCCCTACCGATCGGATGGGGGCACCCACGTTTTATGAAGGCACCTTGGGTGTCCTGAGAAAGTTTCCAACATGTAGATGTGGTTTGATAGATTGGTAAGAGTTATTATCGATGGTGCCTTGAGTTTGACAGAGTGAGAGCTGTTATGAGAATTTGTGAAGCTTCCTCGTCTGGTGGTTTGGATGAGAAAACTCCATATGGGTGCTGTGTTGTCGGTTGGTAGGTAGCCATTAAGATGCCATGATGGAGCTTATCTCATAGAATGGATACCGGATGGCATGTCTCGTTGTGCCATGCTTTCATATCTTGGGTTGCCGATTACTACACCAAGTTTTCTGATTGGATGCCATTATCCGAGACTTTTGGCTTAGATATCTTTATCAATTTGTTTGGCATGTGTCGTTTAGTAGGACTCTCTTAGCTTTTTATGTAATTGCCTGGCTGAGTGGCTTTTGGTGGTTATCATTTTGATATTCACCATACATGTTGGCAGCCCTCCTTAGTAAAGTATGCAATGTGGGCTCCCTCCAATAATGCATTCCAAGGAATATGCTGAACGATATGGCATGTAAAGAAAAGCTAGGGTGGTCCATGTATTTCCTCTTCTTTTGACTATTATATTGCAAGGATTTATCTTCTGCATGTCACTCTCTTGGCATTCACAGTTGCTTCAGCATGGGATTGCCGAACAGTAACTTAGGTGATGCTGATTGTAAGGGTGCCGAAGGGCACTGAAGAAAGGGAGAACTACAAAAGCCTTTTGCGTCGTTTCCCACAGACGGCGCCAAACTGTTGATGCGAAAAAGTGGTTCGGCACTTTTGGGCTCAACTTAGTGATGTATGGGCCTTGGTAGGGCGCGATCCTGCAAAATGAGAATCCGCTCGATAATACCTAGGGCATCAGTGTGGTACCGGCCGAAGACTCTTCAATACTTAAATAAGTACGAATTTAGTAAGAGAATTGAACAGATTTGGAGGTAGTATGCCGAAAGTTCAGATTACCCCCATTTTGGGGAATTGTGTTCCTTTTATAGACCTTGGGAGGTGTGTAAGCTGTGTATAATTTTGATGTGGGACTGTAGATATTCACAGTGGATGCGCCACGTGTCCAATGGGCGATTTAGGCTTTAACCGTGAGATCGGTAGGCCGGGGTGCCGAGGGCTTCCTTGCTGATGCCACGTTTTGTCCACGCGTTAGGCTCTTATTGGTCGCTGATTTTGGTATAAAAAATTTCCACAATCAGTAAACAAAGCTGCGATAGGAATGGAATCGTGGTGGTTGAAGTTTATTTCTGTATGTAGTTTTATTTTGCTATTACTCAATGCCACTCATTGTTTTTCACCTGTACAGAATCAAGCACTTAGCCAGGTTGATGAGTGCTCACCCTTGCTGCAGTTCAAGGAAAGCTTTGCAATTAGCAAGTCTGTTTCTGAAAAACCTCTTGCTTATCTGGAGGTTTCATTTTGGACGCGAGAAGGAGATGGGAATCGGAGTAATTGTTGTTCATGGGATGGTGTAGAGTGTGATGAGGACTTTGGTCATGTTGTCGGCCTTAACCTCAGCAGCAGCTGTCTCTACGATTCCATCAATTCCAACAATAGTCTCTTTCGCCTTGTTCATCTACAAAGGCTTGACCTCTCAGATAATCGCTTCAATTTCTCTCAAATACCATCAAGATTTGGTCATGATCTTTTGAGTCTAACATATCTCAACCTTTCAAATTCCTTTCTCTGGCCAAATTCCATCAGAAATTTCAAAGCTATCGAAGCTGTCTGCCCTTGATCCGTCTTTCAATCATCAGAAAGGTGATGACAGTATCCCTTTGAAACTGACCAAGGGCAACCTGAGAAGCCTCGTTCAAAACTTTACCAACATAAAAAAGCTTCATCTTAGTGGGGTAAACATATATTCCACTGTGCCTGATATCTTGGTCAATGCATCTTCTCTTACATCTCTCCAACTTTGCCATTGTCCATTGTGGGTTGAATGGGGAATTCCCAATTGGCATTTTCCACCTACCAAACTTACAGGTTCTCTATGTGCACTATAACTCAAACCTTACTGGTTATTTTCCTAACTTTAACAGGAGCAATGCCCTCAAGAAATTGAATGTTTACCGCATGAATTTCTCTGGCCAACTGCCTACCTCCCTCGGAAACCTTCATTCCTTGATTGTGTTTGTCATCTCATCGTGTAATTTTCATCCCAATGTTCCATCTTCAATCGGAAACCTTACCCAACTCAGTTACTTTTCCATGTCTTCATTTACTGACGTTTCCAAAGGCAAGCTATCTGTTCTTTTTCTTGGGTTGGAAAACTAACCAAACTCTACCACTTCAACCTTGGAGATACCAACATAAAGGGAGAATTCCTATCTTTTGTGTCTAACCTGACACAACTTGAATTTCTAGACTTGTCCGATAATGAAATATCGGTCAAATCCCATCTAAGCCTTTCCGGTAATAACTTGAGTGGGTTGGTTGAGTTTGATCAGTTTTCCAAGCTCAAAAAGTTGAAGGGCCTTGAATTATCGAACAACATGTTATCTGTGGAGATCAGAAATTATATAAGTGCTACTCTTCCAAAGCTTCAAACTCTAGCACTGGGCTCCTGCAACTTAACAGAGTTTCCAAAATTTTTGAAGAATCAATCCGAATTGACTGAGCTAGACCTTTCTGACAACTATATTCACGGCCCAATACCAAAATGGGTCTGGAATGCAACTAGAGAAACTTTGTCAGAACTCTCTCTCGATTACAACTTTTTAAGTAGATTTGACCAAAATCAAGGCATTCTCCCATGGCCGAATTTGACCATTCTATCTCTTGAGTCTAACATGTTACAAGGACCTCTGCCAATTCCACCGCAATCAATCAGATTATATGATGTCCACAACAACGAATATACTGGAGAAATTTCACCTCTGTTCTGCAACTTCAATAATCTCCAAATTCTCGAGTTGTCCAACAACAATCTCAGTGGCATGCTTCCACAATGTCTGGGAATTGTTGATTTTAGTTATAATCAGATGCAGGAGAAGCTCCATTCTCGGCACAGCTTTGAACCCGCGTAGAGGGAACTCGCTCTCTTTTCCATCTTCGTCTTCCTTCATTGTTCGAGCTCAACAGGTTCTTAATTTTTAAATTTCTTAGTTTATTTGCAGATGATCGTGTTTACAACGCAATACATTGAATTGATATTTTGAATTTTCGTTGAATTTGTTTGATTGTTCTTAGATGGAGTCTAAGGATGACGAACCTGAGCCTGTGAAAATTGAGCTGAAAATCAAGGAATGGGAGAATAGCATGTACCACAATGAAGTAGCTGCGAGCCAAGGCATCCGAAGAAGGAGACCACCAACTGGACCCCCTTTGCACTATGTTGGGCCTTTTGAGTTTCGCTTGCAGAATGAGGGCAATACTCCACGAAATATTTTGGAGGAAATCATTTGGCACAAAGACACTCAAGTTGCACAGGTGAAGTCATCAACTTTATGTTTTTGATGAATTGGGTTGTCAGAAAACTAAAACCCAAGAAAATGGAGGATTTAAAGATCCAATTGGAAAAAAAGCATAGTAATTTAGTCAAATTTTGTATTGGATGTGTTGTTAATTTGAATATTGCTAATGACATTCATGATTTGATTGCTGGTTTCAGTTAAAGGAGAGGCAACCTCTATAATCTTTGAAGAAAGCTCTTGATAATGCTCCTCCCGTTAGGGATTTTATTGGAGCTCTTAGAGCAGCAAATTCACGAACTGGACTGCCTGGTTTGATAACTGAAGTGAAGAAGGCGCCTCCAAGTAGAGGAGTCCTGAGAGAAAATTTGACCGGTAAGTTTCGTTGCTTTATTGTGATTCATGCGCTTGGAAGTTTGTTTCTATTCCTGTCCTGGTGGTACCAGATTCAGTATGCTGAATTAATTCATGTTCATCAGAATAGAGGTGGTGTTTCCATTGGAAATGAAATGGAAGCATCATTTCCAAACCTTGTTCTGTGATACTGATCAGGAAGGATATACTTTTCATCCTAGTCCAATCCAACGACTTCCTCATTTGGTTGGAATGGGACAAATGCATTATATATGTATGCTTGTTTGCAGGGACGGAGCCAGAAATTTTCTTTAGTGGGAACGACTTTGAACTATATAATAAGATTAAAAAAAAGTAATGCTAAAAGGGCTGCATTCTTTTACCAGTGATCACGTTATGTAACAGTTCGCATCCGCCTCTTACATCAATTATTATGCCAGTTATTAACAATAAAATTAACATTTTTATACCAATGATAATTATAATTAATTCAATTGAAATCCACTAAACTAAAAATTTGGTCAAACCTAATATTGGCAGATAAGATTACATAACTATAAGTGTAGTGTAGTTATATTAAGGTGAAGGAGGGGAGTATTGGCAGTGCTTGTATGCTGTATCTTTTCTACATATTAATACAATCATATCTTTTGGGAAAATAAAACTTGAGTGGGGGTAGCCGCCCCCAATGGGCATTAGCTGCCTACGTTGCTTTTGTATGTATGATAAAATCGTTCTCTCCCCAAAATCTTCTCATTAGTTCTTATTCTTCTAATATTTTCTCATGATAGGTGGAAATTGCCCAAAGTTGCGCATCATTGACTTATCTAACAATGGTTTCTCAGGTATGTTGCCTTCTAACTACTTAGAGATCTGGAATTCCATGAAATATGTTGATGAAAACCAGCAAATTTATTTTCAAGTACATTCGAATATCCAAAGGCGCTATCCTTATGTGTACTCGATGATAATAGTTGGCAAGGTGTTGAGTTGAAATATAAAAAGACCCCTTATCTTCTCAAACTCATAGATCTGTCAAGTAATAGATTTGAAGGAGATTCCAGCAGGTATCATGGGGAATCTAAGTGGCATTGTTTGGCTTAATCTTGCGAACAACACTCTCACTGGTTGCATCCTGTTGAGAATCATTGACTTAGCTACAGTTTAGGGATTGCTTTGATAGAATAGGAAAGCTGTAATTGATTGATTAGCTCTATATATTCTTACCTTTTTATATTGCTAGATTGTAGAGATAGCTTCCTAATTCTAGGAAACTTTTTTGTATAAATCTCACCTATTGCTTAATGGAAAATTGATTCTGGCAAGTATTATCTTTTGCCTCAGTTTTACATGGTATCAGAGCAGGGCACGACCCTAGCTCTTTCTGCTGCTATTTTTTCTTAGCCGCACCTTTTCCTTTTCCTTTGTATCGTTGTCTGCAGCCATGGCCAACGAACAAAGCTCGGATGGAGGCAAATCAGAAAAGTCAGAAGTCTTTTCAGCCTTCATGACTGAATGTGTGTGGTGATGATGATCAAGGACTTATAATCTGGTCCAAGACTTTTCAGCCTTAATGACTTCAGAGTGATAAACACGAAATAAACTACTTGTAGAATAAGTTATGATCGAAGACGATAAACTTGACTTCAAGTCATTACATTAATGGAAGAGGGTCCATGCATATGGACGCTGCCGATTGCATCTCCACCATGTCTATTTGATGGGCTAGAAAGTGACTATTTTGTTCATTTGGGGAACCAAGACTTCTTTCATGTTAAGACTGGCACTAATTATGAATTTTACAAGGTTCAACATATTTGTATCACCACGTTTCAAATATTTGTTTGAGAAGATGGAAGACATATGATCAAGACCTTACATTCAACTGTTCTTCCTATGGATATTGAGGCTTGTGGTCGATTCATTCTCACGTTTGGCTTCACTCCGTAAGTTCTCTTCACATTTCTTGTGTGTTCATCAATAACATTAATTTGTACGTTGAATTCTATTATATTTTGTATGTATCAAAACCCTTATAAATGTAGTTTCTTGTGATCATGATTCTCAGAGAGTGCAGGGATTATGAACCCATAGAAGGGGAGAGTGCAGCTAGCATGAAGCAGCCCAAACAAGAAGATGAAACCACTATCAAAGAGAATTATTTGATGTGTGGGAGGTGAAAGAAATGTGTTTATATGAAATGTAAGTCTTAGATTAGATATTATTGAGGTGTTTTACTGCCATCTAGGCCCCTGATGTTATAGTGGAAAAAGATGTTATTGATTGTGATATTTAGGTGTATGATACATTTGATTTGATCTCTCCAATTTTTTTTTAAAAAAACTAAGCATTCACAAAGCGAGTGCAAAATAAGACATATGGTATGTGATGCTAGTTGATTTAGTTGTTGAAAGCGCGGAAGAATTTAATAAGACATACTTTTCTGTAGAAGTTCCAGCTTTAAGACTTTAAAGACTTTGAATGGTTAGCTTTGGAAGACTTTGAAGACGATAAACTTCTCTTCACCATCTTTGGCTTCTTCTCTTTGATTCCCTTATTTTTTTCGATTCTTTTTTTTTTTTTTTTTTTTTTTTATCACTTTTTTCTTTCTAGTTTACCAACTTACAAAAGGAGTTGTGCGTCTATAAAAGGAGTTTATAATTTCTCCACCCTTAATTGTGTGAGAGCCATAATTAAGCATACATAATTAGAAAAAAAAATTGCAATGGGAATCGAATCGTGGCGGTCGAAGTTCATTTCTCTACGTTGTTTTATTTTTCTGTCACTCATTGCTACTCACTGTTTTTTATTTGTGCAGACTCAGGCACTTGGCCAGGTTGATGAGTGCTCAGCCTTGTTGCAGTTCAAGGAAAGCTTTGCAATTAGTAACTCTGTTTCTGCAGATCCTATTGCTTATCCGAATGTTTCATTTTGGACGCGAGAAGGAGATGGGAATCGGAGTAATTGTTGTTCATGGGATGTTTGAGTGTGATGAAGACTTTGGCCATGTTGTTGACCTTGATCTCCGTAGCGGCTGTCTCTACGGTTCTATCAATTCCAGCAACACTCTCTTCCGCCTTGTTCACTTGCAGAGGCTTGACCTCTCAGATAATCACTTCAATTTCTCTCAAATACCATTAAGATTTGGTCATGATCTTTCGAGTCTAACGTATCTCAACCTTTCAAATTCCTTGTTCTCTGGCCAAATTCCATCAGAAATTTCAAAGCTATCGAAGCTGTCTACCCTTGATTTGTCTTTCAATTATCAGAAAGTTGATGATAGTATCCCTCTGAAACTGACCAGTGCCAACATGAGAAGCTTGGTTCAAAACTTGACCTCCATAAAACAACTTCATCTTAATTGGGTAGAGATGTACTCCACTGTGCCTGATATCTTGGTCAATGCATCTTCTCTCACATCTCTCCGTCTTCACAATTGTGGGTTGTATGGGGAATTCCCAGTTGGCATTTTCCACCTACCAAACTTAGAGGTTCTTTATGTGCGCTCTAACCCAGACCTAACAGGCTATTTTCCCACCTTTAACAACAGCAATGTTTTCAAGAAATTGGATGTTGCAAGCACGAATTTCTTTGGCCAACTGCTAACTCCCTCAGAAACCTTCATTCCTTGACTGTTTTTGCCATCTCATTGTGTAATTTTCATCCCAATGTTCCATCTTCTTCATTGGCAAACCTTACCCAACTCAGTTACCTTTCCATGTCTTCATTTAATGACGTTTCCAAGGGCGTGCTGTCTGTTTCTTTTTCTTGGGTTGGAAAACTAACCAAACTCTACCACTTGAACCTTGCAGATACCAACATAAAGGGAGAATTCCTATCTTTTGTGTCTAACCTGACACAACTTGAATTTCTAGACTTGTTCGATAATGAAATATCAGGTCAAATCCCATCTTGGCTTATGAAGTTGACCCAGTTAACAACTATAAGCCTTGGTTATAACAATTTGCAAGGACCAATGCCTAGGTCGCTCTTCCAACTCAAAAATCTTGAATATCTTTTTCTTACCGGTAATAACTTGAGTGGGTTGGTTGAGTTTGATCAGTTTTCCAAACTCAAAAAGTTGAAGGGCCTTGAATTGTCGTACAACATGTTATCTGTGGATATCAGAAATGATTTAAGTGCTACTCTTCCAAAGCTTCAAACTCTAGCACTGGGCTTCTGCAACTTAACAGAGTTTCCAAATTTTTTGAAAAATCAATCCGAACTGACTGAGCTAGACCTTTCCTACAACAAAATTCACAGGCGAATAACAAAATGGGTCTCGAATGCAACTAGAGAAACTTTGTCAGAACTCTATCTCGAGAACAACCTTTTAACTGGATTTGACCAAAATCAAGGCATTCTCCCATGGCCGAATCTGACGGCTCTGTCTCTTGGGTCTAACATGTTACAAGGACCTCTGCCAATTCCAACGCAATCAATCAGATTTTATGATGTCGAAAACAATGAATATACTGGAGAAATATCACCTCTGTTCTGCAACTTCAATAATCTCCAAATTCTCGAGTTGTCCAACAACAACCTTAGTGGCATGCTTCCACAATGTTTGGGTAACTCTAGTGTTTTGGAAATATTGGCCCTGCATAACAATTTTTTAATGGATATATTCCTCCAATATGTCCAAGCAAAACTAGGCTGAGAATTGTTGATTTTAGTTATAATCAGTTGCAGGGGAAGCTACCAAGAGGGGTGATGAATTGTACTCAGTTAAAGGTTCTTAATTTTGCAAACAATCAGATGAGTGACATCTTCCCATCTTGGTTTGGGGCACTTCCAGAATTAAGGATTTCATGGCGTAATTGGGAAGCCTGCAACTAAACATGAGTTCCCAAAGTTGCATATCATTGACTTATCTAACAATGGCTTCTCAGGTATGTTGCCCTATAACTACTTAGAGATCTGGAATTCCATGAAATATGTTGATGAACACCAGCCAACTTATTTTGAAGTATTTACGGATGTCGTCGGTGGACACTGCTTTTATTATTATTACGCAATGACAATAAGTGGCAAAGGTGTTGAGTTGAAATATGAAAGGACCCCTTATCTTCTCACACTCATAGATCTGTCAAGTAATAGATTTGAAGGAGAGATTCCAAAAGGTCCCGTTGGGAACCTAAGAGGCCTTGTTTTGCTGAACCTTTCCAACAACTTTCTCACTGGTCACATCCCCTCATCTTTAGGGGACTTGGCTGTTCTCGAATCGTTAGATCTCTCCCAGAACCAGCTCTCAGGAAGGATCCCGAGTAATTTGGCACAACTCACTTTCCTTGCATATTTTAATGTATCCCATAACCATCTCTCTGGGCCTATACCACCTGGCAAACAATTCGATACATTCCATAAGGATTCGTACGAAGGAAACTCATGTCTGTGTGGAAAGTCTCTACCAAATAAATGTGAAGATTCTGAGAGCTCAACACGGACACCACCATCAATCGTGGAAGAAGATGAAGATTCTGTATTTCAAATTGCACTAGATTGGTATGTGGTTGTGCCAGGAGTTGTTAGTGGTCTGATAGTTGGAGTGGTTGTTGTGGACATATGGACAACAAAGAAGCATGAATGGTGTGTGGAGACATTTAGCAGGAGGAGGAAGCGAAGAGGCACAAGGGCTAGGAGGGGACGCATAACTTAGCTCAAGGCCATGTATCTGTGTTTATGTATGCATGTTTGGTGTGTCCATAAGGGAAGTATTTGTGAGGTTTCGTGGTACCAATTGTGTAGTATATTTTTCATATGTGGTGGTGTAAGTTATTTGTAGATGTTCAATAATATATTTGTAATGTATTTCTCAACAAGTACTCAAATATGTAGTGTTCTCGAGTAGCCAAATTTGAAATGTGTATGGTTTAATAAAGTGGATTGCAAGTTATGTCTTGAGAAGGGGCGAGTAGCTAAGTCCTCACACACTTGTCTTCTGTATATTTTGTCTTTTGTGTATTTATCGCTTGCTCACATTTGGTGAAGGTCCTCACCTTCACCCATCATCCATCACACCTCATCACTAAGTTGGGCTCAAAAGTGCTGAACCATTTTTTAGCGTTAACAAAACCAAAGTCTATCTTGAAGAATTCACAGCTACAGACACAATAACAAATATAAAAACAACAAAAACAACAAACAACAAATCTACTTAACCTTGAGGATGAACAAACACGATGATGGTAATATTGCATACACACTAATCAAGCTGTGTAAATTGGACGGCCTGAAGATTGCGTCTCCACCATGTCCATTTGATGGGCTAGAGAGTGACTATTTTGTTCATTTGGGGAACCAAGACTTATTTCATGTTAAGACTGGCACTAATTATGGATTTTACAAGGTTCAACATATTTGTATCACCATGTTTCAAATATTTGTTCTAGAAGATGGAAGACATATGATCAAGACCTTACATTCAACTGTTCTTCCTATGGATATTTAGGCTTGTGGTTGATTCATGCTCACCTTGGGCTTCACTCCGTAAGTTCTCTTCACATTTCTTGTGTTTTAATCAATAACATTAATTTGTACGTTGAATTCTCTTATATTTTGTATGTATCAAAACCCTTATAAATGTAGTTTATGGTGATTATGACTCTCAAAGAGTGCAGAGATTATGAACCCATAGAAGGGGAGAGTAGCTAGAATGAAGCAACCCAAACAAGAAGATGAAACCACCATCGAAGAGAATTATTTGATGTGTGGGAGGTGAAAGAAATGTGTTTACGTGAAATGTAAGTCTTGGATTAGATATTATTGAGGCGTTTTACTGCCATCTAGGCCTTTGATGTTATAGTGGAAAAAAAATGTTATTGATACATAGAAGAATAACAAATAAGACATATGGTATGTGATGCATAGAAGAATAAAAAATAAAAAGTAAATGTTAGCTTTGAAAGACTTTTGATTAAAAACTCTGGCCATGGCTTATAAACTCTGGTTAAAAACTTTTCAGCCTTAATGGCTTCAGTTGATGAACACGAAATAAATATATTTAAACTTGGGTAGATCTTAGAAATAGATATGAAGACGATAACCTTGACCAAGTCATTAAATTAATTAACGGTAGATTGGCCTTAATAATTTGACTTCAAGCCAGTGAGGTACATGCATATTTCTTAGTGAGTATATTTGATTTGATTGCTTGCTAGGATCGATAACGAGGAGATAGTTAATGAAACCTATAAAATAATGGAATTTAGGAATTTAGGAATTTTGTATTAAGTAAAAAATTAGTTTAATTGTGACCCTAACGAAAAATATATTTCAATTAACATATGAGGTGCCCTTTTATGAAAATTTTCTAACTCCGCCACTGTTTTAAGTGATTACGAAACAACTTGGTGTTGGCATTATGGGTGGGCATCTAGAGCCGAAATACCGAAACCGTACACTAACCATACCGTACCATATCGATTTCATTCCATTTCATTTGGGATGTGGAGATATTCGGTACGGTACCGTACCATACCAATAGAGTATGTTATGGTAGCAGTATCAAATATTTTGTACTGGTCAATACCGTACTGTACCGAATACTAAAGAATAATTTTATTTTCAGTACTTTCTTTCTACTTCAAATATGTGAGCAGATGTGCATGGTGGCATGGGATCATTAAATCAACCCACATGCCCTGAATCGATGATGAACTCAATCATATCCAATGTCAATGGTTCGCTAAGTCCAAGGCCAGAAACTAAGCATTGATTGAAGAACCTCTCTTAACTTGTCTTTTCTTCTGCCTCATCATTTTAGTCATATTTTACAAACTATGGACAAGCAAGATCTGTGCATAATTAGACAGAAATTTAGCCTTTTCACAACTTTTATTATCTTAACTTATCTTGTAACGCGTTTTTGTGTCTCCTGCAGTGTGCATCTTTTACAGATTTTTTTTTCTCCAGATATTCTATTTCCTACATTGCCATTGACCAACAAATTTGACAGTTCACAAAGCAAAGTTTATGATAATGGAATGAGGAACAGAAAGCTTTTGGTTTAATTTCCCCAAAAAAGAAAAGAAATCTTTGTTAACTATGTGGTTTTGATCTGTCCTCAGTTTCCAAGAGATTAATACTTTAAAGCATTATGCCAGAGAAATCTATATATTCTGCTGTGGAAAGTAAGAGGGCTTAGTTGCATTGCTTTCAGTCACATCTACAGAGAAAGCATGTGCTCCACATCCTTTTGGAAAATGTATGCTGGAAAGTTCAAAAAGATTTTGAATATTCTATTAGCCGTTCAGATTGACTGAGACTTGGATACATTTTTTTTTGGTGGAACCTGGAAATCAATACCAAGGCGCAAAACTTGGATACATAGTTTCATGCAAAACCAATAATTTTTCAGTAAGATGTATATTTCTATCTATATATACTACTGTCAGAGCTATGTTGTTTGTACAAGCTTCTTCAAGCTTTCTGAGGTTTGAAAGCCTCAAACATGGTTGAGATTTTAGCATACAGAAGTTTGGTGGAGCTATTTGTTTTATGTCATATTATTTGTTTTGTTTCATGTCATTTTAGTTCTTTGGATTTGGTTGATTTGGATATTGAATATGTTGATATGGTTGATTTGGATATTGAATATGTTGATAGATATTGATTTGGTTTATTAGGATTTGGATATTGAATATGTTGAATCTTTGAATCTGTAACTTAGACATTACTTATTTTGGTGAATAAATATGTTGAATATTGAATTAGTTCATTTTTTAGTTATGTCATTTTGGTACCGAAATGGTACCGATACCAATTTGGCACGATATAATACGGTACCAATTTTGACAAACGATAATCTCATACCGTACCATACCGGTTTTAATTTCCGGTATCGATAACGATACGAGCTCAATACTGTAACATACCGTACCGTGCCCACCTCTAATTGGCATACTAAAAAATTACTTTGAAATTTAATCAAACGTAAAAAGACTAGTAATGGTGGAATCTATGAAGCTTGACTTGAAGTCAATGTCAACTCATTCTTTTGTAAAGTTGTAACCAAGTAAGCAAAGACAGCTCATTTTCCATTTCCAAAAGTACATGTTTTTTTTTCCTTTAATTCGTGCTTTTGGACGTTATTTATATATAATAATAATAATAAAGCAACTTTTTTGAAAAAATTTGGTCGGAAAGAAGAAAATACTCAACAACTTATACTGTCCAGTGTTCACAACGAAAATGTCCACAATCTCCGTCGCCTTTTAGGAGAGAAACTTCCCTACCAGGTGTCACTGGTAGTTTTAAATGATATTTTTTTTTCAGAGAAAAGACCTCTGTTTTAAAAAAAAATAATAAAAAAAAAAACAGGCGACCACTTGTTTTATATACAGACAAAAGATGTCCTCAATAGGAAGTCGTTTTTCAAAGGAAGTTCATTGATTTTTTTTCATGAGTTGTACAACCATTTTTTTCATGAAGACGATAACCTTGACTTCAAGTGAGTGAGGTACATGCATATTAAGCAGAGACAAAGATGAACGTCTCGAAGACGACTTGACTTCCAAGTCTTTAAGCAGTGGTGGAGGAAGCAGAGGCATGTGCCCCTCTCAAATTTTCTTTAATACAACGATTACTTTTCTTAACCAAATTTTAAAGGCCCCCTTTTTCTTCTTTTCTTTTCTCCACTATCATTGCTTGATTACTTTTATTGGCTAGATCGGCTATTGGCCCTTAAGTCTTGGAGTGATTGATTTGGCTTTATCACCGCTCATCAAGCATCCCCATTTTCCTTGATTATTTTGCATGAGCTGTGTCTATAAAAGGAGGTGGATTTCTCGATCCTTAATTACGTAAGAGCCATAAGCATTTCCATAATCAGAAAACAAAGCTGCGATGGGAATGGAATCGTGGTGGTCGAAGTTTATTTCTGTATGTAGTTTTATTTTGCTATTACTCAATGCCAATCACTGTTTTTCACCTGTACAGAATCAGGCACTTGGCCAGGTTGATGAGTGCTCAGCCTTGCTGCAGTTCAAGGAAAGCTTTGTAATTAGCAAGTCTGTTTCTGCAGATCCTCTTGCTTATCCGAAGGTTTCATTTTGGATGCGAGAAGGAGATGAGAATCGGAGTAATTGTTGTTCATGGGATGGTGTTGAGTGTGATGAAGACTTTGGCCATGTTGTCGGCCTTGATCTCCGTAGCAGCTGTCTCTACGGTTCTATCAATTCCAGCAACACTCTCTTCCGCCTTGTTCACTTGCAGAGACTTGACCTCTCAGATAATCACTTCAATTTCTCTCAAATACCATCAAGGTTCGGTGATGATCTTTCGAGTCTGACATATCTCAACCTTTCAAATTCCTTGTTTTCCGGAGAAATTCCATCAGAAATTTCAAAGTTATCGAAGCTGTCTACCCTTGATATGTCGTTCAATGATCAGAAAGCTAATGATGATAGTTTCTCTTTGAAACTGACCAATGCCAACATGAGAAGCCTGGTTCAAAACTTGACCGCCATAAAACAACTTCATCTTAATTGGGTAGAGATGTACTCCACTGTGCCTGATATCTTGGTCAATGCATCTTCTCTCACATCTCTCCAACTTCGCGGTTGTGGTTTGAATGGGGAATTCCCAATTGGCATTTCCCACCTACCAAACTTACAGGTTCTCTATGTGCAATGCCCTCAAGAAATTGAATGTTGCCAGCACGAATTTCTCTGGCCAACTGCCTACCTCCCTCGGAAACCTTCATTCCTTGACTCTTTTTGCCATCTCATTTTGTAATTTTCATCCCAATGTTCCATCTTCTTCATTGGCAAACCTTACCCAACTCAGTTACCTTTCCATGTCTTCATTTAATGACGTTTCCAAAGGCAAGCTATCTGTTTCTTTTTCTTGGGTTGGAAAACTAACCAAACTCTACCACTTGAACCTTGCAGATACCAACATAAAGGGAGAATTCCTATCTTTTGTGTCTAACCTGACACAACTTGAATATCTATACTTGGACGCTAATGAAATATCAGGTCAAATCCCATCTTGGCTTATGAAGTTGACCCAGTTAACCACTCTAAGCCTTGGTTATAACAATTTACAAGGACCAATTCCTAGGTCGCTCTTCCAACTCAAAAATCTTGAAAATCTTTATCTTTTCGGTAATAACTTGAGTGGGTTGGTTGAGTTTGATCAGTTTTCCAAGCTCAAAAAGTTGAAGGGCCTTGATTTATCGAACAACATGTTATCAGTGGAGATCAGAAATGATTTAAGTGCTACTCTTCCAAAGCTTCAAACTCTAGCACTGGGCTTCTGCAACTTAACAGAGTTTCCAAATTTTTTGAAAAATCAATCCGAATTGATTCTGCTAGACCTTTCCTACAACAAAATTCACGGCCCAATACCGAAATGGGTCTGGAATGCAACTATTGAAACTTTGTTGGTACTCCGTCTCTATGGCAACTTTTTGACGGGATTTGACCAATATCCAGGCATTCTCCCATGGACAAATCTGATCTTTCTGGGTCTTGGGTCTAACATGTTGCAAGGACCTCTGCCAATTCCCCCGCAATCAATCAGATTATATGATGTTAAAAACAACGAATATACTGGAGAAATTTCACCTCTGTTCTGCAACTTCAATAATCTCCAAGTTCTCGATTTGTCCAAAAACAACCTCAGTGGCAGGCTTCCACAATGTTTGGGTAACTCTAGTGTTTTGGAAATATTGGCCCTGCATGACAATTCTTTAAATGGATATGTTCCTCCAATATGTCCAAGAAAAACTAGGCTGAGAATTGTTGATTTTAGTTATAATCAGTTGCAGGGGAAGCTACCAAGAGGGGTGATGAATTGTACTCAGTTGAAGGTTCTTAATTTTGCAAACAATCAGATGAGTGACATCTTCCCATCTTGGTTAGGGGCACTTCCGGAATTAAGGATTCTCATTTTGCGGTCTAATGGATTTCATGGCGTAATCGGGAAGCCTTCAACTAAACATGAGTTCCCAAATTTGCGCATCATTGACTTATCTAACAATGGTTTCTCAGGTATGTTGCCCTCTAACTACTTAGAGATCTGGAATTCCATGAAATATGTTGATGAAAACTGGCGAACTTATTTTGACGTAAATACGGATAACGTCGGTGGAGAATACATTAATAGTGATTACGAAATGACAATAAGTGGCAAAGGTGTTGAGTTGAAATATCAAAGGACCCCTTATCTTCTCACACTCATAGATCTGTCAAGTAATAGATTTGAAGGAGAGATTCCAGAAGGTCCCATTGGGAACCTAAGAGCCCTTGTTTTGCTGAACCTTTCCAACAACTCTCTCATTGGTCACATCCCCTCATCTTTAGGGTACTTGGCTGCTCTCGAATCGTTAGATCTCTCCCAGAACCAGCTCTCAGGAAGGATCCCGAGTAATTTAGCACAACTCACTTTCCTTGCATATTTTAATGTATCCCATAACCATCTCTCCGGGCCCATACCACTTGGCAAACAATTCGATACATTCCAGGAAGACTCGTACGAAGGAAACTTAGGTATGTGTGGAAAGTCTCTGCCAAAGAAATGTGAAGATTCTGAGAGCTCAACGCGGCCACCACCATCAATCGTGGGAGAAGATGAAGACTCTATATTTCAAATTGCACTGGATTGGTACGTGGTTGTGCCAGGACTTGTTAGTGGTCTGATAGTTGGAGTGGTTGTTGGGGACATATGGACAACAAAGAAGCACGAATGGTTTGTGGAGACGTTTAGCAGGGGGAGGAAGCCAAGAGGCACAAGGGCTAGGAGGGGACGCAGAACTTAGCCCAAGGCCATGTATCTGTGTTTATGTATGCATGTTTGGTGTGTCAATATGGAAAGTATTTGAGCCTTCAAATAATATTATGTTGTATATTTTTCATATGTGGTGGTGTAAGTTATTTGTAGATGTTCAATAATGTATTTGTAATGTATTTCTCAACAAGTATTTAAATATGTTCTCGAGTAGATGTTCAATAATATATTTGTAATAAAGTGGATTGTAAGTTATGTCTTGAGAATTTCTTGATTCTAGCTGATTAATTGCGATTGTTTTTATGTATTTAGAGACTAACAAACTATTTTAGTAATAAGCTTAATCTTTGAGTACTTGTTTTAATTGCGCTGTAATTTTTCCTATTTGGTTATTAGTGCAAATCCCAGACAAAATTGCTATCAACTTTTGACCAACTGAAATTTAAGTTCTTAGAAAAGACTTTAACGACTTTTGAATGGTTAGCCTAATGACTTCAGCGTCACAAAGATGTGATTTGGCTTAAAGTCTACATCCAGACAGAAACAAACAAGTATGCCATTCATTCAAAAACCATCATCTCCCTTCAGATTGAAGAGTTTCTTTAGGAAATAAATGTCCCTTGACTGAAAAAGTTAAAAGACCATATGTTAAGAAAATGAAATTTGGTAGGCATTGCAAAGATTAATTGAACAACCGGGAATTCAGACATGCTCTTACGGTCTCGCACCAGTTCAGTTAAAGACAGAATAGTCCGACAATAAAACAAATGTACAGCAGTTTACTGGTTTTTACATGCCTACGATTTAGGACAGCAAAATGAAACACTACCGAAAGCTATAATTCTTTTTAGGAAGGCCAGTCAACCAAGTAATCCTCAAATAACATCCGAAGCAACAACCTTTAAATTTGACGTAAGTAATCATTTCAGTGTGGAACATTCTTTTGTCTCAATAGAAGAATTAAACCTTCTGAAGGCAATTTAATAAACAAAGCAGATTAGTTCTCATTAGACCTTTATTTATGATTATCCCATCAGTTTTGCTTGAATTTACGGTTATGCCATTATTTTGTGTGAATTTACAATTATAACATCGACTTTTCTTGAATTTACGATTACGCCATTACGTTTGCTTTAATTTACGGTTATGCCATTGATTTTCTTTGAATTTACAGTTATCCCATCAATTTTCCTTGAATTTACGATTATGCCATTGTTTTTCCCTGAATTTACAGTTACGCCATCAACTTTGTTTGAATTACGATTATGCCATTATTTTCCTTGAATTTACGGTTATCCCATCCATTTTTCTTGAATTTACGATTATACCATCAGTTTTCTCACATTTACGATTATGCCATTGATTTTTTCTGAATTTACAACTATGCCATTGATTTTGCTCGAATTTACGATTATGCCATTATTTTCTTGAATTTACATTTATACCATTGATTTTGCTTGAATTTGTAATTATGCCACCACTTTTACCTGGATTTACAATTACGCCAATGATTTTGATTGAATTTACAGTTATGCCATCGATTTTGCTTGAATTTACAATGCCAGAATATTTTAAATGTATAGCCGCGCGGCTATACTTCACACTAAGACAAGAAAGCCCACAAACGGCGCGTTTTATAACTGGATAAACGACCTCGAAACCAAACCACTTATAACCTTAGATAAGGCACTTATTTTACTCTCTGGCTTTGGATAGCCATGGCTGAAGCTTCAAGAGTTCTGCAGACCACTCTCATTCCCAGCTTCCATCCACAACACAAAAGTCCCATATTTCAGTCACTCCCATTGAATTTCCGCAGAAACCCAATTCAGTGCACAGTCTCCACAAGTAACAGCACCAAAGCCACAGTGCCCCAGAAAATCCCATGGGGCTGTGAAAGTGATTCTTTGGAAAACGCTTCTGCCCTGCAGAAATGGCTGACTGACTCGGGCCTTCCACCCCAGAAAATGGCCCTGCAAAAAGTGGAAGTTGGGGAGAGAGGACTGGTTGCTTTGAAGAATATAAGGAATGGGGAGAAGCTGCTCTTTGTGCCTCCCTCTCTGTTTATCACTGCAGACTCAGTAAGATCTTCTCTGGAAAATTTTCTGAAAGTTACTCAAATGCCCTTTTCTTTATTTCAATTTCATAAAATGATTTGGCTGCCAGTGATTATGTATTGGACACTGATGCTTTTCTCTATCTATGATGTTTGTTGTGCTTGTCTTGTTTTAAATCTTAGGAGTGGACTTGTGGGGAGGCTGGTAAGGTGTTGAAGCAAAATGGTGTGCCTGACTGGCCATTTCTTGCAACCTATCTGATTAGTGAAGCAAGCTCCCTTGAATCTTCTAGATGGAGCAACTATATTTCTGCCTTACCAAGACAGCCTTATTCACTTCTGTATTGGTAAGCGTTAAGAATCTCTTTTCCATGATTTGTTCCAATGGTGGAATTTTCATGAGTCTATCATTTATTATGGGAAGAGTCTACTCTCAGGCTTTTTCTACAGCCTTTATATATCATTTCAGGACTCGCGAAGAACTTGATCGGTATTTGGAAGCATCGCAAATTAGACAACGGGCAATTGAAAGAGTTACTAATGTTGTTGGAACGTATGGCCCTGTGTTTTCTATTATAATTTTCTTCAATACACTATTCTCAACTTAATGTTGTGGTGAGTTCATGATCTTGTAATTGCTGAACTGACTATTTATTCCTATCTCTGGCGCAGATACAATGATTTAAGGCTTAGAATATTCTCCAAGTATCCTGCTTTATTTCCTGAAGAGGTATTAAACTTATATAGGCCAGTTGCATATATATACACATATACGTATACATGCTGCTGGAACAACCTCCTACTACTACTCTTCCTTGATTCTGTCATAACTAGAGGAGAGCTTTTTAACATTGCTCAATTCAAGAGCCATATCAGTTTTCGATCAATGATCTGCATACAATTATCTGGATTCCGTAAATTTACTCATACATCTTTATCTCAATATCATATAGTGAAACTATCCTTCATTTGAGCGTAATGTGCACATTCTAAACTTCAATGCATGTATAAACAGGTATTCAACATAGAAACCTTCAAATGGTCATTTGGAATTCTTTTCTCACGCTTGGTAAGTGAAGTACTTAGTTTATAATGACAATGCCATGCTAAATTTGTTTCTGAATCTACAGAATGGTGTCAAATTATACCAGTTGTTTGACCTTGTGAAGAGAATGGTTGTTAAAGTACACAAATTTATGATGTGATATGATGCCATCATCAATATCATGTGGGAAAGGAAGAAATTATCCAAAAAACCTCTGGTTGCTGCTTCTCCAATGTAACTCTGCTAATGCACATGCTGTGGATCTTCAACATTAACTGAGCACTTTCCTTAACTAAAAAGATGATGGGCCAAAAATTCTGATATGAAGTAGTCATACTTCAAATGTTTGTTTAGAAAATATTATTGACTGGATCTGCCTGTGTTGTCCAAGCACCATCTCTCATAAAGTCTGTATCTTCTTTTTTCCTTGGTACTGTCCCACATTTTATTTTTTTGTGCTGTATCAGCTGGTACTGAAATAACACGTTTCTTGAAATTTGATATTGGATATTTCCTCTAAAAGGCAACATTGGTTTGTAAAATGTATGACCTCACCGTCTTTTTTTCTCATAAGCACAGGTTCGGTTACCCTCCTTGGGTGGAAAGGTTGCCTTGGTTCCTTGGGCAGATATGCTGAACCATAGTTGTGAGGTTTGTCTGAATCTCTCAGTAAACATGATCCGAAGTATTACCTTCACAAGTCTTACTCACTATGTGCATCTTAATTTGACTGGCGTAGGTAGACGCATTTTTGGACTACGATAAATCATCACAGGGAGTTGTCTTTTCAACAGATGTGTCATATGAGCCAGGTGAGCAGGTAAACAATGGCCTTTTTTCACAACTGTAGGTATAAATCAATTATTGAAGTTGCAAAGACATACCCAAAAAAGAAATAATTGAAAAGCATTAATTCAATGTCTTTTTAGGTTAATCATTACTTAGTTACGTGTTTAATCATCAACACCTCTAGTGATTCCTTTTCATCACTTAATGCAGGTTTTTATTTCCTATGGCAAGAAATCTAATGGGGAGCTACTGTTATCCTATGGGTTTGTCCCAAGGGAGGGCACCAACCCTAGAGATTCTGTTGAGTTGTCACTTTCCATTTCAAAATCTGACAAATGTTATAAGGAGAAGTTGGAAGCTTTGAGAAAGCATGGACTATCAGCGTGAGTACCTGGTAGCTCTAACAGATCATATTTTTAGTCTTTAGTCATTTTTAAGCTCTCTTTTGCACCTCATACAAACACGGTGAATTTTTTGGCGGTCAGTGTGATGTATACTTGCTAGTCACCAAACTGTATTTTTCTCCCAGCAGATCTCAATGTTATCCTATACAAGTCACTGGTTGGCCATTGGAGCTAATGGCATATGCTTATTTAGCCGTCAGTCCTCCAAGTATGAGTGGACAATTTGAAGAGGTGTGATAGTTTAGCTTCCTAGTTTTAATCAAATCTTCAATATTGTAGAACCTATCTGAAAGATTGTATTTTAGATGGCTGCTGCAGCATCCAACAAATCTACCACCAACAAGGATTTAAGATACAGTGAAATAGAGGAAGAAGCGCTTCAGTTCATATTGGACAGTTGTGAAGTTAGCATATCAAAGTATAACAAATTCTTACAGGTGAGCCAATAATTTATAAGAAAATTCTACATCTTTCAATAACAACACAACTCTATGCACTCTAGATAGGATGGAGCTAAGAACCTTGAACATTTAAGTCACAATTGATTTATACTGACAGGCAAGTGGATCAATGGATTTGGATGTGACATCTCCGAAGCAACTAAACCGAAGGTTGTTTCTGAAACAGCTAGCGGTAGACTTGTCTACCAGTGAACGGAGAATCCTATTTCGTGCTCAATACGTAAGAAAAATGATATTTCGATTCTATAGATTGATTATTCTAACCAGAGCATGAAGCATGCTGCATCTGGTACATAGAAGTCTATAAACACTGTGCATGTAGGTCCTGAGGTTTCATGAAAGTCGGAACTTAAAAAATAGAACTGAACTTGTTGATTGCATGTATTTGGTGAGACATATGCTTTGCTGTTGTTTTTTTATTATGTATCTGTCTTTATTTATGTTGCTGATGTGCATGGTTTCAGATACTGAGAAGGAGATTGAGGGATATGAGAAGAGGTGAACTGAGAGCTCTAACAATCTTCAACGGGTTCAGGAAGTTTTTCAAGTGACAAGAGTTTCAAGTATGATGTGATGTAAACCTGTGCTTACAGTTCTAAGCCATTTTTCTGATGAGCTTTTAGCTCAATTTTACATCCTGGCTTCCTATGTGACTTTAGGCAAGTCAATTGAGTTTTATCAACACAACCATCATTTGGAAGGAGTTCATGGCCAAAAGGATGCATTACTATTTACATGTAGTATCAAAGGGGAACAAGAAAGCTATGACCTTGAGTTTTCTGGTTTATTAAATAGATAATTTCATCTGGTGTGTATAAAGTCTCCTAACAGGTCTCAAAGTCTATCTGGTGTTGATTAAATAGATAATACAATGATAATACAGAGGAAATAACGTTCAAGATAAGCTACGTTTATCAATCCTTTCACTTTACCAACAAGGGAAAAAAAAAACTTTCTCCTATTTTATTTTGTTTTAATTTAGTAAGCCAAATAAAATGAATACAAAAATTTAATGCTCCAATAGAAGGAAAGGAATGCATATCATATGTGGGTTACATTGGCCAAAGCAATATGCATTCCCCCTTGCATCCGAGTTCGATGTCCCTTCCCTTCTCGTGCATTAGACTAGTTATAATATTCTTTTACCAGAAGAAAAATAGAAGGAAATGATGGCCAAATAAGAAAAATAAAGAAACGGAAAAATGGATATAGAAAATTCACTCTAAATAGAAGAAATTCCAAATCACAATCAACCAATTCCTAACGTAAGTCATAAATGCTAATTCAAGGACAGAGCTTTCCTAATTAACCCGGAAATATGTTTTTTTACCCACTGCCACAGCCACAGGCACAGCCTCAGCCTCGGTCTCAGCGCCGAAAAACCCAAAGGCCCAAAAGACGAACAGCCGAGAGTCCCTTTCTTGTTTGTCTGCAAATCCTTATTGAATAATGGAGGGTTTGGCTTCGTTCCGGGCTGTCCCTTCTTTTACTTCCAGACCCAGAAGCTCCATTCTCGGCACAGCTTTGAACCCGCGTAGAGGGAACTCGCTTTCTCTTCCATCTTCGTCTTCCTTCATTGTTCGAGCTCAACAGGTTCTTAATTTTTAAATTTCTTAGTTTATTTGCAGATGATCGTGTTTACAACGCAATACATTGAATTGATATTTTGAATTTTCGTTGAATTTGTTTGATTGTTCTTAGATGGAGTCTAAGGATGACGAACCTGAGCCTGTGAAAATTGAGCTGAAAATCAAGGAATGGGAGAATAGCATGTACCACAATGAAGTAGCTGCGAGCCAAGGCATCCGAATCAGAAGGAGACCACCAACTGGACCCCCTTTGCACTATGTTGGGCCCTTTGAGTTTCGCTTGCAGAATGAGGGCAATACTCCACGAAATATTTTGGAGGAAATCATTTGGCACAAAGACACTCAAGTTGCACAGGTGAAGTCATCAACTTTATGTTTTTGATGAATTGGGTTGTCAGAAAAACTAAAACCCAAGAAAATGGAGGATTTAAAGATCCAATTGGAAAAAAAAGCCTAGTAATTTAGTCAAATTTTGTATTGGATGTGTTGTTAATTTGAATATTGCTAATGACATTCATGATTTGATTGCTGGTTTCAGTTAAAGGAGAGGCAACCTCTATATTCTTTGAAGAAAGCTCTTGATAATGCTCCTCCCGTTAGGGATTTTATTGGAGCTCTTAGAGCAGCAAATACACGAACTGGACTGCCTGGTTTGATAGCTGAAGTGAAGAAGGCTTCTCCAAGTAGAGGAGTCCTGAGAGAAAATTTTGATCCGGTAAGTCTTCATTGCTTTATTGTGATTCATGTGCTTGGAAGTTTGTTTCTATTCTTGTCCTGGTGGTACCAGATTCAGTATGCTGAATTAATTCATGCTCATCAGAATAGAGGTGGTGTTTCCATTGGAAATGAAATGGAAGCATCATTTCCAATCCTTGTTCTGTGATACTGATCAGGATATACTTTTCATCCTCCTAGTCCAATCCAACGACTTCCTCATTTGGTTGGAATGGGACAAATGCATTATATATGTATGCTTGTTTGCAGGGACGGAGTCAGAAATTTTCTTTAGTGGGAGCGACTTTGAACTATATAATAAGATTGAAAAAAAGTAATGCTAAAAGGGATGCATTCTTTTACCAGTGATCACGTTATGTAACAGTTCGCATCTGCCTCGTACATCAATTATTATGCCAGTTATTAACAATAAAATTAACATTTTTATACCAATGATAATTTATAATTAATTCAATTGAAATCCGCTAAACTAAAAAATTTGGTCAACCCTAATATTGGCAGATAAGATTACATACCTATAAGTGGTGTATTACATGACTATAAATGTAGTGTAGTTATATTTAAGGTGAAGGAGGGGAGTATTGGCAGTGCTTGTATGCTGTGTCTTTTCTACACATTAATACAATCATATCTTTTGGGAAAATAAAACTTGAGTGGGGGTAGCCGCCCCCAATGGGCATTAGCTGCCTACGTTGCTTTTGTATGTATGATAAAATCGTTCTCTCCCCCATATCTTCTCATTAGTTCTTATTCTTCTAATATTTTCTCATGATAGGTGGAAATTGCCCAAGCTTATGAAAAGGGGGAGCTGCTTGTCTTAGTGTTTTGGCAGATGAAAAGTTTTTTCAGGTGAACAAATCAGTTTTTTCTGTTTTGATACTCCTACAAGGCTACAATTTGATTTTCTTTGGAAGTCATGATATTTAAAAGTAAAACTATTAGCCATTTCTCACTTGCTTTCGGTTAATCAATATAGGGAAGCTATGACAATATGCTGGCAATAAGAGATGCTGGAGTAAAGGTTTGTTCCGTAAGCAATGTTCTTCAATTCGTGGTATTGTTCACATGCTATGATTTACTATTGGTATAAGTTATTCTTTTAACACTAGAAAAATTTGCAGTGCCCTTTGTTGTGCAAAGAGTTTATCATTGAGGCTTGGCAAATCTACTATGCTCGATCCAAAGGTGCAGATGCGATTCTTTTGATTGCTGCTGTTTTGCCTGACCTTGACATCAAATACATGACAAAGATCTGCAAGATGCTTGGCATGGCCACACTTGTTGAGGTTTGAGTTGTACTTTCTTTTTTGTCTTTTTTTTTACTTTTTTAATACTTTTTTTTTTTTTTTTTTTTTTTTTTTTTTTTTTGTGTGGGGATTTTGTGAGGTTTTTAGTGGGAAAGATGTCCTTGTCTGTATGAGAATATCTGGCCTATTCTGGGCTACTTTCATATGCAGAGTTATGCTTCAGTTACGACATCGTCGATGAAATCTAATCCCCAAAATATCTACTATGTTACATTGTTGCAGGTGCACGATGAGAGGGAAATGGACCGTGTTCTTGGCATTGAGGAAGTTGAGTTTATTGGCATCAACAACCGCAATCTGGGTAAAATTTCCTAAGTTCTGTGAATTGGCATATGCTAGGAAACTTCTATTTCCTCGTACTTTACAATATGGCTGTTTGCAAATCATATCATCTTTATGTATATATTTTGAATGACCAATGTTACCAATATATTTTGAAGCAACATCTGAGAGCTTTTCTAAAGTCTTCAGTAATGTACTTCCTGTTTGAATTTTGTGTGCAATATGATAAGCTTAGTTTTGCTTGCCCGCAGAAACATTTGAGGTTGATATTAGTAACACAAAGAAGCTTCTTGAAGGAAAGCGGGGCGAAGAGATCCGTAAAAGAGACATAATTGTGGTAGGAGAATCCGGTCTATTCACTCCTGATGATATTGCCTATGTACAAGAAGCTGGAGTTAAAGCGGTTTTGGTAGGAGAGTCGATTGTGAAACAAAGTGACCCTGAGAAGGGAGTAGCTGGACTTTTTGGTAAAGACATTTCTTTACAGTCAGTTTAGGGAGATTCCACTGAACTAGTTCAAACAAGAGACATTTCCTTATATGATATTGTATTTTTTTCCTGTCCTTACTCTCTGCATCTAGTCTACATCAAAGAGTAAAGTGGAATAAGGTGTATGCATCAACTGTTTGTGAACTGTGATAGTGAGAGTTTTTGTAACTCAATTTCGTTTTTGTTGCTCAGAAGGATTTTTGTAATTCAATTCTAATTGAGTGACAATTTCAGATAACATTTGCACCCCAAAAGATATTTCTGGTAAAAAGTGTGTTTTATAGGAAAAAGAATAAATGAGGAAATAACTGAAACAAGTGAAAAAGAAAAAAAAGTTTTTCTATTTTATTTGGTTTCCTCAAGGTATGGGATTCTTAGGTCTCCCGTTGCACCCAAAGAAACTTGATTTACTTAAAGGCTTAATTATGTACATGCCCTATGTGCTCTCAAACTTATCTCATATTACTATCTGTGTTTGTAAACGTCTCAAAGTACCCCTCAACCTTTTAAAAACCCCGTTCTGTTAGTTTTTTTGACGTTCCGTTATGAATGTTACTGTTCATTCCCTCTCTCCCCCCAAAAATTCCAGAACAGCAGCCCTCCCCTTTGTTACTGTTCATTGCTTATTTACCCTCCAAAACTCAGAAATTTCTCCTAACCAACACAACTAGCAGCAAGAACAGCTCGAGAGGTTGAAAAACCATACCTGGATTGAAGCAAATGGTGCTCGGAATCGCCCGAACGAGAGATGGAGATTTTGGGTAAAAACCGGCCAATTTCTTGCTTTTTTAGGCAATCCAGACGGCGGTTGGCAGCGGCTGAGATGTGAGGCTGGTAGAGGACAATGTGCTGGTTCTTTTGATACCCATGTCATCGCTTGGGGTGGCTGGAGGAGGAGATGGCAGCCCAAAAACTGGTTGGATGAACAGTAACAAAGGGGAGGGGTTGCTGTTCTGGAATTTTTGGGGGCGGAGGGGGGATGAACAGTAACATTCGTAACGGAACGTCAAAAAAACTGACGGAATGGGTAACGTGAGACGGTTTTTAAAAGGTTTTGGGGTACTTTGAGTCGTTTGCAAACACAGGTGGTAATCTGAGATAAGTTTGAAAGCACAGGGGGCATGTACATAATTAAGCCTTACTTAAATGGTAGAGTCACTAGACTTAAATGACACTAGAAACTGATAGATCTGTGTTGGCAGAAAAACGTAGCTTCATGTTTGTTCGAGTAATAGCAATAAGATTCCTTCAATTTTGCTTATCTCTTTGCATTCAATGACTGACATGTGAATTTCACCAACTTTTTAAAAATATAGAAAAGATAATCATTTTTATCTTTACAGTTTCCTCTTTATATATTTTTTTACTTAACAAAAAAGATAACGCCTTTTTTTTTTTTTGGGTAAGTACCATGAGGTGTCCGGGCCAGCTTGCGCGCACCTCGACTAATCCCCACTAGCGGAACTGAGTCTGTCGCTGGCCACCAGGTATTGCAACTGCTGGGACTCAAACTAGGGAGCAAACCCAGCTGAACCCCAGAGTCTTACCCAAATGGCGGACAAACCACTGGGCCACTCTTGGTGGTTTCTCTCTCTTTATCTTTACGCCTTCTCCGCTTTATCTTTTTCATTCAATGAGTGACATGTGTACCCCACTAACTTCTTGAATGAAAAACAAAAGATAACATTTTCAGCTCTTTATCTTTTAATCTTCCCTTTTAATTTTCTCTTTTTCATTTAATGAGTGACATGTATACCCCACTAAATTCTTGAAAATATAAAAAAATATAGCATCTTCCTCTCTTTATCTTTTCATCTTTCCCTTTTAACATTTTCTTCTTCATTCAATTAGTGAAATATGTATTGCACTAACTTTTTGAAAATATAGAAAAATAATAATAATTTTTTATCTTTACACATTCCCCTGTTTACCTTTTTTAATCAATGAGTGTTGAAAGTATCCTCAATCTCCTTTTCATTCTGCCTCCAAACCCCATTGACATAAAAAACACCATTAATCTGATTTTATCCACCTCATTGCCTCACATAATTGTGGAAGTAACGTGGGTTATGATCACCATTATGCAACAAAGACACTTGAGATCATTGCCGCCAAAGAGTTTCCTCCTTCAATAAAAGGCAATCAATATCACGTTGCAACAAAGCCTTTTGTTGGATGATATGTTCAGAAGGAAATACTTGATGTAGTTTGGCGAGTTAACTTAGAAGCCTTTGCAATTTTTCTGGCACATGCCCAAAATTGGATTTATTCCAATCCGATAAACGTTGAGCACATTCATTCAATTTCTCACATACATCACCTCTAGTATGATCATCACTCCACACAGTTCAAATTGTTTATGCACAATCTTCTTCTTCTATCCACATCTCCTAAAAAAAGAAATGTTTCTTCTGAACTCATCTCCTTTGAGAGTTGTTGTCAGTCACAACTAACAAAGGAAGATGATCAGACTCCAAGTAATCCAAATTATAAGTGATCATATTGGCACAAGCTTGCCATAATCCCTTATTTTCCACAGCACGATCAAGTTGGGCTTTAACATTCTCAACTCCAGCTCTACCATTATCCCAAGTGAACTTGTAAGCCTTGAATGGAATAGCCCGCAAATCACAATCCTCCAAAGCATGTTGAAAGTCCACCATTTGAGACAAAGCTCTGAATCGACGACCAAGCTGCTCTTTATCTTCCAAAATTTCATTAAAATCACCACACCAAATCCAGGGACCCGACCCCACCTAAGATTGACGTCGAAGAAGCTCCCAAGAATGGTGCCACTGATTTGTCACATGATTTCTATAAAAATCTGTCACTCTACAAGAAAAACCTTATGGAGCCTTCACAATAGCATGGATATGAGCTAAAGAGTGAGCTAAGATAGTTATTGTCCAATTTTTATTCCAAAGAAGGGCTAAATTTCCACCTAACCTGCACCTGTTCACACTAAAGCAATAATCCATGTCAAGTCTCTTTCGCACCCCTTCCATATGATGCACATTAGTTTTCGTTTATGACAAGAAAACCAAATTGGGTCACTTTGCTTTGAGGATTTCTTGAAGAGCATGGAATGTTTGTTGGTTCCCAAGCCCCAGAACATTCCAACTCAATAGTATCATGACTTGTGGTGGGCCAGACCACCTGAACCCACCACGGATCGAGAACTTTGTGAATTCATTATTTTTTCTAGGCTTAATTATGTACATGCTCTCTGTGCTTTCAAACTTGTCTTAGATTACCACATGTGGTTGCAAACGTCTCAAAGTACCCCTCCGACCTTTTAAAAACCGTCTCACGTTACCCGTTCCGTCAGTTTTTTTGACGTTCCGTTACGAGCGTTGGACCCTATTTCGTTTGAACCTTTAACCTCTTCGAATAAGTTCTCAGTTCTAACAAAGGGGGAATTTGGGTGAGAAGGGGAAATTGGAGAAGATGGCTTAGGGTTTGTGAAAATCTAAGGTTGGCTTCGATTTTGGGAGAAGCTAGAGAAGAAATTAGGGGTTTATAAAACTCTGAGGTGGAGTTTGAAATTGGGAGATTGTGGAGTAGAAGATTTGGGTTGATGGAAACATGAGAGAAGCAAGGAGAAGGAAGGCATGGCCAATGGTGTCATTATGGGAAGTTAGCATGGATGTAGACTTCTTGGACCAGTTCAAACCCAAGGCAGAGATTTCTAGTCTGCCCAAAGTCAAAGGTAAGCATGTTTAAGATCAAATTTTCAGTCATTGTTTTGGGCATCACAAATTGATAGAGTTCTTATTGATGAAATTGTCAGTGATTGATGAAATTTTTAGTCATTTTACCACTCAAATTTTCAGTCATTGTTCTTGGTTGATACAGGGAAGTGGAGAAAAATGATGTAGGTTTTTTCAGTGGTTTGATGCTGAAATGTGTGAGCATTCAAAGTCTTTGATACCTGGTTTACTGAGGAAGATTGATATGGTGGAGAAGGAAAATGCAAAGATTTGAGCAAAGTCAAAAATATTGTGGGCTGCTATGTTGCTTTCCTGGTTGGTGGTGTTTGCCATGAAGATGAATTAGGCACTTTTGCAGTAGTTCAGTAGGCACTGTAATTTGAGAACAAATGTTAATGTAATGTAAGGCACTTTGGCAGTAGTTTAGTGGGCAAATTTAATTTGAGAACAAATGCTAATCTAATGTAAGGCACTTTGGCAGTAGTTATGTTAGTGTAATGTAATGTAATTTGGTGTAATGTAATGTAATGCTAGTTAAGTTTGTTCATTGTAATTTGTTTAGAGGTTACAAATGGTGACATGAATGTAATGCTACTTAGTTAAGTAATGTAATGCTAGTTAAGTTTGATTTGTGATATGAATGGTAACTTGTTTAGAGGTTACAAATGGTGACATACTGAATGGTCAATTATCCATAACAGACATCAATAATCCCACAAACCAAATAAAAGCAAAAACCAAAACAGATTCCAAAATACCAAAACCATAACAGCCTTAGGAATATAAGCACAAACCAAAACAGGTTCCAAAATAGGTTCCAACCATAACAGCCTTAGGAATATATGCACAAACCAAAACATTCCAAAATAGGTTCCAACCACAACAGCCTTAGGAATATATGCACAAATCAAAACAGGTTCCAAAACCAAAATAGGTTCCAAAACAGGTTCCAACCTAAACATTCAAGGATGAAAAAAAGTCTTCCACAACATTCAAGTCTTCCACAACATGTCTAGATCATTAAAGGCTTCCACAACATTCAAGGATGAAAAAAAGGATCTTTGACAAAATGGCTCCTCTGTTGATCTTTCATCATCCTCCTACGTTGTTGTACTCGAGATAGTTTGGCACGTTCAGATGCTTGAGATGGTTGGATTGAGAAGCATCAACTGCTTGAGATGGTTGGGATTGAGAAGAATCAGCTACTTCAGATGCCTGGGATTGAGAATGCCCTTGGGAACTGCTTGCTTGTTTCCTTTGCCTTAATTGCATACTCTGTTATTCGCTACTTTGGTCTCCACCATCTCTCCTTCTTACCTAAAATAAATAATAATTAGAAGTTTCTATGATAGAAAATTTTGATTGGTGAAAACATAGTTGAAACTGTGGCACTTACTGCAAGTTTGTCCTCGGCAACTTTTCTCTACCTAGTAGGCTTTATGTTGGGATTTCTAGGTTCCCAATAACCAAAGTCATTAAGTCAGAAACCAAATCAAATACATTTAAATGTAAAGCAATAAGCCTATAATGACATATACCTTACAACTAATTCGATTATGCCCTTCACCGCAATTGCCACACTTTAAAGGGATGATATACCTAGGAAGCTTATATGGATTAACAGGTTGTTTAGGTTCATCAACAACTTGTTTTCTTGTCTTCTTAGGCCTACCAGCCTGTTTGTGGTATTTCGGAGGGAGTAATGGAGGTAAATTAATCTTCATCCACTGATCTTGGCTAGTCATAGGCATAATCATTGGTTCATAGGCTCTCAAATAAGCCTCTTTCTTGTACACTGCATCACAAAAGTCCTATGGATTCCCATGAAACCAACTTATTGCAGCACAAGCATGCAAACATGGTATTCCATTCAAATCCCAAGCATGGCATGAACAAGAGTGGGCATTCAAATCAACAGCAAAGGTGCGGCCACTATGGTGCATTACTTCAAACTTATTCTATCCAACAGCCTTAGGAATACACCACTGAGCTTTTCCTTTGTTTTTCTCTAATATCTTTCTAATTCTTGGCTCAACTTGTCCACGCAATTTCTCATAGAAAACCCTTCTTCCAGCCATCAACAACATTATATATAACCGAATTCTTTCTAGCATAGTCAAAACAGGCTTGTCTCTGGCATCCATTATGCTATTGTTGAATGTCTCACATAGATTGTTCATAAGCATGTCACACTTGGAATCACTCTTGAAATATGCTCTACTCCAATGCCTAGGATCTTTCTCTACAAGCCAATCATGTGCAGGTTTAGACAACTGCAACATCTTTCTCATCTCTGCATGAAACCATGGCACTGTTGTGGCCCTAGCAATTGCTTCCATTTGATGTTTCAAGGCAAGACCTCTATGTTCCAAATAAAAGTTTCCATATACTAAAAATAGAAAATAATATGTTCAATCTGGTTATCAAGTTGTTGTGCAGAAGAAAACTAGTGATATTAATAGTGGTGTTGGTGGTTCCAATAGTGCTCAAATGACATTGTATTGGAAATTGATTTGGAGCCTCCATATTCCAAATAAAATTAAGCATTTCTTGTGGCGTGCCTCTCATGATATCCTTTTCACTTGTGTCAATTTGGTGAGCAGGAAAGTAATCCCAAAATGTATTTGTTTTCGTTGTGGCAAGTCCAATAAATCTCTTATCCATGTTTTATGGGAGTGCAAACTAAGCAAGAAAGTTTGGAGGCTTTCTATGTTGGAATTTGTTGTTGAGCAGTGGCATATGTTAAGCTTACATTTGTTGGATGTTGTGGAAAGCTAGAAATGATAATCTTCATGGTGAAGGTGTGCATAATTGTACCCATCTTCTTGAGAGGAGTTTTGAGCTTTATGAAGAATCTCATAATTCTCAAGAACAACCACGTGCTTGTAAGGTTAAATAGAATGAGATTTGGAGTTGTCCCCCTTGAAGGTTTCTATAAGCTCAATGTTGATGAAGCTACTGACAACGCAACAGGCTTACGTAGCAAAGGTGTAGTTGTTCGTAATTATTTTGGAGTTATTATGGGTGCCCTAGCCATGCAAAGCCCTCTCTGGGTTTCCATTCTAGCTACAGAATTGCAAGCAATCTATAGAGGAGTTTTATTTGCTGCAAGTGCTAGTTTTGTCCCTCTCCTCATAGAAGACTCTTCTGAGACTGTTATGATGATTAATTCATGAGAGACTATTTGGGCTACTGTTGACAACATTGTGGATGATGTGAGTAACTTGCTCATGTAGTTTTCTTTAAAGGAAGTCCAGTTTTGACCTAGAGAGTATAACAAAGCTGCTCATGCTATTGCCCGTTTTCTTTAAAGGAAGTCCAATTTCGGCCCATGGAGTCCAATTATTGGTTAGAAGAAGGCCTTGTGTGGCTAATGAATTGTATTCTTGATGGCCTTATTGTAACCAATGCTTCCGGTTAATGAAATTTATTTCTTTTCGATCAAATTTTTTTCTTCAATGAGTGATATGTGTACTCTACTAACTTCTTGAAAATACAAACAAGATAATTTTTTCCTCTCTTTATCTTTACACTTTTCCCCCTTTATCTTTTTCATTTAATGAGTGACATATGCACTCCATTAACTTCTATAAAATTTTAAAAAAAATTACATCTTCCTCTCTTTATCTTTTCATCTTCCCCTTTTAATTTGTTTCTTTTCCATTTAATAAGTGACATGCATACTCTACTAACTTCTTGAAAATATAATGAAAATAACATATTCCTCTCTTTATCTTTTCATCTTCCCCTTTTAATTTTTCTTTATCATTCAATGAGTGATATGTGTACTCCACTAACTTTTAGGAAATATAAAAATATAGGGTTTTTTTTTCACAAAATATACCTAAGGTTTACGAAATTATCAGGTTTCTTCCCTTATGTTTTTTGTTTTGGTGTCAATAGTGGTCCTTAAAGTTAACACTCGTGCTCACAAGTAGCTTCCATTAAGAAGTCCGTTAGTTTGCTTACATGGCACATATGTGGACCCCATATTTCCAATAAAATAAAGAAGTGAAGTAGTAAAGATAAGGTGAAGTTGGAGTACACATATCACTCAATGAATGAAAAGAAAAAGAGGTGAAGTTGTAAAGATAATGTGTTATCTTCTTGATATTGTCAAAAAGTTAGTGCAGTACACATGTCATGTCACTCATTGAATGAAAAAGATAAAATTGAGAAATTGTAAAGATAAAAAGATGTTTATAATTTCTCATTTTTATCTTTTTCATTCAATGAGTGACATGTATATTGCACTAACTTTTTGAAAATATCAAGAAGATAACACCCTATCTTTACAACTTCACCTCATTTTCTTTTCCATTTAATGGGTGGCATGTGTACTAAACTAACTTTAGAATATATATATATATATATACATATATACTTTTAATTCTTGAAATTAGGAAACATGTTTCGAAATTTTCACCTTGCATAAGTATAATATAATAATAATTTGGGAAGTAGATTCTATCCCAAGTGGTGATAGTTGTTTTCGAAATCTACTTCCAATCAAAATCCCTATTATCTAATGTAAAATTGTCATTAGTGCATAATTTTCCAGCCAAACGTTATACTTATTTGCTTCTTCATTATCTCTCCTCTCAATTCTCCCGTTAGAATTTCTTATTTATTATTTTCATCACATGTTATTAATTCACCATTATAACACGTGAATTGATAACAGTACATGACGTTGTAAGTAACTTGTAACATTCACACATATTCTCATTACGTAAATACCATAACACTCTCTCATCTTCTTCTCTTCCCTTCATATCAATGCATATAAAACTTGTTCTAATCTGAAAATAGCAAAACTTTGGCAATTGTTTTGGATCTTGTGAAGGGCTCGCATTTTCTTTTGTAACTTTTGTTAATTGAACCCAACATATAAAACGAATAAAAAAGTATACAGTATTTCTGGACTGGTACAGAATTCGTACAAGCTAATAACAGATGGTAGGGGTAACCTGAAAATGGAAACGTTTTTTTTAATTATTTTGTGTGTGTCCTTTTGTCTTTCTCTAATCTAGAATGTTCTTTTTTATTTCATTTTTGCCATTGTTTCTCTTTAAAAAGCAGAGCCCGTGAAAGATGGGTTTAGTGGAAGGCCATGGGCGGTTAGCATTAGCAAATCATTTTTCAGGTGGTGGTGGTGGTGGAAGGAGTGGGTGTGATGGCGTTGGAGTTCAGGTCGCAGATGGATGACGCGTGGTACGACGCCCGGATAGTGATGGACGGCTACGATTGCCTGAGGGTGAAGTTCGTCGGCTTCCCCGACGACCACGACGAGGTTTTCGACGCCAATAACTTGACTTCCTTCAAAGATATCGCCGAGTTCAGGCGCCGGTTCAGGCCGGTGTCCGTACAGGTTCAGGATAATGAGTGCTCGCAGGTAGCAAAGGGCACGCTCGTCTGTGTCGCCCACGCAATCTGTCCCGACGACCGCCGCTTCTACGACGCCGTCGTCTACAAGGTCAGTTTTCCCCCCTCTCTCTCTTCCCTACCTTTCTCTCTCCCCATCTCTCTCTCTCTCTCTCTCTGGCCATTTCCGTTTATAGAAGGGGGGCTTGTCGCTGTACTGGGGGGGGACCATGAGTGGAAGGCCCTTTTTGAATACATGATTAATCCCCTCAAGATATTTTCAAAATACTTCTCCTCACAAATATATTTTCAAATTTTTTTGAAATACTAGTTTATTAGTTTATCTCTTTTTTTATGTTGGAAGATGTTTCAAGTTTGAATATCTTACTCTCTTCATAATAAAGAATTCCAAAACAATATGCTTGTTTGGAAATGCTTTTCAAGAACCAGTTTCAAGTGATATTTCTATTTTAGAAGTATTTAAATTTTAATTAAATTTTAATGTGCTTCTAATAATTGTGCTTCCAGGGGTTAGCCCTGCACCATAGAAAACCTTATTCGATAATTTGCCACTTGGTGGCAGTCAATGGTGGACTCAGGAATTTTTCTAGAGTTGGCTAAAAAAATTTTTGGGAGATCTTTTATAACCAGGAATTTTTGGGCTAGTTAATATTATATGGTAGGATTAAATATTTTTTATATATAGAAAATGTGGTAGGATTTCAGTGAGTAGAAAGAAAAAAAAAGATGTGGGTGGCTAGGATAGGCTGAATTCTAAAAGATAAATAGGCTAATATTTAATCATAGTGAATTTTATTGCACTGTTGAGCCCCTTCATATGCCCTTGGTGGCGGTTGATTAGGTAGTTCTACATTTTACCTTGTGGATGGATCTTAAACTTCGCTTGGCACCGCTGGCTTGTGGTGCCAATTGGGCTCGATTGTGGACATCTGGCTCTGGTGTTAGTTGGTCACAATGGTGGACATTCGACAACAGGAATGCTAGTTACCTTCTTCATTTCCATTATGACACGTGTATTCCATTCACACATAAATCTATGTATTTAATGTGTTCAAAAACTCTTTATTCTCTTTACAAGGATGGGTCACAATGTTCACGCGGTTTTATAGAGAAAGATGGTGAAGTATACCGAAAGAAATTGACAATGTGAGGTTGGTAGGCACAATGACGCCTCTAGCTCGGTGTCAGTTGGTCTCAATGGTGGACTGGTTTTGTAGATCGGCTCATCTTGAGTTCAATCATACTAACAATGAGATTGGTGACAATGGAAATGACAATTAGATCCCACAACTTAACTCAATGTACAATTGCATTGGGTGAATAAACACTCTTTGTGTGCAATTATGTAAGAAACACTTATAGCTCATTTGGGAGTAATTCAAGATATGCTAAAAAAACATTTTTATGAAGAATCACTTCTTTATAGAATCACTTTAAGTGGTTTTAAGTGATCTTATGGAGAAGCACATGGAATGTGTTTCTGCCCAAAATCATTTAAAATCACTTAAAGGAAGGTGGTTCTCCCTAAGAGTGATTTTGGCCTATTCATAATCACTCCAAAACGAGCCTTATAGGCCAGAATCACTCCCAAACGAGCCTTTATAAATGCTTTTATTGGAAGCACTTTTGTTTGAAGCACAACAAAATTTTCTTTAGAACATGTGCTTCTCCAAGAAGTGCTAAAAAGTTCTTTTATAATCTAGAATCACTAAAAAGTTTGTCTTTTCCAACATTGGAAGAAGTGCTTTTGGTTCTCTAAAAGTGCTTTTAGCTATTCTAAAAGCAATGAAAAACAAACATTAAAAGGTACTTTTATAGTGGTTTGGCCTAAGGGCAATGTTTGGAAGTGCAACTTTAGGAAGCACTTCTTTAGGTCCTTTTTTAATAAGTACTAAAAAGTGTTTAAAATATTTCAAAAATAAATTGTCCATTGATGGTATTTTCAAATCTTTAGGTTTTGCATGAGGATCATCGGTTTGTAAAAGGAGAAGAAGAATGCCCATGCAGCTTCATTCTCTTTTGGAGACACGGTCCAAAAGCTGGGTGTTTAACTGTTCAAGATCTTGAAAACATATGCAGAGTCCAGCCTCGTAGAAGCAAAATGAATCCACTTCTGACCTCTTTTCTAGAAACAGCCAGGGAGAAAATTGAAATCACCCTTTCTAAAATTTGTGCAACTCCTCATGAAGCTGCCTATGATGAAAAAGCTTGTAGGCCCAGCGTTTCTCAACGTTTAAAGCAGGCAAGTTTTTTGTTATATATATTTTTATAAGCTTTTACTATATGTATTTAGTTTCATATATTGGGTTTTGTGTTTTTAATAACATTCATATACAAAAAGTTTTTTTTATATTAACACATTGACGGGTTAGAGCAGCTTTAATGGTTGTATGTAAATTTGGGGATGTAAAGCCACATTTACATCCTCTTTACACCTCTGGGGAATTTAAATGTGATTTTTTTTCTAATGGAATGAGATGTAACCACGAAGCGGGACTCGCAATTGCCCATCTTTTATTAATTTCTCTCTCATCTCTCTTCTTGCACCACTAAGTGAGCCCCACAAGTTGGGATGCAAAATCAGATGCAATTGTGCATCTTTTTTGCAACTTTCGGCGATTATGTATATTACCATTCCTTTACATCTGTCAATTGGAGCACTTTCCAGTGAACTTGGATCTAAATTTAGCATACATCCCCATATACATACAACCATTAAAGTTGCTCTTATATCACGTTTTCATATCCCATTACCATATAATAATTTATAATATTAGAGTTTTCATAAGGTTGCATAAAAGAGCATGTTGGAAGTATATTGCACATTGGAATATGAAGTCTTGCGTTACAATAGACTACCGTGGGTGCCTAAGATTTGGATTTGATTGAATTGGATTGGATAAGGTACTAGATTTGAGGCAAAATGAAGTAAGAAATAAAGGTGGATGAGGTGAATGATTTTTCATTTTGTGGGGATTAAAAGAGATAAGTTATAAGGTGTTGATATGCTATCATTTTGTGAGGATTAGAAGGGATAAGTTTTGTTTATCTTCGACTTTGACAAAATTTGGAAGTTGGCCTCAAATGTTTCCCTTAAAATAAAAGATCCAATTCTAGGCATCACACGTGGCCATAATATCTTGTGCCTCCTCGCTACTTATTGTCAATTAGTTTTAAATTGAATGTTTTCTTTTTTGCATGGACCATAGCAGGAAGCCCATGTATTAGATTAAAGGATGCACGTGTTAAGAGTATATAATGGAATTATATAATATCCTGAGCTTCTGCACCCATTGACAATCAATTTCAGATTGCATGCTCTATTTATAACAAGTGGAGTAGAGCAAATAGGGTCTAGCCGAGTGGAAAAGGGTCTTGCTTTGTAAACCAATGGTCTCTGGTTCGAACCCCCATGGCATCCATATAGTGTGTGTGTGAGATATCTCTCTTCCTTTGTAGTTTAGACTATTGCTTGTATTGAAAAAATAAACAAGTGGTGTGGAAGAGAGTCTGAGATTTAAGGCTTAGTTGCGGGATTGGAGCTATGTAAGAAATCCTTGTAATTGTTTACTTGGTAACGTAATTAACCATCCCTCTTCTCCATTCACTCTCTTTCTCTTGTCTTTAGTTATTATTTGGATTTGTCTGGGACTTTCCACAACTCCATTTTTTATGCTAGTCAGCCTATTTGTAGGATACAAGCACTTCAAGGCGACCCTCAAGCCTTATCTCGTCTCTTAAAGGTTTGTACAAATTGCCCTCAAAACCTTTTCCAAATGCATTAGTTTCTTAATCTTTTACCGTTCCTCAAGGCAGAAATGAATGGAAATCCTTCGCAAAGGGCTGGACGTGTCAGGGAGATCGAAGGGACCCCCCATATGATAATTGTTGACAATCTTGAGAGGGGTTTATCACCGTTAAAAATTGTGGAATTTTTACATAAAAAGGTTTCAATCTCCTGTGAAGCATTCATTTCGCCATGTATGTCGTCTGAGTGGTATACTCGAGGAACCATTCTGGTGGACGGTAAAACGAATGTTGACAAGTTATCTGACTTTCTGGAGGGTCCCGATCACATCATCATCTCCTCAAGTGGAAGGTGTCTAATGTAAAATGCCTCTTTTCTTGTTTGTAGAGGTTAGCTTGAATTGCATTCCCTAAACGTTGGGGTCTAAGCGGTTGTCCAAGCTTTGGGGATGAAGTGTTTGTCAAGCTTTGGGGTCTAAGGGTTCGTTTGGGGCTGCTTCTATAGAAAATATTTGTCCTTGTAAGTGCTTATGTTAAAAGCCCTTTTATTAGAACATCAAAAATTTTGTTAAAATTCCAAGTGCTTCTTGGAAAAGCACTTTGAAGGCGCTTCCAAATGCTTCTCCAAAAACCCTTTTTTATGGCTCATAAGCACTTTTAAATTGTTCTGCTAAATGCAGTCAGAGACGTTTTTAGACAACTAAAAATGCTTTTAACTCTTTCAGAAGCACTGCGAAACATACCTTAAGTGATTGTCCAACGTGGCATAGAGATAGAGTCTCTGTTTGCGGGTCGTGTGTTGGAAACATCCAGTCCCCTTCCGGAAATCTTTGTTGATTCACAAGGTGTAGTATGGGGCTGCACGTATATATTTTTTTTCTTCTCCAATTTCATTTCCTCCTCATGTGCAAGTGGGTCTACTCCTGAGAGATGGTGTTAATTTGATATGCATTGTTAATCTATTTCTTAACATCTAGCTTTGGTTGTCCTACATAAATTATGCAAAGTTGACAATCTTAATATGGTTTTTACTCTAATTGATTGGTTAAAACGTGCATCATTTTATAATTTCATGCAGACCTTGGGTGATGACTGAGAAGACACGGGTACATGAGCCATCCATTAAAAACTTCATGCTTATATCTCAGGTTAGTTCCCTATGACCTCGTTGATTACCATATCATTTTAGTTTTTAATTTTTACCTGTTTTTAGTTTTTGCTAGGAATAGAGTGTATGGAAAAAATGTAGAGTGGGGAGGAGAGAGGAATGAAGTAGAATGTATGAAAGAAAACTACTGAAAAATTTAGTTTTCATTTTGTGTATCATATGTATTTCTTCCACAAACCTTCCTCTGCAATTCCTCCACTCTTTTTTATCTTTCATTTCTCCCATATATTTTCTTAATATCTATAACAAAAACTGAAAACTAAAAATGAAATAGTTATTAAACGGGTCACATAATTTTTCATGTGTTTGCAGCCCCTTTAGTGATCGACCCTTTAGAGCTCGTTTGGTGCTTAGGCTTGGATATGATATGATTAGGGCCGGTCCTGGTGCTCTTTTAACAAATTAATCATTAAAATTTAAATAAAAAATTAATTAATTAATTAATTAATTTTATTGACAATGATAAGAGTTTACAAAAAACAAGGATAATATTTGGGTCTCGTTTAAAACCTTGCTCGGAGAAAACCCAGTGCGACAAAACCTCAAATGAAGGAAAAACATTACCCAAAAATGTTCAAAACATTGTATTCAATAACAAAAACCACATATTTTGTAACTTTCAGGTGTCCATGCTTCATCTCCAGCCTTCATGAGCACATGTACCTACAAAATAAAAATACTATCATTTAAAATGTCTTCTTATCGCACTTTTGGAAGCAAAATGATCAATTATATTTCCATAATCAATATTTTCCAACATATCCTTTTCAATGGCTAATATTGCTAATCCATGTAACATTCTAAGATAATAATTTGTGGAAAAATGTCTAGAGTGTTCATCCATAGGAAATTTGAGATTAGCGTATCTCCCAGGACCATTTTGTACAAGTATATCTCTCATTTTTGCATAAAGATTATCCCAAACTCGTGGATCATAAATGTTCAAATCAAATCTTGTTTCTTGGCATTCATTTTCTGTATCTTCTTCACCATGGCAATTCTCATTTTCATCCAGACCAGTCACTTTGTTCATATTTCCAGATAATTGTTTCCTAGGAAACATTTTTAATTTTAAGATAAAAATCTCAACAATCAAATCAACACAGAAACAAACAAACGAACAATAATAATAAAGCAACTAAGAATAAGAGCAATAATCTAACTAATGAACGACAAGGAACAACAAAATCTCGAATTTGAGCATTTTTTTCTTCAATTCATGAAGCAAAAAAACCAAGCTCGCTGTTTGTGTGCTTGATATGCAGTACAAAATCGTGTTGCGTTTTGTGTTTTAGAGTTGGAGCCCAGCTCTGTGGCCTACTTTTCTTTCTTTTTAAAGTTTGTTTTGGTACACCAAGATGCACATGGCTTTGTGTTAAGTGCTTCATGGAATCATGGGCATCTGGCCTACAACTTTTAAAGAAAAAATTATTTGTTGCGGCCGCATGGGTTTGTGCTTAGTTTAGCGTGCACATGCTGCTGTAGTATATATATAATATTGTATTTGGTCTGATATATACACTAGCTATATAAAACATTTGCCAGTGGGTTCTCTTCTACCAGAGTGTCTTTTTCAATCCAATCGAATTCAATCTTAAACACCAAACGAGCCCTTAATGCTTTATCTTGACTATTGACTAATCACTGCTTGGAAGTAATCCTTGTATCTGCATTAAAACAGAGCTGTGCCATGATAACTACAGAATTTATCTTCAGAGCCCCCTCCCCAAGAAAGGGTTAAGAAGAATACCAAACCTAGATACAATCTGAAACAACTTGTATAACCGCATCAACGTAATACTATTCTTATTGTTTTTGCAGAAACAACAACAGAGTAGAAGAAGTGAAACTATGAATGAACCGAAGGTGGTCGCTTCAGGAACTGAAGAATACAAGAAAGCCAAGCTGCTTAAAGATTTATTTTGGGAATTTGCTAATCATCAATGCCAACTTCACCGGAGGTTACTGATTGAGGAGGGAAGGATCTGGCATCTTTCCAATGCAATGCAGAAGAGGTAAATGCTTTTAAAGCCTGAGTTCCTTGAGCAATGGTTATTGTACTGTTGTACAAATATACAACAGCTGTAGGGAAAGTTATTATAATTGAGATTGCCTAGGGGATTCCATGAAAAGCTAATTCGGACAAGCAAATGTAAACATTTCTTACATGAGATTTTGATTAGTAAGAAATTAATATAAATATATATCTGAATTCACTTTTCTTTGTACTTAAAGTTTGATTTTTCTCGTCTCAATTTAGTTCATGGTTGCAAAATGATGATTCAAAGAGACTAGATTTAATACCAACTAGCTATTAGTCTGGTGTTATATCTCTTTTCAATGTTAGAAGTTACCAAAATTCGATTACGCCTCCCTATTGATTAAAAGAAAAAAGGAAAGAAAAAAGAATTGCTCATTGCTCCACAGGACAAAACATGGTTAGCTGGTAGACTTGGCAAATTGGTAGTGTTTGTCGCGTTCGTGTCAATCCACTTTTCTTAACAAATTAACACAACACAACCCGTTGAGTTAACGAGGTGAAAAATAACAAACACGAATATGAGCCGTTAAAATAATGAATAACACAACGACTCATTTCACACGTTAAGGATAAAAAAATAAAAAAGTAAAAATCAACTAGATAAGAGTTGGGGGGGGAGGAGGAGAAGAGATAATGAGAAAAAAGTAAAAAGTAAAATAGAAAGATATATAAAATTGCAAAACTACCCCTATTCTTAATGGGTGATAACGAATATTCGCAAATTCACACGACATAACCTGTTAGCTTAACGAGTCCGCACATTTTCAACACGACTCGTTAAGCATTGACCCAAATACTGATTTTTTTTTGTGTGCAAATTTGTGTCGTGTTAACGGGTCGTGTACAATATTGCCATGTCTAGCTGGTGGAGTTGCAAGTTTAAGTTTCTCTCTTGACACTCCAAAATAGTCATCATGCACTTCAAAATAGACCTAACCTTGAATGCAATTAAGAATAAGTGCTCTTAACCACTTGTCCTAGTTTGTTTATTATATTTAACAATCAAAATTTTGAATTCTAAGTAACTGATGCTAATATAGTTTTCTCATATATTTGAAGTCACACTCAATCTCATTTATTTCTACAGATTAAGCACTTGTCACATTTATAAAATTAGAAAAAGCTTTTGATGATGGTTTTGTATTGTCGTCCCAATAATGTTAATTTTGAGTCATGGGTCTCTATACATGTGAATACTTTACCAAAATAAATGAAGAAGTTCATAGTACACTCAAATTTAACTATACTAAATTAGTAATGTAAACACACCCACTTTTTTTTTCCCAATTCTTTTTCCTCACTCTCTCGCATTATGTGAGACTTAGAGAATTGTGAAACTATGTAGGGTCCATTCTATATGAGAAAATTGAGATAAGAGTTGGCTTATATAGCACTACTCATACTTATATAAAAACCCCAAAAAAAAATACAAAACAAAACACCATTCCATTTAAAATGACGAATATGGTAATATATTAAACCAAATAATTATATTATATCCAACAAAATTTCTCGTTTTAAATTTTTACTTTTTTTATACTAGTTTTTGTTTAAACTTTTAGAAGAAGGAATTCAACATTGTATATAATTCTTAAATGACAGAATTGAGATCTCCATCGTTTAAATTTCTAGCAATTAATAATTTCAATGTTTGAATTTATGTATGTCGAATTTTGTAAATGTCATAAATTATAGTGAAAAACAAATTCCTGCTCAATAGAAATGATGCATTCTTTGGCAGAAATTAAACTCAGGAATCTACATCCCCAATTTTCACGATTTTTTTAATAAGTTCTATGCTTGCTGAAGTTGCAAAACAAAGGAAATATCAATTTCTCCTCTTTAATTTCCAACTTTTAGCTAAATTCCAATTTATTTTCCTCCATCCAAATGGGGTAAATGAAGTTTAGAAAATTTTCTTATAAATAAAAAAATAAAAAAATCATAGTAACCTTAATTAGTAATGGTAAAGTGAAATTCACAGTGGGCCTATTCAGTAACACTTGAAGAACAAATGAAACGACTCGTTAGCAAAAGTGCGCTCGAAAACGGCATAGTAGCAGAGCTTCTTTTGTTTTTCTGGTCAGAAGCAGAGCTTCAGACCTGCAAGAGACAAAAGACAAAAACAAGAAACGAAACGGCAAAAGCAAAAAGCAGAGCAGAGAAGCGAGCCAAAGAAAGAAGGGAACTCTGATTTTCTGAGAGAAAGGTGGCCGACGAATCGGGCGGTGGAGGTGATGGAGTTCAAGTCGTACAAGGACGACGCCTGGTACGACGTGCGCATAGAGACGGAGAGCAACGGCGACAGTGGCGGCAATGGCCGGAGACTGAGGGTCAAATTCTCCGGGTTCGCCGACGAACATGACGAGGTCGTCGACGGCAAGGACTTGAAGTCGTTTAAAGACGTCGACTTTTTGAGATGCCGGTTCAGGCCCATGTCGGTTCAGCTTCAGGACACAGAGTGTTCTCAGGTGCACAAGGGCTTGAGCGTCTGCGCTGCGCACTCTGCTTACCCCGATGATCGGCGCTTCTACGACGCCGTTGTGGACGGGGTTAGCCGCTTCATTTCCTCTCTCTCTCTCTCTGTTTATGATTTTGTTTTTTGTTAAATTATGAACTTGATTAGCTAATTAATCTAGTGATTATGATGATTAGGTGGTGCGTAATGAGCATCGGTTTGAAAATGGCGAAGAGCAATGCACATGCAGCTTTATCCTTTCATGGAAGCACGGTCCTTATTACGGGTCATTGAGTGAACAGGCTCTTGAGAACATTTGCAGAATCCAGCCTCCTCTTGCTGTTGACAAATTGGATCCCCTGCTCGCCTCTTTTCTAAACTCAGCCAGGAAGACGGTTCAAGCCACTGGCTTTTTTGATTCAGGTGCAAGGTCTCAACGTTTAAAACAGGCAAGTTTCTTTTTTTCTTTTGGTGTATAAATATGTTCAGCTTTTGATTATGCATGCTGTATTTTGATTATTGCTGGAATATGGCTAAAATTTATGTTTGAGTTTATAGGATTCTTCTTTATTTATTTATTGTTGATGGTTTTTTTTCTGGGGTGCAAATGCTAAGTCCATATAAAAGACTGTTAGGATGTATTTAATAGTGTGAATGATTAATGTAAGAGGAACAAGAGTTTGGTTGGAAGAGTGAACAAAATTTGAATAAAAAAGAGAGTTGAGAGCCTTTGGTGTACTTGAACTCTGGTTGTGAGGTTGAAAGTTGTTCGAAATTCTGGTAGTTCTTTGGTTGGTAGTGAGTCCATGGATGTTGACAAGTATATCAAACATCTTAGGCTTTTGGCATCTAACAGTAACTTTGAGTGTTCCATCTTGTCATTACATGTTAGTTGGATACTTCTGCTGTATGGTTTGGGTGATTTATGTGGGTTTTTTCATATGAGCTCGTCTGTTCATTTGTAGGAAACAAAGCTTGCCAGGTCGATCTCAAGTCATTTAAAAGGTTTGAACTGATTTGCTTAAGCTTTTCCAAAATGCTTTTTTTTTTTAAATCTTTTACTGTTTTTCAAGGGCAGATATTATTGGAAAGTCTAAACTTGTGACCTATCTGTATATATTTGGAACAAACAGGAGATGACGTAGATATCGGAGGAGTTCCTCATATGATAATCATTGACAATCTTGAGAAGGGGATATCACCATTAACCATTATGGAATTTATTCATCACCACCTTTCATTCCCATGTCAAGCATTTGTTTCGCCCAGTAGAGTTTTAGAGTCGTATGCACGAGGAGCTATCCTGTTGCACAGCAAACGGAACTTTGACAAGTTATCTGCCTTTTTGGAGAATCCAGATCACATCATCATTTCCTCAAGAGGAAGGTATATAGTGTAAAAGTCTGTTTCCAGTAATTATAAATCATACAAAATTGTCAATCTTAAAATGATATAGTTCCAATGTAATTATTGGATACCTAAGTAAAAGATCTTGCAGCCTTTTGTGTAGTTTAAACAGCCAGCTGGAACCTCGACGTAATTTTTGGCGTCCGGAACCTTTAGCTCTATTGATTGATTTGTTAAGTTTATCATAATTTTTAGTTCTCTGCAGGCCTTGGTTAATGACTGAAAAAACACCAGTACATGACACACACATGGCATTGATTGAAACCTTCAGGCTCACATCTCAGGTTAGTTTTCTATCATTTTTGTTGTGTTGTGGCTAATGGCTTATAAGATGAAAGCTCTGTGTTAGATCATATCCTGTTATTTGATTCTATAAAATGACGATTCACCCTCAGGCCCCAGAGTGTTTTGTTGGGTAATGTACCAGTTTGGGCTCATTTTTAACCACCTAGTTCCAACACTGGGTCTGGCCAAGCCCAATGGACTCGTTAGATGTGAGGTTTTATCTGAAAATGTATGTGCTTTTGTTAGCAGATCACTCAACTTATATTCTAGATTTTTGTGTGAGCTTTTATTGATGTGAGGTCTTATATCAAAATGTCTGTGCTGTTAGTGCTAGATCACTTAACTTATATTGTAGATTGTTGTATCACCTATTGTTGTGGGATTAACTCCATCCACACTTGTATCGAAAGTGCAACATGTTTCAAGCTAGATCATTGCAAACACCCCCATAATTTATTGATTTTATATAATAGTTTGTATTGGCTAATCAGTGCGTGGAAACAATCCTTTTATCTGCATGGGTTGTGCCATACATTACATGACTTACCTGATGTAATCTTTGCATTCTCATGAGAAAGAGATGGAGGAGCATGCCAAAACCTGATAGAATCTAAAATGACTAGTATAAAGCACCAAGTTTCCTCTGTAAGTACTGCTACTGTCATTGATTTTGCAGAATGTGCAACAGACTAGAAGAACTGGAACTTGCAATGAATTGAAGGTTGTCATTTCTGGGACTAAAGAGTACAGTACGGCTAAGCAGCTAAAGGATTTGTTCGAGAGATTTGCTAATCATATTTATAAGCTTCACCAGAGGTTAGTGGTTGAAGAGGGTAGGATCTTACAGCTACCTGATGAGGTGTAGAGGTGAATATTCAGAGCTTGTGAATACTTTTTGTTAGGTTGTACAGATGTGGCTAGCTGTGATGAAGGCTATCATAATTGATATTGCCTGCACGCAGATTCCACGAAAAAGCTAAATGTGACAAACAAATGAGACACTTCTGACATCTCATACCTGTGTAGGCTGAGTCAAGGTACATTGGATATACTGGACATTTTGATATGTTAACAAGTATAGGTTCATCTGAATGTAATTTGTCTGTGTACTTGAAATCTGATGTGTCCTGAACTTTTCGTTGTGGCATATAAACATCCTTTCCAGATTATAATGTGTTTGTGATGTAATTGGAAAATGAAAACAACTTCCCTAGAGCATGTACGCGCACGCATACGAGCATAAATTTGTTGTATGAGCTAGTGCATATGCTCTGAGAATCCGAAAAATGCCATGTCAATAGTTTCATATTGGTATGAGTATCCTTTCTGTTGTGGTAATAGCCTTCATTTAGTTTTTCCCTCTGGGGCAGAAAAATATTCCTCTCATGGAGAGAAACTCTCATGCAACGGGGATAATACTTTTTGCTATCCCAGGCCAATAACACAATGACACGTGGAATAATTTTTCTACATGTCATCATGTTACTGGCCGGGATAGCAAAACAATGATATCCTTGTTACAAGTTTTTTTCCTACATTGAGCCACGAATATCTGTCCATGAATTTCTGCAGGCTGTAGAGTGGACTTTCATTTGCCTCTCATTGATAGTGGACTTTAATTATTCTACTTATTTTCAACTATTATCTTGCAACCTCTTCTATGTTGAATTAAAGGAAATATCTCACAGAACGAAGAAAAAAAATTGTTCCAACTTTTTTTTTAATTTTAAAAAACCCCAAAGCAAGCGTGTAGCAAGTGCAGAGCACCAAGGGGATGATAATTTTGAAAAGGGGATATCTATTTAAATTTGCTAGGGCTCGAAATTATGACCTTATTTTAAGGATCAATTATTTCAAATTACTACACTAGTGGATTCTTTGCAAATCTTTCAATTGGTGGTTCTTCGCAAATCCTTGAATTATTTGAGTGATTAGTTATTCTTTTATACCTCAACAACCTTTAATTTTATTTTGGAAACAGTCCTAGAAGATATATATATATATATATATAATATGGTTAAAACCAGTCGGCATGGCAGAAAAAGGGAGGACAAATTAATGACACTGCAAATCTACCCTTGCCCAAAACAAAACGTTAATTTTTAATTCCAACAAAAATGAATTCTTGGTGGCATTTGATATCGCAGGCTCACAGCCGACGTAAGCGAAATACATTGACTTTTGCCACCTGGCAGGCATAATCCGACGTGGGGGTTTCCCATTGGCCAGTGAATCAAGTTATTGAATCACACCCCGCCATGCTGGCTCAGTTGAAAGCCATCCAGGAAACGACGCCGTCTCGAGTACCTTATGCTGGTCCAACAAGAACTGCCGTGGCCCGACAGCTTAGTTTGAGTTTGGCACTTCCCAAATCCCGGTTCATACTAAATCCCGAGTTCTTTCAAACCTCAGTCAAACACAAAAACCACAGCCCATCTTCTGCTCCTGCGTATCAACAATTTCAGAGGTAATAATTCTGCTTCTTCGTCTTCTTGATCTACGCATTTACATGTACAAATAACTATTTGGGCAATGATTTTTTGAAACTTTTACTCATTGATCGTTGATTTTTTATTTTTTTAGTTCTTTTGATGGGTTGAATTTGATGCTTAAACAGTAGAGATGGAGTTGTGGGTCAAGGGACACGTGGCACTGGGTTTGGCGCTGATGGGTTTGCTGGTTTTGTGCCAAATGGAAGGGTCAGATGGGTTGAGGTTCGTGATAGATAGAGAGGAGTGCTTCTCTCATGATGCAAAGTACCAGGGCGACACCATTCACGTCTCTTTTGTTGTCATCAAAGTTGATTCGTCTTGGCATAACGCTGAAGATGGTGTTGATCTTGTGGTAAGCTGTTTCGTTTCTTTTTCTTTTTCTTTTCTTTTTTTTTCTTTGTTTTTTTGTAATTTGTTGTTGCCAAATTGTTTGCTTTTTTCAGAACTTTTTCATTTTGATCTTATTGTTGAGCAAGTTCCAATGGATTGTGCTGATTTGTATTGTTTTTGTTGCCTTGGAAACTTGGAATTTTGAAAGAGTGTATAAAGATTGTGGATTTCTGTTTATGAAAATGGGAGATGGAATGTAAATTAGAATGTCGGGTTTTTTTTGGTTACTGGTTTAAGCAAAAGTTATAAGACAATCCAAGTTGGTTTTTCAATTAGGACATTGCTGTTTATTGAATAACATAACAATGGTAATGGTGGCAATCAATTTCCATAGTCTATCATTTACTTGGAGCTTTGTTTCCAATATCTCCAGATAAAGGGGCCTTCTGGTGAACAAATTAATGACATACGTGACAAGACGAGCGAGAAGTTTGAGTTTGTGGTTCAGAAGCAAGGTGTTCACCAGTTCTGCTTCACTAATAAGTCTCCTTACCATGAAACCATTGACTTTGATGTACATGCTGCTCACTTTACTTACTATGACCAGCATGCTAAAGATGGTGAGTGTCCATTACATGTTATTCCATTTCACCCCCGCAGTCTGTTTCGAAATTAATCTTCTTTTTAGCTGAAGAGTGATCACTAACTGTTCTGTGAATCTATGCAGAGCATTTTACACCCTTGCTGGAGCAGATAGCGAAATTGGAGGAAGCCCTTTTCAACATCCAATTTGAACAACATTGGTTAGAGGCCGAGACTGACCGCCAGGCAATAGGTATTATTTGAAGAACCGTCTTTTCTATGTCAAATTTCGATTTCTTTTCCTTAAACATAAGTGGGAGTGTAAACTATTTTAGTTTCTAATGAGTATGATTCCAACTATGGTACTTCAAGAAGTACATCATTTTGCACTTGCATTGGCATGCCACGCATGTGCACATGAAACTAATAGGGTGATTAGTCAAGCTTTATCTGGGCATTGTCCCCTAATCTTGGAATATATGTTGACATATTATATAACTGGCCTGCAGTGAATGAAGGAATGAGCCGCAGAGCAACCCACAAGGCGTTAATTGAATCAGGAGCACTCATTGGAGTTAGCATCCTCCAAGTTGTTCTCTTGAAACGTTTGTTTGAACGGAAGCTTGGATCGTCTAGGGTTTAGATCAGTTGTCTACTTACCTTTGCCTATTTACTGATTGTAATATTAGAAAATGGAAAATATTGACATTGAAATATCACAAAACGGAATCTGTACCATTCACAGGGGTTAATGTTTTAAAGATGGTTTTTTTTATTACTGTCAGCCTATTTGAGTTGATTATTGTCATTGATACTTGAATCGATTTTTGGAAGCTAATTTGATGCCATCTGATGGATTTGTAAGATCATGTTGTGGTATCTGTCAGTTGAGGCTACCTCAGGGTGGACATTGGTTTGTATGGTAAAAACAGAATACCATCCAATTCAATTTTGTGGCGCATCCGTTTGAATGGTCCCGCTCGCCTACTAAGACCTCCTTAACAAAAATCCTTGATTGATCCAATGAATGATACATGTAACAAGTTGTTTTTAAACCCTCAGTCATGCTCGTTGTTACTCGAATAAAACATTAAGGGTTGTTTGAGTAAAACAAATTGTAAAAAATGTGAAGGGTTGTCTGAGTAAGACAGTATGAGTGAATGTCAAGCAGACTTCGAATTCATAAGAGACCAAAAGTATGCTCCTATTAGACGATCACTAGAAGAAGCAACTTTCAAGCAAATCAACGGAGTCATTAAAGCTTGGAACTTCCCAACTCAGAGACAGTTGAAGGGGGAAAAATTACTTCATATAAAAGAAAACAGAAAGCTTCACATTGCACAAATATGCCAATACAATCACAACGAAACTCAAACTGAATCGAACACAGGAAACAAAGAGTCACGATAAACTCAGAATCAAGCATTGATTCAAGAAAATAAAGCTACATGCAAATATAGTTCACCAGTATACATAAATGTAAAACAGTATCATTTTCCAATCATGTCAGTTCCCAAATAAGCCCACATTTCTACCAATGTTCATAAAGACAGAAAACAGATTCCAGCAGGACCAATCACGGCTTCTGAACACAGCTCCAGTCTTCTGGAATACATATCGGCATGGGGGCATTACTACATAATAATATCTCCTGTAAAGTTTATGACATGGTAGGTGCCTCTTCACGATTCCGCACGCAAGCAGCAAAACCATTTCTTCTACAAATCAAACCAAAAAAACCATCAAAATCCAATCATTATATCCCTTTTGAAGCTATCATGTAGCTTAAGACCACGATATCTTTCTTTTTCTTTTTGGTGCGACATTAGTTGGACATCATTTGACAACGAAAGATGAGCGGCTTACCAAAATGAGGATGGTAAAATTTGGCAAGTGAAAAGATGGAAAGGGAAACAAATACATTTGCGAAATCAACAGGCGGCACGCAAGTGAGCATGGGAAAAAAAGAAATTGGTTTAATATGCTTCAACGGTGTGGAATGTGGACTAAAGTGAATGCAGAAATTTTGAAAACTGACAATAAAATTTGCAAGCAACAAAAACCAAATATACATGAAAAAGAGAAGGTTCTGAGGCATTTTAGTAAAAGCGTAGCCAAGGAATCCATGATTATGCAGTATATTCAGGCTCAGGGTATAAAAAAGATTATGGCATTGTCAAGCCAATATTGAGGTCACTTGCAGAAGAAAATTCTGTATATTGTGAAACCACAATGGTCACTTTACAGTTGCACATAGACTAGTTTCAAAATCAGAATTACTAGGCACTAAAATAATGTAATTTTAATAGGGATAATGCAGAGTTCAAATAAAATCTAACATGAACTTCGAAGTGATAAAAATAACACCTCCTGGTAGTGCCCGCAGTTAGTCTAACATAATTTGGGAAGTAAAGAATTATATGCAAATTTAGTAACTGTGATACTTAATATGTAAAGATTCCAGCCCTCCAGCTTTTAGTACTGTACATTCAAAACTCATTATGGCTCAAATGAATCTTCTATGTTTTCAACCTAAACCAGCCCTCCAGCTTTTCAGCCATTAGGACAAGATATGGCTATGCAAATACAAAATGAGTCAAGCATAAAAGAGATGAAGGCTTTCCAAAGTGGGGAACAGTGTAAGGTAAGTAAGTACAACTTACAGCTGGAGGCTTTCCAAGAACTGCTCCGTGCTTAAATGCGTGGTCATCCTTTGATGGTGAGTCAGGTCTTCCACCTGCCTTTTTCTCAGTCCTAGCCTTGTTGAAGATTACAGTGAATCCCTCAGCTGATGCTGGATCATTGACGTCCCATTCACCAAATTTTGGCAACGGCACACCCTTTTCCTGTGGATTGACAAAATTTCACTGGAGGGAATCAATCATCTGAAGTCAAAGCGTTCCAAATTGATATGTAATAACATAATCTTATTTAGTGCCATGTTCAATGCTCAGATGCTTGCATGGAGAAATAAAGGCAAACGAAATCTAAATAACAACAAGATGACTAAAATTAAGGTGATGGTTGACTCCCATTCATCGAAAAAAACCACTTATCAATATTAGGTATTCTTAATTCTAATGCATAAGAATAAATGATCAAGTTATAGGAACTCATAGACTCATATGTATTCATGCTTTGGTTTATAAATATTCATGCAAGTATTTACTCCTCAATATGAAGGTATTCCCAAAAGAAGAGGTTTGAAATTCAACGAAATTGTAAGAGATCTGCTGTCAACTACTACATGCCTAAAAGGAACAAAATATCAATTTATTTTCTAAACGCCTATCAGATTGGTGACTTTAGAACCCAAGAAGGCAAGTACAAATAGCTAGACAGGACGCTAAGTAATAATCCATTGTAAAGGGCAGTCCAGTGCACCAAGCTCCCACCATTTCGAGGTCTGAGGAGGGTTAGACGTACATACACAGCCTTACCCCTGCTTGTCGAGTGGCTTACCCTCCAAAAAGAACCCATTGCAAGTCTTGAACATCTAAAATATTAGATACTAAACCATTGAGCTAGCTTGAAGCCACTAAAGTTGGAACACGCAGTCTGTTTTGCAAACTACATTTGGCCATTCAACATAACAAACACAGAGCAACTTTTGCACACATAGAGATACACACACACAAGTAGCAATCAGATATGCTTATCTGTCGAAGCCCAAATAATTTGATTATCAAATACTCAGTTTAGTATAAAGCAAACAAGAAGCTAAAAATAGTAACTTTTACTGAAAGGAAAACTAAGAATTAAAAATAAACTGAAACCCAGAAAGAAAAACTTACAGAAAACAACAAACACCAGTTAGATACATCATATTCATACATGAGAAGCTTCTATTCAAAATTAGAAACCAAAAGGATATGAAGGGAATTTAAAGCATCAAGGGGGGGACTATATATTGATTTCAGCAACACCAGAAAACTGAAAGTGGAATGAATCGCTCCACAGAAACTCAAGAGTCTCAGATCAAACACAGCAAACAGACGCAGTAAAGAAATCAAAGGACTTGGCAGCTTACCCCCATGGCTTTCGCTTTGAGATTTCTGGAGAACAAAGACGAAAAAGGCGACTGCTTTTGCTACGTTTAGGGATTTTAAGCTGTTCGGTATTGAAGGAGTTGATGAATGATAATGATGAAGAAGAAGAAGATGATGAGTCCTACTTTTCTTAGGTGAGGTCAGCTAAAGAATAAGAAGGGGGAAGAGAGGAGAGAGATGGGGGGGTGTTTTTGTGGGTCAATGGGCCATGCAATTGATATATGGGGAATGGAATGGGCTTTATGCGGGGCCCACTATTTGAACAATTTAAACGCTGATTGGTGCTTCGAGCTATGCACCATACACTTCTGTCTATTTCCTTCCATGGTGAACAGTATAAATTCCTTGAATATACTGAAAATGTTGTTCTGGCCAAAAAACAAAAAACAACGAAGATTGTTGCTATCTTTTTGGGACCGAACGAAAACAGTGTGGTCTTTTTCTTTTGTTTTAATGAACGAGAAAATCTCACTACTTTTGAGCTTTTGGTGTGTACGTTTAAGTTTTGCTAGCGACGGTCTTTCACGTGTTTTTATTAATATATGACCACATTATATTAACAGCTAAAATATGATAATTTTGTTAAGTACAAAAAAATTTGTAGGTAGAATCTCCTACTTTTTTTGTAAGCAAACTTCTTGACAGGTGTTTCCCCTTGGATTATGTTTTTATTTATTTATTGAAATGTCCTATAATTTAATGTAGCTTTATTTAATGAGTATTTCAAACCTTTAATTAATGATAATTTTATAGAGATAGACCAATTAAAAAAGATTTATAGCATTTATGACTTTGTAAACTAGAGAGCACGATTGAAATTTAAATTTTATAAAGAGCTCCTAAAATAACTTCTATATGTTTTTTAACTAAAATTTAACTGAAAAATAGCGATAATGATTATGGATGCTATTCTTAATAGCAGCTTGAAGCAGCACCCTCAAAAATTGTGCTTCTTGTTTTGAGCTCACATTTTGGTTCTTTTTGTGCAAAACAAAATAGGAGGCAGAGAGTGTTGTTTGATCAAACTGCTAAATAACTGTGCCTCGTACTAGATATCGTGTAATCTTCTTTTTGGAAGACACTAGATATTGTGGAATTAACTGAGATCGCCCTTTAGTTTTGTGCTAACTGGTTTTGTTGTTGGCAAACCCATAGGTGGATTATCAGAATCACCCAAACCACTTATAAAATCCTGAAACTGCTCTGAGAGAGAGAGAGAGAGAGAGAGAGAGAGAGAGAGAGACTGTGAACAGTGTTGGAAATATATTTCTTCTAAAATCTATAAATACACTTGTAATTTATTGGGAAGCAAATCAAATACAAAGAAATGGAGAAAAAACTTGCACAACAGGCACTTTTTGGTAATGGCAGTTTCATCTCACACGAGAAGGTCCAACCTCGGCGTCTGACCTGAAACACAAGTCATGTAACTCATAAGCAAATCGACTTTTTTTTTGGCTGAAAAGCTCTGGTTTTGGAAAAGTCCACAAAGCCAAAAATAGGTGAAACAGATCCCAGTAAATGCTAATGAGCAAATAATAATTCGCCATTTCTGACAGTGGAATGCACGAAACTTACCAGTAATCGAAATGAAACTCGCTTACAACAGCTCTAAAACAAGGGCAGATGCACCACCTCCACCATTGCAAATACCAGCAGCACCATATTTCCCACTCTTCTGCTTCAGTACCTACAACATGATTGCACTTTGATAAGGGGCTTGGAAATTAGGGTAAAGGCTAGAATAAAAAAGGGAGATGTGGAGGAGAAAGAGAGATAGAGAGAGAGCAAGGATACCAAAAAGGTATATCATAGCTTATTCATTCTTAATGTAATATGTTTTCCCTAGAAAAAATAGAAAGTGAATAATATGTACCCCTAAAAGGGTGACCAGGATACGAGCTCCACTGCAACCTAGGGGATGTCCCAATGCTACAGCTCCACCATGCACATTAACTTTTTCCTGAAACCAGGGCAGCAAACATGAGCGATAAGAGCAAATCTGAACTGCTATGTAGTATGTGTGTGCTAGTTTGCCCACATGTGGATACTGTAAATGTCTATGTGTTGTGCGTGTACACAAAGAGAGAGAGAGAGAGAGAGAGAGAGAGAGAGAGAGAGAGAGCTTACTGGGTTAAGTCCAAGCAGTTTCTGATTTGCAAGAGCCACAACCTGTACACAAAAAGAAACGTACCAATTAATGATTGACAGCCTTGAGAAGCTAATATTTTAAAAGCTTGGCATTAGTTATAATAGCTTACAGCAAAGGCTTCATTGATTTCGTAAAAGTCAATTTTAGAAGCTTCCAAGCCAGCATTTGAAATAGCTTTGGGAATTGCAAGAGCAGGAGCAGTTGTAAATAATTCTGGTGCCTGCACAATCGATTTCATGTAAGCATAGCAGTACAAATGATATTAAAAAAAGGATTTTCAACTTTCAAGATCTTCAGTGGCTCATCTTGTTCAGATATACAAAAACTACTATAGTACCTGAGCAGCATCAGCGTATCCACTGATCTTTGCTATCACTTGTAGCCCAAGCTTCAATACCTTTTCTCCACTCACCAAAACTAATGCTGCAGCACCATCACTGTTGATGAAAGGAATTCAAGATTTCATTAAAACTTGGGTTCATGTGTTTGTAAGACTTATGAAACCAAAAATGGAAGGCCACTGCATTTGGTTCCATCAATTAAAAATCAACCCAATGACATCCTAACAAGTGAATTTTTTGCCCATTTCAAAAACTGTAAAAGGGATAACAAGAGAGGCAATAAAAACACATCAGACAAGAAAATTTATTGCAGTGACCTTGTGGCTCAAAGCATGACTATGTAAACAATAAATAATTGGATGAAGGCAATTAAATAAAAATCATTGAACATAAATATGTATAAATTAATAACCTTATACTGGAAGCATTGCCAGCAGTAACAGAACCTCCACTCTCCTTAAAACTTGGTCTGAGCTTCCGTAATTTGGCAGCATCAAACTGGCATCACAAAAAAGCTGGGGTGAGCTCAAGGAATGTGATTCACATAGACTTCTACTTTTTATTATCACTTAGCAATGACAAGTAACAGACTCGAACTCAAAATAAAAATGAAAGAAAATAGGATTATAACAGTTCATTATAGTTAAAACTTTGTAGACTGCTCTTCCCCACCCCCTCTTCCTCCCTATATACCATGAAGAACGCTGGCTGAACAAACTGCAAGGGATGAAAATGAGATATCTCTACTTTCAAACATTGAAACTATCTACTTCTAAAGCTGTCTTCCTGTTAGGAGAGGACAACTAAGAAGAATGCTGGCTGAACAAACTGCAAGGGATGAAAATGAGATATCTCTACTTTCAAGCATTGATTGAAACTATCTACTTCAAAAACTGCATTCCTGTTAGGAGGGGACAACTATAGGAGATTTTATTTTGTGCAAGAAAAAGATAGATCTGCCTGGGTGTCTGACTGACATAAGCATGATTTATTATTTTACCTTTCCTAGACCTTCATCTTTATCAACAATTGTTGATGGTCTTCCCCTTCCTCCAGAAACTTCAACTGGAACAATTTCCCATGAAAAGGCATCATTGCCTTGGGCAGCAATACCACGCTCGAAGCTCTGAACAGCAAAGTTATCCTGCAGCAGCCACAAACACATATAAATAAACTTCTATATGATGGTAATGTGCTACAACATTTTATTGTATAAAAGGGCTTAAATATAAGTATTACCTGGTCCTCCCTTGTTACTGCATGCTGATCAGCACATAATTCAGCGCACACTCCCATGCCATAATCATTATAGACATCCCACAAACCATCTTTCAGCATTCCATCAACAAGAGTATCATGTCCAAGTCGAGATCCCTTCCTGCATTTTGTATCAAATCAGTGTCTGTTGAATTTTCATTTTAAAGTCCAAGAGCGCCATGAATCAGACAAAGTATTAACCTCGCTTCTGCAAGATACTTCGGCACATTAGACATGCTTTCCATGCCACCAGCCACAACAACATCATTGATGCCCAACTGGATGCTTTGTGCTGCGAGCATAGTAGCTGCAATCATCAAAATTAAATTTGTGTTATTCTAAAATCATTTTTCCTACCAAAAAATAAATTTGTTGTTGAAAGAAAAAAAAGAGTAGAGAAAATTATGGTGTTGCACCTTTCAACCCTGATGCACAGACTTTGTTAACAGTGGTACAGATCACTGAATTAGGTATTCCTGCACCTAATGCAGCTTGTCTAGCAGGAGCCTGCCCCAGATTTGCACTGAGAACATTTCCGAAGAAAACTTCTTCCACAAGTGATGGATCAACATTGGCCCTTTTAAGAGCAGCTGCAGGTTGACATAAAAGAATATGTAAAATCAGAAGAGGAAACCTATTAAACAATAGAAACTAAAAATCTGAAACATTACCCCATTAAGGAAGTAGGAGATCTCTTACTTACCCTCAATAGCTATAGACCCAAGCTTGGTGGCAGGTAAAGATGAAAGTGCACCAAGAAAGGCACCCATTGGTGTTCGTGCAACACCAACGATGTAAACATCTGCATTATAACCAATAAGATTAAATATAGAAAACATTTTGAAACTTAAAAAACCAGCGTTCCAAATAAATAAAAATCTCAAATGTTAGTAATTATCAATGTGAGCAAAAGTAGACGCAAGTAGTTAGTACATAAAAGCAGAAAACGTAAATTGATCACAGAGACATAAGCAAAAACACCAGTGGGTTTCAAGAGTATATTTAACATGTTTGCTAAAGTTTCTAATGCAGCACCTGGGCCACAAAAGCTGACAAAAAAAGTTCTCAATTTAGAAATAAATATAAAACAGAGAAAATGAAGCACCTCTAGGCTTTATCGAATCGGAACATGCTTCTGCTGTTACTGGAGCCATTGATACAAATAAATGGAAAGCTGCAACAATTACATGGTATACTATTAGTTAGTGAAACAAAAAAGAGCAGCACAATAGAGTGCATGACAGAATACCATGTTGACTTAAAATAAAGCAAAATGATGGCTTGAAATAAACCATTAACAATTCAAAATTTAGAGGGGAAAATGAAACGAGAGAAAAAGCTCTCACTTTTTCAATTTTTTTTCCCGAGAACTAACCCAAATAGAATTCTCTAATACGGACAAGAAAATAATATCCAACAAGTAACAGATCATGCCTCATCTAACTATCAAAGAATAATTTCAAAACTATAAATCTAATCATTTCATATAGGATAACCTCTTACAGCATAAATATATTTCTCCATGGGGTCGCTCCTATGGCGGCCAAGGGAAAATCAGAGAAAATGAACAACTCTTTTCTCTTCAATTTCATAAACAATGTCAAGTTCATTTCACCCAAGAAACCAAACAGAAGGAGAAAAAAAATTAGAGGTAGATCTATCATGAGAAAACAAGCAAGCATGCATGCATCAAATATCATAATAAATCTGTGGGTTTTTGAAATTATCGACAACTGACAGATCTTAATCAATCCAACGACAGAAGCCAAATATGAGCAAATGCTAAAAGAACCAACATTCTGAACAATGATCACATGGATAAATCAAGTAGACTTCAAGCTTCAAGCTTCAAGATCAAGAGAAACCCAAAGTCACAGAGCAAATTTACCTTCTGGTTTGGGGGTTGGTGGAAGAGCAGAACACTAACTTGAAGTCTCAATTCGGTTCTGGTCAGCTAGAAATGCAAGCACGACTGCCATATATATAGGGAGAGCTCAAGCACGATGAGTACAAACAGTAGGCGGCAAGTTTACTTAAATGCCCCTGAAGATCCACTTTATCACTTTCTTTCATTTTCATTTTTTATTTATTAATTTTATTTGATTGAAACAATTTTCCTTCTTCTTTCTTTTATATTTTATTAATAAGTAATGTTCTCTTTTTAGATATCGAGCAAAAACTAGAGCATCTCCAAGGTCCCGTTTGGTTCACTAAATAAATTTGAAGGGAAATTATTTCTCATGTCATTTCCTAAGGGATGGGAAATGGAAGATTCATTTCTTACGTTTGGTTATGCTAGGAAAGTAAATAAGAGGGGAAAACAAAATCCAAGTTGGGAGGATGGCTTTACTTTCCCCCAACTTTCTCATGGGCCAAGTAACGATTTCTTATGCTTGGACTTACCAAACAGAGGAAAGTAATTGATTTCTCATCCACAAATCTTCTTTTTCATGAACTAAACGAGGCCCAACAGCAGTAGCAAATAAAACTCAATCGGACGAAACAACATTTCGCTTGCTTAATTACATATGTAAACTTCTGTAAAAAAGCTACATGTGAATTTGAGAATTTTTTATTATTTAGAAAGATGAAAAAAATAGTACAGCAGAAAGTTCACTTTAAAATTAAATTATCATGGAATTTGTTGCATTTTGGTGGGAATCAATAAAGATTGTGGAGCATTGGAGGCAGGCACCAACCAAAATTGTGACTGTATTAATGGGATTTGGTCCATTTCAACTTCAAGTGTGCCCAGGCGTCAAGTTTGACAAAGAACATAGATGAGACTGTGCATTAAATAATTGAAAAGAAAAAAAAAGGAGGGGGCAGCTAGGGGCTTGGCTTGGTAAGATATGATGCAAAAAATAGACCCATTTTGTTTGTTGGTGGTGGTGGGAAATGCAAATGGTCAACTAAGGACAGCTCCAAATTGCAAATTTTGCAGCAGCAAATGGCCAACAACTTCAAACCAGAGGGTTTCATATTATTTTATTGGTAAGAAGAAGATGGCTCAATACTCTGAGATCCCCATGTTGAAGCTGGCCTAGCTAAAATATTATTCCTTGGGTTGGTTTTAGTTGCAGCCTAGGTGGTAAAAACAATGCAAAATTTATATATAATTGTCTGAGGAAAGAAAGAAAAAGAATATTTGTAATGGGTACAAATCACAGCATCCTTATCAATTTTAAGGAAAATTGGTAAAAATTGTAGAATATTTCAGGTTAATGATAAGAGTAGATGTGATCGGAAGCAAACCAAAAAATAAAAATAAAGCATCAATTTGGGTTGCAAAATTGATGATTTCTGAGAAAATTGACAATGGCTCACAGGGTCAGTACATGCCAAAATTGACCATATTATAAAGCTAATTAAGTGAAATATTTCATATTCTTCAATTTTGTTCTCATGGGCCTTGATATTTATATATAAAGTAAAAGGCAGAGAATGGTAAAACATTTAAAATACCAGAAAATGTTCTTGGTTAATGTAGATATTAATAATTGAAATTATTAATTAAATGAGGATAATATGGAAAATTCACACTTTTTTATATTAAAAAAATTAAAATTAAAGAAAAATAAGATAATGGATCATATTTTTATGGAACACAACCCTGTGCGGAGAAACTAAATTCTAAAATAAATTTTAATTTTTTTTAAAAAAAAAGCCTCTCCCAACCCAGTGTGGAGAAACTAGTATATTATGATGTAAAAAAAAAACCAATACATAAACTACCACTTAATTTTATCTTACTTCATGTGTTATTCGACTTTCGTTTTATCCAATAACTGTCATTCATAATACTTGGACTAGAATCCCCTCCAACAAAATATAGAAATCAAACCAAATGGTCATTTGCAGGTTATTCGAATTTTGAAGGATTCTCTTCTCAAAGGTTAAACTCAGAATAATTTATGTGTTTTTTTTACAAAGCGATATTCTAACTACTTTAATTTAGTGTATAAGGAGGGAGATCGAACTCGTGTGCAATGAGATGGGTACACTATATTGACCAACTAACCTAACCCAGATCTGCAAATTTTTAAATATGTTTGATGTTGATATTTTGGGTTTATGATTACTTAAATAACCTCATTTCCGAACCCTAAGAAGGAAAAGGAAAATACGAAAGTTGAAATTATTGAAGTCAAGAGCAAACTCTGATTGACTTGGTCACTTATTCACTTAATCACTATGTATAAACAAAAATGTATGGAGCTGCAAAACTTTTACCAACTCCAAGTCTCTTGATGCAGTGATCATTTGAGCTAAGTTGGTAGGCACTCATTGTCAACTCAGATGGACATAATTTCAAGTTAAATTTGGTAGTGAGTGAGTTCAACGATGTCCAGCCGAATTAAGTAATTGAGAATTATATAAACAAAAGCAAGCTATGAATAAAGAAACAGATTGAATTTTAATTCTGAATGTGAATGAACAATATGACTTTTGTAGACTTTGGATGGTGAAGTCAACCAGGAATGAGTATCCATTACCATTACCATGACGATCTTTTTATGCAACACATGCAAGCATATATAAAACAAACCTTGATAAAAACCACATTCTTTATATTTTTTAAACATAAATAAGATATGAATATCCAACTCAAAATAAATTTATATTAAGTAGAGCGACTTAATTTTTTTTAAAGTTCATGCGCTACACTTTCATCATTTGATGTGAGATATTCTCAACATGTTCCCTAACGTGACATGTCTTTTGCGCTTAATCTGTGGAGAATTCTTATGGGGTGATATAGAAGCATGTGAAGCCATTGGACCTGTCACATGAATAACCTATCATGATATCGCATGTCAATTATGATTTATTATTTTATTTATGCTTTAACAAATTGCATCATGCAAAAAACATGGAGAAAAACGAATATCATATATTGCTTTCTATTTTGTAAGGAAGTGCCTGTTCTACCTTTCAATGAGTTGAATATAAAAGTGAGATATACACTAAAATCCCATCATTTTCAATATAATTTCGTGGATCATGAAATTTTGAGTCCAAGTTCGCCAACCATCGATTGTTACATAGTTTATGGAAGCCTTTGTTGACTTCAATAATTCAAAATTGTGGTTTGTCCCTTTCTGCGCCTTCAATCAGTATCCAGTACTGCTGTCTTTTAATTTTTAATTTCACATTTAAGTCGATGAAAATATGGCTAGCTACTAACCCCCAAAAATAAAATAAATAGCACTTGGTCCAAACGTCGTACTTTCATATGTTATAGCTCTCTTAACTTAACGGTGCAATATCTCCTCAAACATCATGGAGCATGTGAAATAGTTCACAATATAGAATTTGTTATAAAAGAACAGTAACTCTATCTTTCTTGCAAGCGATAAATTTTTTGGTGTGATCGTCACATTATAACGTGGTCTATATCAATTTACACATTATATATTAAATAAATGTAAATTATTACTTGTTGCTCAATCATATTATAACACGTGATGGTATTACCGTCACAAACATATAATGTTTTGTTATCAAAATGTCAACTTCGAATCCATCATCATCATCATCACCGCACAATCTATGATGCCAGACTGGTTTTTGTTAATATGAACCATTTTAATCAATTCGATTATTACGTAGATGACGTTGATGGGTATTTGGTAGAGAACCTTATTGCACGAAGCTCAGATGTGTGGTGCTTTTATCATGTTTACAGAATTCAAGTATCCAGCTGACTTATGCAGGACGCTAGCAACCTCCTGCCTCACTTTTAAAGATCCCAAAAATGGTGGCCTTTGCTGTACAAAGTAGCCGTGGTATCAATGCACCACACTAACATTCTCAAGTCACCAATTACATTACCTTTTCCCTCAAGTGGTAAAGAGTGAATACCTATGGTCGAGATCCTGTGTTCGAATACTCCCATCCCCAATATTGTCTGTATTGAAAAGCAATGCATATATACAGGGCTCAATCTTCTGAGAGAAGTTTTATTCATGTTGTGTGTACAAGTCTTGTGTATGCGTGTAAAAATCAGACTAGATAAGATTTAATGAAGAATTATGCGACTGAATGTGGAAATTGGGTATAAGCTATACTGCGAAGGCTAGATGGATTCTGGGCTGGCTTTGGGTTTAGAAATTAGATCATCTTCTCAAATTTCTCAAGTTTCTTCACCCTTTGCATAGATCTAGCCAGCAGTGTGAGAAAGACTCCTGCACAATACAAAAGCTTTGATGAATGCAATCTTCAAAATTTAAAGATGATGAAAATGAAGCAGAAGGTATATCTTTATATCAAGGTTTCTTGAGTAACAGGATCACCTGCACCGATGAACGATCCGTTTGCGATAGCTTGACTTCCTTGACTGCTCAAAGTGACCCCAAGGTTAAGCAGGGTACCTCCTAAGACTGTATACATCGTCGCCATTTGCAGTATTGTCGCTTTTCGAGCAGCTCTTTCTGACTGTCAAATGTAGTTTTCTCATTTTAAATTAAACTTGTATTTTTAGATGTAAACGAATGGGAAAATTTGGAGTGCTAAGAAGAGTACTTAAAACTTAAAACTGAAAAATGAAACATCAAGAATATTATTTTCTAAAAAGTAGTAAAAAATGAATACCTCAAGCACCCGGACTCGGAGTTTCAGATCCCCCGACTCAAGTTCTTTCACAAACTCCTCTATTCGCTGAACTCTGTATGGCATGGACATGGTGTAGCTTCTGGCCTAAAAGTACATACACAGACACACTTAGTGCCAATACTTTCTTTAACTAGAAATCAAACTACGAAATTTTATTTTCCTAGTGGAAACTAGAACATGGAACTAAGCAAGGGAAGAAAGTTAAGTTGCCGTACATCATCGGCTTGTTTCCTTATTTCGTTCACAAGCTGTGTCCCAGTACGCTGCTTCTGTCTTAAATCTAAAAGTTCCTGCATAAAGTGTATATATCAGCAATATTCTACCAAACCATTGACAAGGCAAACGCAAGATTGCTATGCACAAGTATGGAACCTGGGCATAAGGTGCAGCAATCTTCGCAAAGGAGAAATCTGGATCAAGAGCATAGCCTATACCTGAAGCAAACATTGCTAGTGAGAATAAAGCAGAAACACCAAGATAACTCTGCTTATCAGATCAAATCTTTGGGCTGCAAAGAAAATTCATTTTGACTAGGAGAATATAGAATCAAGATTTGAAAGTTCTAATATTGTTCCAGCGAATAGGGAGAGCTCCACTTCTAGAAAATTAGGATTATTGTAACTGACAAACAAATATAACATTTAGAAACTTCCTCTGAGTCTACAACACAATGTTGAATGTACTTAGGATGATGTACCTAAAATCTAAACTGGCTGTGACGAGAGAGAGAGAGAGAGAGAGAGAGAGAGAGAGAGAGAGAGAGAGAGAGAGTACCTTCCAGGGTTGAGAATGCCCTTAGGACAAAAGTAAATGTGGATGGAAACCGAAATGGTTGATCTAGTGCTATTGCAAATAAATCCTGCCATTAAGAAAAGCCCCATCGCCAACTTTAGATCATAAAAGGGTTATTCAGAATGAAAAGGTAATACGTGGCAACATCTTCATCAACACAGGGACACAAGTAACCAAGACATCATTTTGTTAACTGATTTGCAGTCAATCTCATTATGTCTGTAGAACCTGTGTTAACTGTTTTCCCCTTTCTAGCTTAGAGGTGTCATTTATATTTAGGTGTGTAACAATATATGCATACCTCTCCAATTGCAGAAAAAGTCTGTGCCTGATCTGGTCTCTGGCTCAACAAGTTGTCCAAAAAGTATTGGACGGATCTCCTTACCTAGAAACAGGGGGAAACAGAGTGATACAGATAGCACCAATGTTTCCGAAAATCATTCTATTGATTAATCGTTCCCTTTAGAATATGTGAGTATTGGCATGATGCATACCGACGACAAATCTCCAGTGGGCTGAAGTGCTCCAAGATCTATGAGGCATTGAATAACCTGCAATTAGCTGGCTTTTGTTAGATTAAACCTTTGCAACAAGGGGAGACATAATGATATATCTCAAGCGTTCCAAATGAACTTAAGTGCATGATTCTGAGTCATGCTAATGCTTTAGATGAACAATGCGGAAGAAAGGATTAACCGAACCTTTTTTGCATCTTTCTCATATACAGAATAGAAAAGTTCAAGCAGTCTCTCCCGGGTGAAAGATTTAATATCTCCCATCATGCCAAAGTCATAATAAATTAGAGTTTCATCTACATCAATGGCAAGATTTCCTGGATGAGGATCAGCATGGAAGAAACCAGTTCTGAGTATCTGCATCCATAGCAAAGTCCAGCTAATCATGTGCTTATATAAGATAATTGTTAATTATAGTAATCAAAACAAAAGAGACTCCATAGAGGAATAGATGCATTCATTTAGTACAAAATAAATAGTCATCATATTCAATGTCAAGATGAGTAGTCGTACGAGTTGGTTTACAGAAGAACAAATTTCCTGACCTGGATCAAGTATGCTTCAATAGCGCGTGAGGAAATTCGAGCGCGATTAAAACCCTGTGAATCTAGCATATCAAGCCGATTGATCTTGATGCCTGACAACAGCAAAAAGACATATTATCAACAATAACCAACAAAAAAACAAATTAATGCTTGACCACATTAACACTACACTACTGCACCATTTTTACGCAAAACACAAGATCTGGAAAAAATGAAAAAAAGAAAGAGAGAAAGAAAGAAGCATTAGTATAGAGTGAAACCTGGTACATACTCCAAGGTCAACACCTTCATGGCAGTATAATCCCAAAAGACCATCTACAAAGGGGAAGAAATGTTCTCAAGATATAACTCAGTAAAGACAATACAAAGAGTGCAATTATGTCTCTAACAAGATCAAAAGTTAAGGCATATCTTGTAGCTCTGTAGCAAGAAACATACAGGTACTCGAACCCACTTTGTATTGCGAAAGTCTCTGCGAAACCTGTCAGCATTCTTCCCTTCATTTATATAATCAATTTCTTGATACAAAATCCTGAAATCCATGAAGGGAAAATATAATTCAAAGCATCAGAACTCACATTATATGCAGAGATAAAATGAAGCATGTTTCACTAGAATTCTTTCAGCAAAGCTCCAATTCTCAGGCACAACTGTTAGCAATAATTAATGCTAAACAAACCAGTAAAATACGGTCCAAAACTACCATAATTTTAATATAAGATTTTCAATACCAAAATAAATCTTGTGCATTAATGGACATGAGGTCTGCTGCAGGATGACACTAGTCAATGGGGACATAAATAAGTTTGTTTTTTATTGTTCACATGTTTATACTAACAGTTCCATGAAATATGAATAAATAGTTAACATAGCAACTCAGAGATGCTTATTACATACGTCGCACATTCTTCATATATACCGATCCAGTCTCTTGTTGGACCACCAAGGGTTTCACTTTTCTGGAAATACTCTGCAATTAGCTTCAGATTTCCTGGAAGTAAGGAACAATAGGTTAGAAAGATAACTAAAACTACTAAATTCAAATTAGTGGTATCAAAGATCAACACAGAAATATGAGAAACACGTCAGCTAGCTAGATCTACAATATCACAGAACTGCATATATACATAGATAAATGCACCCAAAAAAAAAAGACAGAATAGACTGATGGGAAAAGAAACACCTCATCTAACACTTACGTAAATCAATGTCAAAAAGCTTCTTGAGACCGGGTCTTTGAACTTTCACAACAACTTTCTCTCCATTATGCAGGATAGCCCGATGAACCTAAAGACATAACTCATCAATATCCAAACAAGCAAAAGAGAATAATCTCAAATAAAAAATTTCATATGAGTATTATGTAGAGAAGGACAACACAGATATTTTCTTTTGAGTTTAATATATTTCAACTCAAACTCTGTACTGTTTGATGTATTCAAAAGTTTAAACACTACAAAGAAATATTACTTAATGAAAAAGAGTCATGAAATAAACACCTGACCAAGACTAGCAGCAGCAATTGGCCGGTCCTCAAACTCCTTAAACAATACATTGATGGGAGCTCCCAGTTCAGTCTCAATAAAGCCTATTGCTTTTGCTGGTGAGAAGGCTGGCACTCTATCCTGTATTATATTACATGAGAATCACATGAATTACATAATGAAAAATCAGTGAAATTATAACGAACATAAATGCACAAGTTTAACAAGACAATGCCTTCTCAGAAATACTGTAACAGGAATACGTAAAGTACCTGTAACTTGGCAAGCTCGTCCACAAACTCACGGGGAAAAAGATCTGATCTTGTTGAAGATAATTGTCCAAGTTTGATAAATGTTGGCCCAAGCTGCAGTACACGCTCCCGGAGCCATGAGGCAGTCTTTCGCCTTCTGTTTTTCTGAATGAGAGATTTTTTACAAAAGCTTAAAGCCAAGAAACAAGTAGTCCACAGAACCAAAAAACTGAAGGGAGACATAGCCCAGAATGACTTAAGTAGCAGGCAAAATAGATTTCTGTACTCTAATCATGACTACGATTCAACATAGCAGGGGCAAAAAGTAGCTGCGGAGAAGTCTCAACCACCCACCTGCTTATCTTCGGTGAAGCCTCCTATATATGCCCATTTTGCATTATCCAACAGAACACGCACTCGTAATGAGAGAACAAATGACCATACATCTGCAGACCTTTGCCAAGAATTGTAATTTTCATTGGCCCAACTGAATCCATCATCTGAGGGCAAAACTTTTAGCTCCTCCATTGGGGGAAGTTCTTTAGTTGGTCTAGATTTCTGTGTCTTAACCAGGGCTGGAGTAGGATTTCTCCTAACTAGACTTGCTCCATTAACAGCCTGCTTTGTGCCATTCACTATCTCAATCTTATTTGTGGATGGGGTTGTTCTTTTGACTACCTCACTAGCTGGTACCATTCTCACAGCCCGTCCATTGACACCCGATCTTGAGGATGATTCAGCCTTTCGCATTTGCACTTGAAACCTTAAAAATTTATCAGCATGAGTTGGAATCCCGGACTTAAAGGATTCACGAACTGAAATTGAGCTTGAGAAACTAAGACTGTCTGTTGCTTTTCCTTGATTTATCAACTCCACATCGTGGCAATAGCATCTGTTTGTAGCCAGTACTGCAGCCATTTATGATGCAGATACCTGCATAATACAATGATCAGAGAAACATTAACCCAAGAGTGATTTCGAAAAGTGAAAGATCCCCAATTTGGTCTTTGAAGCAAAGCAACATACAGAGTTTCCTAAAGCACACAAGATTACGGAACCAGAAAACATGAAAACTTGTCAATAGAAAATTAAAAATTTGAAGATCCTAAAATAATGATAGTGCTGATAATGCAAAACCCTGTGACTAAAGCAAGATATGAGACTGGAAAGGCCAAGGCAATGGAAGAATCTGATCATCACAGATTTAAAGTTTTACTGTCAGTATGCATACAATAAAACTGAATAAAACTTCATCAAATAGATAGTTGAACTCAATCAACACTGAAACAGCATTGAAATTGGACAAAAATTATAAACAGATTCTGATACAATTACAGAAAAAAGCACAAGCAAAGGCAAGTGAAGTGAGTCTCATATAAAAAGGCTTAACTTGATTGCTGCAGACCCAAATAAATTTTCTAGTCAGCAACTGCAATCAGCAATGTTCCAATCATCTATTTGCTCTTGAAGAATCAAGAGGTGAGAAGAACAAAAAGAAAATTTCAAAAATTCATGTTTTCCATTTCTTTTGTTCTTCAAAATTGACATTGACAAGAAAGATATTGCAGTCAACTGAATCCTAAACTAAACCAAACAACAGAAAGCACAAGACTTGTTCCTTAATTTCCTACTAATTTCCGAAGAAACTAAAGAGAACCCAGATGAAAGCATTAAAAAAAGCTTACTGTGTAAGAAGGAATCAGAACCAAAACTCCAACCCTTCACCACTGTTGGAAACTTGGGGAGGAATATAATATTTAATGGGGTGGTGGCAAAAATACCAGAAAACAAGAACTTTTTAAATATAAAAGTACAATGAAGCAGAGAGCTTGGAGTTTGGAGCTTGGAGCTTGGGGTTATAACAAGAAGAGAGCAACGAAGAACGTGCACACTGGGTGACCTGGCGTGCCCAAGTTTCCAATTGTAAGCGTGAAGGCACCGTTTGTTTGGGACGTTTGAGGTTAACGACAAACACTGTAAAATGGGATCTTCAACTGGCGCCATTCAGTTTCTTGGTACGTATTGGACTCCCAAACACTTGGCCACCCTCATGTGGCGTGGCAGCTTCTCTCTCTGGTAATTCTGATTGCCCCAACTCTCACTCTACACACAAAATTAATTATTAAAATAGACATATCGTACATAAATTTATATAAAGAGTAATGCTAATGTTAACTTAGGACTAAAATTTTGGTTTTGTATTTTTTGTTCCGTCATTTAATTGAGGGATTTCTCAAATTAGCTTATTTGAAAGTGATGTGTGTGTCAAGGTGTTTGATAAAAAAGAAGAACGATATTATTTGAGAAATTCGCTGTTGTTGAGGCCTAAAAATCCAAGAGCTAGGCCAAGATTTATTCTTAGCACAACACAAATAATTGATCGCAAAATGAGCCCAATTAGAACATAAAAGAATTTGTAGGACGCACCTGTATGAGCATGGGCCACGCGTCGCGCCTAGCCAAATGTGCGTGCCCGCCATGCAAAAGAACCAAAACACACTAGCTCTATAAATTCACGCTTACTAATCTATTCAACGTTACGCACCCCGATCATAACTTATAATAACACACTAAAACTCAAGTTCATTCTTCGGGCCCAAACACATGGATTAGCATGAGAGAGGAAAAAAGTGATCTAAAGCCTTAGGAGAACATCTAGTGGTCTGCTGCAACACTTAAACAAACCTACATCAGCAAAATGCCCAAAATAAAAGGACTATTTTCAGCAGCTTGACGAAAACCCACTAGATGTTGGAAACAGAACACCAATAACCTAATACTGTAAACAAAGCCCAGCCCAGCGCCTTGTAAAAATCTAGCATCGTATTCCACCATTGTCAAAACTCCAAAATAGTCAACGAGCCATGGCAGGGACCAAAGGAAATCCATATGTGTAAGAGGAGTACCCATAGAACAAACGACTACATCCATTCTCTTTTACTCTGTGAGCTCTATTTTGAAAACTAAGGAAGAAAACAGGTGGCGCCTCACCCCCCATGGGGGAGGTCTAGCCACACAAAACTTTGGAACCCCAAAGAGTCTGTGACCCATGCACTCTGGTTAAAGAAATTTCACCAAAAGGGAGTGAATGGAAAAAAGCAAAGGAAAAGTAAGAATGGAGGATTGATAGAATTATGGTTCTAAGTGCCTATAAAATGGGGCTTCCTCTACCCAACAAAATCACAATCCAGAGCGTGACCAAGCTTTGTCAAGCAATTGGCTACTCAAGACACCTCATCTTCTGCTTCCATTGTTTTCTCTCTTCCTATGATAGAAATCTCCCTAATTTTCCTCTTCCCTACCTTGAACCTTTTCTCTCTGTAAGAAGTTCATGCTTTTCTCTTTCTCAAATTGCTAAACTGGTGAAAGCTTAGCTCCCATGCCATAAGCTCCTCAAGCCAAGTCACTTATCAATTTGTTATGTTCATTTAATTATTGGTGAAAAGAACCTAAAAGTGTTTTCTAAAATTGCAACAAACTTTTCAAAACTCTTTTGGGAGCTTGGTTCTTGAACTCAAGCACTGGGGAATTTTTTTTCTCTTCCTCTTACAGCAGCACATGCCCATTCGTCAGACTACTGGAACAAAAAGACCCCTATAGCTGTCAACAACAACAATTTGGGAAAGCAGGAGTGGAGGTGATTTTTGTTTCCACTTTAATAATCAGGGTTGGAATCAATCAGGACATTAATAGTTTGTTGGGTAGTGGAATACAGTAATATAAAGGTGAACAACCAATTTGTTGGTTTGGAATATGCACAAATCAGAAAATAGCATGTGAGTTGTGAGTTGTGAGTATGCGTTTGTGTGTGAGACCAATCATCACTTCTATATATGTTCTTCTAAGTTCTAAAGTTCTAACCTAACTGCCAATATTGGTCATGTCCTACCTAACTTGCCTAAAATAATATCAAGTCAAATTGATTTTGAGCAAAATTTGTTTTTGTTTTGTTAATATGGAAATTATAAAGTGAGGATATCAAGAAAGTTAAAGAACATATATACCAATACTACTCATGCATCAATTGTGTTGGGGCAGTTGTACTTTTTATTAATAGGCCAACTTGGGATATATACAAGGATGATGATTTTGGCACTCCAAAATCACTTTTAAATTACTCTATGCACAATTCATGTGTGAATGGTCAAGTGTAGACGGTGAGATTTGGAGTGTCAAATCATTCCCCATATAAATAAAGGGTATTCAAATAGTGCATTTTTAATGTTGAAAGAGGTTCCAAATTCGGATATGAAATATCTGAATATATGTATAAATAAGATTTCCTATATTTGGTATAATGAACAAGCGTCTGTTTTCAGGGGTTGCTTTCTCGCTAGCGAGGAGAGCCTTGCATCTCTCTAGGGTTTTCTTCGTCCACGTCCAGCTGTTGTCGTCCCTCATCGTCTTTACTAGTGTTGTTTGTCGTCGCCCTATTGCAGCCTGTGTTGGTTCACTCCTGTCTCTCTTTCAATCCCATATCGGTTTTCTTCTTAGTTCACCGTCGTGCTCTCTCTATTCTTGTTGTAGGGCCGGTTCGTTGGCGTCGCTTAGGGATTGTGCTACGGGCTTTATGCCCTAACGTCAAACTCTTGTCTAGTTTCTTTTTGGAGTCGACTGTTGGTGTTCTCGTTTTCTTTATTGGTCTGTGTGGTAATGTCGCCCTCTGCACAAGCCAATCGCAAGGGTTTTGGTTCCAATCTAGTTCTAGTTTTCTGATTTCCTCTGTCGTTAATTCAAGTAGTGGTGCCCTTGGACAGTATGGCCTTTATGCATTCTAGGATCTTAGGTGTTGGGCATGATTTTAGGCAGCTAGGGTTGTTGGTTGAGCTCTATGTTCCTCTCTCAACGGGTTCTGTCGTGCTGGGGCTTTGGGATTCGGGTGGTGATCGAGATTTTATTGTTGTTGAGCAATTTATCTGCATAGACGAGTTTATTGCTAAGGTGATGGAGGCTAACCTCGAGGGGTCTCCCAATTCTCCCCGATGTGTTCACATGAACGTTTATGGGCTTGGCATCTGAGAAACGTTCTCATTATGATGTTCTTCTATTGGAAGTTCATCAAACTAAGAAGCCAATTTTGCTGGGGTCTTGGTTTGTGGGTTTTTAGTTTATGTTTTATTGTCTTTTTCCATGTTTTGTTGATTCCTTGCAGCTCTTCTCTACTCTGCACCGACCGAAAAACTATGTTTAGTCATAGGAGGTTTTCTTCGACAAGTTATGAGTTGAAGTGGGGTGCTTCTCAGGGGTCCTTTTCACTATTGTTCATAGACAACTTCTTTTGATAGTTGGGATGTTCTTCTATCCTTTTTTGTGGGTCTACTATTGCAGTTCTCATCAGAGGTCTTTCTGTTAGTTTTCGTTTTTGATTTGTTCTTTATTGTACCTGAATTGGACTCTCTTGTTAGTTTATGACATGTGTGGTACTCTTTCTTCCCCTGGAGTTTGTCCCATGAGGTTGTCATATGAAGGTTTTAAATAGGCCACTATACCGTATCTCTCTTTATATGCCTTTGTTCTATGAATAAATTCTCTTTCTTAAAATTTTTTATAAAAAAATCCAAATTCGAGTCACGCATTCTAATTGATACCAAAAAAATAAAATAAAAAAGTAAAAATAGTGTGTGAATTCATCCTCCTACTGGATTGGGCCACTAGAAGCTATTGAAAATGTCAAACCTACATGTGAACAAAATAAAATAAAAAAGGTCGGAGACTAAGAAAGAAAAAAATAAAATTGCCATGTGCTTATAAATAAAAAATTCTCAAGCAGATGACGGAATCTTTTTTTTCCCTGTATTTTCCATTTCCAAGAAATTCAGGAGAGAGAAGCATCAAACATGTGAAAAATTAATACAAATTTATAAATAAACCCAATCCTAGACATGTATTTATAAAAAAACCCAAGCACTATTTAAACATAGAAACACACCCAAAATCAACCCCAAAGTCAACTTTTTGGGTGTGTTTATAAATAGGTTTTGAGTGTGTGTAATGATGGGTTTTGGGTGTGTTTATAAAGTGTTTTGGGTGTTGGGTTTTTTTATAATTTCAACCTCCATTTTGGGTGTTTTAGTGAAACTCCCAAAAATTAAACAATTATTATCAGAATTTGCTGTATGAGAGAGAGCCTAGTCCAAGTGACTGGGCCCAAGACCTGCTTGTTGGGCCCTGGCTCACCTAAAAGAAGGGAAGTTTCCAAGCTTTCCAAACCTGTCTCCGCCTTCTGGACTGGGATGTCGAACAAAAGTTTAAAGCAAGGCACAAGAGTTGACTTTGAAATTCGAGAAAGTTTTCTGATCACTCATATCAATAGTTTCCCACGTTTCCTTGTCGCATGATGCCACCGTCTAATTATTGTGAACTTTTCTTCCTTTTTTGTTTGAGTGAAATTACCATTAACTTTTGAGCACCACATCATAAAAATGTCTGTGCCAAATGTCATGATTATTTATCTGAATACAAATCCAACTAGCTAGTAATCATTGGTTTGGATTTCGATCACCCATGTTTACACTCTTCAGTTCATTGTCGAGGACAATTTCCATAGAATCGAATCTAGGCATAGAAGATTTTTTCTGAATGGTAATTGTTTAGATTAATATGCTTGGCTTTGTAAATAGGTTTCATCCTAAAGTGAATTATAACGAATCAAGTAACAAATCTTTTCCCATTTGAGCTATTGCTTTTGCTAAAATATAAATATGGTTTGAATACTTTGGGTTTGATTTTATTTTTTTTCATAAGAAGATATATAGGAGTTTACATGAGTGCTTTATAAGAAAATAGATACAGTAATCAATTAGGATAATATCTCATAATTATATAATAATTTATCAACTATATATAATAGAAAAGTAAATCCTTTAATTAATTAATAAAATAAATCTTCTTAATTAATTAAGAGACTTACGTCAACGGCTTTCACTTCATAATAAGACTTTTGTTAGGAAATTCATAAGTTATAAAAAAGTTGGTAAAAACTTTGTTGAGTTTGTAGTTCTTTTATGTCATTGGACTAGATAAATCATTGAGGAGATGCAGGTCTCCTTCCGCGTGTTTATAGGTCTGATTGTCTGATTTATACGTTCCGTCTTGGAAATTAGCAAGAGACTGCCGTGCCCAAAAGAAGGATTTTACCAGTTCAAAGTCACAAAACCCAGACAGCAAGGAAATTTCACGTCCTCTGTCTGGGCCAAGCGAGCAAAGGGTATAAAAGCTTTGCAACGAGGTAAGACCTTCGCTAAATTTTCTTTGTGGATGCAAGCGTTTAGAATTGAGATTCTTATATTATATTCATATAAAACTACACATAACATAACCGATGTTGATGCAGAGGTTCAGAGCCACCAGCAAGCTTTTGCCACACCTTTCAGCCAATAAAATCTCTCCAATGTCTTCTTCTCTTGTGCTCCATCATCCATATCCAAAGAGGCCTTGTCGTGGAACTCTTGCACCCTATTCATCGTCCTGGCCCAAAGGTATGGCTTTAATTTCTGCATGTTTAATTGGTCTTTTATTATGCCATTGTTGTTGCAGTTGTTCGTTTGTTTCATGCATTTGTGGAACTTATTTTGGTTGTCTATGGCTCTGTGGTGGTCTGGTACCTGGCGGAGCCATGTAGGAACCAGAGGGGTCCCATGCCCCTACTCAACTCTCTCTCTCTCTCTCTTTTCAAGTCATTTCACTCTCATTTTCAAGCTCTACAAGAACCTGTAGTGTTTATATTTTCATTCCCTTTATTTTTATATTCTGTAAAATGACCCATCTAACCTCAATTCCTGACTCCGTCGTTGGTACTCATGAATCTCTGCCCTTTCTTTTAAAGGGTGTCTTGAGAAACTTCAGAACTTGAGTTCGTTAGTGATAGACTTATTTACTGTAGTGCCCCTTAAAACTATAGTCAATTCTCACTTTACCCCTTGAAAGTTAAAATGACTCAGAATACCCCCTTGACCAAGATTTGGTAGTTCACTTTACCCCTCACTATTAACTCAGTTAAAAATGATGACATGGCATGAAAAGGACTCACTTTTGTGCTGAAATGTGTCACATATGAAAAATAATAATAATTAATATTTCTTTTCAAAAACATATTTTTAAAATATTGTTTTTTTCTCTCAATATCTCTCTCCCCATTCTTCCCAGCCCATCATTCAATATTCCCCGGCGCTAGCCCCCATCCCATCGACCCTTACAGCCCCTCACCCTTCCCCGGACCACCCCCTCCCCTCTGTTCACTACCTATCGAAACTTCTCTATGCGCCCACCCCACATCCTTGTAAAGAATTTTGCCATATCGTCCCATATCCAAAACTTCTCAGCCCTACTTTTTTTATTTCTCAATTATCACTACCAAAACACCATATTGTTGTGTTTTATTTGATTTGGGAACCAAAAGTCTCCAAATACCAAAATAATGTCCTGCACCATATGAATTTTTTTTTTCTCATCAGACCCAGCGAGACATAAGAGAGATAAAGAGAAAAAGGAATTTGGGTTTGGGGATGAACAACAACATGGTAGCTTTATGGGTTTTCTAAGATGATGGGTGGTTATGAATTTGGGTGCACAATTAATGGGTCAATTTTGGGATTTTGAAGGTAGTGGGTTTTGGGATTTTGGATTTGGTTTGTTTGATTCTGGAAGGTAGTGGGTTTGGCAATAAGAATTGAATTCATGAGAGGGAGAAAGACAAGTCATGGGGGCATGACTTTTGGGTGCTCTGTCTGTCATGGATATACATATTTACATTTAGGGATTTGGAAATCAGTGGAAGAAGAAAAGAGAAAGGGGCGGGGCCTGGGCTGTGTCGTGGGTGGGTGGCCGTTTGGGCATGGAGAGGTGGGGCTGTGATGGCTGCCCCAAGTGGGTTGGTGGGGGAGGGTGTCTGGTACAGAGAGAGATAGAGGGAGAGAGAAGAGGGAAGTAATTTTCTAAATATTTTTTCCTATTTGTAAAATATTTTATTGGTTTTTCACATGTGGCACTTACATGGCATACATTTCATCAAAAGAGTGAGTCCTATTTATGCCATGTCATCGTTTTTAATAGAATTTTTAACAGAGTTAATGGTGGGAGGTAAAATGAATCACCAAACCTTGGTCAATGGGGTACTCTGAGTCATTTTAACTTTCAAAAGATAAAGTGAGAATTGACTATAATTTCAGGAGGCGCTACAATAAATAAGCCTTAGTATAAGAAAGCGTGAGAAAAGCTGGTGTAGGACAAGAGAGGGGTCAATCCTTATCAAGAAGAGTTTTAAAAAAAGGGTTAAAAATTAGGAGAAATTATAGAAATACTGTATGGCCGCGTATACAAGAGAAATCCCGTGTATTGAATTTCAGTTGACACTTTGTAGATCACCACCACTTGAAGGTCGGTATGGACGGCAATTTAAATTGTTGGCCACCTAATCCTCATTGATTATATTTATTATTTCTGTTTGACTGTTAGATTTTTTTTTCTTCCAGAATGATGTGATCATGTGGACATAAATGAATTATCTTGAAATACCTCATAATGGAGAGACTGGGTTACTTGTCAAGTCTTTGTTTTTCTGTCCTTTTAAAGCATCCATAATGGACTCTTTAAATAATATCTTTAGATAAGTTTAGAGAGGAATTGGAAAAATACAACTTCAACTCTGCTCCCTATCCACCTCCTAAAATGAAGAGAGTTCTAGGAGCTTATAAATCTAAGGAAAGAGAAAGAACTTCTAGGGACTTTATAATTTAATGCTGCTTTGTTTTATGCATAGTTTAAACTCTTAATTAATACTAAATATTATATATATCTTTATTTATAGAAATGGACCAATCATATTGAATTATAAAATAACTATAGTATTTATGACCCCCTAAATTAAAGAGTATGATTGGAGTTCAAATTTTATACAGAGCTCCTAAAATAGCTTTTGTATGCTTTTAGCTAAATTTTAACTGAAAAATAGAAAGCATGATTATGGATCCTCAAATTTTATGAGGTGCTTTTGTAGACTTGTCGTGGTTGGTTCATTGTAGACGCTACATATGTATGACTCTTGTTGACGAGTCCTTATTTAATTAGGATTTTAGTTACTTACCATTTATTTAGTTAGGATTTTGGTTACTTACCATTTATTTAGTCCTATTATAAATAGGATTTATTTCTTATTATAATTTAGATATATTTCCTATTTTATTTAGTGTTAACACATCTTTATACTTGTATAAATACCTCTATATTAAATAAGAATAATAATGTGAGCATATATGAATATTTTCCCTACTTTGTTTGGCTACTCTTTCTTATTTCTTCACAGACCCAAAAGATAAACTTCCTTCCTTGATTCAAGACATGTCAGTTTCAACAAGTTCATCATCTGTTGCAAAACAAGCCATCATGCCTGAAGATGGAGTTGAGCAGATTGAATTACTCAGTGCAGTTGAGGATTTACATGGAGGAGTTGTTGTAGACTTGAAAGAAGTTATGGATTCTGAGGTTTTCAGCTCTTTGCTCAGAGCTTCAATGTCACAGTGGAAGCAAAAGGTACCTTTTTTTTAATGTTCATTTCATCATTTGTACGTATGGTGTTAAGTTTGTGAAGGTTGCTGTTTTCTCTCAGTCCCTAATATATACACTATTTACTTGAATTGTATTTTGTAGGGGAAGAAGGGTGTTTGGATCAAATTGCCTATTAAACTTTCAAATCTTGTGGATGCTGCTGTTCAGGTAAAAAAAGATTCCATTGTGCTAGTTCTTTATAAACCCAGTAGACCAAATAATTCGTGACTAAGAGGACAGAACACAATATTTAAAATGATTGGGGCAAATCCCACATACATCCATGGACAAGAGAGAGAATCCAGTAAATAAACCACATGTATAATATCAAGGTAATAAGAGAACAAACATGAAATCTGACTCCTCTAACTCAAGTCGTGAAACTATCCCCGTTTCATTGCTCTCTGATGCCCGAAGACATACGAGAAATTCTGTCTGTAGCCTAATCTGTGTATATTTATTGAGTTCCATGGAACTTATTCATTGTTTAACAAGATAAAGACTTTATTTACTTGGCAAGGGATGCAAATAATTTTATTTACTTGCCATGGAACTCATGCATATAATTTCCAACACTCAAGCGTCATTTGTTTTGCTATTTGTGCAGGAAGGATTTAGGTACCACCATGCTGAGCCAGATTACTTAATGCTTGTAAGATGGATTCCTGAAACTTTTGATACTCTTCCGGCAAATGCTTCGCACCGAGTAGGTATTGGTGCTTTTGTCATGAACAGTGAAAGAAAGGTTTGCCTTCTGAACTGTAATTTTTTTTCCCACTGTTCTGAACATGACATCTACAATGAAAGTCAATCTTGTAACACTTTACTTTTGTGTTTGTAATATTTTCAGCGTCTGAAATCATTATTTAACCTCTTATTTCAAAGTGATTTTCTAGCCAAAAGTTGATCTTTCATATACTTAACTGTGGATGTTGTTAGCTTCTAGATCAGATAATTATATCCGTACACTTGAATAGATCAAACAGTTATAAAGAAGGAAATACCAGATATGCTTAGAAAACTGACAGCAAAAAGAAGAAAATATGGTACCTTGTTTTCTATGAGTTTCCTACAGAACATACGGATAGGTTGAATACTGTGACTAGGTGTATATACCCTTCATATTTACATTCTCAGTTAAAGGTTCTAAATTAGAATCGATTCATGTTTCGTTTCAAGAACTTATATTTCAGTTGCCATCATTCTAAGTAACTCTTTAAGTTTCTTTTGCTAGAATCTGTTTTCACGAAATTATGTGTCGATTGCTGTCTGCTACTTTTGCCTATTAATATCATACGTTTGGCAGATACTTGTGGTTCAGGAGATCAATGGCAGATTCAAAGATACAGGCTTGTGGAAGATGCCGACTGGGGTTGTTAATGAAGTGAGTACAAACAGGAGCAGAACTTTATCAATTTTTAATAAATATTTCAAATCATCTTCTCACCATGGATAAAATTGTCTCTATCCACAGGGTGAGGATATTTGTGCAGCTGCAGTTAGAGAAGTCAAAGAAGAGACAGGAGTAAGTGATAACTGATGGAATATAGTATCAACGAACAGGCTATCAAATTCCTGTGTAAATCTAATACCATGATTTTTTTTTCTTCTGCAGATTGAAACAGAGTTTGTGGAGATTTTAGCATTTAGGTGAGAAGCCTGCCTCCAGTTAAAGAGTCTTCTATGTATTTATAGATATCTGTGGTTTACTTGGTAGCAGCATGCTATGCAGAAGGCATCTTTTGTCATACATATAATATTCTCTCTTTACATTGCTATGCGCTCGGCATCTTGGTAGCAGCATGCTATGTGCTCGGCTCTTCTCGTTTCAATTATACCTCTTTATATTATCTCTCTCTCTCTCTTTCTACAGGCAAAGCCACAAGTCATTCTTTCAAAAATCAGACTTGTTTTTTGTTTGCATGTTAAAACCACACTCCTCTGACATCGAGACGCAAAATTTAGAGATTGCGGCAGCCCAGGTAATTTTTGGAAGACGAAAAGTTCATCATACAATCTAGTCAAATGGCAAGAAAAACAGAAAGTTACATAGCATCACTCAATGTAGGAGTCAACCGAAAAACATATGATGCTAAACTATTCTAATGTGTAACTCTCTGGGAATTATTTTCAGTGGATGCCAGTTGAGGAATATGCAGCTCAACCCTTCATTCGGAAAAACAAGATGTTCGATTATGTAGCAGAGATATGCTTGGCAAAATCAGATAAGGACTATGCCGGTTTTTCTCCAATGCGTACAACAACATCCTCCGGAAAAAGAAGCTACTTGTACCATAACAGCCGGGACATGGCCAACATACAGGCTACCGGTGATCATCAGTAGAAAGGCTGATCAAACTCCACAACATAGTTGCAATAACAGTCACTGTGGGTTCCTATTGTATAAAAATCCCTTCAAGTGCCTCCCGTTTTACATTGATTTCATGTCAATAATTGGTTCCTATATGTTGATGTCATTACATTGCTTTATAATTTATACCGAAATTCCAGATACCGTGTGTATACGTCTCATATACGCTAATATTTTTAATACAACTTGCTTATTCTATTTTGACTGTCATTGGTTGGGATCCATGCAAGTTTTGCTTCTTACATTCCTGGTTATGAAAGTGGAATTCATTGCCTCAGTGAACTTTAATCAGGAATTAAGAGAAACTGATGAGCTAGAGATCCACTGGAGTTCCTTATATATTTCTTTACAAAGTACCTGAGTTTTTAGATAACATAAACTAAATATCATGTCACATTTTGACCCAAATGGACACAAAACTACAACACTACACTATTATTTTCTGAATATTTATTCTTATCTCTAAACAACAATATCATATACTTATATGAAATTGACTCAAAAACACCTGCCCCAAAATGGTTTCAAAGCATGCTTCCTCCCTCATGCCGCCTTTGACATCAGCCAAAGTTTTTGAGTTGATCAATTAATTTTTTTTTCAGGGTTTTATTCTCTTATCCATTTAACAAAATAAAATGACAAATCCTTCCGGGGGAGGTAGAAACATTGATTAGGTCAAAAAATATATAAAATATAAATGAAAGCTGAAACTAAAGGCCAAAAAAACTGACCGTATACAGACCCAAATAGGTCTTCCCTTCGTTTCCATTATAAAAACAAAAACAATTTATCCAAAACCACCTTGAATTTATTATGGGGAAGGCACATCCCATGCCTTTAATCCCAATGGAGGAATAATAGTTATCTTTCTTCTTCTTATTAAATTTTTTAAAATTTATAAAAAGCCGATAGAATCTTATTAGATTAATACAAAAAGAAAAAGAAAAAAAAGAGTACATATGACATAGACTGTAAAGGAAGTTATCCCAATAACAATATGTCAGATATGGGTAAAAACTTCATTGGTGAGCCAGCTAAAAAGCTAAAACAATCTAGAGAGAACTCTCAAAGAAAACTTTTTATAACCATTTTCTACTGTCATAGTTTCCACAAATATAGTCCAAAAACATCAAACATATAACTGACTGCTAATCGACATGATTCTCCTAAAGTCTCTGAAAAATTATGAGAAGAAAAAAACACGGCAACTCATAGAATTTCTGGACTTTATTTAATTTAGTTTGTGTCGCGTGTATTTCACTTCCACATAAATCTATATATTTAATGCAAAGCACTAATATTTCCCTTGTAAACCGAATTTTAAACACATTAAATACATAAATTTATTTGTGGGTGAAATATACGATAATATCCAAGTAAATTAAAGCAAAATGAATGGCTTTATTAGCGCAGACAACGACATGGCGCAGAGGAGTTGCACAAGATGACGTTAAAAACGACAAAAACCTGTCACGATGAAATACGCAAATGTTTATATGTAGAGGGCTTGAAAGCCATTTGAGAAACCCCACAAAACAAACTCAACAGTCTGAGTTTCCTTCCACAGTGAGTGAGTCCACAACTCCTCTGTTCCAATCACAAGCAATTCCTGTGTTCCATCCATCCATGGCTCTGGTGCAAGGCAAATGGATCAAGGTCTCTTCCCTACTTCCCTTTCAAGTTTCAAGCTCTGTTTTAGATCATCATTTTGCAATTTTTTTGTTTGAAATGTAACTCAAATTGTGATGAAATCTTGATTTCTACTGTTTCAACAAATGGTTATCCAACTTGGGTGGTGCATGTTCTTTTGGGTACTGCAAATGTTGTTTATTTTATTTATTTACTCGGGGGACAAAAAAAGGTTTGGCCTATTGGGTTAAAGATTGGGTCTTTTTTGCATCTTGAGATTATCTTGGTTTTGCCCATCTTCTTTAAAATCAATGAAAACACTTAAAAATCTCCTCTGTGTGCATCAGTTTTAACAGATTGGATGAAAATTCTGTACTTGGTTTAGATCTAAAGCAGATTATAATCACAATTGGTATGTAATTTGTTGTAACATGTGACTTAGGAAGATATTGTTAGGTCATATTTTTGTGTGAGAGAAAGAGAGAGAGATTTGTAAATGTGGTACGAACAGTTTTATTCATCTTATTTGCATTTGCAAATCTTGTACTATTGTTTTTCAGCTTGATCAAAAGGGAACTGGGCCTGGAGCAAGAAGCTCACATGCCATTACCCTAGTAGGACAGAAGGGCTATGTTTTTGGTGGCGAATTCACGCCACGTGTCCCCGTTGACAACAAACTCCACGTGTTCGACCTCAAGGAGCTGACGTGGCATGTGATCGATGGAACCGGTGATGTCCCGCCGCCACGTGTTGGTGTGACATTGGTAGCTGTTGGACAAATCATCTATGTTTTTGGTGGTAGGGACTATGACCACAACGAGCTCAATGAGCTCTATTCCTTTGACACATCTACAAACAACTGGAACCAAATTTCTAGCGGGGACATTGGGCCCCCTCATCGGAGCTACCACTCCGTGACCGCCGATGACCGCCATGTGTATATTTTTGGCGGCTGCGGTGTGGCCGGCCGGCTTAATGATCTATGGGCCTACGACGTGGTCGATAAAAAATGGATCCAATACCCAAAACCGGGTGACAATTTGAAGGGGAGAGGCGGGCCTGGCCTGCTAGTCGTCGAAGGGAAAATATGGGTTGTGTATGGCTTTACTGGAGAGGAAGCTGACGATGTGCACACCTTCGACCCAGCCCATGGGGAGTGGACTCAAATTGAGACAAGCGGTGAGAAACCAACGGCTCGGAGTGTATTTTCTACAGTAGCAATCGGAAAATACATAGTTATATACGGTGGGGAAGTGGACCCTAGTGACTTGGGCCACATGGGTGCCGGGAAATTTGCTGCCGAGGTCTATGCACTGGACACAGAGACATTGGTGTGGAAGAGGTGGGATGATGGGCTTGGCTCGAGCCAACATCCCGGGCCTCGCGGGTGGTGCGCTTTTGCCCGCGGGCAGTGGGATGGAGAAGTGGGCCTTTTGGTGTATGGCGGAAACTCACCAACTAATGATCGCCTTGGTGATATTTTCTTCTTCACTCCTTATTTGGAAGCAAATGGTAAATGATTAGATATGGTGATGCATGAGAGTGAGAGTGGTGATGTTAGCTTAATGTCATGTACTGGAAAATGGAACTATGGGTATGTATATTTGTGTGTAATAAAATCTAGACATGACCGTGTGTATGTCAGAGTAGGGTTGTATTTCCTTTTCTGTTTTCTTTCTTTTTTGCTTCTGATTTGGTAGACTTCAGAACCCATATGAATCTGATTACAATTTGGCCTCACACCCATATCAATCTTGTTACTGTTTTGTTTTGGAAACAAAAAATAAACATGTTAAACATTGGAGGATCTTCATCTGTTTTGATACTACCAATCTTAATGTGAAAGTTGCATCTTCCAATTTGGTTTTATTAAAGAAAAGGTCAACACATATTACAGTTGTTATATAAATTATTTTGAAAATAATTATTTGGTCTAGTGACATCAATGTTTAAGGAAATTGTAAATTTCAGTATCGTTGTTGAATAAACAAAATTATTACAGTATGTCATTGAGTCCAAGCTAGTCCTTATGAGCCCCATCCTCTAAGACATAACATATTCAACTGTTGTCCATTTTAATAAGTTCATTCTCAATACACCAAACGACACCCATAACTCTAACTGAAATAATCCAGTCCAACCCATCAAACGTTGAATATGTATACACCTTAATTAACCTGCAACTCAAATTTTAATAATATGCAATTTAATTGTAATACACAATACATTTTTTACATTAAATTATTTTTTCGAATAAAATGAAGAAATTTTTTTTTTTGTGTGTCAATTTTCCCACAAACAAGACCTCTCCAGCCAATCACAAAAGCAAAACCCCAACGCACAAACTCAAAACAACCATACCCAATCTCCCACCGTCCAATCCCGCGACTCCATTCTTATCACTATCAGCCGTTTGATCCTCCGAATCATCAGATCCCGGCGCATCAGCAGAATCATCCGGCCCCTCCGCCACCTCCTTCGGCGCAGGCGCCGTCTTCACCTTGAACAGCTCCGTCGGCTGCAAGACCTTGTTCACCTTGTAAATCACCAGAGGCTCCTCGTCGATCAACGTCCCCGTTATCTTCGCCGTCACAACCTCCGTCTCCAAGCTGACGACCTCGCCGTCATTTTGGACGGTGAAATCGAACTTGTTGGCCTTGTCGGTGGCCAGCGTGTTGACGAGGCCGTTGTTGGACTTGAGCATCTGGAGGGACTGGTACACGGGGATGCCGTGGTAGAGCAGCAACGACACCTTTTGGGATGTCGTTAGGTTTTTGTACTTGGGGAGGAAGCCGTTGATGACGGCGTCCGTCGGGCAAAACACCGTTAGGCCTCCGTCAATGTTGGTCTCGAAGGTCGTGTCGGCTCCCGATGAGATCAGCAAGTCGGCGAAGGCTTTGCAGCCTTGCTTTGATAGGATCGCCGTTAGGTTCAGCTGGCTTGGCCCTGCGGTTGGCGCCTCAGCTTCCGCCGAAGTTAATACCTGAAACGCAGTCGTTTCATGTGATATTGTTAAACGCAGTCGTTTCATGTCTACTACATACTGTACCTTTGTCTAGTGGCCAAAATGAAGTGTACCAAAGCAAGTTGGAATTCTATATTTCTTTAAATCAAACAAGAATCAAATTCCCAAGATATGTTGGGAATTTTTGAGGTCTTGTGGGGGAGAATTCATGTCCTTTGCTTAAGTATCTAATAAGAATTTGAGTTGAGAACTTCATAAAATACTGAGTTTACCACTACACATTATAACACATTTTACACGTATGTATGTATTCTATCATGTTATGGTAGCATATTGTCGGTGTAAATTTTTTCGTCGTGCCGATTTTTATTTAAATGTGTGATTCATATTCACAGTTTAATAATATAAATGAATAGATAGTGTTAGATTTGATCTAGTAGTATTAATTTACCATCTATAAGGTTCATTCCTATCCCAACATGATCCCAAACCATTTACCTGACTGATTTGCAAGACGGAGATATTGTATGGAATCTCCTGCACAGACTTCACATAGAAGGAATTGAGCTTCCCATCATTGTCTTGAGCTCCGAAGCCGACTTTACCGCCCTTGAGGTTGGTGATGTTCACGTACCCCGAAGTCCCTGCCGCCACCCCCGTGGCCTGGAACATGCTGCTAGCCAAGGTGGTGCCGTGGGTGATCTGGTGAAGTTTCTTGGCACCGAAGTAATCCACAAGAACATGGAGGGAGAGCACATTCTTTATGGTGTAGACAGGAAGTCCTTTGGACAGGAGGGAAGACATGGCGGCATTGTCGATGGCGAGGACGGTGATGGTCTGGCGGCGGTTGATCTCGGTGGCGAGGTGGGTGAGTGTGAGGTAGTGGTTGAAGGAGGAGAGCTCGGGGTGTTTGGCGAGTATGCGCGTAATGTTATGTGCTTGGGATGTGGAGGAGAGGAGGAAGAGGAAGAGGGTTGAGAGGGCTAGGGTGGAGGTGAGGGCTGGTGGGTGTGGCATTGTGGAAATGTGGAGGTGGGTTTTGGGCAAGGGGGAGGAATGGGAAGAAGAAAGAGATTGTGTGCTTATATGTGATGAGGCTGAGGACTTATGAGTTATGCCAGCTTGGTTTAGGTAGGGGGTGAGGGCATATAATATTTTGATGGGTCCTTCTTGTGATGATGTATTGATAATTGTCAGTTGTGAATTTGAGAGAATATATTTGGGGATGAAATTGATCAGGCAGTTTTCTACCTATAGACTGTCCCTATTGTTGGGTCAAATTGAAATCTGAAGTTGTGATTGATCCATAATGGTTGAAGCATGAAAGGGAAAGGGACCACATGATTTATCAAATCCTCATTAAAAGAAAAAACCAGAGCAAAATTGCAGGCAGTTCAATTAATGATATGCAAATTTTCAATGCACACTTATTCTCAAGACCAAAAGATTTGTGTTAGTTGTTGTTACATGACTTTTCAAAGATCAACCTTGTTTAAGTGCATAGAATGTGAATTAAGGACTTTTGCATAGTCGTTTAAAATGATTAAGAGCAAGGTACCTCTATATTTGAAGTACTGTGTTCGAATCATCCCTCTGTGCAGTGTTGTTGATATATATATATATATTTTTTTAAAGACTTTTGCTTCCGATGGATAACTAAGTTCGAACAAACGGGATGTCGAAATTAAAAACATTGAAGCATAAGTAAGATGATTTGAATATAAAGTAGATGAAATGGCAACATCAGTGTCCTCATGCATATGGCCAAAGAGAAAATTATGCCCGTGCATGAGTTGATTAAGCATAGGGCCCCTGATTAGCATAAAAAACAAAGAGAAAGGGTTTAATTAAGCAAACTACATGTGTCGGCAGCAGTGTACTCCAGAAAAGCCAGACTGGTTTGAAGAGAGGAACTTGTTGAGTTTAGACTACATGGACAGCGATGGCTGATCCCCTAAAGAGAAATACAAATAATAAAAACATTTCAATAATATTATGATGGGTAGCATTTTCTTTTCATATTCTGTTGGATCCAGGCTGTTCTTGTTTGTTTTGTTTGATGGTCTTAATGTCGTCTCTTTACATGATAAAATTGATTATTCTATTTGTTCCTATTTCCCTTGTTCCGACGGTCCATCTCTTGTGTGATTCTTCATAATGCAAACTTAAACGTCATTGTGCTTTTTGATTAATCACATTTAGAGGTAACACTGCGAATAAGTTTCCGTCTAGAAGAATGAGACTCATAAGAATTGATTTGAACTCAATTCCAATACAGTCCAAATCGAGCCACCAAATTAGAGCATTTCCAATAGATATGTCAAATTGTCACATGGATATGAAATGACAAAAATTCAAGTTAAAGTTGCTCCAACCGAGTAGTCAAATCCTACACGGATTTGAAGGCTGGAAGAAATATGTCAAAAATAATATATAAAAAAGCTTGATGTCAAATATTATTTTAATATTTTTTTAGTTATGGACCTCACTATCATTTACTCTCTTTTAAAACTTAATGCATTATATGGGTTCCATTTGCTTTTAAAAATATAATAAAATAATATGATATTTGGTATTTCAGTGGAGTTAAATTTGTTCCAAAGTGTCAAATTGCCACATAAACCATCAAAATCAAATTTAACATTTAACAGTTGACATCCAGGTTGGAGAGTGAACAAATAGCAGTGAAAAAGTAGGTGGTTTGCTTTGCTTGTTTAGTGGTGTATGCATAAATATATATGTGTAGGACCATGCATGAGTTCAGTGGTGTATGGGGCACACCATGGGATACTAATTAAAAGGCCCAATTTGTTCAAAGAAAAACCACAGCAAATGAAAAGGCTTTTCCCATCTTTATTCTAGGTCCAAAGGGGCAGAGTGACAGTAGAGAAAAGAACCAGAAACACTAATATCTTCTAGTGAAGGAAATCTGCATCTTACTCTTTTAGTTAACAATTTACTTTGCTAGGTATGTAACTATATATATTATACACACTTTTACAGTCAGTTTTTTTTAAGAGAGAAAAGGGATAATCGTATTTATAAATTAGGCACAAAGACCATACATGCAAATACAAATACTCATAAAGGGGTAATACAAATATGAAAGCTTATTAGTTACACACGGTTAATTCAAATACAAGCCATATAAAGTTAGAAAAATTTCGACATAAAAACCGCATGTCTTAACAAACCAAACATAAATCGCAGTGCCCAAATCTACCAATACATAGTGGCGGAGCCCCTGGCCTCCCCATTTTTATGACATATCTCCTATATTATATAATGTAATATATATAATTTACTGAAAATGTGTATGTTTGTTTTGAAAAAAATATAATTCAATAATTGCCTTAAATTACCTTTATTAATAGGAGTTATTTTCGATTAATATGGGCTGATTTTCTCAACTGATGTATTTGCTGCCTTTAAAGCCCACCAACGTCTCTTTTGTGTTTTGAATTCAATTTGTTCTTCATTTACTATTGTCTCTTTTGTGTTTCGAATTCAATTTGTTCTTCATTTACTATTTCTGGGAGTTTACTAATACTGGCTCTTTCAAAAACAACTAGACATGACTAATTGTAGGGGTTTTTTTTCTTCCGGCAGCTACAAATGGGCTGAGCCGCCGTAAAAGGGAAATTGCTGAAATTGCCCCCTGTGTCTGAGTTCCCAAATCAAGCCCTAATAGCGCTTCGAAAGGGCAGTAGAGCCTTAAGAAGCGTTCTGGTTACCTTCACCAACGAAAATATGGCTTCCTAGGGAGAAAGAGGAGTGTTTAAGGTGAGGAAGAAAAGGTTTTCAAGCATATGTGGCTGAGAAGAGGAAAAGAAAGAACTATGTTCTTCCGGCAGCTTACCAAAAGAAGAAAATGGGGAAGAAGGGTGAATACTGCACGAGGTTGTAATTTTCTTGTTCCTGAATGGGCTTCTTCAATTTTTTTAAGTTTATGCTCTACTCCGAGTAAAGATACGCCCGATTTGGATTTGCACATATAGGACAAATGCCCCAATACCACGTCCTTTGGGCTTTTGCAGGTAAGAGAGAAAACTTGCTCTCCAGGCGTGGGTTGGATTTGTTAGGTAGGAGAAGCCTCAATTTATAGCCGCTGGAAACCACCAATTTTCAAGAAACACTAATGGCTTCTACCCATTTTGGCTAAGCTTTTCCCTTCTTTCTATCTCCTCCCATGGCTTTTCCTATTTTGATGAAATCTCTTCTATCTATTTGCACCATATCAGAGTTTTTGAAGCTCAATGCCCTTTTTTCCCGCAACTGTCTCAATGGCAGACTTCCATTCCCAGCCATCTCTTTTATTGCTTTCTTCTCTTTTTTCCATGGCCAAGTCTGATGGGGGAACGAATTGGGGTATGTATGCTGGTTCGAAGAGTGCTTCTCTTCCTGGCAGCTTACATGCTAATATCCCTTAGGTCCTTGCATGTTTCTTTTGCTTTGAAACTTGTTTCTTCCTTCCTGTTAACCAACGTGGTCTTCCATAGCTTCTTCATGGTTTTATCCTTCAGCCAATAGATGGGGTTTGTTTGCTACCTCTATTTGTATGGGTTTTCTAGGATAGGAAGTCAACCCTCTAAACAAATGGGCTACCCCTATCAAATATTGGGCTATATGGGTTAATTTTAGTGGATCATTTTGGTTGGGCTATTTTGGTTGGACTATTTTCCCATTTTGTGCTCACCCATATGTTTGGGCCTAAGAAATGAGCTTGGGTTCCGAGGCTCCCAAGCAACCCGGAACCTCCACTTCTCGGTCCATCAATGGGCCTCATGACAATTTAGTATCATCCATACCACAACCCACTCAAGCAAGTCCCGGGTATTTGAGTAGCTTGGGCCCACTTAGGCTTGTAGCGTGGTTGGGTATGAGATAACGATTTTATGCTTGGCATGGCATGTTGCTTGGCATATTTTAATTTTATCGTCCTTGGGAAGGACTGCGATGTTTAATTTCGGCATGGGCTTGTAAAGCCAGTATATTTTATCTCAACCCCTAGCATGACGAATTTATTTAGCATGGCACGTGAACTACAACTCGCATGTGGCGAGTTTTCGTGTACTCCGCTTTATGCTTTTTCTTAATGGAGTGTCGTTTTGGGTTGATAATTTATTCGGGCCCAACCATGGATTTTTTGGGCCTCAACACTAATTTTGAAAATTTTAGTTCTAACATATGTTTTAAACACTTATATGTATTCAATATACTTGTGTTTTCTATCTCAGCCCCTTCAATCTTATAATTCTAGCTCCGCCCTGCCGATACAACAACTTTTAAATTCTTACAAGTACAAAAACAATAGAGACTACAACTTTTATATACACATTTATAATTTGTTTTTGCCCCAAATAACAAATGTAGAGATGCATGTTGTGCCCATTACAATTTTCAGGATTCATGGAGTTCAAATTCTAGATGGTTTTTTTTTTTTTTTTTTTTTTTTTTTTTTTTTTTTTTTGGTTGGGTTTTGTTGAGACTGGTGGCGGGGTTGGATGGGTTTGTGTTGTCTGGAGGAGGGGGGGGGGGGCCTTGGGCAGGGACAAGGTGGCCTGTGGGCCAGGACATATACCGGGCTTGCTTCAGGGACAACCTACACGCTTCAAGCAACTAGACCGTCGAAAGAGGGGAGGCTGGTGTGATACCAGTCAAACCCCATCCGATGGCTAAGTTAATGGCTGGTTAGTGGGGAAAATAGATATAGAGTTTCTGGGTGAAAATGGTTATTACCTTTGTCTCAATGCATGTGAAGAGTATTTATAGAGGGAGAAGGGAAGATCATATCTCCTAAAATCTATCAAAAGGGGAGACCTTCAGCCATTCCCAATGTTGGGATCAAAGAGTGGTTATGGGCCCCAGTCATTGTGCTGATTATCAGGGACCAAGTAGCAAGACGACACCTGGCTTGGATGTGAAGAGCATTAAATGCTCCCTTTCAGCCACCATGTTAGTATTAGGTGTGTGAAGTGACCTGGTGTGACAGGAATTTGGTCAGGTTGAAATACGAGCTCTTTTGCCTTTCTGGTCACATGACATCACAGTGGACATGTGCACCCCAACTCTAGTTGCACAACGTCCCTTGATAAGCTCAACTATAAGGCCTATTAGCAATACCTGGGGCGATCAACCTGGTCGGGTCAGTATATGAATGTCCCAGCCTTACTTGGCCACGTGGTGTTCTCTGATAGACTCGGCTAGATGACATGTTAATAGGTTTATTTATGGAGCCACTTGATCCATGAAACTTGAATTCCCCAATAACCCCTCAAAACCAAACTAATGAAAGATTACCACCACCAGGTCATTGTCTTTCTCTTCAACCATCAAAGTTGGGCTTCAATGATTTTTCTCTTTACATACAGGTACAGCCACCAAAACCAATACTTACATAAAACGGGATATCGCTGTTTTGCTATCCCCTTTCACAAAAGTCTTTCTACAATCACACAAATGTGGAAACAAGCACAGAGACATGTCTAATTTGGACCTGGATATTTCTTTATTTGGTACACCGCACACAAAGAATGCCCAATGTTAATTAAGGTCATGGTTTCCCCAAAAGAGCACAAATACAAAGACCTTTTCCTCGTCTGTCAGTCTCAGCTCATATAAGCAAAACCCATGATTCATGGATTCTTTTCAACAGATTGGAAATTTAGAAACCAACCAGAGTCCAACAACTAAATTGGGGTTTAATCAAAACTATCTACATGAGAATCAATATGATACATACATTTGTCCTTTCCCAATATACCCCTTTCCTTTTCCCACAATTACACTTACAGACAGGCACACATCTATATAGAACTCGAGAAAATTGAATTAACCCACCTAAATTAAGATTAACAGTCATTTATCATCATAATCATCATCCCTAATTAAAGCCACCGAGCATAGCACCTGCATTGACCCGAGTCACCTCACAACTGAAGCTCCACCATTTCCACCACCACCACCTGAACCTCCACTATTCCCAACCCTAACTCCGCCACTTCCCATACCCATATGATGTTGTTGATACCCACCACCAGAACCGTACACGTGTCCCTGATGATGATGATGATTACCCATCATCACCATTCCACCATAAACCCCATTATACCCACCACCGCCGCCGCTTGACCCAGAGCTTACACCTCCACCGGAAGCCCCCCCACCGCCGCCGCCGGCACTATCCTTGTCTCTGCCGCCCATGGTGATCTTCTCGCCCTCCAGCTCCCGATACTTCTGCAGATAAACCTTGAGCGGCTCCACGTACTCCTCGAACCCTAGCGTCATCATCGCCCAGAGCAAATCGTCGCCGTTGATCGTCTTCCTCTTCTCCCTCTGGCACTTGTCGGAGGCCTCTCCGGTGACGAAGCTGATAAACTCCGACACGCACTCCTGCACCGTCTCCTTCGCGTCCTTCGAGATCTTCGCGTTCGCCGGCAGCGCCTTCTTCATGATCCGGCTCACGTTAGCGATCGGCAGGAATCGGTCCTGCTCACGCGCCGACAGCTCCCCGCTCTGCGCTTGGCTGCCGTCGTTGTTCCCGCCCGAGTCGTTGTCCGAATCGGCCATATCGGGGGTCTTGGGCGTCTCGGGTGGACTGCGTCAGAGAGCGATGAGGGAGGAGAGGCAGCGGTGTTGGGGTCCGTTGGATCTAGAGGGGTAATAATGCATCGGGAGCGACACGTGGATCGTTCTGGGCCGGTTGTTTCTCGATAAGTTGTGAGTTAGGGGGGCGGTTTTGGGTTGTTGGATTGGAGTGTGGGGTGTTGGATCTAACGGCAGTGGAAGTGACACGTATGCTGCTGTCCGTTTTGAGAATCTTCAGGCGGCTGCTGCGGCTTTGGCTCTAGGCTGTAGCCGAGTCGAACAAAGTGTAAAAGTCAAATCTACACCGTTGAACCACCGGTTTCCACACGTGGTCTTACTTGTAGCCGTTGAAAGCCGCGGCTAAGACTTACATAGCAAGCAGTTTGTTGAGACTGTAGAATCTCTCGGAAATATAACCCTCGTCTCAACAATATGAGAAGAACTTGCATGTAGTAACGGAGATATCACTGGATATCTCCATCCAATCACGTTCTAATATGTGGAATCTTTATCACGCCGCGACAAAATGTAATTGGTTAAGAATAGCAAAATAGTGTTATCTTAGATTCTCTGTAACATACAATACAAGTTTTTCTTTACAAATATATTATTTTGATTGCCAATTAATTTTGAATTAAAAACGTATCATATTCTTAATCTAACACAATTCTTATCTAGCTTCGATCCAAATCTGATTTAGAAACTGATCATTCTCTAATATTAAAGTATAAAACTTTAACAAACACCACTAATTTAAAGCTATAAAACAATGGAGTCTATGCCCATTTGGTCTAGTGGAGTATTAATCCTCACTTTCTTTTAAAACTCAAGAAATGTAACTATTGAATATTAAAAAAACAAAAACAAAAACAATAGCTTGAAAAGAAAAGGTCAAGAAATTTGAGAAATATTTGTGGATAAAGTAGGTGTAAAACCTTATACCTTGAGTTGAGCAGGAGATGGAGAAGGTAACAACTTGGATAAGGTGCAGTATGGGCAGCCATATGTTCCTTCACTATGTGCCAAAAGTCCTTGTGGGAACATTCAGAACATTCAATATAACTAATAAGAACTTCTCAATTTCAACTAGTTTAAGCTTGAAATAAGTTAGATTGATGGGCTGAACCTTATCATAGAACTAGTTGCAAAATGCAGAATATTGAATCATGAATCTGATGCTAACAATAATTGTACTATTCTACATACGTCTCTCTCCCATCAATCGAATCAGTACTAATCGAAGAAATAGAAATTACCCTATTTGTTTGATGATAAATGTGAAATGAAAAAGAAAAAAGAAGAGAGATCGCTGCTGGGAATGAAATTCTACTATTTGTACTTCTTTTCATATAAAAAAAGAAGAGAGATATTCTCTACAAATTTCATAAGAAAATTTTCCATATTGAAGGAGGGTTGAACTTCACTAAGATAAAAGAAAAAATGATTGAGAGAAGTGATTCCAAGTTTTTTTACTGCTTGATCCTGCAATGGAATTTGAAGTGCCATGGAGTGATTAAAAGCACAATCAACTGTAAATTTAGTCTGAATTGACCTACTTTTTATGGACATTGAGCAATTGGCATAGAAGGTAAAACAAAAGTCAGAACTTGTACTGATCTCAGTCAAAAAAAATGAGATCTTGTCAAATATTTGTTCAGAATCATTAAGAAAAAAGAGAGTATACATTAGTCTGAAGATCTGATCCAGTTAAAAATTGATGATTAATGCATTAATTGCTTATGCTAATAGTCAACATCTAGTTTATTGATTTAACAAAAGGTTGAATCTTAATCCTGAATTGTCCTTCAGAATCCAGAAAAGTGATAGAAGAGATCTAAATGGTGACCATTGTGGCCATATAGACAGCAAAAAGAGGTTCTGCAGAAAAGGAAAAGCAAGTGGGAATTCCATCAAAATCCAATGTTTTTTTCACCTTTAAACTCTTAGTACTTTAATTTAATGTGCATTAGGAGAAAATAAAGTGGCATAGTACAAATGCTTTAATGGGGTATCCAAAGTTTGTCAAAAAGCAGGAGCTTCACAGTGCACAACAATATAACACAAGGTAGCAAAAGCACAGAAGCATGTAACTTTCAACCAAAATCCAGGGAGGATCAAAAACTTAAATATGGTGAACTCTGAAAAAAGGGTAACTCAAGCTTCAATCTCAAACCTTGAACACTTGATAGAGCCCATGGACAAGTCGATTTCGATCAAGTTTTCTTCCTCATTCATCTCATTGATCTCAGCTAAGAGCTCCAATAGAGTATGCTGTTGGAAAATGGACTGGTGTGACAAACCTGGCCTTTTCTGCTGCAGATTAAAGATTGACTCTTGTTCCTTATGACCGACATAGTATCCGCCAGGCAGGGCTATTTCGATGAGGCTATCCTCGTCGGAGATGGAACCGTCTGAGCAATCCGGACTCTGAACCGCGTTGTCTCCAAATGACCAGTCTACTTCAGATTCATCACTAGTTGACAAGTGATCAAGGCATTCTCTTTCTGATATCAAATCTGGTGAACATGGTGATGCTCCTAAGTAATTATGAACAAGGTTCATACCTTCTTCTTGAGCTTCCTTCTTTTGTAAGGCAGCAGTTTCTTCCTCATTATGTTGTGTTCTTGATGCATCTTCCAAGCAAGGAGAGAACGATTGGTCACACCTGATGAGAACCTTTTCTTCAACTAACTTCTCAACCAGAACAGGTTTTTGCTTACAAAATGTGAAGAAAACAATTGACAGAATCAATACCATTGATGTTAGGAAGATGGAGAAGAACCCAAAGCCCATTAATCCCATCAATATAAGAAATGGAGCAACAACTGCCATCCATGGTGGTGGGAACCTGAAGAACCACAAAGCGGTAGCCATTTGATCCTCAAGTATGTTTTTCAACTCCATGAATTTCTGAAGCCTGAGCAAGTAATTATTGAAAGAAAACCAATTAAGCTAAGTGGAGAGAAGAACTTTCCCTTTAGTTGGAACTTGGATTGCATGTACAGTAGATAAGTTGGTAGAGATGTACAGAAGAATACTGAGGGTAAATGATGGAACAAAAATTTATAGCAGAAAGCTGGTAGAGTGGCCTTTTCAACTCTAGAATAAGCAAAAAAATATAGCAGTCACAAATCTATAGCACAAAATGAAGGATCTAGGATAGAGAGAATCTTTCAAGAACACCCTTCACAATCTACAAATCTCCAGTGCTTTCCTTGCTCAAATATTTGAATATACTTCAAAACCAAAAAAAGGAAAGGCTTAGGTGGGATTTGAACAAGAAACTGCACTTGATATTAATAGTTGTATGAAAAAGGCATGAACAGCAAGGAACCAGCTGCAGTAGGTAACTACACTAGTTTGCAAAGAAGAAGCAAGCAAGGTAAGGAGAAGAAGAAATACTACTTAATTTATTATAAAAATGGAGTTTTACTGAAGGGGTGGTTGCTCTGATCACAAACTCACAGTTCCCAAGCCCCCATTACACCTAAAAAACTGGGTTTAAAAAAAATAACAATTAACACCAATCAGGTAGGTTTTACTCTGCAACTGATTCTCTTGAAAAACCCAAAACCCCTTGGTTTCCCTGTATTGGTTTACACTCTGAAAGCTTGGGAAATGAGAGAAACCATGTGCACCCATCTGAGCTCACCACATGGCACTTTCCATCCAACTTCAATCCAACAAAAAGAAAGATAAATAGAAGAAAAAAAAACAGTGGACTAAGATTAATTATCCCGCCATTCATTCATATATCTTCGTCAACTCCAAGACTAATGTATATTAGAAGTACTGTACCTGACTTTCATCAAACATAATGCTTATTATCTCTCCTCTAAACCAGCCACACCCATTAACAGAAATTTGTTCTCCTTCATGATCAGCTAGCTTGTTCAAACCAACTCAAAAGACCAACTTTTCAGCAGAAACCAAATTGCTTTCACAGTCTTCTGGGGCATCATCTTTGAAAGCTACCATTTCTTTTGCAGTAAATTATGGGAAGAGTAGCTAGCATTCAAATTAAAGAGACCCTTCAGTCAAATTTTCCCTCTTGTGGCAATAACATCAAGCTTATGCATATGCAACATGCATTGATCACCTGGCTTGTGTAAGTAAGACCATATACACCCTACAGAAAACCATGCTCAATTATTTCAAAACCAAGTTCTTTGAAAATAAGCAATGAGGGGATGAAGCAAACAAGACATGGGATCACTTACTCATCCAAAAGAAAAAGAAAAAAAGTGGTCTACAGTTCTTAGTTGAGAACATTAAAAGAAGAAAAATGCTAAAATCACAGTGAAATCTTTTGAAATAAACCCCACTCTTGCTTAAACTAGTAAAAGTTTGGGACAATAGCCGTCTAGTTGGGAACCCACCATAATGTGCTTAGTTTCTTGGCAACAAAATGTGGGGCAAAAGAAAAAAAAGAAAAAAAAAGAAGAAGAAGTATCAACTTCTAAATCATGAATATAGGTTATTTATCTTTGATTTTGATGGATAAACATTATAAGATGTTGACATTCTTGTGATGATGCGTGTGTATAGCTATTAGCTTTATGAGTGTTAATCGTGATTCATACTTTTGTGTTTATTGGGGTTGTGGCACTAATGATGATATATTCAAGTATGCTTTAACATATGGGCCATCTATGTGCCTCTACCAACCATGCATATATTTATATATGCTTGCCTTGCCCCACTCCCCTATAATCCGGTGGGATATATGGCCTAGTCTTTCATCCATGCCATGAAATCATGTCGAGGGGGTTGAAGACTTTTTACTTATATTCAAGCTTTTGCTCCCTTTGGGATCATTGAAAGCCTTTCACTTTGAGAAATTAACATGAACATTATTACACTTAGTATGACAAAAATCAAATTGACTATGGTGTCAACAGATTTAGTGGGATTTGTCTAATGTGCATATATATGACTGCCGCGTAACTAATTGGTTAGACTTTTAATAAGACACTTATCGTATCCTTCAATTCATTGGATAAACATTTTATATTATTAGATTGTTAATTTTCTGATCAAGCAGCGCGTAATAAAGTAGTTACCTCTACACCCAAGGCTCTTTGTTCGAATCTCATCTCTTCCAATAATTCAATAACTACAAAGACAATTCTTTCATTAGTTTTTTAAAAAAAATCCATGAGCAACCCATGCATCTCAAAAGACTTTCCTTCTCGGTATTTTTCCCATTGTGGACCACTTGAATAATTAATCTTCTCCCCAATCTTCCTTGCACGTCAAAATACCAACATGAATACTGTCCTCATGGGAAACAAGTAAAAGTAACATTGTGCAGCTGTGAAAGAAATTAACTAAGGCAACGAAGATGATGCCACTTGTCGCCCATTTGCGTGTGGTAGCTCTACGATAAAGCAGTATCTCACAGACATGAAACCCTAGTTCCCTAACTACAAGACATTGAGAAACAACCTTGATATTGTTAATAACTTGGTTCAAAATGAAAATGTGTTTTGGGGTCTGAGAAGTTTTTGTCTTGACCAGATTGGTGTTGGAGATCTGTGTAACTCAAGGAATGTTTGAGCTGTGAGAATGGAGGGGACCATATCTAAGACTCCATGAATGTTTCTTCGTAATTGTACAATTTTTTGGATAACACAAATCGTGCTTTGAATCTAGAGCTACCTATAAACTGTTGGTACTAATTTAATTTACAGTGGTGGCCTAGTTTTTGGTTGCAGATTAAAAGTCAAATTTTCAGTATGCATACGTTGAGTTTTATATGATTAACATATTAGTACTTGCTCTAGCGCAAATACAAGCTAAATAAGGCAAGCCAGTTACAAACAAGTACTTCCATGGTACAAAACATGAGGCTAAACATCAGAGGTATTGGGTTCGATCGAGTCCGAGCATCCACGTAGTGTGTGAGAGTATAGTATATTATCGCCCCTCTCAATAGAAAATGTCTTTAAAAAAACTTACGATTTCTTTTAACAACGAAAACATATTTAGGGCTCGTTTGGGAGTGCTTCTTCTTGAAACACTTATGCTAGTAGCGCTTATGTCAATAGCGCTTCTACAAAGAAGTAGTTGTCGTTTGGATGTCACATTTAAAAGTGTTTTTACACTATATAAAAGCGCTTTTGATATTTTGTTGAGTGTTTGGCTGAAACAGTAAAAACGCTTTTAAAAGTACTTTAAAAAATGTAAAGAATCTCAAAATATTATAATAAATATAGGAAATATAAATAATAATAAAAAGAGGAAAAAAGAAGAAGAAAGGTATTTGGCATTTTAAAAATTAAATATGGATATTTTCAGCATTTTAAAAGTTTCATTAAAGAGAGCCAAGTGCTTCTTCCAAAACCAATCTAAGTGCTTTTGGATCTCACCCAAAGCGCTTTTGCAATTTTTGCCAAACACTATTTTTTTAAGACAGAATCGCTTTCATCCATTTAGAAGCGCTTTTTGCTTATCCAAAAGCACTCCCAAACGAGCCCTTAATAGTCAAAGTCCAAGACACACTTTGACACATTATTGACGCACAATCCAAAACGCGTTAGCTTGAAAGTGTAAAAAAATAGTGTAGTTATCTACAAATTTTTGCATTTTATTTTCACATGGAAATGTGTTATTCGATATATTGTGTTACGTAAGTCTGAAGTAATCTCTTAGGGATACTTTTGACAAAGAGTGCTTATATGTAAAAAATCGTTAGGTTTCTCAATGATCTTTATAGGGTTTCCTAGATCCATCACTGTCCACCTCTTTAATAGTCCTTAAGCTATTTCTTGTAATTGCTCTATAACTCCCTAGGATCATTTTATTCGCTTTCAAGTATGTAAAGGTTTTATTTATTTATTTATTATTATTTATTTATTATATATATATTTTTTTATACAAACAAAATGAGTGACTTGTAAAGCGACTTTCAAGGGATGAACGGTCCAGCCTAGTTAACGTTCATGTAAAACAATTTGAACCTTAGATATATAATTGAAATCATTTTCATTTTTCATGGCAATGAAAGTTGAAAACGATGATTCTTGCATTACTTATATATTTCAATATATTTCATATAATTTTCATTTTGTGTAGTACAGGTTGCTGTCCTCCAATGGCCATATAGACACTGACCCAGGCAGCAGATTCTCTTCTCGTGTCACATCTCCCACCTATGTGATGCCAACATTTAACTACCAACCTATATATATTTTTGTACTTTTTCTGTATTTTCATTATAATAAAGATATTGTCAATTCTCTCTCTCTCTCTCTCTCTCTCTCTCATAACTTTTATATTTGCTTTCTTTGCCAAGTATTCTCTGCGAGGGAAAATTCACTCTCATTAGATTCTTGCACTAATGTGTTAACTTATGAGAGCCCAAATGAAATGATCCACAAAAGAAAGAGAGAGGAAATTGCAAGACTAGGATTTGTTAGCATCTGCAGCATTGCCTTTAGCTTGTTATATGATTGAGTGGATGAACAGAAAGAGAGAGAGAGATGCCCACTTCCCAAATTCTATGATCTCATGTGTCTCTGGCTTCTTATATTATCTACATTGGAGGGTACTCAAAACCTGCTCAACTTGCACCTAGCTATGATATACTTGGCATATTCGATTTCATTGGTATATTATATAAGCAAGTCTCACATGGAGAGATCTAAACTTTTGGACCCTTATAGCTATAGGAAGGGCCTTTATTTTTTATTTTTTTTCCATATAGGGTGGAGTACTTCATGAAGGATCTAGCTACTAGTTGTATATATATACATAGATGGGTGAACTAGCCAAAAGCAGCCTAACCATGCCAAAATTTCAAGACTTTCATGTGATTGATTTGATTTCTCACCTCTAGATTGAAAAACCAAAGTTATGATGAGTAAGTTGATTTGTATAAGGTGTTAGATTAATTCATGATTGCAATGAGTTTACTAAACAACATCGTTCAAGAGTTACTGGTTCGTTAATGCTGAATTAATCAATTATTCATGTGCATGTTGACAATTGATACAGTCAAATTTTTTATTATGATTTGTTTAACCCTATACTTCAAACAATGCCTAGGAGAGAATTGTCACCACCCAAAAGTGGTTTGATATAGCCAATGGGAAAGTAAGCATGTTTTTGCCTAAACACAAAGTTAATCAGTAATTAACTGAATAATAATGTTAATGGGGTGTTCCAAATGGCCTCAACTGCATAAGACAAAGGGGTTTGAAACTCGAAGACAACTTTTTATTGTGCTTTTTGATAGGCAGAATAGGATTTAGACGTAGCTTTACTTTGTTAATTAAAGGTTTAGGTTTGTTTTGATGCTAAAATCTCTCCATCAACGGGCAGGACATTGTCAATGTCGCTTGCACAAGAATAAAGCTCAATTTTAAAAGACACTGATCGAGCAAAAGAGAGAGAATGAATTCTCAATGGATGCTTTTCTTGCATTTTAATTCTAACAGAATATTTTAATATGCAATATGTTATTAACATATATTAATAAATAAATAAATAACAACATACTTGGTTTGTTTCTAGCCAGTCTAGTTGAAGTAAAATATATACAAATTACGTACAAATTATTGTATTTTTATTTTGATATTGTACTTATGTTGAAAACTATGAAACATATTTCATATTTTAAATACATCGTATTTTGATATCATATTTTAAAAAAGTTATCGTGCACTTCTCGTTATGGAGTGATATCATATTTTTAAAAAGTCATCGTGCACTTATGGTCGTGAAGTTTATTCTTTATATTTTTATGAGGAATATGTCCATGACGATTCTCTTTAAGCAAATACAATTACAAATACAATTCACAAGAAGGAATAAGAAATTAAAATATGGAAAATTCGACAAACAGCTTTTGCTTTATGATGTGGCTTTCTTGGCACTCTTTGAATGAAGATTTTAGGGGTCCATACAAGAAAAGAGTCTTATTCCAGTAATGCCATGCTCAGGCTAGTGAATTCGAGGCCTAAAACTGTAAAATCAAAACCAAGTAGCTAACTCACTGCAGTGAGGTGGCAGGCTGGAATTGGTTGCTGCATCAAGTTGTAGCAACAACTGAGGAAACAGAGCGTAAAAATGACACAAGCCACAACACAACACAAGGCAACCTTCTGCTTTGAAACAGACACCATTATTAGTCCACCGTAGGATCTTCCAAACTCATTGGAGAATCAAATTCACTGTTCCTTATGCACAGTTGCCTTTTCAACACTGAGCCAGTTATTTGAGAGAGAGAGCTACTTGTGCTGTCCATTTACACAGAAAAAGAAAAATTCAAAGGGCAAAAAAGAAAGTCTGTAAGTGAAGGTGCAAAAATAATGCTACCTTTCCTTCAGTCAATTCCTGGTTGGGTTTCTTGTGTGTTTGCAGTCTGTTTACAGAGATGGGTATGTCATCAATCAAAAACCCAAGTTAGTCACTTGGGTCTTTTGCTTTTTCTGTTTTTGGGTTTGTTCTTGTGTCTGTTTTTTTCCCTTTTCAATTCTTCATCAAGGAAGATTTATTTATTTTTTCTCTTTTCTTTTTCTGTTTTTCCCTTTTGAATTTTTTTTTCTGTTATAATTATAAGAATATAAATCAGATTATAACTGGGTTTCCTTTGTTTTCAGTAATGGGTAATGCCAGTGGTAGAAAAGATGGAGAAGGCCCTTCTGAAGTTGACAACTTTCAAGGGGATGATGGATATGTAGAACCCATGGCTCACTCTCCTCCCCATAGCCCCAGAGCTTTCCACCCATCTCTCTTCTTCACTTCACAAGTGAGTTCTTTTCTGTGTTTTTCTATTTTTTTCAAGAATATCATGTGTGTATGCTTTTGCTTTGTTGACAGAAGAGAAGTTCGAAGAAGAGTTTCTCAAAAAGGCATCTCTCTTACTTGTTTATTTGGATTAATAATTGTAATTTGACAAGGAGACTGTAAAGGGGTGAAAGTTGTTTGCTTTAGTTCAGTGCAATTTTACCAGTTTATGAAAGAAATGTGGCATCATGTGATTGTCTTGAGTTATGGTGAGTTTCTTTGTGCTGTTTTGTCTCCTGACAATCATTTCTTTGATTATTCAAGCAATGGGGTGAGCCTAATTGTCAAAAGATAACAAGTAAAAACTACATGTGATATCTGTTGACATTCTACCTTAACTTTGAAGGTGAATCTAGTCAATACTTGTTTGATAAACGTCCAAATGCTATACACCTATTGGTTTCAAGAAAAATGTATCCTTCTGCTAAGGTTCTTCTCTCTGGTTTTCTAATTGAATTGTCAGATTTCAGATTTTTATCTTTGCACTAGGATTGATGTGATGCATAAAAGGCAAAAGAAAGTTTCCCTTGCATATTAGAGCTATCACTTAGATTTATGTTCCGCAAAATCTCTAAATTTTTATCTACATTTTCAGAATCCTGGGGACCCCTTACCAAGACCTGCTCAGGCATTATCACAACATTCAGTTTATAATGAATATGTACACAACGAGAAATTGATACGGGCGAAGATATCATGGAACCATGGTGGTAGGCAAGTTGCTATCACAGGATCATGGGACAATTGGGAGACCAGGTACTAAGTTACATAGCGGTTTCATCATTAAATTTCCAACTTCATTTTCTGTTTTTGACATAATCATGATTTGATATGAATAACTTTCACCTCCTATCAGTGAACTCATGCAGAGTATTGGCACAGATTTCGTCATCTTAAAGTTGCTTCCATCAGGTCTCTACCAGTACCGCTTCATTGTTGACGGGAGTTTGAGATGTTCTGCAGACTTGCCATGGGTCTATGATAATTCAGGGAGTGCCTATAATGTTTTGGACTTGCAGGTAATAAATATAACGACTTCTAATGGCTGGTCTATGAATGAAAAACTGTTCTGTTCCTTGTACTAGGCCTCTTGCTCCCTTTCTTTTTCGTTATATGTAAGGGTTTATCTTGCACTTAGGTTAAATATGATGTACTTTTGGGATGAAGGTCAAGTTTAGTTGAGTGGAGATCAGTTTACATATCAAGTATTATCAGGAAAAGTCTTAGGAGTATAGAAGCAATCTGTCTCACCTGCACTCACCCTCTTACACAAAACGCCTAAGATAAGGTTACCTAAACTTGATTTCAACATTTTATTGGGCAAAATCTCAACTTTACTAGCGAGCAAACTGAATGTTCTGTATCACATCACAGTATTGGGTTCTTTCTACTTGCTTTTACTTGCATTGCAGGATGAGCTTATGAGTAAGGACCTAACCTTGGATAAATCTCGGTCTGTGTTTGAACTCGTAAATCAACCACAGTTTGCTTGAGATTGTTAATTGGAACTTTAAGACCAAAATATGAATGGGACCTTAAATTCTCCCCAAGTCTCCAATTACTAATATGATATGTACATAACTTTCCAATCATATTTCGCCCATCCAATTGCTTAGGACATTTCAGTGCATTGTGAATCCGTCTTGCTGATAACCTTCCTTCTGCACTTAGCAGAGGAATCTCTGTAATATTGCTCTGCATCATATTGGAGTTTTCTTGTTAGTTGTTTCTGTCTTTGCACATTATATTATACACCAGTGGATTATAGGAATTGAGGAAGTCATCATAATTACTTCCTCTTAAAGCTCTTGTTAACACAGCTTTCCTTTCCTAGCACACACGGAAGTCAACCTCACAAAATCCTCCTAGCAATTAGCTTTCCTGCTGTAAATCGGATTGTATTTATGTCTATATTATTTCTTACCTCAAGTAGACTTCCTGTACATGGTAACATATTCTCTACAGCTCTTTTCTGAGCTAAGGAGCTAAAAGAAGAAAACTTGGAAACTAAGCATAAGCGAAAAGGGCATAAAAGAAACCTATCCTCTATTAGTTTACTCTCCAAACAAGTCAAAATAAAAGAGATGTTGCATGAGTTACACTAATTTTGAGGTAACCGACATCTTATGGCTTGACAGTTGAAAATCATAGATTATCATATTTGGAGAAATTATTCATGTTGTCAGTTTAATGCTGCTTCAGCCGATTTCACTCTCAAAATGCATTATGCAGGAATGTGTTTCAGATTTGCGTGAGCGTCTCGCAAAGTTCGAATCTCCTCCATCCCCACCTTCAAGCTATGATAACAGGCGCTTAAGTGAAGATGATTTCAGTAAACCTCCGCCAGAAGTACCCCCACAGCTACAAGAAGCATTTTTAAACAAGCCATCCTCCTCAAATGGTGGTGACCAGCCATTGCCAATGCCTCATCATTCACAATTGAACCATTTGCACATCCAGAACCATGTTGGTGGCAAGTTTTTTGCACTCAGCTCTACACATAGGTTTCGTCAAAAACTTGTTACAGCAGTATTATACAAGCCATTGAGAAGAGCAAATCATTAGTTCTTTTTATCTTATTATGGGAGTAGAGAATATTTTATAGATGTAATATTGATTAGAGGATTGTAATGATTCAGTAGGTTGAGAAAGCAGTTAATGTAGGCAAAACTGTGAAAATTGGATTGTTTGCCAAATATATTTCAAGTACTTCAATTTGGATATGATCATGTGCCCTTTCATCAATTATTTTGAGCTTCTGATTTCATTAAGTTTGTTAGCTGAGATACGATGTGAAGACCAAAAATGAAAAAAAACAACACTGCCCATTGCCAATAGGGAAAAAGAAAAAGGTTTTCTTTCCTTTCACAAACATTGTGGTGCCTTCTTAACCATAGCCAAGAACAATAACAAGAGGACCCAACTGTGATCAATATATTTGAGAAATTCATAACATGTATCAAACAAATTGGTGAAAAAACTAGCATTTGAGAAGAACTCAAATGGTAGAACTAAGGTGTAATGAACTGAATAATCTTATAAACTCATGTGTTGTTGCTGCTGCTCCCCAAGCTGCAATTGCAGCCAATCATCGAACCGGCACCTTAACCCAACCGTTAGCAAAAGCAATGGCTAAGATTACAAAAGGAGTGGACATGCCAAATATGATGATGTAAGGAAGGGGGGTCATCATGGGATTTTCCCCTTCCCTTTCTCCTGCTGTTTGCCAGTACCTGCAAAATTGCAAATGGTAAATTCCTTATGCTATTTGAATCACTCCCTTGACATTGTTTTTGTTTTTTATCAGCACTTTCTTAAGAAGGTGACCATAGATAAACTGTTAACTGATAAAGAGTGGAAAACTTACTGCTCTGGCTCTTGTTCTCTAGTTATAAACTTTTTCTTCCCTTCCTTTTTTATTTCTCCATCTCCACCACCTAAAAGCATTAGAAGAAATCTTCTCAAGTTATCATCTCAGTCTCACTTGGGACAAACATTTGTAAAAAAACCAGGCAATAACAAGAAATTTATGAGATTTACATCATTTACATTCAAATACAGGAAAAGAAAGGAAAAAAAGAACTCTTTTACCCAATTCTGCATGAATCATGAAATTGTGTGCCCTCCTCTTTGGTGAAATGGAAGTGAAAGAAGGAGGATATAGCAGTGCTGGGCTAGAGGAGGCTAGAAATGTTGTGGTGGGAGAAGAGAGGGCCAACTTGGCTGCCATTTTTATGAGAAGTTTGATCTTTGTTTGCCCATCTCTTGAGAATCACATATATGTCACTGGTTTTGGATATGGTTGTGGTTACAGTGGAGACAGACTAACCTTATCTAACCCACATATATGACCAACGTAACTGACCCCTTTTTTTAATTCTGATTTTTTGTGGTGTCGGGTGATTTTTCCATTCTTCTTTCCTTTTTATCTTTTAATACTTTTTAGGAAGATTCACTATTATACTCAATATAGGAGCTCAAATTATAAAAAATACCCTATATGAAATGGACTTTAGAAACACACCCAAATCTTATTTACAACATAACCAAAAAAACTTTTAACTTCTTTTAAATTACAAAACTGTCATTGATTTCTTAAAACAAACTCATCCTCAAAACCTCATAAAAAGGCCCAAAACACTCTATAGGGCATCAAAATAATTTAATAATCAAAATTAAATTCAATAGGGCCAGCTGTCATTTTGTGGGTTTTTTTTTGGTTTGTTTATAGAAATTAAATGATGTATGATTTATTTATACTATTAGTGCTAAGAATGAGATTTTAACTAAAAAATAGGGAGCATGATTGTAGATGCTCTAAAGTCTATTTCATGTAGGTTTTTTTTTTGTTTTATAAATAATTTGGGCCCCTATATTGGGCATAATAGTGAAGCTCCCTAAAAATACTAGTATTTACATGGAAAATACTTCTCTCCATACCAGGTAAGTAAGAGTTTCTACATTCCTACCGATAGCATTGTGATATGTGTGCATAAGTTTTTCCTTTTGCGTTTTTGATGAATTATTTTTGCATATATGTCAAACTGTGATTCATATGAAGGAGGAGTATCTCCTTACGAGTAATTATTCAAGTAGTATCCTATTTACATAAGAGCAAGGCTTGACTGCTTAAAATTAAGGAGGAGCTCCTCCTTAAAATCAATGGGGTTTTGACACTTGTCAAATTCTAGCAACATTGACAAAGTTTCAACAAAAAAGAAAATTTTAAAAAATTGCTCCTCCTCAATTTTAAGGAGCCAAACTTTTTCCTTTACATAATTTATTAAAAAAACACCCCAAGCCTTGGACCTACTAATTGGAAATTCATTTTTGGAAAAAAAAGAAAAAAAAAGAAAAAAAAAGAAGAAAAGGTATTGGGTTCAAATACATGATGTATGAATGTGAATTTGATAATCAAGAGGCTCCCACAACTATACTCCATCAGTTATTTATTTATTTTTCATTTAAGTAACTTGTTTCGCATATATTTGGCACATCAATTAAATGGTGCTGGCTGAGTGTGTGTTTTCGTCTTGTAAGTTTACCAATTTGCCCATTGCACTTAAGCCCACGTTTTTACCGTGCTTTTAATTTTGACGTCAAAAAGTCAACTATTTATTTGTTGCAACAGTGAGGGCTTTCAAAGTTATAAAATATTGCTATATGGAACCAATATCCAATATCCACACGAGCAAAGTTTTAGCCAATTTTCAGAGAAATTAGTAGGTTGTATCGAATTACCATGAAGCATTTGCCAGGTGATAGTATGGACAAATAGTACAACGACACATGGAAATCAATTACTAAGAAAATTACAACTAGCATTTTATGTGAACGGACGTTAAGTTCACCTAGAACCTTACACCCAAGAAAATTATGAGAAAGGCGTTAATTTTGAAACTTCAATATCTGAAACCTTCTCATCATCATATGCTAAAGCACTTCCATTTATGTTGATATCCAAAAATGGATGACCATTTATGGACCCAAGTTAGAAGTATGATGCCTTTGGTCTTGTGGGCCCTTCAACACACGTGGATGATCTACAACACAAAGAGCAACGGAAAAACCTTGAGTACTGATCGAAAGTTCTCCGATGTTTAAGTCACCATAAGGATGATGCGAATAGTAATTTGTATAGAGTAAGCTGAATGTTACTGCTACCTTACTTTTGGGCATTTGTGCCCCTATTTATAGAGGACTAAGGTGAAGGACCTTAGGTTGTAGTTTCGATGTGGGACTGTAGGCATCGTCTGAGAGGCTACCACCTGTCCTTGTCCAGTATGGTTCAGTAGGCGCCTTCTTTTGTCGAATTGGCAGGTTAGGTTGCTCAAGGCTTACCTACTGCCTATGGTTGTTTATGGGCCTTAATGTTTTAACTATACTATGTAGGCTCTCTTTATAGGTTTTATGTTTCATGTGTTGCGAAATGATTGGCTAGTCAGATATGATATAAACAGGAGTCCACCAAGTACTCAATTGGGAAGCGACTTCGTGGTTGGGGACTTACGTTTGTCTTTGGCATAGGCCTTCCATGATGACCCTAGTTGAATCTCTCCTTGTTCTTTTTGTACCCATCTTAATAAGGTTGATAATTGTCCTTCCGTTTGCCTCTTAATGTAGGGGCTGAATAGGAAAATTTATGTGCTGATATGATGAATTAATCCGAAGGACCAGACTCGAATGGCCCAGCCGAATCCCCAGTCTTCGAGTTGAAGTATTCAACTTTGACATGACTCGCAACTTGCTTTATTAATTCTTCGTGTGAAGTCCAATTGTTGTTGTGGACCACATAATGGAAATGAGATGCTTGAAGGCCACATTTGAAGGTGCTAAAGGATGCCCTGTCATCAGTTTCTGGACACCAAGAGTACTCATGGCTAAAACAAGCGATATATTCCCTTATGGTTCGTCGTCTCATTACCGTATGGTATATAGATTGTCGACATAGTAAAGGAAATCGATCTGAATCATAAAATGAATCAATCGTACATAGCTCCAAGCAGTAGATTCAATTGAGGGCAGCCCCAGTGAGCGTAGAAGGAAAGAGAAGACATTGTCCTTCGTCGCCAAGACCTTTGCACCCTAGTCTCGATTAGAAGGTGTACATGTGGGTTAAAGGATCTTCAACTCCAATATAGAACAGCACCCTTAGGGCTTGGATTTCCTTCTCTTGTCTGAAAGTGCGAATGCAATCAGTTAATGGCCATGGCCTAGGCATGCCCCAGACCGGTTGTTGAGATCAGAACTCTTCATCCTTATTTTCTTGATATCCTGGAAGAAGAGACGAATGATAGAGTCTGTTGATCTAGATGGGGGTAGGTATCTTGAGAGCTAGCTGGGTGGGTGGGTGATGTTGGGGTTGTTGTAGATGGTGGTCCCTAGGTAGCTGGGTGGGTGGGTTATGTATGTCCTTAGAAGTCATTTTACAAAGGGATAAACTTGTCTTTAAAATTTTGAAGATAAAATAGGTAGAAAAAAATAGGACAGGTCGATGGAAATAACAACACCCTAAATCAATGATGGCAATCAAACCAATAAGGAAAAAAAAACAAAAAAGAAATCAAATGAATTGTAAAACAAACAAATCATAAACAATCAACATTAAATTTCAACTATAATAAGAAACAAAGAAAACGTCACCCTCTCCAAAATATCATGCTATAAATTAAGGAAAATACTTCCCTTCTTATCATACTAGCCTCTTTGCATGCGCTTCCGCGCATTCGTTTTTTTTTTTTTTTTTTTTTTTTTTTTAAATTATTTAAGAATTAAAAAAAAAAATGGGTAGTTGTGTTCCATAAAAATAGGATCAATTATCAGATTTTCTTTTAATTTTAATTTTTTTTAAATATGAAAAAGTGTGAATTTACCATATTATCCTCATTTAATTAATAATTTTCAATTCTTAATGTTTGCATTAACCAAGGACATTTTTTGGTATTTTGAATGTTTCACCATTCTCTGCCGTTTGCTTTATATATAGATAAGTAGAAATTCCTGCATATATGTCAAACCGTGATTTGCAGGAAGGAAAAGTATATGTTTACAGGAAAGGAGGCAAGTAGTAAGGATAAATTAATGGAGGTATTTTAAGTAGAAGAAAATCACAAATCTGACTCATAAAGTAACTTAGAGAAACTTTGCTTAGTTAAAGTCTACTCAATGGTTTTTGTTTTTGTTTTTTGTTTTTTTTATGTGTGTATGAATTCAATGGGTTTAATCCAAGAAAAGACCAAAGGAGAGATAAATTTTTTAAAAGAAGCCAAAATGGACAAAATTGCCCTTATTTATTTTTGGATTTCCTAAGGAATCATTTACATTTGTATGTCTTTGGTTTAAAAGTTGAAAGGTTTTTTTGTCTTTTTTAAAAAAACTTTGGCTTTTTCCAAAAGTGAAATTTTTTGTGTGGCTAAAACCTAAATTTACTAAAAAAGAATATGGTGGGCTGCAGGTAGAAAAAAATGAGTTACAAGGGGAAGGCCTAATATGCTATTTGAAGTATATTTAACTTTGAGAGTTTTCTCAATCTTGTCGAATATTGATTTATGATCAAAGTCATATATTTTATATTAGCTAAATTTCTTATAATACACATGCCATGATCTTATGCTAGTAAAAATTCTACTTATTGATGCATTCTGGCAAAATGCTATTTATTTATACATGGATGTTGTTGGTATGTGAAATTAAATTCCTATTTTTAAGCCTCCATTAGGGTGTGGCCTATGATATAGCAATTATGTCGGAGGAAACTTATATCCTTTAATAACTTTATTTTTGGGACATTCTGGTACATTTCCTCCCTTATTTTTCCATGTGATGGGGAACTTTTTTTCAATATATGAACTTACCAAACATGGGAAAATAATTGATTTCCCATCCCAAGCCTTCTTTTCCATGAACCAAACACAATCATAAGGATATTATAATAATGTGATGTTATTTATTCTTCTCATTAAAGAAAATCTATTTCTCTTCTTTCTATTTTTTGTGATGGTTTACTTGTGAAAAAAAGGTGAAGAATTTTGAATTAGAATAATTATTAATGTGGTGTTATTTATTGATGCATTTAAGCCTTAATTAGTGCATGAATAACAAGAATAACAAAAGAGGCAACCCAGTGAGCCGCTTCATTGCAGCGCAAACACAACTAGAGGTGTCAAACGGGCCGTGTCGGGCCAGTCTGTCCCATTTAAACTCGTGCTTTTAACATTTTCATGCCGTGTTGGACCGGTCCATTTAATTTATCGATCCATGCCGTGCTGGCCCATTTAGTAAAACAATTGATCTTGGCCCAGCCTAAAGCCCATGTCTATATTGAAACGGGTTGGGCCGGGCCGGACTCGTGCTGTGCCTGTGCTCGTGCCATAATCGGGCCTAAGAACTAACCCATTTAATTTGAATTTTTTTCACTTGATTTTTGTTTTTTGCCCACTAGATAATTCAAATTATAAACATTAAAAATATAATTAGAGGCGAGAAATGATGAACTATTTGAAAACATTAATCAATAAAACATCCAAACAATATAAAGGGGCGGAGGGCAAAAAGTGTCCAGCTCCACAAAGTCCATTTCAACTTTTCATCTTTAAACAACTTATTATTTTATATGTGAAGAAATGTCTTACTTTGATTATAAGATAAGCGTATGTCATATGTATTGATTAGATATCAAGTCCAATGTTGTTTAATTAATTTGTGGTTGATATATTTAATTAATTAAGGACCCAAGTAATTTTCCTAAAAGGAAAGACATTAAATATATGTTTATGATTAAAAAAAACTTATAAACAATGACATTAGATGTCAAATGATTGCATTTTGAATTTAGAGAAAAAAAAAAAAAAAGTGGGCCGGGCTTGGGCTATGCTTGAAGCGGGCTCGGGCCAAGCCCGGCCCGGTCCATTGGACCTATTTTTTGATCCCAGCTCAGCCCAAGTTTTTGTGCCATATCGAGCACAGTCCATTAATATTCGTGCTCGTGTCATGTTGTGCCTTATTTAAACGGGTTGAGCCGGTGCCGTGCTGGGTAGTTTCGTCCCGTTTGACATCCCTAAACACAACCGAACCAAAAAATTCCGTCAACGTCTAATATAAAAATGGTAATTCCTTCCAAAGTAACATTCACAGCTTCCTCTCCTTTGAGCACTTTTCAAAATCTACTAATCAAATATGGCTCAAGATCAAGAGCATGAGTTTACAACATCAAAGAACCAAGTAAAAGAGGAAGAAGAAGAAAAGAGAAGCTCTAGCATGAGCAACCAAGTAATAGAAGAAGAAGAAGAAGAAGAAGAAGAAGAAGAAGAAGAAGACGAGAAAAGCTTTGCCATGAACAACAGGGATCATGACAAGAGCAACAATGGAGGACATGAGAAAACTGAAAAGGTGGCACTTCTCAAGTTATTTTGTTTTGCAGATAAGGCTGATGTTATGTTGATACTAGTCGGTACAATTGGTGCCATGGCGAATGGATCATGTATGCCTATTATAACCATGCTAGTCAGGGAGATGAGTGATTGTTTTGGAACTAATCAAAACAATACACACATAATACTCAGTGTTGTTTCCAAGGTAATAAAATTGTGAATATACAACCTGAGTTTTAACCTTCCATCACTGGAATTTTGATACTCACTTACTGTGGGAGCAATTTTCTTCCCACAAGAATATTCGCCTAAAATTCCTTCGTCTTCTTCGCTTCTCTTTCTCCCTGCAAAACAAATTAGAGTAAAAGGAGAACACCCAGGGGGTGTTGGCCAAAGGCCCTCCGATGCCTAAGTTAGGTTGGGTGTTTGTAGGAAAACCGGATGGCCGAAGCCGTGTGTGGTGGCTGGAGCCTTGTGTGAGAGAGAGAAAGAATATGGCGGCTAGGGTTTTGAGAGATAATTTATGTAGAGTTTCAGTATGAATTTAGACGTACCTCAATCCTTGTGCGTAGCCAAGTATTTATAGGGGGCCTCGGAGGCTAAGGTTTCAGAAGAATAATTCCGTAAATGGAAAAGAATTATTTTCCCTAATTTGGCGAGGTTGGTGGATTTAGGGATTTGATATAAATCAAATCCCTAATTAATTCAGGAATCAGATACATCCCATTTAAATCAAATAACCTCCCAATTAATTTAGGTAACTCCCAATTAGGTTAGGTAACTCCCAATTAGGTCAAATAATTTCCAAATTGATTGGCCTAATTATTTGACCTAGGATGAGATATTTTGCTTCCACACTTATCTTGGAAAATTGTACATAGGTCTCTCTAAAATTTGTCTATTTGGCTATTGGCTAGAGGTGTCAAACGAGCCATGTTGAGCCAACCCTTCTTATTTAAACTTGTTCTTTTAACATTTTCATGTCATGTCGTGCTGGTCCATTTAATTTATCGGGCCGTGCCGTGCTAGCCCATTTAGTAAAATCATTGATCCCTGCCCAGCCCAAAGCCCATGTCCATATTGAAACGGGCTGGGCCGGACTTGTGTCGTGCTCATACTCGTGCTGGTGCCATAATCAAGCCCAAGAACTAACTCATTTAATTTGAATTTTTTTCCACTTGATAAGCTGCACGGATAAGCGGTTTGTATTTGAAAACAATATTGAGACAAGATGTTTGATATGGAGACAAACACTGGAGAGGTGGTGGGAGAATGTCTAGCGAAACCGTTCTCTTACAAAATGCCTTGGGTGAGAAGGTACAATTACCAAAAAAATAAATAAATAATAAAATCACTTTGGAATGAAAGAATAGAAACATTGAAATCGTTCTTCTTATAAGAGCAAGTCCAGCAGTGGAAGCTGGGCTTGGGCTAGGGGGGGTTGTTAGGGCCAAAAAAGTGTTTCCAACAATAAGGGCTGGCCTGGGCAAGAGGTGGACCCTAGTAGACTGGGGTGGCCCGAGGGGGAGGCAAGCCCAACTCAGAGCCCGAGTTTTGGGGATGACGTCAGCGCTACAGTGCTGCCAACAGCTAGCAGCCACGTGGCGTCGTTTGGGCTCTCTGATTGGATTTTTTCCGCCAATCCAACGACATTGAATTTTTGTGCAATAAAATAATGAAAAACTTGAACTTTTTTTTAAAAAGTACCCAAAAATTAATTAATTTTTTTTCTATAAATACCAACCAATACTCTTCACTTTTAACATCAAATCCTCGTACATTTTCTTCTCCTTCAACTATTAATTCACTTTCTACTTAATATTTTTTTCACTTTCAAATTTTATTTTTCTGAAATCTAATCCGAAAATATTATCCAAATTAATTGTTTAGGTAAAAAAAATATGTAAAAAAACAAAAAAATGAATAGTATTTGCCCTTTGCCATAACAACTGGTGGAAACGTACATTGCTTTTTGCAAGGGTAGCCACTATTCACGTGAATAGTGGTTGCCTTTTCAAAAAGTCATTTCCGTTTCCACGGCAAAGGGCAATTACTATTCATTTTTTTGTTTTTTTTCACAAATTACTATTCATTTTTTCAATAATTAATTTGGATAATATTTTCGGGTTCCTACGTGTCAATACTATTCATATCTCATAATCGGATAAAATTTTCAATTTCAAATTTAAGATAAATTTGAAAAAAAAAATTTGGCTGGTATTTATAGAAAAAAATTCATTAATTTTTGGGAATTTTTTAAACAAATTTTCCGAATTTTTTCCAGTATTTTATTGCAAAAAAATTGGATGCCGTTGGACTGGAGGAAAAAATCCAATCGGAGAGCCCAGACGACGCCACGTGGCAACAGAAAAAAAAATCAAATGAGTGGGCTGACGCCTGCCTGGCATCAGCAATGACATCAACCCAACCCTCAGGCTTGAGCTCGGGCTGAACTGGCCTGAGGGCCAGCCTGTCTTCGTGGGTCCCACTCCCAACCCGGGCTTGGGCTCCTTGCTGGACATCATTTCCCCCCCCCCCCCCCCCCCCCCCCCCCCCCCCCCCCCCCCCCGGCCTTCGGCTGGCAGCTCGGTGGGAGTTGCTCTAATGTAACAACTTGTTGGTGCAGGTTGGGAAGTTTGTCCAGCTACTTTCAACATTCATTGGAGGGCTTATAATAGCATTCATCAAAGTACCGCTTCTTACCATTGTCATGCTATCCTGTGTTCCTCTGCTTGTGGCAGCTGGTGGATCTATATCCTTCATTATAACCAAGGCAGAATTCCGTGGACAACATGCTTGTGCAAAAGCAGCAAATGTTGTTGAATAGATGATAGGCTCCATTAGAACCGTATGTAGTCGCATAACATTTGCCTTGCCTTGGAGCTGCTATTGGAATAAGTAATTGCTTTTTATTAATTTGACCAACCAAGAATATGATGATGTTTTTCATTTTGTTCCTTCCTATATCTATCTATCTATCTAGGTTGCATCCTTTACGGGAGAGAAGCAAGCTATTACAAGTTACAACAAATATCTTGTGGGTGCTTACAAATCAACTGTTCATGAAGGCTCGACTGCTGGAATAGGTCATGGCTTGGTCATGCAAGGGCGGAACCACACTAAGGGCTACAATGGGCTGTAGCCCAGTGTGGTTTTTTAAGAAAAAATATATATAAATAATATATTTAACTTATTTTCAATATTAGCCCAGTCAGTGGCGCTGTACAAATTACTTTATTTCCATTTTCAACATTTAAGTATTTACTTTTATATTACTTCATTTACTTAATTTTACAATGTAAATAAGGAAGTACCCCTCATTCGGATTCAAATAAAAATATTAGAAAATCAAATTCCCACCAAATCAAAATATGAAAAATCGGTTTTAATGCAAAATACAATTTAGGCTAAAAATGATGGCTCATTAAGTCAATATATACTTCATACTAAAATCCCATAAAATCAAGTTTTCTTATTTGATGTGTGAGGAATAAAAGCCGCCAAAAATTATCTTGAGAAAATGATTATTCCGAAAACCCATTTTTCACACTTAGTCAAGTTTTCTTATATATATTGTACTATAAAAGCGATTCAGTAAGAAATACATCATTCAGTTTTCTCATATGCTCTTAGAAACTCCTAGCAACTCTTTTCTTCCTCTGTCTCTATTACCATGGTTAGCATGGTATCAGAGCCCTTCATGGTTCTGAGGGCCTGATCTCTTGCTTCTGCTACCCTATTCTTCCTTTTATTTTCTTCTTCACTCTGATTTATGCACCTACTACACCATCTGCGAATTTGCCATTCCTTCACCTTCGTTGATTCTGCAATATGATTCTGTCTTCGATTTCTTCGAGTTCGCAATTTTCTTCAACCTCTTGCTTTTGCAATTTCTGCAATTCTTCGTTTTCTTCGTGTCTAACATACAATTTTGCAATTTCTTCAATTTCTTCGCTAGTCTTCAATTTCTTCGTTTATGCAATTTCTTCAATTTCTTTGATCTTCGATATCTGTGCTCTCTCTCTCTCTCTCTCTCTCTCTCTCTCTCTCTCTCTCTCTCTCTCTCTCTCTTTCTCTCTCTCTCTCTCTCTCTCTCTCTCTCTCTCTCATGGCGACTTCTCGGTCTTATCACGATCCGGTTGAAAGATGATAACTTCTTGAAGTGGCGATATCAACTTGAGTCTGTTTTGGACGGCTATGATCTCTTTGGCCATTTTGATGGCTCCAACATTGCACTGCCGAAATTCGCAATTTTGGATGAGGAATGTGTTACCTCTGAACTCATTGCAGCCTACAAGGACTGGGTGCAGGTCGATAAAGCACTTATTAGCTTGTTGATCGCCACGCTTTTTGATGATGCGCTTGAATATGTCATCGGTTGCAAGACTGCGCATTATGCCTGGATGAATTTGACGGATCGATATGCCACAGTCTCTCGTGCTCGTATCAATCATCTTAAAACCGAGCTTTAGACTGCACAGAAAGGCTCTGACTCAATTGAGAAGTTCTTGCTTTGCCTCAAACACATTCGCGATCACCTCGTTATCGCTGGTGTTTCGGTGTTTGATGATGATATGATGATTGCAGCCTTGAATGACCTTCCTTCTAAGTATGATATTATTAGGACAGTCCTAGTTGCTCATGACACTTCGCTTTCCTTCAAAGACTTTCACAATCAATTGCTTGCGGATGAACAAGTTGCAGAGGCACGCGTGTTTTCTTCTCATGCACCTATGGTTGGCATGCTAAGTCAATCTTCTCCTTCTGTTTCTTCCCATGCCTTCTCTTTTTCTGGTCATGGTGATGGTCTCCTTCCAACTCCTCCAATGCCTCATACTACCTATATGAGTTCGCAGCTAAGTCTGGTGGTGGTGTTGTTCCTGAGTGTCAGATCTGCAGCAAGCGAGGTCACATCGCAGTCAATTGCTATTTTCGAAATTCGAATACCTCTTCTCACGGGTCCTCTTCCACAATTAAATGTTAGATTTGTGGCAAAAAGGGCCATGAGGCTCTAGATTGTTACCATCACTCCAACTATGTTTATCAAGGTTCTCCACCACCTGCCTCCCTCACTGCCATGGCGGCTCAGACTTCTTTCTCTCCTGATGCTGTCTGGATTGCAAATAGTGGGGCAAGTCATCACATGGTACCTCATATGACAACAATGGACTATACTTTACCTTGCACCTCTTCTGATAAAGTTAGAGTGGGAAATGGGGAAGGTTTGCACATTGATCATATTGGCTCAGCTCATATTCCCACTACAATTTCCTCTCTATCTTTATCTTCAGTTTTTCATGTGCCTTAGCTTACGGCCAATCTTTTGTCTGTGTATCACTTGTGCCGAGATAATAATTGCCGTATGATTTTTGATCAATTTGGATTTTCTATACAGGACAAAGTCACCAACAGGGTTCTGTTCCACATTAAGAGTGATCATGGCCTATATCCCATCCCATGCTCTATCCCTTCTTTAACTCGTGTCGACTTGGACAACAAATTCATTCCTCGTTGTCGCACAGGCGATTGGGTCATCCTACTAATGAGGTTGTTCAACTCATGCTTAAGGAAGCACAACTCCCGGTCGTTTCAGATTCCATATCTCAGATGTGTTCTTACTGCTTGAATGGTTAAATGCATCATTTACCTTTTTCTGCAAGGCATGATAAGGCACTTCTTCCTTTATATAGGATTCATAGTGATGTATAGGGCCCTGCACATTGAAATCAGTTGATGGTTATCGATATGTTGTAAGCTTCATTGATGAATATACTAGTTTTCTGCGGCTACACCCTCTTTGTGTCAAATATGAGGTGTTCTCTCTGTTTCGCAAATTTTTTGCCTTTATTACCAATCACTTTCATGCCTTAGTAAAGTACTTTCAAAGTGATGGAGGGGGAGAATATATGAGTCATTAGTTTCAGGATTTTTTATCTACTCATGGCATTGTTCATCAAATCTCATGCCCTTATACACCTCAGCAAAATGGACTTGCTGAAAGAAAAAATAGGCATTTTGTAGAGACTGCCATTACTCTCCTAACTGAAGCTTCTATGCCTGACAAATTTTGGTTTCATGCAATGGCACATTCAGCTTACCTCATTAATCAGATGCCTAGTAAGGTTCTCGCAAATCAATCCTTATTTTCGGTTTATGCAAAAATTGCCTGATATCAGATATTTGCGTGTGTTTAGGATTGCTGTTTATCCATGCTTAAGAGAGACCAATTCTCATAAATTGCAACCTTGTACTGCTACTTGTGTGTACATGGGATATCTTATGGGCTATAAGGGTGTTTTGTGCTATAATTGTACTACTCACAGATTTTTCATCTCTCACCATGTCATCCATGATGAGTCTGTTTATCCTTTCAAGCATCCCAACACTTTACACTCCAATATTATGTCCTCTGCGTCTCTATCTCTTTCCAGTAATCTACCTTCCACTCTTGTCATTTCATCTGAGAACCTTGTTTCACATGCCAATCATCCCTCCTCATCTCCATGTCGTAACGAGTTCTCTCCTGCTGTACCATCGCATCTCATTTCTACAGATGCCTCTTCTTCTTCAGTTCAGCCTCTGGCGGGTTCTTTTCCAGTTTCGTCAGATCAGCATATGCCTCCTATTGATATTGCCAATTTTGGTTCTTCTTCTAGTCTATTTTCTTCTCATAACCTACATCCAATGACTACCAGGTCCAAATCTGGTCTGTGTCAAAAGAAGTCTTTCGAGGATTATCAGTGTTTGACTTCTATGCATGATTCTACTACTCTTGATGAGCCTTCTACATTTCGTGTGGCTTCTTTCTCTCCTGCCTAGATTAAGGCTATGGAGGAAGAGATTTCTGCCTTAACCATGCAAGGTACATGGTGTTTGGTACCTCGCCCTGCAAATACAAATATTGTTGGCTCCAAGTGGATTTACAAGATCAAAAGAAATTCAGATGGGACAGTTTCTCGCTATAAAGCTCGGCTAGTGGCACATGGGTTTAGTCAAAAGGCCGACTTTGACTACGATGAAACCCTCAGTCCAGTGGTACGTCATACCACAGTTTGGCTTTTTCTTAGTTTGGCTTCTATTAATGGGCTGGTCTTTGGGGCAGCTCGATGTCAAGAACACCTTTCTCCATGGCGATCTTGACGAGGAGGTTTACATGAAACTTTGAAGACTCTTCTCATCCTAACTATGTGTGTAAATTACAGAAGTCTTTATACGGTTTGAAATAGGCTCCAAAGGCATGGAATGCCAAGTTCACGGGCTACTTACCTTCTCTTGGTTTCAAAATGTCACATAGTGATCCAAGTCTGTTTGTGAAGATTTCGGATTCAGCTATCATTGTATTGTTGCTCTATGTCGATGATATTATTCTCACAGGTTCAAACTCTCACGTTATTCAAGAGGTTATTACATATCTTGGTTCAGTGTTTGATCTCAAGGACTTGGGTCCCCTTACCTTCTTTCTTGGCTTACAGATTTCGTTTAAGTCGAATGGTGATCTTTTTATCAGTCAACAGAAGTATGCGAAAAACCTTTTAGTCAAGGCTGGGATGGAATCATGTCGGTCCTGCCCAACTCCCTCTAAACCTCACACACAGGTTCTTCCCACAGATGGTGAACATTTAAAGGAACCATCAGTATACCGCAGTATAGTGGGTGCTCTTCAGTACCTAACTTTTACAAGACCAGACCTCGCCTATTCTGTTAATACTGTCCGCCAATTTATGAATAGTCCCACAGAGGTTCCTTTTCAGTTGGTTAAAAGGATTTTGCGCTACATTCAAGGGACTTTGCACTATGGTCTTACTTACTCTTCTTCTGTTCCAGTTTCTTTGTCTGCATATAGTGATGCAGATTGGGCTGAGGAGATTACCACTCGACGATCAACCATAGGATTTGTTGTCTTCTTGGGTTCCAATCCAATTTCATGGCAGTCTAAGAAGCAGGGGTCTGTCTCCCGTAGCTCCACTGAAGCTGAATACCGTGCTCTTGCTAATGCCTCAGCAGAAGTAGCTTGGATTCGTCAGATACTTGCAGATCTTCATGTCTTTCTCCCAGAACCTCCATTGTTGTTTTGTGATAACATGTCTGCATTAGCTCTCAGCTTTAATCCCGTGTTCCATTCTCGTATCAAACATTTGGATGTCGACTTCCATTTTGTTCGAGAACATGTACAACACAGAGACTTCTTAGTGCAACACATTCCTACTGATGATCAGGTTGCAGATGTTCTTACTAAAGGGCTTCATAGTCCAGTATTTGTTAAGCATTGTACCAATCTCAGTTTAGGTGGGGGGGTGTTTACCCAATGGTTAGAGTTGGTTAGAGCTGTTAGAATTGTTAGGAGGTTGGTTAGCTTAGCTGTCAGCTGTTAGCACGGTTATTTACTCATTAAGCAAAGAGACCAAGTATATAGTACTGTAAAAACGATTCAGTAAGAAATACATCATTCAGTTTTCTCATCTGCTCTTAGAAACTTCTAGCAACTCTTTTCTTCCTCTGTCTCTATTATCATGGTTAGCAGTTTTGTACTGCTCTTCTGCCTTGGTTGTATGGTTTGGTTCAAGATTGATAAGAGAGGAGATATTCCGGGGGTGCTGTGCTGAATGTGATTCTTGCTGTTGTGACTGGATCCATGTAATTAGCTCCACTCCTACCTATCAAATTATCTTTTTTTTTTTTTAAGAAATAAATTGTTTTTTTTTTTTTTTTTTTTTTTTTTTTTTTTTTTTTTTTTAGTTTCTTTCTTTTTTAAAATATATATTTTGGGAATAGAGTTAGGGTCTCTGGGACAGGCATCACCATGCTTAAGTGCATTCGTTGCTGGTTCAAAGCTGCAGCATTTAAGATGTTTGAGGACAACTAGTAGAAAGCCAGAGATTGATGCTTATGACGAAAAAGGAAAGACGTTGGATGACATTCGTGGAGATATAGAGTTGAGAGAGGTTTTTTGCAGCTATCCAGCCATACCATATGAACAAATATTCGACGGCTTCTCTCTTTATATCCCTACTGGCACCACCGCAGCTTTGGTTGGAGAAAGTGGAAGTGGAAAGTCAACAGTTATCAGTCTGATAGAGCGGTTTTATGATCCACGAGCTGGTGAAGTTTTGATAGATGGTATAAACCTAAAAGAATTCCAGCTCAAATGGATTCGGGGTAAAATTGGTCTTGTCAGCCAGGAACCTGTACTGTTTGCATCAAGCATCAAGGAAAATATTGCCTATGGAAAGGATGGTGCTACCCTTGAAGAGATAAAAGCAGCAGCTCAACTTGCAAATGCTGCTATATTTATTGATAAACTGCCTCAGGTGCTAATTTATTAGCTCTAGCTCATTTTGATTGAACTATATGCATGATCATCATAAGAATATATTAGTGATCACTTTGGAATTGCATATCTCATGTTCAGGGGATTGACACCATGGTCGGTGAGCATGGAACTCAGCTGTCTGGTGGGCAGAAGCAGAGAATTTCCATAGCAAGAGCAATTTTGAAAGATCCACGAATTTTACTTCTGGACAAAGCTACAAGCGCATTTGATGCAGAATCTGAGAATATAGTTCAAGAAGAATTGGATAGAATTATGGTCAACCGAACTACTGTTATTGTTGCTCATCGTTTGAGCACGGTGAGGAACACACAGATATGATTGCTGTCATTCATAAAGGAAAGATGGTTGAAAAAGGTATTCTACCTAAAAAGGCCATACATAGGACATTCTTTTTATTCTTGCATATGGAACCATAGAAAGCACATGTTTCCCACCCAATGGTTGGAGTTGTTATTGCAAAATTATGCTGTTTTATGCACACTATCTCACAATGGAAAAATACACACAGAGGCTGTTAGCTTTGATTTATGCACACTGTCCCTTTCATTTGGTCACATATATAACAGTAGTTCTTGTCAACTGTGATAAGGCTCACACTTAGACTTACTCAAGGATCCTGAAGGAGCATACTCTCAACTTATACACTTGCAAGAAGTAAACAAGGGATCAGAGAGAACAGCAGAAGCTCAAAACAAATCAGAAATAACAAGGGAACAGTCGAGTCAAAGGATGAAGTTAGTAAGATCCTTGAGTCAGAATTCCTCTGTTGGTAGCATGCGTGACAACAATACATTGCAGACAGAACCAGAAGCCCCTACCCTGGCATTAGAGCAACCTCCAAAGATCTCACTCCGCTGCCTTGCTGCCCTTAACAAGCACGAGATTCCAGTGCTTCTTATTGGAACTGTAGCTGCAATGACCAGTGGCGTTATGATTCCTCTGTTTGGTGTGCTTATGTCGAGGGTAGTAAAGACCTTCTATGAACCACCTCTTCAACAAAAGACAGATACAGAGTTTTGGGCAATGATGTTTATGACCCTTGGTCTGGCATCATTACTGGTGATCCCAGCAAGACGATACTTCTTTTCTGTTGCTGGGAGCAAGTTAATTGAACGTGTCAGATTGATGTGTTTTGAGAGAGTGGTTCAAATGGAGGTTGCGTGGTTTGATGAGGCTGAAAACTCAAGTGGTGCAATTGGTGCCAGGCTCTCATCAGATACAGCTATATTGCGGGGCCTAGTAGGAGACGCACTAGCTCAGATGGTTAGTAGCATTGCGACTGCAGCTGCATGTTTGTTCATTCGTTTTACTGCATGTTGGCAGCTGGCATTCATTGTCCTCGCATTGATTCCTCTGATCGGAGTTAATGGATATGTTCAAGCAAAGTTCATGAAAGGATTCAGTGGAGATGCAAAGTTATGATCTAGAGCTCCCTGGAAGCAAAAGCTTTCTCATTTAAATACAGTTACTGTTGATTTAGCTATTTATCTATTAGGTTTGTGGTTTGTTGTGGCTAACGGAGGGAATGTTGGATTGAAGTCCAACTTGGTTTATTGTGGCTAGCAGAGGGAAAATCTGAAAGTTGAGATCAGATGTAAAGGGTTGCATAGTTTTCTAGGGGGGCATTAACTGTAGATTGGATGTCACTCAAAGGGATTTTCTCCTGACATCCTTCACGTGACCAGGATTGGGATGTAGAGTCTGAGGTGACAGGAGATTTAGGGTTCAGGGTTTGTCCATATTTACATTTTCAAGTCGCAATTCTGAATTAGAAGAACATTTCGCAGTTTGTAAATCGAAATCCCTTCTTTCTTTTAATGATCAAGATGTATAATTAAATGGTTGCAGCTGATGTATGAGGAAGCAAGCCAAGTTGCAAATGATGCAATTGGAAGCGTAAGGACAATTGCTGCTTTCTGTGCTGAAGAAAAGGTAATGGACCTATACAGAAGGAAATGTGAAGCCCCTACCGAGGAAGCAAAAAGACAAGGCTTGATCAGCGGAATAGGATTTGGAATATCTTTATTCTCTCTGTTTTGTGTCTATGCAACCAGTTTCTATGCGGGAGCTAAACTTGTTGAGGCTGGAAAAACCACATTTTCACATGTTTTCCAAGTAATTATTCCCTCCATTAATCCAATAGTTTTGAAGACAAGATCAAAGCATATGTAGATGAATTTTAAGATGTGTATTTGGCCAGCAGGTTTTCTATGCTTTAACCATGGCAGCTTTGGGAATTTCTCAGTGGAGCTCCTTTGCTGTTGATTCTAGTAAAGCCAAGAATGCTGCTGCTTCCATATTTGCAATAATAGACAGGAAGTCAAAGATAGACCCTAGTGACGAGTCTGGTGTGAAATTGGATAACGTAAAGGGAGAGATTGAGCTTCGCCATGTAAGCTTTAAATATCCATTTAGGCCAGACATACAGATTTTCCAAGACCTAAGTTTGACCATTCATTGTGGCAATGTGAGCATTTCATCATTGAAGATTTCAGTTTTCTTTTTCTTTTTCTTTTAAATTTATTATTTTATAATATTTTAGTTTGATGGCATGATGTTGAAGTTTAAGTCTTCATATATAGTGGTTTTTTTGTTTTTTTTTGTTTCTGAATCTCTTTTGCAGACAGTTGCCCTGGTTGGAGAAAGTGGGAGTGGAAAATCCACAGTTGTCGCATTGTAGCAAAGATTTTATGATCCAGATTCAGGTCATATCACACTAGATGGAATTGAACTTAAAAGATTCCAATTGAAATGGTTGAGGCAGCAGATGGGGCTTGTGAGCGAAGAACCTGTCTTATTTAACGACACCATCCGCGCCAACATTGCATATGGAAAAGATGGGGGTGCAACTGAGGCAGAAATTGTAGCTGCATCAGAGTTGGCCAATGCCTACACAATGCCTACAGCTTCATTAGTAGCTTAGGACAGGTTAGAACATCAATGCATATAATAATTTTTTTATGTAAATTTGTATAAGTTAACTGAGCTTAGTTATAACTTATAATAGATTGTTGCAACATGAATCTATGCAGGGCTTTGACACCACAGTAGGACAACGAGGAGTGCAATTGTCTGGGGGACAGAAGCAATGCATAGCGATTGCGCGTGCTATAATCAAGAGCCCCAAGATATTACTGCTGGATGAAGCTACAAGTGCACTGGATGCTGAATCTGAGAGAGTGGTTCAAGATGCATTAGACGGAGTGATGGTAAACCGGACCACAGTGGTGGTTGCCCATCGACTATCCACAATCAAGAATGCAGATGTGATCGCAGTGGTAAAAAATGGGGTTATCGTAGAGATAGGCAAGCATGATACACTGATGAATATCTCTGATGGATTTTATGCATCCTTAGTAGCTCTTCACATGAGCGCTTCAACTGCATAAGATTCTGGTACACCTCTTATCACCAAAAACTGCCACCTCTTCTCACCAAAGGCTAAAGAGAAAACTGCATGAGTCTTCAACAGGTTACTACTTGGTTTTTTGTTGCAGTTCAAACATCTTCAGCTGCTTCCCTTGTTCTTCAATTCGAAACTTTAAATTTCTCCAGATATGTTCGTAGAAGTAAAATGAAATTGAAATGTTAGAATGTAACCAGAGGTACTTGGCATTGCGTTTTTTATTATTCTTTTGCAACATGAAAGTCCTTCAAGTTCAGAGATTTCTTCTTATTGGCACAAAGACAAGCCCTGAAAATTTCTTAACTGATTTGGCTAATGTTATGCAGAGTAAAATACAATGTAGAAACAAGAAATTTAAAGGATCTGCCACATAAAAATCATATATTGTTACAGATACAAAGTGACACATAATATATCCATGTGAACGCCCCATCCATAGACACACACAAGACAACCTCCCTAGGCGTTAGGGACCATGGACTCAAGGGTATTGACGTTTAACCCGCAGCGTCAATCATCCAATAAATTTTACTCATTTACCAAGATTTCTGGAAGACATTTATTATACATTTTCAAGTTTTTTTAATTCATATATTAGTAGTCAATTTGATTTTTTATTAAATTAAAGGGTTTTTAATCGTAGAGGTCCCTGAACTTTACCTCAAGTTGCAATTGGGTCCCCAAACTTTTTTTACAAATTTATAAATAAACCCAATCCTAGACATGTATTTATAAAAAAACCCAAACACTATTTAAACATAGAAACACACCCAAAATCAACCCCAAAGTCAACTTTTTGGGTGTGTTTATAAATGGGTTTTGAGTGTGTGTAATGATGAGTTTTGGGTGTGTTTATAAAGTGTTTTGGGTGTTGGGTTTTTTTATAATTTCAACCTCCATTTTGGGTGTTTTAGTGAAACTCCCAACTTTTTTTTGGGGCAATTAGGTCATCCAACTCTCTCATCCGTTCCAATTGAGTCATTCCATCAATTTGGCAATTAATTTGAGGGCTAAAACCGTCCATCTCAATTAAAATATTTTAATTTTTAAATTTTTAAATTTTGAAAAAAAGTGAAAGAAAAAAAAACCCTCTAAAAACCCAGATCCCAACCCAACCAACCCACCCATCCCCCATCTCCCAACCCTCATAACCTTGCAGAGATCAATGTCTAAAAGGGTAAAAAATTTCTATACAAAAATAAACCCATAAAAATGAAATGATAATTTATAATTCATAATTAATAGAAAAAAAAACCACATTACAATTGTCCATAACGAGTTTTCATATTCTGAAAACGTCCCATTATAGTTTCATTATCAATACAAACAAACATATATTTCTCAATATAAACAAGTAAGCTATTACTCAACCATTGATCTCCCATTCGATTGCGAAGTGGACCTCTCACAACATTCATAGCAGAAAATGCTCTTAGGTCACTAATGGCTGTGATCTTTTGAAGGGATGACAAACCGAGAAGTCCAGCGGCATTCCTTCATTGAATAAAGTAAAGATCGTAATTTTCCACTGTGTTTTTAAGTCGAAGAACAATGTTGCGACTCATTTGAAACCTCCTCCGAAATAAATGGTTAGGAAATACAGGTGGATCAGCGAAATAGTCTTGATAAAGATTTTGACCACCTCAAGCTATGTTGTGTGGAACGACGACACGACCTTCAATAGAACCACGACGTCTTGATGTTCATCCCTCATTGGCTAGGTTCTATGCTTCTATGCGTGCAAGCAAATCATCTTCATATTGGTCATCAAGGACATCGTTGTTGAAGACAATACTACGTAGAAAACGACTTACTATACGACGTGCCATAGTTAATATTAAGAACTAATGAGAAAATGTATTTGAGATAAAATAATGAGAAATTAAGAAGGAATCTGGATTTTTGTAGATGGGAGGAAAATGAGTGAAGATATGTTCTTATTTATAGATAGACAATATGCCATTTTTTAAAGGAAAAAAAAAACTAGCCATTAGAAAACTAGCCTTTGGAAAAGTAGGTATGCTACATGTTTAAATTTTAAGAAATAATAAAATATTCGAGATTAGTTAAAATAGAGAGCATTGTTAGAGGAACCACATTTTAAGTAGTTTGCTATAATGGCTTTCTAGCTATTTTAACTAGAATGACTAAAATTTGGAGACTCTCTTGGAGATGCTCTTAGGTCACTAATGGCTTTTGGCATTTGTGTGTATGGAAGCACAGAGTTCTAGGAATGCTTTGCAAGCGCCACCATGGAACTCTTATTAGTACGTATGAGATCACAAAATGTAAGTAATCAGTGAACAAAACCTAAATCTTTAAAATAATAACAATTACTGGAAACATTTTCATATATATTACCACAAACCCATTGGCACTGAGCAGTGCAAGATTTGTAAAATACTCAACTTGGTGCTAATTTTGTAGGCTATTCGTACTCCACTAAATATTAGCCCAGCCCCCACATGCTATAGTTTTTCTAAATTTTTTAAATATTAGCTTATTCAGCCTAGTGTCTCTAATTTGATAAACTAATACATAAAAAATAACATGAGATATTTAATACAAAATAAATTAAGGATCGTTATTGGGATGGGCCGAGTTGAGTTGGTTTGAAATTTTTGAATTCGGACCGAGCCTAGTTAAATTTTGAGAGAAATTGTTAAATCATTAAAATTGTGTTTGATGCACTCTAGGTTGGCACAACTAAATATATGTATATCGCAACTACGTGGGCACCTACACACTTATCAATCACTTGTACTTTACAACCTCAAGGTACAAAAATAATGTTAGCATTATGTTAGCCTTACGTAACTCTTAAACAATAATATAGAGTAGTACATATCATACTTGAAAAACTATTTTATCTCAAAATTTCACTATGTATGAAAAATAGACTTTCGAAATACTAATGTTTTCAATGATATTTTTGGCGGTTTATATTCCTTACATCTTAAATAATTAAACACGATTGTATGAGATTTTAGTATAAAGTATACATTGACTTAAGGGGTACTTCCTTATTTTTTTTTTTTTTTTTTTTTTTTTTATAAATTTCCTATTGAGCAGGGCCATAATATAATATAAACTCACACACACAACGCGGATGTTAGGACTCAAACCCAGGACTTTGTCTGAGGGAGCAGTTACTCCAAACTACAACATTAGTAGGTCTTTTGCCTCCTTATTTACATTTGTAAACTTAAGTAAATTGAGTAATATAAAAATAAATTAAAGTAAAAAGACAAGATATTTACTTAAATGTTTGGAATGGAAATAAGGCAATATACAGCAATGGGCAGGCCTACTTGGGTCGGGCTAGGCCAGGCCATGGACAATTTCAAGCCCTAAGCCCAAGCCCTACACAACTTTAGAACGAGTTGGGCCGAGCGGGTCTAACCATCAAGCGGGACCATACTTTGGCCCATTGGGCCTCGGGCTACCCACTTCTGCCCGCAGGCCAAATGATGAACCTGTTACCCTTCGTTTGGATGAAGGAGTTGAAAATTACATAGAATTCTACAATGACATAATTTAGATTTCCATCATTTCAATTTGTGGCAATTGAAGATTTCAGTATTTGGATTTATGTCTGTCGAATTTTTTAAAGGCTGAATTACACAAATACCCCCTGAAACTTTAGTCAAATCCCACTTTGCCCCCCCAAACTCAAAATGGTCCCCTTTCTTCCCTTGACCGAAGTTTGGTGATCCACTTTGCCCCCTGCCGTCAACTCCATCCAAAAGTCTGTTAACTTTGATGACGTGGCTGGGGTGTTCTATAATTTTGTATATGTGGATATATATTTGGCAGCTCCAGTATTATGTATTATTGTTAATTCAATCTAGAGTTTTTTTGTAGCAATGGTCCCTGAACTATACTCGTATAGTTACATTTTGGTCACTCAACTCCAAAAATAGCTGCAGAGGTCCTCCAATTATGTATGATGTTGCATTACTAGTCCCTTTTGTCAAGTCTGTCTATTTTTCAGTTAAATTCATAGGTAAACTTGGAAATTCATTCCAAATATTTATAAAAACGAAATAACAAAAAATAAATAAATAAAGGTTATTTGTAGCAATGGTCCCTCAACTATACTCGGAGTTACATTTTGGTCACTCAACTCCAAAAAATAATTACAAATGTCACTCAATTAGGTGTTGTGTTGCACCATTAGTCCCTACCGTCAAGTCTCTCTAACGGTGGCTTCACTTTCAGCACTTGGAGGCCGAATGCCTTGGGTTCCATTCCGATGTGTCTATATTGCACATTGCTACTGCTTTAACCTTCTCCCCATCAGCACCTTTCATAGACATCACATAACTTGCCGTTTGTTTTGTTGAATGGCAGTAAAACACAGGAAAGGGATATCTATGCTTATGGCACGAAACAGCTTCGTCGCCTCCCAGCTTCTTCACTCTAGGCAACACTGTATACTTGCGCAAGGACTTAATGACTCCCTTTTCAAGTAGCTCCGTCGAGACTGCTTGAACATTTCTTGTTCCAAGCTTGGAAGTGCTGAAATCAATCATTGATTCTAAAGAGGTGGTGCAGTATTTTTCCTCTCCCTTGTTACCCGGTCTTTCACACCATTCAATTGTTTCCTTAAGAGCGTTTGCTTCCAAAGATCCCTGCTCCACTACAGAAAAGAGCTTGAAAATTTCTGTGAGTTTGTTCGAGGAGAAGGGAATTGGTTGCGTGGCAGGAATGTGGCGTTGCCTTCAATCATATTGAAGTTCAGGCTCATGATTGTGCCAGACGCATGTCCTTCTCCAAGAAGAAAATAGATGCGGACTTAAGAGAATTATTCTCATCAGTGCCACGATTATACATTGCAGGATTATAAATACGCGTTGGTCCTCCATTCTCACTAATATGAAGCTCATAATGAAGAGAGTTATTCTCTTCAGTGCTCCCATCCGTGAATTCTGCAAATGACAACATATATACATAAATAGAGCTAGAATAAGTGAGACGATGAGTGATTTATGTAAGCATAGCACTTGAAAGTTAAGGTAAGATGAGTATCAAATCCTAAACCATCATCAAAATAAATAGTAAATCACTTTATCAGTAAAACGACAGAAGAGTAGTAAGATTTTAAATACAAACCAGCTGGGCGGAGAATTAGGTTACTGATGGCTTTTGGCATTTTTGTGTATGGAAGCACAGTGTTCCAATAAAGTTGAGGTGCTCTGTGCTTCACTGGAACTCTGTGCTTCCATACACAAAAATGCTTTGCAAAGTAGAGGAGAATGCTTTGCAAGTGCCAACACTGCCATCTGCAAGACTGCAACAATTTGAACTCTCATCAGTAAGCATGAGATCACAAAATGTAATTAATCAGTGGACAAAACTAAAATCCTTAAAATAATAACAATTTCTCGAAATATTTTCATAAAATGTTTTCAGAAAATAAAAACAAGAAAACGAATTTGTGTTTTCAAGATGAGCAAGTAATGAGACATTCCTTCACACAGTAGCATGAGATATTGGAAAAACTAAATAATAACGCAGAGCTTACAGTGAGAACAACGACGATAAATGAGCGATAGAAAGCCATTGCAGCAGATATCAAGCAAGAAATATTTAGTGGTAGCTCTGATGTAAGAAGATCAATTGGCTTCAACATTTTATAGAGGGAGGTCGGACTTACAGACAACATAGGATACCTAATGTGGTCCACATATTGGTTCAGTGACAAGTCAGACTCAAACATTAGGTTTTCACATGAGTGTTTTTGGCGTTGTTCCCATTAGGCTAAAACATCACATGTTGTGACTATGACAAGTACCTTCCCATTCGGCTCATCTCAGGTAGGCATGGGCCACTACAAATTATAGTTCAATATCGCATCTTGATTCTTATGACAACTTTAGTTTGTTTTGAAAAATAAAGTATGAGAAGAGATAAGAAAACTCACACACAAGTTTCTCACAGGGGCTTAAACTAATAAAACAATAACATGAGAGATACTTAATATAAAAGAAATGGTGTTTGAGAATTTAATATTTAATTCTTAGCCCAGCTTACTGTCCCTCATCATCCCTTTTCTCTAGGTAAACTTCGTTGTAGTTCAGTCTTTTTGCTTATGGTCACCAAACATGTTTTCCTTTGATGTTTTAATTTATTAACGTTCACACAAATTTTTGGGGTTTATATGTATTTCCACTTCACTAGGTATGCTCCTTTATTTCTTTTGCAATGCAATATTTGTTTGAGGTTTGACAATATGTGTTTAATTTAGCGTTTATTTATATATTTCTTTAAGAAAAACAAGACTTATAATAGATATCTCATTATAATAATAATAAAATATTAGTCCACCCCTAAAAAAAATTCATGAATCCGTCCTTGATTCAGGTTCACTTGAAAGCACACCAAAATTCTGGGCCAATCCAACTAACACTCCATTGATCTTATGAAAGCTTTCATTTAACTCCCAATCTCGTCATATTTTTTCTTTTGTCGAAAGAAACTTCATTCAAATGCCAAGACACAGCCCAAAGAAGGAACAAAACTACATCAACAAAAGAAAAGCCATAATGACTCTCACTCTCTTCTCTTTGATAAAAATGTCATCTACAGGCTCCAAGAAAAATGATAGGAACCATAAAAACCTTCACGAATACTCCTCCGAATCAAAAGTTTGTCCTACTTTCCTTCTGTTTCCCGTTTGAGTATTTTTTGGTGGATAGCTTCAAGTTTGGGTTGCATATGAAGAGGAGAAGGAGAATGGGGAAAGAAAAAAATTCCGAGGCACATTGGGAAATAAATGATTTTTTCTTCTCACAATTGCAATTTTCTTATAGGGGAATATGAAAATATAAATGAAGGGAGCGAAAATAGAGTGGTGAATTTAATTAAAAAAAATTATTTTCAGTATATAATAATTTGAAAAAGAAAATTAGTTTTATCAAACCACTGCTAGTGGGCTAATCTAACCCACTGCTAGTGGGCTAATCTAAATGTGTGAAATTCTATCAAAACTAGTGTAAAAAACACAATACCCTTATATAGGGGTATATGTATATATATATATATATATATATATATATATATTTAAAAAAACAAAAAGAAAGTTGAAATTCACGTGAATTTCTTTCTAGTTTTGCAAGCATGAAGTGATGTGTCATGTTGGGCATAAAATACGTGACACATTGTCAATCACTCACCACCTTTCCATTATTTTTTGAATCATCAAAAGCCTTTTCCTTTGGCCCTGTTATCACTTTAGGCATCATGCATCTTGCAAAGCAACAAGAAAATCGAGGCTTCTCCACCACAAGATCCCAATCCCCACCTAATGGGAAGTTAATTAGTAGTGGCCTCTCAGCAGGTGCTCATAGCAAGCTTAAATTAAATTGATAATAATACATAATAATGGAGCTGCCAAATAACTAATTAGTTGTCATAAGAATAAGATTTGATGTTTAACTAATTAATAGTGGCCCTCCCTACCTAAAACAAGCCTAATGGGAAGTTAATCTTTGTAATTACAGCATGTGATGTTTTAGTTATTGCACCTCGGATCCTTTTTTTTCTTTTTGATTTGACATGAACAACTTTTATTCGGACTGGCATTTTAGACCGAAAAATTTCAAAAATTAACCGATAATTGACCGCAATGGAACCGCAATCACGGGAAACCGAACCGTATTTGCGGTATGAAGAACCGAACTGCATTTGCGGTTGCGGTTGCGGTATTTGATTTTCAAAACTTGCGGTTATCGCAAACTACGACTATATTTATATATATATATAAATTGCATTTTGTATATAGCATTGGTGCTCAAACAACACAACGGAGTCATTCAAATCCACTCACCACTACCAACACTTGAGTTTGTAACTTTAATTTATAACATTGTTGCATTGCATTTTCCTTTTAGTTTGTAACTTTAATTAACTTTGAATTGGATTTTTCCTTTGGGTTGTAACTTTAATTCATTTTGCATTGCATTTTCCTTTTGGTTTGTAACTTTAAAGGATTTGGAATTGAAATGCTTGAGAAGTTGAAGTTGTGAATGCTTGAGAAGTTTAAATTTAATTAGAATGCTTGGAATTGTAACTTTAATTTTCTTTAGGTTGTGAATGCTTAAGAAGTTGAGGAGGTTGAGAATTTATATATGCTTGAGAAGTTGAGGTTGTGAATTTATTTATTTAGGTTGTGAATTTATATTTCTGGGTTAAAGTATGCTTGAAATCAAAAGGCTTCAAAAGAAGCATCAAAATTAGGCCTAAAATGTGGAATATTGGATTTTTATGACACAAAAAGAACTTGCAGTTTTAAACCGTTAAGAACTTGCGGTTTGCAATGCTGTAAACCGCAAAAAGCGGTCAGTTTGCTATTTCAAAAATTATCATACCGTAAATAGTCGGTCGGTTTGCGATTTGGGCAAAAATTCGCAGTTACCGAACCGCAACCACCCCTAACTTTTATCATTTATTTGATAAGTTTGTCGGTTTGTTTGTGTGGTCTCCCACGCCAAAAACACTCAAAACCCATTGGCTGTAGTAGAACCAACACGTGAAAAACTTACTTCTTGTAGTACCTGAGGACGTAACGTAAGCATCAGAACTGAAAAAAAAACAACCAAAAGGGCGATACGGATCAGAGAACTTTTTCTGACTTCCCCCCATTAAATGTTGAAGCCAATTGCTCTTCCCTCCATAAGATAGGTTAGTACTAAATAGTTTGATCCACACCAGAATATCTAGAAGCTCCTCACAGACTCACAGTAATGGGGACCGAGACGGGGTCTGACACAGCGTTCGTGGAGATTTCAGAGCCGTTGGTTGACGATTCGGACTAAATCAGACCGGTTCAGAAAGTCGATGATGATGACCAAGTCCCCAAATGGAAGGACCAGACCAGATAACGGTCAGAGGGCTGGTGGTGAGCTCGCTGCTGGGGAGCCTCTTCTGCATTATCACCCACGAACTCAATCTGACGGTCGGGATTTTCCCATCCTTGACTGTCGGCGCTGGGCTTATGAGTTTCTTCTTCGTCAAGTCCTGGACTGGCTTCTTGTCCAAATTAGGATTTTCTGTTGCTCCCTTTACCAGGCAAGAAAACACCGTCATCCAGACCTGTGTTGTTGCTTGCTATTTCCTTGTGTAATGAAACTAATTGGTAGGGGGATTCAGTTCCTATCTCATTGCAATGGATGAGAGAACATATAATCTTATTGGTGCTGATTACCCTGGTAATCGGGCAGAAGATGTTAAAAATCCAAGCTTGTGGTGGATGACTGGTTTCCTATTTGTTGTCAGCTTCCTTGGCCTTTTTAGTCTTGTTCCCCTCCGCAAGGTAACTACTTACGTCATGGATATGGATAATTTTTGGTGCTACATGTGGGTTTGGTTTTGAGCTAATAGTGACTCTGTTGCTTGTGACTTGAAGTTGGTTCTGGGCGTTTTGTCCTTACAACTATGGAATTGTCTTTTTATTTTCTTCATGATTCTTCGTAGTTGGTTCTGGCCAGAAGGAAGTCAACATATGTTGAAGGATATGTTGAAGCCAATTGCTCTTCATAATTGGCTTCAACATATTATAGAAGGAAGTCAGACGAAGTTGGTTCTGGCTACTTATCTTCATAATTTTATTTTCTTCATGATTCTTCTCTTCATTCTCACTTTCCTTCCCAACCCCATCCTTTCCCTCCCTCTCTTCCCACACGCATTGACCCCTGGTTCTTTTGGGAGTTGACCTGAATTTCATTTGTTAAGTTCTTTGGACGTGGAATAAAAGGATTCCTTCCAGTAAGATTCACAATATTTTATAACAGTGAAGTTGCTGATGTTTTACATGACTTGCTTCATGCAGGTTTTATTTTGACTTCAGTCCAACTTATGTTGGATGCGGTCTCATATGCTCTCACATAGTCAGCTGCTCACTTCTTTTTGGGGCCATCTTATCGTGGGGTTTTCTTTGGCCATTAATATCCCAGTATTCTGGGGACTGGTATCCAGCGGATCTTGGTAGTAATGATTTGAAAGGTCTTTATGGATATAAGGTATTATGGAACGATTTTCATTTGGGGCACACTACCTTGATTTCTTAGGCTAATTACATGAGTGTAATGTAACTATTTGTAGAATGGAGCTTGTTGCATTTCTTATGAAAAACACCTAAAGGTAGAGTACGGAAGCATGGTCTCAAACACACACACTCTTCTCTCTCTCTCTCTCTCTCTCTCTCTCTCTCTCATATTGGTTGTTTTTGGCCATCCTCTCTCATATATGCGAATTTGCTCCAAAAGCAATGTTCTGACCCGTTGTGTTGTTTGCAGGTCTTTATCGCCATTGCCCTCGTACTAAGGGATGGTCTCTACAATTTGGTGAAGATTATAGTCATTACACTCAAGAAATTATGCAAAAAGAGCAACCTTCCGGCTGTTAATGAGGTTTTAGGTGAGTCTTTGTATGGTCTCTATAATTTCATATTATCACTCTTCACACTCCATTTATGGAAGGCATGTATTCACTCCACTAATGTTTAAACTGTACGTTTTTCTTCCCGCAGTAGCGTTTGTATATCAGTAATCTAGTCTAGTTGTGACATAAGATATAATTAGCTGAAATCGATTGTCATTAGGAATTTAGAGGTATATTCTTTGGCTTAGAGTAGCAAATCTATGTTACTCTCCCAGCTATTGGTCTCTTCATCATCGCTTCATTAGTTGGACGTGATGGTGGGGTTATAGCTGGGAGAGTTCGTTGGACTTTGTAAATATCTACTTATCTACAGGAGGACTGATTAGAAATGAATAACTAGATCTTGTTGGGTTTGGTAGAGGCTTTAACCCTATCATGCTATATACATTACCTATATTATATTATGTACAAGTTAATCTTTTTAGAAAGAACAGAAAAGGTAGGAGTTGGAGGAGGCTTGAATGATTACGACAAACACACAGCCAATGAAGCTTATCTCTTTATGCCAATTAAGCTGATCTCATTTTATAGTTGAGATTCATGAATTATATGTACTAGCCAGCCTAGTAGACTTGTGAACCTTTATTTTGAGGCATGAATATACTTACAGAAATTTCCGGCAAGCATATGCTTCTCTCTGTGATGCTGTCTGTCCAAGCCTAGTTAGATGTCCATTTTAAACCCTATATAAATTTTCCTTCTCCGTAAACCAAATTTCCGAAATTCTCACTGTTACTATTGCAGCTATGTGTGTGCATCTCTGCACATTGCATACATGAAGATCAACCTTTTCCCTCCTTTTTGGCTGGGAAGTGCATCTAACTTGTTGGCACCGAAATTTATCACAACATGATGTACACAGAAACATACTCCTGATATGCCCGCATGGTTTCTGTGCACACCATGTTGTGATATATTTTAGTGCCTACAAGTCAGATGAACCCAAAAACGTACTCCTGATAGGGTTGTTCTTCAGGCCCAGACTTGGCTGGCTGAATTTCAACTCCTTGAATTGATTGGTCCTCGTTCACCGCGCTCTTGCATGCCCGTTGGAATTTTCCTTCTGTTGGTTTCTGAAGGTTAATGTTGATGGTGCCTGGAGGAAGGATGCGAGGATTGGAGGCACTGTTGTGATTATTCGTGATTGTACTGGGAACTTTGTTGCTGCTGGTGCGCATCAGATTAGAAACGTTGAGTGTCCTGATCAAATTGAGGCACTTGCCCTGCTTGATGGGTTACGTTTAGCTGCTAGTCTTGACCATGATTTGTTCCATTTTGAAAGTGATTCTCTCAAAACCACTACTGCGGTGTTAAAGGGAGGGGCCAACTTCTCTCTGCTAGGTAGGATTTATGAGGACTGTACGGGGCTTCTCTCAAATTTTCATTCTGTTTCTTTAAATCATGTGCCTAGGACTTGCAACTCTGTTGCTGATTATCATAGCATGTATACAGAAACCACCGTGTATAAGAAAATCTTGCACCTCAAGGGCTGTCAATTACCATACCAACTTACTACTTGATACAGACAAATCATTACTGACTCAGACCCAGAAATAATAGATCCTAAGTATTTAGAATCATTCATACCTTAATTTGATCTTCAATTTCCATTCTTTCACAGGCAATGACAGGTCCAGCATCCAGTGCACGGACCGTGAACACTGGGGATACTCCTGTTTCTTTAACACCATCCTAATTCAGAAATTCAAACATGTGGACTTACTCCTTATTCTGAAATTTACAATGTGACCAAAAAATAAAATGCAAAAATGTATAACATACGAGATAAGGAACATCGAAACAAAGAAACCTGCGAGGCTCTTTGAACGGGTGCAGCACCAAGATATAATGGCAGAAGACTTGGGTGTATATATTATTGACCGTGCCTGAGACAATTGTCACTCTCTTTTTTTATTAGTTTTTTTTAATCGAAGACAACTGTCACTTTGGATTGAGAAATAGTGCTGGCACTAGAACAAATATCTCTCAACGTTACTCTCAAGTCATTTATGTTCACTCAAGATATGCAACTAATCTGTTCACATTTATTTTTTTTAGAGTAAGTATAATTGTATTCATAACTTAGGCACCAAGATCATTAGTTACAATGACATAAACGACTAAAAAGGAGTTTGTGTCCAGAGTGGGGCAATTTCAGCATTGTGTTTTCCTGTAGACCCCTCGTCATTGTAACAGGGCAGCGCATAAAATTGCAGCCTTTGTGTCCAAAGTTGGTGGAATCCATACTTGGGGTGATTTATGGCCTGAGTGAATTTGTGATATTCTTGCTAGTGATGTAAACCTTACTATTCGTCTTTAATAATATTCTCTCATTGTTTTGAAAAAAAAACCTACTTAAAAGGAGTTGATACAAATGTGGAAACACAGTAACAGGGTTATTCTAGATATATCTCCACTAACAGTGGCATAAAACCAAACAAATTTTCGGCATGAAAGCTGCAAGCCTAAATAAATAAGACATGGATTGTAGCGCCTAAAACTACAAATATAACTACAACTTTTAAATTGTCACAAGTAAAAATACAAGTAGAGACTCAACTACAAACAAAACACCCAACTCACAAGAGACACCACCAAATTGGAGCTTTTACAACTTGAGATTTACAACACGTTTTTTGTGCGTGTCGTTAATATTTGATATTTACCGCATATGGTAAAGCACGCCTTAAAAATGTAATAAAGCGTGCTATTAATAACTGATATTTAAGGCATGTGAAAGCATGCCGTAAAAAGGTAATTTTTGTGTCTTTTGACAGCGTGTTTAGATATACACTGTGAAGTCTAAATTTTATTTATTTATTACGGCATGCGACTGAGTACGCCTTGATTGTTTTTTTGTTTTTTTGTTTGAAACCCCCTAATTATATTTGAAAAAATAACAGTAACTCACATGTTAAGGATCCCAAAGCAATCAAAATCTATACAACCACACTATGTAGCTGCAACAATTTATAATCATGAAAGACAGAGGTAAATACGATGGCAGAGAAAGAGAGAAGATAAACAAACCATATTTGCAAAGTGCTTGCCTTGCTTGCCATACAATAACAATAGCTGACATGTTAAGGATCCCAAAGCAGTCAAAATCTACGCAACCAAACTATGTAGCTATGGTGAGCCAACTTCAACATCTAGTTCTTGTACGTTTGATGCTTTATATGTCTTTTCATGAAATAAATTGTTCCAATGAAACATTATTGTTTTTCTGAAAATGTTAGAACCACCCATGAGGCCATGATTGGACAAAGCTACAACCCCGAAAAATACTCTCTCAAACCCTCAGTCTTTCAAACAAGGGGGGAGGTGGTCACTACCCCTCCTTCCCTCCCCCCCTTATACGCCTTTCAATTTCCATTTTCCATCTTCCATCTTCCTCTTCATTCCCTCTCTATTATCTTCCTTACTTTTTATTTTTAATTTCCTAGCTCCCTTTAAATTCCTCCCTCCTTATTTGGCTTCTTCAAGACTTTATCTCCCTCTTGGATCTATCGACCCCTATGGGCTGCAGCAACTAATCCCAAACATGATTTTTCGTGTCCCCTTCAGAAGATGTGTAGAGCTCTTGCTTGGGTGCTTGCACCACCTCCTTCCATTCTTGGGTTGTTACCACCTCCTTCCTTGCTTAGGATGTTGGTTTCTTTGGCTTTGGGAAGTGTTTTCCTAGGTTTGTTCTTGGATTGGCTGTTGTTTCCCTCTAGGTGCTTTAGTGGTTTCATTTTTGTAAGAGTTATTGAGTCTTTGATGGTTGGTTTATGTATTGCGAGAAATTTTCATATTTGTATTTGTTTTGTGTGTTTTGGTGTGTTTGTAGTTCTTTCACTCATCATTAGTCATGGTGGCGATCTCTCAGTCTTCATGGAAGCAACGGCAGGGGTACTTTGGCGTTTGGTGGTGTTTCTACTATTGGTTGGCTCTGGCTTTATGCAAGTTTTATACTCTAACTTTATGTTAGTTTTGGGCTCTAGCTTTATGCCATTTGTAAACTTTTTGCATGTTTGAGTTTTATTTCTAGTGGGCTCTAGCTTTATGCCATTTGTTTGGACTCATTTTTATAAGTTCCACTATCTTGTAATTGGCATTGCCTTTCTATCAATGAAACTTGATTCCAACCAAAATAAAAAGGGAGTTTCACTAATATACCCAAAATAGGGGCTGAAATTATAAAAAAAAACCCACATGGAATGCACTTTATAAACACACCCAAAACTCATTTACTACATAAGAAATTAGTGTTTAAGTTCTTATAAATTACATGACTGTCATTGATCAACTTAAAAAAGAAGACCAACAAAAAAACTTAAATAGCACCCAAAACAAAACCCAGCTTTTAATTTTATAAATTTTAAAAAAAAAAATATAAAACAAAAAAAAAAAAAACATTACAAACAAAAGGTCTTGAAAACCGTAGTTCAACATTAACATGTCATGTTAATTAATGACTACACACCTTTACTGTCATGTTGATTAATTGTTGTAATGTTCCAGTTTAGGGTAATAACATTGCTCTGTCATGTTGATTAATGGTTGTAATGTTCCAATGTATGGTAATAACACTGCTAGTTTCCTATAACATCCTATTTATAATGCATGTTTACCCCTGTAATGTTCCAATGTAGGGTAATAACACTCACTACAAGAAAACAGGCATTCTGTGACCAAATTTTACGTGACGCTGAAAATTTCGTCACATTTGGCTTGTATAAGTGAGAAAATTTTGCAAGTCGTCACTTAAACGTCTTGAAAGGACCTAACAAAATTTTTGCTCCATCTTCGTCACATTATAATTTCGGTGTCGTCACAAATTACATAGCGGGAAATCTTGGCGCCCAAATTTTTTACTAAATGTGACGAATAATGCACATTCGTCACAAAGCATGAAAGTGAGAACTGAAAATTTTATTGGGTGAAGATTGGCAGCATCACTTGTGGCCCAAAAGAAAAAACATAAAAAAATAAAAACAAGGGCTATTCTCTAGTGGGGACTTCTATTTGAGAACCTCTATGTGAGGACACCATTGGATCCGATCTAATGGCTCCACATAAAGCAGTTGATGTGAAACTAATGCACTGGAACAAGGCCCTCAACTTGGAATCTCAACTTGCGCGTCTTCTCTTATCCCTCCAAAACAGTTGTATTGTGTATGAGCCTCCAAAACAGCTCTCTAGCTATCTTCAACTCTGACTCTCTATCCATCTCTCTCTCGCCGGCTCTCTCTTTCGACTGGTCTCTTTCACCGTCAAACCTTCCTCTATTCCATAGGTAACAAATGTCTTTCGTCCTCCTAGAATTATTTTCTATAATTTTGAAAAATCAATTTATATATCTCTAATTTGATTTAGGGTTAAAATATTTGTGTATTTAATGCGAAATCATTATCTTTTTCTATATATTTTCGATTTACATAGAAATTAGGGCAAATTTTAGTGATTATATGTGGATATGCGTTTGTTCCTCAATTGTTTATGAGATTCTAAATCAGATGTCCTGTTTGTTGTAACAAGAGATGAGAATCATATCTCTTGGTGTTTGTGATGACTTTCCCTTCCAACTTCCTGCCAACTTTGTATTATGTTAATGGAAATTACAGAAACCCATTTGATTGAAGCTTGGCAACAAAGAGAATGCTCTGTGTAAGTTTCTGAACTAATATTTCTTTTTTGCTTTTTCTCTGTTTTCTTTGTATCTGCCTGGAAATGCATTTAATTATTCACTATCGATGTGACTTGGGCAACAGATGAGATGAATAAGGGCATTTTGTTGATATGGGGCAGTATTATGAGATAAATATGCAACATTTTGTTGATAATTCAAAGCTTAAGAAACATGGTTGTAAGGTGAGAAAACACTATCTCTAACTTAGCACAAATGTATTGGCAAAATGTGAATTATGCCATTTTTACGTTTTGTTTCTCCATCAATTTGATGACTTTGTATCTATATTTAGTTTAAGTTTTGATGACTTTGTAAATATATTCAGTTTAAGTTGTTACAGGTTTGACCACCTAAGCTGTCTCCACCACCACCATATCCCTTTAGTTTTCTAATTGTTAATTTAGTTTGTTATGAAATTTTTGTCAAAATAGTATCAGAAGAGTAGCTTTTTATGTAATTGTTAATTTAGTTTGTTGTGTAAGCACATCTTTTCGTTATAAGGAGGCCATATTTTCTGCCTATATTACCACTGGAAAGATTCTTTTGTAGCTTTTTATGCTTTGTACATACACCTTTATTTTTAGGAGTGTGATTTTTATTTTTTCATGCTTCTTGACATTTAATCCTTTGATGGATTCTGTTTTTCATCCTTTTATTTTCCTCACCATGGTCACTTCTTAGACATCAAACATTAATTATGTTTGTCTTCTCACTTTAATGTTAACAATGTTGTATTATGTTTTATATTTTCTTACAGTGTGTAGCTTCCCAACCATAAATAAGGATGTTCTTCCCCAATGGTAATTTGGCCTTTTATCTCTCTGTTAAATAGCTTGATGTTCTTCCCCAATGGAAATTTGCCCTTTTATATATTCTATATCCATTTTTATGACCATTTTTCTTTTTTATGACAGTTGAACCAAAAAGATCCATTCTTTTTGGTTGTCGTTGATGATCGTTTGCAATTTGGTTCAACTCTTTTTCATCTTGGGACAACATTACTTTCAGTTGTAGAAAAATTACATTGTAGTTATGAGAAGAAAAAAACATGTAGTTGAGACTATTGTATATCAAACAACGTAATTATTTTGATGTAATGGAATGAAATTTGAGTTCAATTTACTTGTGAAACTTTGGGGATCTTGAATGTATTATTTTGCTATATTATACAAGAAAATAATATAATGGGGAATGGTAGTAATCGAGTTGAATTTAATTGAATTGAATGTTGGTCAGATTATATGTGAGACGTACACTGTCACAATTTTCATAAATATATGAGGAACAACTCCCCACAATTTTCATAAATATGTGAGGAACAACTCCCCACTCACGCTTGTGAAATGTGACCAATGCAGCTTGTTACCGATAGATACAATAAGTGACGAAAGATGCCTTGTGCAAAGGTACTATATGCGACGAAATATTCGTCACATATAGAACCAGTATGTGACGAATCGTAAATTCGTCACGTCAAACAATCTGTGACGGGGTATAGGTGACGAACCTTGTGACGCTGAAAATGCGTCACATATTGTCAACTGTGACGAATTTACATGTTTAAGTGACGACTACTCGTCTTCACAGAAGGCCTGTTTTCTTGTAGTGACTGCTAGTTTTTTATGACATCTTATTTTTAATGCATGTCTACCCATGTAATGTTCTAGTCTAGGGTAATAACATTGCTAGTTTACAATCATGTTGATTAATGATTGTAATGTTCTAATCTAGGGTAATAACACTGCTAGTTTATTGTCATGTTGATTAATAGTTGTAATGTTCCAGTTTAGGATAATAACAATACTAGTTTCATATGACATCCTATTTCTAATGCATGTCTACTCCTGTAATGTTCTAGTCTAGAGTAATAACACTGCTAGTTTCCTATGACATTCTATTTCTAATGCATATCTACTCATGTAATGTTCTAGTCTAAGGTAATAACACTGCTATTTCCTATGACATCCTTTTCTAATATATGTTTACCCCTTTAATGTTCCAGTTTAGGATAATAACACTATTAGTTTACTGTCATGTTGATTAATGCTTGTCATGTTACTATTTCTAATACATGTCCACCAAAGAAAAGATGAAGAAAGAACAAACCAGACCAACTCAAAATAAGCCGAGCAAAGATTGTTAATACTATTACGTCATAGAAGTATATTATTAATACTCTGTCATAAAAGTACATTGTTAATACTCTGTCATAGAAGTACATTGTTCAACAAAAATGAGATTTATAACTGAAATAGTAACAAAAGTTAAATTGATCATCAAAGCTTAAAATACATTTTGAAAATCAACTAAAATCCGAAGAGAAACACATAATTAAAGCAAAATATCAAAAATCTCAAGTCCAAACCAAACGACGATGACAATGACAATGACGACGATAACGACAACGTCGATGTGGCGAAAGAGGAGTAGAGCTTGAAGATGAGGAGTAGAGCTAAAAGCATCCGATCGAGGTTTGTTCAAGGTCTTGAACAATCCGAAAAAAAAATTCAATAGAAGCACGATTTTAGAACAAAAAATCGAAGGTGAAATATTGAAAATTGTAAATTAAATATGAAGAATATAGTTGGACTTGAGACTGAGCTTCAATGGAAGCTCATCTTGCTCCAACACTAGAGAAAACACCAGCGAGAAAGGAGAAAATAAATATGATTTGGTTTTTTGGCAAATTTGGTTTTTTTAGCAAATATGATTTTTTTGGCAGATCTATGCATTTTTGGTTTTACGGCAGATCTAGGCAGATCTGATTTTCCTCTCTTAAATTCATTGTACAAGGACAATATAGGTATTTAACACACACAAATAAACTAAAAAAAAACTATTAAATTCAAAAAATTGACAGCTGTCAAATTTGGGGTTTTTTTTTTGGTGTGTTTATAGTTTTTAAATGGTATAGGGTTTCTTTATAAAACTATATCTAAGATTGGTATATAACTAAATTTCTAAAATAAAAACAGCTACAACCCCAATTAGAATATGAGAATGTATTAGACAAATGAACCCCTCTCATAAAAGATGGCAAAGCTCTACTTGCCAAATTGATGCGCGGTTTGCAATCAACTCTTATGTGCCTTGAAGTTTCCGGCTTGTTTTTTGTTGTGACCCGGAACCTAACCCATTACCCATGGTATAGAGACAATTTTTCCACTTTTCAAAGCCAAGGTCGTCCTTTTGGAATTTGGAAATTTCCTTGCTAGTCCTCTGTTTCTGTTCTGTTCTCTAAGTCAGTCAACTGCGAAATCAAAGCCGTTCGTATCAAAGACTTTTCAACCTCCCAAGCAATCTGGTGCTCAAAGATTGGATTTTTACTGCTACCCATCTGGTTGTTCCTCCGATTTCTCCAAAAGAATTAAGTGAATTAACCATAAGCCCTGGTGCTCTTTCCAGTTTTCCTTTGTGGGTTTTGTGATTTGATTCTTCTGGCTCTGCAAGCTTTGATTTGTTCTACCAAATTCGAGTTGCGGCAACAGGAAGCTCGAGTTTCACTTCATGGGTTTCAATTAGATCAAGTTTTGACTGGTTCAATCTCAGGACGCACCGACTGTTTTGGAGGTTTTTGATACTTACCCTTTTGCTTGTTCCCTCTGTTCTCAAAGGGGTTGGTGATATTTTTTGAAGTTTATAGACTTAGTTTTTCTTGTTTGAGAGGATAAAGACTTCGTTTTTAGTTTCAAGTTCTAGGTTTCCTTTTTATGCATATGTGGTTTCTGAACTCTGGTGGTTTCTGAACTCTGTGAAGCTATGAATGGTGTGACTGTAATTGTCATATGAAGTGTGTTTGATGCCATCTCTGCCGTTGGTTTTATTCTATGGCTAATATTAAGAAAAACCGTCTAAAAGATGAAGTGGCTTTTCGCCGTTTCTTGCCATTGGTTTCGATTACATTGTTAGGGGTTTTCCTGCTGATGTTCCTTCTGAGAATTAATTCAAATTTTGCCACACCATCTTCGGATGATTTTAGTCAGGTATTGACAAATCGTTCACATGCTAGACATATGCTTAGCCTCCCCAAGCAGACTGAATTGTCACTTCAGTTGGAAAAGAGAAATCAGATGCCTCCCAGGAACTTAGATCTATATCCAAGTCTAGACAAGGATCACATAACTATTGTTCTTTATGTACACAATCGGCCCCAATATCTCAAAGTAGCTGTTGATAGTCTGTCTCGGGTTGTAGGAATTAATGAAACTTTACTAATAGTGAGCCATGACGGATACTTTGAAGAAATGAACAAGATTGTGGAAGTTATCAGATTTTGCCAGGTGAAACAGATATTCGCTCCATACTCGCCCCACGTCTTTCCCAATAGCTTTCCAGGTGTTTCACCAACAGACTGTAAGGAGAAGGATGATGCAACAAAGAAACACTGCAAAGGGACTCCTGATCAGTATGGAAACCACCGGTCCCCGAAGATAGTGTCATTAAAACATCATTGGTGGTGGATGATGAACACGGTGTGGGACGGTTTGAAGGAGACCAAGGATCACAGTGGTCATATTCTTTTCATAGAGGAGGACCACTATATTTATCCCAATGCATATCGTAACTTACAGATACTCACAGAATTGAAGCCTCAGAAATGCCCTCATTGCTATGCTGCAAATTTAGCACCTTGTGATGTGAATGCAAGAGGAGAAGGTTGGGATAGTTTGATTGCAGAGAGAATGGGGAATGTGGGTTATACATTTAACCGGACTGTGTGGAGGAAAATCCACAGAAAGACTACAGAGTTTTGTTTCTTTGACGATTACAATTGGGACATAACAATGTGGGCAACAGTCTATCCCTCATTTGGTAATCCTGTTTTCACGCTACGAGGTCCTCGAACAAGTGCAGTACACTTTGGAAAATGTGGTTTGCACCAGGGCCAGGGGGAGGCGAAAGCATGTATCGATAATGGTATGGTAAACTTTCAAGTGGAGGAGATAGATACGGTTGCAAACATCCACTCAGACTGGGAAGTGCGAGTCTTTGAGCATCAGCCAGGGTATAAAGCTGGGTTCAAGGGTTGGGGAGGTTGGGGGGGACAAGAGAGACCACCAATTGTGCTTGACTTTTGCTCAGATGTATCATTCATAGATAAACATAGCTGCTTCAGCATCTTTTCATCCGCATTTTGTAACTGGTAAGATCTGGATTTCTTTTTGTTGAGTGATTGTCAATGGCGTAAGTAGTTGTTAGATGTTTTTGTATTATCTTACAGAGATGTTCACATTTGTTTCTTCAACAATCAAAATATTACTCAAAAGAAATCATAATTTTTCATTCTTCTTGTGCCAATCTATTGCTATGTTGACACTTTTGAGCATCTCATAGATGCACAGGTCAAACATCTCACAGGATTTATGATTTCAAATTTCAATGGTAACTTGTCCAATATTGCAGAAAGGCTACTAACAAAACATTTTTTTTATATTTTATTTATGGCAGAACTGATTTTAAAAAGAATGTTATGCTCAGGACTTGGGTTTAGGAAGATTCAAGCGTGAGAGCTAAGGTTGCATGATTTGAAACAAGACTAATAATATGATTGATCCCTTCCAAGGGCCAGACTCTTCCGTCCTTATTAGGAGCCACGTGTCATAATCATGTGCACTTGGCATGCTTTTGGGCCATACACATGATGTGGGGATGTGATTGTGACACGAGTCCCTTGTCAAACATTTGTAAGTTTGGAACTAGCTTGCAAAGGGATCGGTGACCACCCCACTTTGCAAATCGTTGGAGTGCCTCACATGCATCCGCATAGATTTTTGAGATTTGCCCATTTCTTTTTAGTTGAACTTGGATCAATGCAATTAAATTCAATACACTACAGTACAATGCAAATTCTCGGTCCCCGTCTTTTTCCCACCACAATTCACCCATCATCATGATGACTGTTTCACCCTTGATGGGTTTTAATATGAACTTGGGATGAATTCGAACCTTTACAGCGCGAGTGTGAGTGTTAAGTTCCCGTTTGGGATTGTTTTTTGGTCAAAAATCTGTTTTACTTTAAAGTTAAACAGTTTAAGGTTTTTGGTAAAAGTAAAATATCTTGATTATTTTAAAAATAGTGACCTTTTGATAGCAGTTTTTAAAAGCAGGCTTTGGATTTATTTTCAAAGCTGCTTTCAAAAGAAGCAGAGATGAGCATTTAATGAATTTTTTTAATTCCCAAAATACTATTATTTATTTTAAAATGACACTACCTCCACATCCACATTCAACTCCACCACCTCCATGCCCACAGTCACATCCACCACCACCACCACATCCTCCTCATCATCCTCTGCCACCACCACCACAACCACCACCTCCACAACCAACACCACTACGCTGCCATCGTCGCCACCACCTCCACCTCCACAACCGCCATCCCCGCCACCATTACTACCACAACTACCAACTCCACCTTCATCACCACCACCATCTTCACCTATATCTCTTTCACCACCACCTCTACTCCACCACCACTACTACCATCAAATGATTAGCACATAACACTTTCAACATCATTTCTATTTTATTTATTATTCACAGTTATAACAATTTTATATTAAAATTTACTAAACAGTTTTGACACTGTTTTTTTTATTGACAGCACTTTAAAAATATAGTTGGCCAAACATGGGTCTGCTTTACTTTATAGCTAATTATTTTCAAAGCACAGCATAAGAAACTTTTATTTTTTTGTATTTTTTTTTATAAAGTGATAGCAATCCCAAACTATTTTATGGTAAAGTTGGAAGATAAAGTCCAGGTATAAATCTATTTTATTTTTCAGTTTAAAAAGAACACGAAGCAAATTTTGAATGAAAGTATTACCGACTGACGTGGTGATACCGTATCATTCTATCATTTCTCATCCTTTTGAGTCATTGACAATAATCTAATATTATCTGGATGAGATGCTCACCCACTATTAGAGTTAGAGGTTGAATTGGTTTCCAATTTATGCCTCATTGATAATGTATTCTTCTTACTACAAATGATCATAAAGTTTGATAACCTTGGCATACGTCTTACTCTCGTAAAATTAGCTATAAATTGAGTGAGAAAGGAAATTTGTCAGTCATCCTAATTACTCTAGCAACTTAAAACTGGAAAGCTAATTTTCAAAAGTGAAAATTTTTTTATAGCTAAAACCTAAATTTACTAAAAAGGAAAAGAAAAGGAATTTCTTCTACTTTGCAACAAATCCCGTGAATTAGTAGCAAAAAGAAAGCGAAATGGGCCCCATACATTTCATTGGTTGCTAATTTGACATTTCTGATTTCTGAGCTTGTTTTTTACTAGAGCTACAGCCAAGTCAATGTACATTTTTCCCAGTCAAAAACTCCACCTGTTACCTATATTACCTCGCCATAAGTAACAAACAATACTTTCTTTTTCAGCTCATGAAAAAACCAGAAGAAAAAGATAAATAGTGAACTTCACCAAATATAACTAAAAAAGAACAAAAACCCATGTACCAGAAGCATCCTAAGGTCTTTGCTTTTTTCTTTTTTAATCTTTGTGAACCTTGTAGCTTGTTGATCCATGGGTGACTCTGGAGCCCCAGAATTCAGGTCGGTTTTCACGTGCTTGGCTGATCCATATCCTGCAAATTTTGATGGTCAGTGACACCCATGCCCCTCTCCTACTGTCTCATCTCATATGCATACAATTCTTTTGGTTATTTATGTATTTTGTTCTTAATTTATTGAAATCTGTATGGTATTGTCTTGGTTTGGGGATTTGAACTTTGTGGGCAGAGATAGGAATGTCAACTTGTGGGTATAAAGAAACAGTTTTTTCAGTTTTTTAAACTCTCTGAAGAAGTTAGAAGAATTCAAGCTGTATATAATTGATTTTTTGTGCAATGGGTGTGTGAGAAACTTGTGGATTATGCTCTGAAGTTTGATTGGTTATCTGGATTCTGCTTTCTAAGCTTGTGTAGAAGTTTATACTGGCTAACTCACTTTGGATATGTTCTAGGAGAATCTATTTGTGGTGGCGACCATTTTCTTATGTTGGTGGCCTTTTGGTTGAGAATGGAATTACGGAGACTGTGAATGATATTTAACCTTCTTTTCTTGGTGCCATAGTAAATGGAAAAGCGATTGCTTTTTTTACATTCAAATGGTGGTGGGTTTCTCTCTTTTCCACTTTCATGATGGTTCCTGGGTCCGGGAGATTCCAGTGACCAAGAGTAGGTAATTTAGCTTTGGTTTTGGATTTGACTTGCATTTATTTTGATGCAAGTAATGATTTTTTTTCCTTGGTTGGGAGCTCATAGTTTGTATTTTGATGTAGGGGTGGCTGAAGTTTGGTATAATTTGTTTGATATTCACAGGTTGGGTTGATTAAACTTAGCTAGTTGGGGAAGGAAGAAAGAAAAATTGGAGAGTAAGAAGGGTCGAGAGATGTCATCTTTGTCTTTGAACAAGACGAATTGTTCTAGAAACAGCTTTACTCAATCAAAACACGGGGCTCGTGTAGTTGCACAGACGCCCATTGATGCAAAGCTTGACATAGACTTCCGAGAATCTGAGCAGTTTTTGATTACTCCACTTCAATTGACTGCAATGTTTCATCTTCCACTAGCAATGTCCCCTCCAGCACTGTATCTGCTTATCTTCGAAGTATGCAGAGAGGAAGGCTTATTCAACCTTTTGGTTGCATAATTGCTGTTGATGAGCAAAACTTAACAGTTCTTGCCTACAGTGAAAATGCCCCAGAAATGTTGGACTTGGCCCCTCATGCTGTTCCAAATATAGAGCAGCAAGAAGCTTTGACTTTTGGAGTGGATGTGCGCACGCTCTTTCGGTCCTCAGGTGCTGCTGCGTTGCATAAAGCTGCCCATTTTGGGGAAGTTAATCTTCTCAATCCCATATTGCTGCATTGTAAAACCTCGGGTAAGCCCTTTTATGCAATTCTGCATCGAGTTTATGTTGGCTTAGTAATTGATTTAGAACCAGTAAGTCCAGCTGATGTTCCAGTGACTGCTGCGGGGGCATTGAAATCTTATAAGCTTGCAGCTAAAGCTATCTCAAAATTGCAATCCTTGCCAAGTGGGGATATATCTTTGTTATCCGATATTATAGTTAAGGAAGTTAGTGATTTGACGGGTTATGATCGTGTAATGGTGTATAAATTTCATGAAGATGAACATGGAGAAGTTGTCGCTGAGTGCCGTAGACCTGACCTGGAACCTTATCTGGGTTTGCATTTCCCAGCCACTGATATACCACAGGCTTCTAGATTCTTATTTATGAAGAACAAGGTTAGGATGATATGCGATTGTTTGGCCCCTCCAGTTAAAGTAATTCAGGACAAGAAATTAGCTCAACCATTGAGTCTTTGTGGATCAACATTGAGATCTCCTCATGATTGTCATGCACAGTATATGGAAAATATGGGTTCCGTTGCATCTCTTGTGATGTCTGTGACAATCAACGATGATGTTGATGAGATGGAGACTGATCAGCGGAAGGGAAGAAAATTGTGGGGTTTAGTGGTTTGCCATCACACAAGCCCTAGATTTGTTCAATTTCCTTTAAGATATGCCTGTGAGTTCTTGATTCAAGTTTTTGGTGTACAGATCAGCAAAGAATTGGAGATGGCTGCTCAGTTGAGGGAGAAACATATATTGCGAACACAGACTGTGCTTTGTGACATGCTCCTTAGAGATTCCCCTGTAGGGATTGTTACTCAGTCGCCTAACGTAATGGATCTTGTTAAGTGTGATGGAGCTGCATTATACTACAGGAAGAAATTATGGTTGCTTGGGGTTACCCCGACAGAGGCACAAATTGGGGATATTGCCGAATGGCTTCTCAAGTACCATGGTGGGAGCACAGGCTTAAGTACTGATAGCCTTATGGAAGCTGGCTATCCAGGTGCTTCAGCTCTTGGGGATGAAGTTTGCGGTATGGCAGCCATTAGGATTACTTCAAAAGATTTCCTTTTTTGGTTTCGGTCCCACACTGCAAAGGAAATCAAGTGGGGTGGTGCAAAACATGATCCTGCTGACAAGGATGACGGAAGAAAGATGCATCCCAGGTCATCATTCAAGGCTTTTCTGGAGGTAGTTAAGCGGCGAAGTGTACCTTGGGAAGATGTTGAAATGGATGTCATCCATTCTGTACAGCTGATACTGAGAGGATCATTGCCAGATGAGACTGTGGATAACTCAAAAGTGCTTGTAAAGGGTCCATCAGTTGATGACAGGATACAGAGAGTGGATGAACTGCGAATTGTCACAAATGAAATGGTTCGACTTATTGAGACAGCTGCAGTTCCCATTTTGGCTGTTGATGCCTCTGGTAATATAAATGGGTGGAATACAAAAGCATCCGAACTAACAGAATTGGCTGTTGAGAAAGCCATTGGTATGCCATTGGTTGATGTTGTTGGGGATGATTCAATCGAAGTGGTAAAGGACATGCTCTCATCTGCACTTCAAGGTGACACTACTATTCGTCCTCTGGGTCTGGATTGTTAAACCCATTATAACGAATTGAAACCTGTTGCTGACTGATTTTTGGTTATGTGCCATGGAGTATAAGTAGACCAGAATAAGCGATTCAGACATGCTCAGAATAGTCTTTGGATGTTTGTTTACCTGACCTATACTTGGTGATAAATCATTAATTGCAATGTGGTGTTCTAATTGTTAGGAGCAGCTTTTCTGGCCTGTCTACTTTGATATTCATACATTCTTTCAGACTTTGTGAATTTTCACAAAAATCAAAGCAGATGATTTGCCCTTTTTCCTATGCTTTGGTTGTGTTTGGTTTATGGGTTGCTTCCTGACCCACAACACACCCACTCTTCTACTTGTATGACACAATTATTTGGTTGCCTAATTAACAAATCCTAGAGATATAATTGTTTGGAATTAAATAGAGATACCTCTTCTGGATTCTTTTTGTTCCCATCTCATGCATGTCAAGTAAGTGGAAATTACAGTTATGCATGTAAAGTATGAAGTTTGTAGAACAAAGGCAGATATTTTATAATTTAGAAGTGTGCTTTTCTTTTATGTTACATACATGTTAATCTTATTCATTTCTTGGATTCCATCTCTTTTTTCTTTTCTGTAATTTTTCCTTTATTTGATTTGGTTGTATTTTTTCTTGTGTTGTTCCCTCTTCTGATGTGATTGTAAATTGGCAGGTATAGAAAAGAAAAATGTTGAAATCAAATTGAAAACATTTGGTCATCAAGAAAATGATAGTTTTGTAACCTTGGTGGTTAATGCATGTTGTAGCCGAGATATAAAGGAAGATGTAGTTGGGGCTTGCTTTGTAAGCCAAGATCTTACCGGAGAGAAGTTGGGTATGGACAAATATACCCGTTTGCTAGGTGATTATATTGGAATAGTGCGGAGCCCATCTGCACTGATCCCTCCTATATTTATGACTGATGAGAATTTTCGTTGCTTGGAATGGAATTATGCTATGCAAAAAGTTTCTGGTTTGAGAAGGGAGGAAGCAGTTGAGCGGATGCTCGTTGGGGAAGTTTTCACAGTAAGAAATTTTGGTTGTCGTGTTAAAGGTCATGACACATTAACCAAGCTTAGGATACTACTGAATGGGGTAATCGCAGGCCAGGATGCTTGTAAATTGTTTTTTGAGTTTTTTGACCAGCAGGGTAATTATGTTGAAGCATTACTTTCTGCTAATAAGCGAATTGATGCAGAGGGACGGATAACTGGGGTGTTGTGCTTTTTACATGTGGCTAGTCCAGAACTTAAGTATGCTATGCAGATGCAGAGAGTATCAGAGCATGCTGCAGCTGATAGCCTTAAGAAACTGGCATACATTCGTCAAGAAATCAAAAAGCCTCTAAGTGGGGTTATGTTTATCCAGAATCTAATGGGGTCTTCTGATTTAAGCGAAGAGCAGAAGCAACTACTTAAGAATAGAAGATTGTGTCAGGAACAGTTGTCCAAAATTGTTGATGACACTGATATTGAAAGTATTGAGGAATGGTATGTTCTTTTTTGCTTTATTTTTTTAACTTGAGTATTTTTCTGCATACTTGTGCACCCTATCAGTCCTCTTGTATTGTGTGTTGCATGGTGTGAACCATAATATTTTGGCAATTCTGACATTGGTCTATAAGTTTTACATTGTAATTTCCTGGACTTACTTGCAGCTACATGGAAATGTGTTCTAGTGAATTCAATCTTGGGGAAGCTGTGGAAGTTGTCATGAATCAAGTTATGATTTTGAGTCAGGAGCGGCAAGTAGAGGTCATCCATGATTCACCAGCTGAGGTGTCATCCATGCTCTTGTATGGAGACAATTTGAGGCTACAACAAGTTCTCTCAGATTTTTTGACAAATGCACTCCTTTTCACCCCTGCATCTGAAGGATCATCCATTGTGCTCAGAGTAACTCCGAAGAAGGAACGTATAGGGATGAAAATGCACATTGTTCATCTTGAGTTTCGGTAATTCTTGTGTATTTTTCAATATTTCATGGCTGATATTGCTCAAATGATTAACTTCCTTCACTAACAACCTAAATGATGAAAAAGAGAAGCTGTTTTTAACATCTGAGATGTGTCAATCTGATTGACTGCTAGACTGTTTCTGGACTGAGGAGAATGCAGTAACAATTTGTTGTTATTTCACGCAGCATGCCTTTGACTAACCTCTGATAGTTCTCTTTTGAAGCAATGATCTCAAATAGAATGCTAAAGTCAATTGTGTGGTTAACATTGCAGTGTCATTCATCCAGCACCGGGAATTCCAGAAGATTTAATTCAAGAGATGTTTCACAGCAGCCATCGCGCCTCAAAGGAAGGTCTCGGCCTGCATATGAGCCAAAACCTGGTGAAGATCATGAACGGAACTGTACAATACCAGAGAGAAGAAGATAGATCGTCCTTTATAATACTCCTTGAGTTTCCATTGGTTCACCAGATTGGCAGATGAACCCATTGGTCTATGTATATTACACACAAAGAAGCAACACTCCCCCTGCAGTTGCCTGACACTTAACTGGAGTGACTTGTCCATAAATAAATGCCTATATCAGTCAGCAGTTTGGACCAACAATTGTTCAGAGGCTGGAAGATACTGATTTTTTCACTGGTTAGCTTGGTAGATTGGGGATATTAATTAGAGGTTTTAGAGTGGGTATAAATGTTGGCTGCAAAGTCAATCCCAAGATTTCTGAAGCCAATCCAGGTCAAGTTCAGCAGAAGACTTCCCCAGAATCGGTCTCATTGCCATATATGTTCTTTGCTCATCTTCATTTGCATCCTTTTTCGTATCATCATTCTTTAGTAAGGTTTTCTTTGTTCTCTCTCTAGGGCTATAGACACAACATCAAGTCACAAGCTTTGTAGAGGGGCAATTTGGTGCTTGAAACTGAGTTGATTAAAGTGTATATGCTAAGCTAACCCTAAACTGTAAAAAAGAGATTCTTGTGCATATCATGAATTGGACCATGCAAATATGGTCTACAAAAACACACAAGATACAAAAATAATAATTTAATTTTAAAAAATGAAAACTAATATAAGAGATTCTTCCACGCAATGTTCATTTCGTGAGATTGTATCTGAAAGATCTCCATCATTTCTCAATTTGCCAACTTTGAATTTCGAACTAAATCTAAAACCCTAAACCCGAAACTCGAAACATACCTTGTGATTTTATTAGTAGTATTTAGTCACCATATACTTTATATTTTCACATAAAATATTTGTTTTCAATCAATTCATAAAAATAACTTGTGTAACACGAAGTTTTATATCTAGCACATAGTATTGTAAATATCTTTTTAATTTTTGTGGTGACCATACGCTCAAGGAGGACGATGACATGAAGCATGAAACAAAGTTAAAAAACGGCGACCTTGTTTGAAAGTCTCGACCTTTCATCAAATCGCGCGAAAAGCCATGAAGGAAAGCACAACCTTTGTCTTCACTAGACTATGGTTCGCTGCTTTCTCTTGTTCACACCCTCTCACCCTTGCAGAAGAGTCCCTCGCCGTTCGAACCATGCTTGCAGCACATTCACTGCCTCCTCCCCTGTTGTCTCAGACCCACCACCACCACACGCCTCTCTTTTCTTCAAATCTCAAAACCCAACTCGACCTCTAATCCCATTGCAAAGCTCGTTTGATCAGTACGAATCATCCCAGCCACAGCTCAAAGCCCCACCATTTCCCCCACATTTCATTCATACTAACAATGGAACATATGGGTATCTTTCTAGTCGATACCGAGAATCGCGTACCTCAAATGATGCGCAAAGCTTTCATTTGCAAATTTGCAAACATGGGTTTGCTAATGATTTGTTTTTGTGCAATACGCTTATTAATGTTTACGTCAGAATTGGTGCTTTGGTGGAAGCAGGTAAGTTGTTCGAAGAAATGCCTGAGAAGAACTCGGTTACGTGGGCTTGCTTGATTTCGGGCTATACCCAGAACGGTATACCAAATGAAGCGTGTGCCCGTTTTAAACAGATGGTGTCTGATGGTTTTTCCCCTAGTCCTTACGCTTGCGGTAGTGTTCTTCGAGCTTGCCAGGAGTCCGGTCCTTGCAAGCTTAAGTTTGGGATGCAAATTCATGGGTTGATATGTAAAACGAATCATGCTTCTGATATGGTAATGTCTAACGTGCTGATGTCAATGTATGGGAAATGTTTGGGTTCTGTTGACGATGCTTACCATGTTTTCTGCGAGATAGAGATTAAAAATTCAGTATCTTGGAATTCTATTATTTCAGTTTATTGCCAAAGAGGTGATGCAATCTCTGCTTTCAAGCTTTTCTCAAGCATGCAAAAGGACGGTTCAGCTTTCAGTTTGCAACCTAATGAGTACACATTTGGTAGCTTGATAACTGCTGCTTGTTCTTTGGCTCATGCAGGTTTGAGTTTGCTTCAGCAAATTCTGACCAGGGTCAATAAATCTGGAATTTTACAGGACCTGTATGTAGGAAGTGCTTTGGTTAGTGGATTTGCTAGGTTTGGGTTAATTGATTATGCTAGGAAGATTTTTGAGCAGATGAGTGAGAGGAATGCCGTATCAATGAATGGGTTGATGGTTGCATTGGTGAGGCAAAAGCGAGGAAAAGAAGCCACTGAAGTTTTCATGGAGATGAAGGGTTTGGTTGGAATAAACCTTGATTCACTTGTGGTTCTTTTAAGTTCTTTTGCTGAATTTTCTGTTTTGGAAGAAGGAAAAAGAAAGGGAAGGGAGGTTCATGCATATGTAATCGGGGCTGGTTTAATTTACAGAAAGGTTGCAATAGGAAATGGGCTTATTAATATGTATGCCAAGTGTGGTGCTATTAGTGATGCTTGCTCAGTGTTCAGGCACATGGTGGACAAGGACTTAATCTCGTGGAACTCTATGATCTCTGGTCTTGACCAGAATGAGTTTTTTGAAGATGCTGTCATGAACTTCCGTGAAATGAAGAGATCTGAGTTGCTGCCTTCAAATTTCACGTTAATTAGTGCTTTGAGTTCATGTGCAAGCTTGGGTTGGATAATTCTGGGACAGCAGATACATTGTGAAGCACTTAAATTGGGACTTGATTTAGATGTTTCAGTTTCAAATGCTCTTCTTGCATTATATTCCGACACTGGGCATCTTAGTGAATGCCGGAATGTTTTCTTCTCGATGCAGGATTACGATCAAGTATCATGGAATTCCATAATCGGGGCTTTAGCTGGTTCAGAGGCATCAGTTTTAGAAGCTGTAGAATATTTCTTGGACATGATGCAATCTGGATGGGAACTTAATAGAGTAACGTTTATGAGCATTCTTGCAGCAGTTTCATCTCTCTCACTTCCTGACCTGGGCCAGCAGATTCATGCTGTTGTCTTAAAATACAATGCTGCGGAGGACTGCGCTATTGAGAATGCACTTATTACTTGTTATGGAAAGTGTGGAGGGATAGATGACTGTGAGAAGATATTTTCTAGAATGTCTGAGAGAAGGGATGAAATAAGTTGGAATTCCATGATTTCTGGATACATACACAATGAGTTCTTGCCCAAGGCCATGGATTTGGTCTGGTTTATGATGCAAAGGGGTCAGAGATTAGACTCTTTTACCTTTGCTACTGTTCTCAGTGCTTGTGCCTCAGTTGCAACATTAGAACGTGGTATGGAAGTTCATGCGTGTGGAATAAGAGCTTGTTTGGAATCTGATGTTGTAGTTGGGAGTGCAATTGTTGACATGTACTCAAAATGTGGAAGGATTGATTATGCTTCAAAGTTCTTTGAGCTGATGCCAGTGAGGAATGCATATTCCTGGAATTCATTGATATCAGGGTATGCTCGCAATGGTCAAGGACACGAAGCTCTGAGTCTTTTCTCGCAAATGAAGCTACAAGGTCAGCTGCCAGATCATGTTACCTTTGTTGGGGTCTTGTCAGCTTGTAGTCATGCAGGGCTGGTGGATGAAGGGTTTCAGCATTTCAAATCCATGACTAAAGTACATGGACTGGCTCCTAGGATGGAGCACTTTTCATGTATGGTTGATCTTCTTGGCAGGGCAGGCAAACTTAATATGATAGAGGACTTCATCAACAAAATGCCAATGAAGCCTAATGTTCTCATTTGGAGGACAGTTTTAGGGGCTTGTTGCCGAGCTAATGGCCGTAACACAGAGCTAGGTAGGAGGGTGGCTGAAATGCTATTGCAGTTGGAACCGCAAAACGCTACAAACTATGTGCTTCTTGCTAACATGTATGCTGCTGGAGGGAAGTGGGACGATGTGGCAAAGGCTCGGATGGCAATGAGGAAGGCAACAGTGAAGAAGGAAGCTGGGTGTAGTTGGGTCACCATGAAGGATGGTGTTCATGTTTTTGTAGCTGGAGACAAATCACACCCAGAGAAGGATTTGATATACGAAAAACTGAAGGAACTCAACAGGAAAATGAAGGAAGCTGGATACGTGCCTGAAACAAAATTTGCACTCTATGATCTTGAACTGGAGAATAAGGAAGAACTCCTGAGCTATCACAGTGAGAAGCTTGCAGTTGCATATGTTCTTACTCGCCCGTCACAGTTGCCTATAAGGATTATGAAAAATCTCCGTGTTTGCGGCGACTGCCACTCTGCTTTCAAATACATATCGAAGATTGTTGGTAGGCAAATAGTATTGCGAGATTCAAGCAGGTTTCATCATTTTGCAGATGGCAAGTGTTCTTGTGGGGATTACTGGTAGCTGACTTGTTAGTAGTTAGTGCTAACGGAGACTTTGAGCATGGTTCACAGTTTGAGATTTTCATGAGTGTGGCAAGTGATTTTATCAACTAAGCAAGCTGACACTTCAATAGTCGCTTAAATTTGGTATTGTTGTACAGTAATTTATTATTTTGGGTTAACGCATCTGTATCAATAAAATTGTGTCTAATTTAAGGAAATGTGCCCAAGAATTTATGGGAAGCTGCTATTTTGCGGCATAACTTTCAACAGTTGTGTACTCAGCAGGGAAAATTGAAGCTCTACCTGTCCATTGTGAGCTGAGAAACTGATACATTGGGAAGTAATCACTATTACAAAATTTCTCTATCCACGATGGATTTGTAACATATTGTTGATGTATCAATAACATGTGGTACATTTTGTTTTTGAGATGTTATCGATAATGATATCGACACTATATTGATACCGTATGAACGTACCCTTCTTTAATAAAATAAAATAAAAAAGCGTCCTCTTCGCACGCACTTCTGTGCTTGCGAGAGTTTTTTTTTTTTTTTTTTTTTTAGATTATTTAAAAAAAATAATGGCTAGTTGTGTTCCATAAAAATAGAATCCATTATCTGATTTTTCTTTTAGTTTTAATTTTTTTTAATATGAAAAAGTGTGAATTTACCATATTATCCTCATTTAATTAATAATTTCAATTCTTAATATTTTCATTAATATTTTTTTTTAAAACTCTAATTGGCAGTATAATTTTAGTTGTTTTTTTGGTGTGGACCTGTAATGTCAGAAATCAAATCTTATTTATGGGCCCACAACTAACATGCCTATTCTGACTTGGCCATAACCCATTACTCCAGTTGGGCCTCCATTGACTTGTTCTATAATATTATCTTAAATTTACTAAAAATAACTGAAATTCCTTTGCAGAGAGAGACGATGAAGAACCCAAAGCGCGAAGAAGAGAAACACGAAGGGTTTATATTTTCGCTCGCATTTCTTTATCGGGTATGTAATTTCTCTCTGAATTGATTAGTCCCTCTGTAAAGTTCAAACCTTTACGTCTTCACTTCCACTCTAAGTTTCGGGTTTTTTCCAACTGAATATTATAATTGTTCATCTTATTGAACTTCCGGCTGCAGCTGCTCTGTAACACCACATTGTCTTGCTCAGAATTTTGAACCATTTGAGGGCCACTTTTACTGGTAAGTTTCTTTTTTCTAATAACCATGTATAGTTTTGAGCTTTTTCTCTTTCTGAAAGATCAAATTTTTAGGGGTATAAAACAATTTGAATTCATGCTTGTTGCTGGATTTCTTTTATTTTTCTCATTTCCTTCCTAAATTGTAGCCCATGACATGTCTCTTTTGTGGAGTAGTTATTCATTGTTAATCCATGACAAATTTTATTTTTTTCTTCATTGATTTAGCTTTCACTATCTCCAGCTAAACTATATATTTTGATCATTCCCTCTTTTTTTTTCCAACTTTATATTTGAGTTTAAGGAACTATTTCACCTTTGCTCTTTTATTTTTTCTTTGCTTTTTTCGGACTTGAACTGCGTAATGCATTATGCATTATAAGGACATATTTTGCCTTTTTTTTTCTTGTATATGACAGTCTGAATTGCAACAAATATTTGATTAAAAGTAATTTTTTTTTCTTTTGCTGTCTGTTTGGCTGAAGGCTACATAAGCTGGAACACTTCATGTGTTTCCTAAAAAATGGCAATGAAGCCATCAAATAACATCTGGATTCGACGCCAACAGTGCCCATGTGGAGATTGGAAGTGTTACATTCAGTATGAAGGAGATGATCTGGGCTCAGGAAGTTCTCAGCATGTAAAGAGTGAGACAACTCCATCTTCGTCATCATCAGAAGCTGTCTTCACTCCTTATGTTGGTCAAATTTTCAAAACTGATGATGATGCTTTTGAATACTACAGCAATTTTGCCCGGAAGAATGGGTTTTCAATTAGAAAAGCACGCTCAACCGAAAGCCAAAACTTAGGGATATATAGACGAGATTTTGTTTGTTATCGGTCAGGATTTAATCAACCAAGAAAAAAGGCCAACGTGGAGCATCCCAGGGAGAGAAAATCAGTACGATGTGGATGCGATGCAAAGTTGTATTTGACAAAGGAAATTGTTGATGGTGTTATGCAATGGTATGTTTCACAGTTTAGTAACGTTCATAACCATGAGTTATTGGAAGATGACCAAGTGCGCCTACTTCCTGCATATCGTAAAATACAAGAGGTTGATCAAGAACGGATTCTTTTACTGTCCAAAGCTGGGTTTCCTGTAAACCGGATAGTCAAGGTGTTGGAGCTAGAAAAGGGAGTTCAACCTGGACAGTTGCCCTTCATAGAGAAAGATGTTAGGAATTTTGTTCGGACTTGTAAAAAGACAGTTCAAGAAAATGATGCTTTGCTCAATGAGAAAAGAGAGAACGATATGCTAGAACTTCTTGAGGCCTGCAAGGCTATGACTGGGAGGGATCCAGATTTTGTATATGATTATACTATAGATGAAAATGAAAAGGTTGAAAACATTGCATGGTCGTTTGGTGACTCCATTCGTGCATATACTATTTTTGGTGATGTAGTTGCTTTTGACACTACGTATCGATCTGTGACTTATGGATTGCTCCTTGGAGTGTGGTTTGGTATTGATAATCATGGCAAGGCAATTTTCTTAGGGTGTGTGCTACTACAAGATGAAAGCTCTCATTCATTTGCTTGGGCTTTACAGGTTTGTGGATGTAAATTCTTGTGATCAGTCCTCATCAGTCTTCTTGTATTTCCTTATGATTTTCTTCTTTTGAACAGGCTTTTATGCGATTTATGAGAGGAAGGCATCCACAGACTATTCTTACAGATATAGACTCGGGGCTCAGAGATGCTATAGCAAGGGAATTGCCAAATACAAAACATGTTCTATGTATATGGCATATTTTATCCAAAATATCCAGTTGGTTCTCTTTGCCCCTTGGATCACAGTATGAAAATTTTAAAACCGAGTTTGATATGTTGTCTCAACTGGAGAGTGTTGAAGATTTTGAACATCAATGGAATATTTTGGTTGCTCGGTTTGGCCTTGTATCCGATAAGCATATAGCTCTGTTGTATTCATATCGAGCATCCTGGACATTTTCTTACATTAGAAGTTACTTTCTCGCTCGTACACTGACAGCTGAGTTTTCACTGTCTTTGGAGTCATTCTTGAAAAGAATATTGAATGGACAGACATGTCTGCAAGTATTCTTTGAGCAGGTAATTTATTCAGTCTTTCTGTGCATGTATGTTCTTCAAATTTGGATAACTGCATCATTACGTTCTGTTTTGGTAATTTGAAGGTTAGTATTGCTGCCAACTTAGAGAATCAGACCAGAGAAGGGATGCAATATATGCATGTCAAGACCGGCATGCCTCTTGAAGAACATGCACGGAATATTCTTACACCTTATGCTTTCAATGTCTTACAACACGAAATTGTTCTGTCTGTGCAATATGCAACAACAGAAATGGCAAATGGATCGTATCTTGTGCGACACTACAAGAAATTGGATGGAGAATGTCTTGTCATTTGGATGCCAGATGATGAGCAAATTCACTGTTCTTGTAAGGAATTTGAGCATTCTGGGATTTTATGCAGGCATTCCCTTCGTGTACTTGTAGTGAAGAACTACTTTCAACTCCCAGAAAAATATTTTCCGCTCCGTTGGCAGGTAGAAAGTTCATTGGTTTCTGTGGATGATCAAAATGCTCAAATCAGCAGCGACGGTGGTGCTCAGGCCTTCCACAGTCTTACTGCTAGTTTATTGACAGAGTCCTTAATCTCCAAGGACAGATTTAATTATGTCCATAACGAACTTACAAGTCTTCTTGAGCATGTTAGAAATATGCCAGTAATCGACGAATATGCTGCGAATGCAGCAGTTAATAGCATCAGTGAATTGTAGTCGGCTTGGTTTAGCAGTTAATATAGATGCTGCACTGTGACCTTTGTTCAAAAGATTCAGAATCTCTGGAAGATGAAATGAGGTGGTGTGGAAGGCATCAAATTGTAGTCATTAACATTAATAAGCTCACACTCTGGAACATTTGCAAACAAGTGATAAAGAAACAGCAATACAAATATTTTATCAACCCTAGCAAGCCAGCTCAGATTGCCTGGATGGGTGTCATTCTTTCATTGTATTTACTTCAAGTTTCAGGAAATGTTGGAATGAGGTAAGCGGAAGCTGGTCACTTTCAGTGTAAAATGTAAGTTTGCAGTTTATTCAAGTCCCCTTAACAATGTAAATTTGGACAAATGGTGTTTGGAAACTGACCTCAATTTAGTGTTAAGTTATCCTAATTTCCTCATAATCTTGATGATGCAGTTGTATTGAAATGATTATGCAAAATGCTTGTTCCTTGTAAAATATCATTCAATTATTACAGCTCAAAACTCAACTGGTTCCATCAAAAATCTGAAACACCCCACTGACCACGGCATGAAGAAAGAGTTTCTAATAACTTATTGTAGAGTGTGTGTGGGGTCACTGGCAAATGACCACCATGTCCCTGTTTCTGTAGGTCCTTCACATAAAATTCAATGTCCTTCGTTGCCACAAACAACACTCATCAAGATTCCAAACGACAGAGCAGAACTTTCACCTAGACTTTTCAATGGACTGGACTACCAGGTCAATTGAACGTTTGAATTTCCATGGCTTTAATTTTGTTCACCGCACATGAAAACGTCTGATTGGGGTTGGTCCCCCACTCTACTTGTCTGTTTAATTGCAATGTTTGTCAGTGTTTTGGCTCCAAGGAAACCAGTCAAAGAGCAAGTCAGTCTGAATCTCATTATGTTTTGCCCTTTATCCGTTTTGTTCCATCCTTAATTTCTTCCCATAGTTTTATCTTGTATTTTCAATTCGGAAAAGGAAAGTGTGAGTTGTACCACTAGAGCTATAAGCCCCTCATAGTGCTTGTAAGAGGAAAATTGATTGTGTTTGACGGTAATACCACGCATACGTATACAGCATACTAGGGAATAAGGCAATTCTGATGACATTGATATATTGCTGGTGAATGGTGATGCATACTTAGGTGGTGGTGCAGTTTGTGTCTGTTTCTTGTCACTTATGTGCTCATTAATGAGAATGTCGTGCATCTTATCAAGCCTTAATTATGCTCACTAAGATGTGAAGATCTTTAAGTTTTGTCGGATGGTCACTTTGTGCCTGCTAAAACACCGCCAGGAAGTACAGAAAATTGGCACACCTTCTCCTAATCCTGGACAAAATTGGACCGCTCATCATGTGGGTGAACATGCACTAAAGTAAAGTCCATAAAGATTGTAGGATCAAGGCTTGGAGAGAGAGACATGATTCCCCCTTTAAATTTGGAATATGGATTCATATCATAATGTTCTGTTGCTAGACTTACATATACTATGTTGTTAAGACCGGGATCTGGACAATACATTTTAACAAAATCATCATAATTAATGTATATAACCATTTTCGACAGTGTGACAAGAAAACATGTTTCACGAATCTTATTATTTTATTACAATGTCCATATAAACCATAAATTGATTAGATCCGAACAATAAATTGTCCGACAATACAACATATATTCATTTGATTATAAACATTGTTGACTGGTAGCAGCATGTCTATGTCTTGTATTATGATCCGACAAATTTGAGCTCTCGCCTGAATTGGACTGTTTGTTAGAACAATTGTCTTTTTCTGAAAGACCTGGAAGAAATGAGTCAAGTGATCAATTGCTCGGTATCTTCTTAAAAGGTGGATAAACATAAGCAAAAAGAAGAATCAGAGATATATACATATATCCAATAAAAACAAACAATACAAGGAAAAAGGTGAAATCATGGACATCATTGATTCATATTTTTATTTTATTTGGGTTTTTAAATGCACCTTTTGCCCTGTCCTCGCACGTAATTGGAGGAGTCGTCTTACCGACTCACGGCTTTTGGTTATTTGTGGCAACTTTCAACGTAGAATTGTACTGGGATATGAATATATCTCAAGTCATTTTCAACCGTTTACTTAATGTTGGGACTTGATGATATGCTTCCCAATTTGATTTGCTTACACACAATCAGATCAACCATTTATATTATTACGAGGTGCGATCAGTAAATATGGTACAAATATCAGCATAAGAGGTGTATGATCTCTGTAATTCATTCAATCCACATTATGGTTTTAACTTAAAATTTCAAATCTCTTATCTCAGCTAAAAGTTGTATCATTGATTATTGATATGAAGGTAAAGAGCTGGGATGGTATTTTACACAACATGGAAATCAGAAGGAATAAGAAACCAAAAATCTCAAAGTTACAGTCACAGAGTAGTCTTTTTTAATTGAAAAACTAGCTTGTTAGTTCTTTGCTCACTGACTGATCAAATCAAAACATGACTGGCTGTTGGACTTCAAGTTTAATTCCTTCCTTCATTCTTCTGATAAAATCATCACATTTCTTGTTTAACTCCTCTCTACTCAGCGACTCAATTCCTTCTTCTTCATATGCATCATGATCTTCAACCATAATTGAGCTGTTTCTGCAGCCTTCCTCTTCTTCAGCTTTTGTAATCAAAACCCTTTTATCTTCTTCTTCTTCTTCTTCTACTGTGATAAAGATTTCATCATCTTCTCTTTCTTGCTCTTCTTCAACTTCCACGTTGACAACTTCTTCCTTTGCTTTTGGTGCCTTTGTCTCTGCCAATTCGACAACTCTTTGCCGGTTTTCGCTGTTCTTCGGAGCAAGTTCATCATTGTTAAGATTAGTACTTCCTGGAGGAGAAGTTCCAATAAGACCAGAATTCTTGACAATAAACACCAGAAGTCCATTGCAGAGCAAGAACATGTAGTTCTTATCAAAGCTGTAGCTGAACAGTTTCACAGAAGCTGCAGATGTGAAGGCATTGAAGGAATGAAGAAGGAAAGAAACCAAGGAAGAGTAGGACAACAAAATTGACAAGACGGAGACAGAAAGCAAAAGTTTGATGACTTTGCTTTGGTTATGGGATTGGCTGAAATTGAACTGGCTTGCAGCTTGGGTGCTTGAAACCTTGATATAATCCATGGTGGTTTCTTCTTAGAGGGATAAAAAAAAAATCTGAGAGATTTTTTGGAGGGTTTTCTTTTTCTCAGAGGCCTAGTGAGGTTGGCTTACTCTTTTGCAATATGCCAAGGAAATGAAACTGGAGGGTGCTTTATATAGTTCTAGAGTTGTGAGTATAATAATCTGGTGTGAACTGATGCACTTCACAGAAATAGACCCCCCCAATTCAGTCAACTACCTCAATAATGTTTTCTTTTTTATGACTAAGACTTGAATCAGTGGTCTTTCAAGAAAAATCAAAAAAAGAAATTTATGGTTGGTTCCTTTTGCTGTCTTATTATTACCATTACTTACCTCTTCAAGGCCAGTTTAGCTTTATCTTTGAATTTTTACTGTAGATGATCCATCTTTTTAGGCAGTAGCTTTCTCTTTTTGATGTTTATACCAATAAAAAGTTCAATGAAAGTTCATTGTTTTTTTCTCTACATGAAGTGAGCACTTTAACAGAAAGATGGTTGGATTTAAAGGGTTCATTTTGAGGATAGTAGGTTGAATTTTGAGCTGGTTCAGAGTGGCAGATTTTGAAGTTTGGCATCTGGGTTGGTAGGCATGGAATGAAAGTAACTAATTCATCTCAGTTATTCTCAGTGGTAACAAAATATTCCAAACATTTCAGCAAATACTCAGGTTCTAGATTGGTCAATTAGGGCAATGTTAGGGTTAGATTAGTCCCTTGATCAATTTTTTCTTAGCTGGTGATGGCTTGATAATCCCGTGTCAACTTTTTTGTTTAAGAATTGACTAAGATGTTAAGGTTGACCTCTGGTCAATCGGTCTACTAAGTAGACAAAAAATTGGTTTGTGTTTATCTTTTTGAAATTAGAAATTTGGGGTTAAAACAAAAATACGTACTGGAGCCTGACAGTAGTTGAATGAGCGTGTAAAATACGTGTGGAGAGGTGTTGAATAAATCAATGTGTTCACATTCTGCATAATAATTTGCCTCGTACAATTCGCATGGACCAGGTCAAGCTTCTAGGCTGGTTAGGGCTGGGTTGGCCTTGGGGTTGAGGGATTGGATTGGGTCACATGGGTTGGTAGACCAAACATTTCACTGATTTCACTTGTTGTAAGATTGAGTGGGGTTAAATGGTCCACATGAAAAGTCTACGAAGATAAATATCCGGGTTTTTAGGTTTAATGGTCCTTGAACGTTGACCAAATTCGTATTTTAATCCCCTAATTTTCAAAATCATTCTCATGGTCCTTTAACTTTAGTTTCGTTAGGACAAATAGTTATGACTTCAGTTTTGTTAACTTTTTTTTGTTAAATTTGAGTATGTGCATGGCACATGGTGTGCTGTTGACTGTCAAATCAAAAATTGCTTCACTCATGGGGTATATGGGCAATTCATAGCACACCCAAACCCCACACTCACTCCACCACCGCTGCAACTTAACTCTCCCCATCCATATATCTCCCTCCCTCCCCAAGCCAAGCCCATTAAAACCCACCACCAATCAAGGAATGATACATCTCCCTTCCTCCAATCCAACAAAGCCATGGACAACCTTACATTGAGCTAATTAACCCACCACCCCGACAACAACTAATGGCACTCCCACAAACATTCCCACCCAACCACACCCACCCTCCCTACGATGGCGAGGATAAGAAGAATGTTTTTAAGTTTTTATTTTTATTTTTTGGGTGAAGGAATATTCATATGGTGGAAATTAAAAACAATACAAAAACAACATTTTGCCTATGCATTTAACAGAAAATAAAACAAAATTGACAGCAGGACCATTTGTCCTAACAAAAGCGAAGTTTAAGAACCACGAGAATGATTTTGAAAATTAAGGGACACAAATATGAATTGGGTCAAAATTGAGGGACCATTAAACCTAAAAACTCTAAATATTCAAGAATTACCGCATTTATAAAAAAAAAGAGTTGGCCCAATTTTAAACCAGGGTTTATGTTTTCTTTGGTATGACACTTTTTTCTATACTTTATTTATTTATAATGAAGAAAATGTCTCTGCATTATTGGATTTGAATTATTTACTGATACATATATATATATATATATTGTGTGTTCATCTTATACTTATCTTTAAAACTACATCGTTTTAAACTTCTATATGATTATCTTTTTAATAGAAAAGAAAAGCTAAATATTAGACTTAGATTCAATACACTTAACCCCCTATTTTAAAAAATCAGGTATACCTTTACATATAAGTGCAAAATTAGCGCCAAAAAAGAATGGTGTATCATTTTCATACGTTATATAGTATATTATTTTCACTTATTTTTCTGTCAAAGTTATAAGAGGGTGAGGGATTTCAAACCTAGAATCATTAGTGATGAGGAGAATGCCTTAACCACTTGCGCTACTCCTTGTCCTCACATAATTTTCACTTCGGATTTCGACAAATACCAGAATGCCACTTGCATTAATAAAACAAAATGAAAAACCCTTCACCTCAAAACTAAAATGTTAAATTTGCCACCAGTAATTGAACAGTGGTTTAATTGCAAATTGGTCGTTCGTAAGAAGGGCAAAATGGTACTTTCATTGACTCTTTTTTTTATATGTTTTTGATAGGGTCATCGACATGTTTTGCTAAGCAAGTAAAGCATATGTGATGTGATGATAAATGTTGAACAGAGTATATAGACTAGACGACCACAAGATACATTCCACATCATTCATTTAACAAAAACATTATCTGTAAAGCTATAAATACTTATCTCACAGTATTGCTCAATTTTGAGCTTCATCTTCCCTTCAACCTGTTGCATGGCTACTTACCTCAGTCCTTGTTCATCTTCTTCAACCTCATCCACACGTTCTTCATTCAAGAACGAGACGCCCCAGTTCAGCAAATTCATCACTTCGCTAAGAGAAGCACATTCCTCCTCCAGATGGGTTTCTCAGATTTGCCTCAGAACCCCTGCCAGAAAGCACTTCCAGCTCAAATCGTCAAATGGGCATCCACTCAATGCTGTGTCTTTCAATGACGGTTCGCTTCTTGGTTCTTCTGCTGTTTATATGCTACACCCTTTTGGCCATTTTGTTTTATTCTTTGAGTAACTAGTTTCGTTATGTTTAAGCAACCAGTTCATGTCCCCAATGCTTTTATTATGATTGATTGATTGCATAGGGTTGTGATTTCAACTTGTAATTTTCAAGCTTACCTCTGTCATCAAGAAACATTCTTTATTAGCAGACATTACCGTTTGCAACATGTTTAATGCTTTCTGACAGGTTTGATCACAGGAAATCTTACTTGTGTTTGACTTGGATTGAATGCTTATTGATACAAGTTCAAATTTTTGACAATAACAATTACAATTGGTGATTGTAAGGTAACTTGCTTGGAAGATGAGGTGTGCTTAGATTTTCAATCCACCTCTTCTGATCTTGGTGCTCCATTTAGCTGTCTGCAATCTGTTTGATATAATGTACTTGGTAAATTTTCTTTGTTGGGTTTATCACTGCTTAATTTTCAATGGGTATATGAAATTACTTCAGCTGGAAGTCCTGTGGGCAAAGAGCAGACTGAACCTCGAGGCAAAGTCTTTCCCATCTCAGATTCAGAAAATGTAGAATCTAAATTAAGCATAACCGTTGTTGGTGCTTCTGGAGACCTTGCCAAGAAGAAGATTTTTCCCGCACTTTTTGCTCTTTATTATGAAGATTGTCTACCTGAGGTTCTTGTCTGATCTCTTCATCAATTTTCACTTTGTAATCATACCAACCAAAACGACTAACTACATTCTGCATGTTATTATCTTCATGTAGAATTTTGTGGTGTTTGGTTATGCTCGAACTGAAATGACTGATGAAGAGCTAAGGAACGTGATTAGCACAACCTTGACTTGCAGGATAGATCAGCGGTATTGTATTTTGCTAAGCCACAGTGAACATGCGATTACATGAAATATTTGCGTTATCTAAAAATTGACATGCAGAAATGACTCACAGGGAAAATTGTGAGGAGAAAATGGATCAGTTCTTGAAAAGGTGCTTCTACCATGCTGGTCAGTATAATTCTGAGGAGCATTTTGCAGAATTGGACCGCAAGCTGAAAGAGAAGGAGGTAATGTGTTACTATATTTCTTTCTCTCGCGTGTTCCATAACAGCTATTGTTGTAAATGCAGAAAATTAATCAAGTGTTAGATAAATTGATGTAAATTAGGTACTTAAGGCAAATGGAAGCAAATTCTTAAATCTTGCAGCATGTCTTATAATCTTGTGGATGCAATAATTAATTGTCTTTAAATAGATTTGAAACCTGGATAATTACATATATAGCGTTATATCCTAAAGAGCCATCTATCTCTGGCAATCTTACAGTCTACGTTTCTGCGATTTTCATGGTACTGTTAAGAGTGAAGGTCAAGTCTCAAATTCCATATAGCGTAAAATATGGTGGTTAAGATCTTCAACTTCTCATTTCAATCAAATCTAAAGTGAAAAAGTTATAAAAGGCAGTTCAGTCTTCAGAGATGGTGTTCTAGTAGATGCCACGAATAACCATCTTGCTGACAGATTTGTCTGTCTTACCCTCTTAGTTATATTGATTTACATTGACAAACATTCACATTTGATATCTTCGATTGTTCTGATGTCCAGGCTGGAAGCAAGTCAAATAGGTTGTTTTACTTATCAATACCTCCAAACATATTTGTGGATGTGGTGAGATGTGCTAGCGTTAGAGCTTCTTCAGCAAATGGGTGGACAAGGGTCATTGTTGAAAAGCCATTTGGTCGCGACTCTGAATCATCTGCTCAGCTAATCAAATGTTTAAAGCACTACCTTACTGAAGACCAAATATTTAGGTGAATTTTTCTCTCAAGCTTTATCAATAGTCAGATTTATACAAATCTAAAGAAGGAAGTTTGATCTTATAGATAATATTTTTCAGGATTGACCATTACTGGGCAAGGAGCTTGTTGAGAACCTGTCGGTGCTTCGCTTCTCAAATCTTGTTTTTGAGCCTGTCTGGTCTCGGAACTACATTCGTAATGTGCAACTGATTTTTTCTGAAGATTTTGGTACAGAGGGAAGAGGAGGGTGAGTTTCTTCCTCAACAATGTTGTACGAAATAAAGTTGTTCAATCACCTGATTGCAGTTACCCTTGTTTCCAGATATTTTGATAAGTATGGAATCATACGGGACATAATGCAAAATCATCTTCTGCAAATACTAGCACTGTTTGCTATGGAAACACCAGTCAGCTTAGATGCTGAAGACATTAGGAATGAAAAGGTATTGATAGTTTTCCATTTCCAATGTCTTTTAAGGTCAAGATTTTGGTTTTAAGAACTTTTATCTCAGGGTGTTATGGAGAGCCTACCTTAATGTTCTCACTTTGAGTTGATCATGATATATTTGATGGTCTGAACTCAGGTAAAGGTTCTAAGGTCAATGAGGCCACTGCTGCTTGAAGATGTAGTTGTCGGTCAATATAAGGGCCATAGCAAGGGCAGTAAATCGTATCCTGCTTATATAGATGACCCAGCTGTGCCAAAGGACAGTCGCACCCCTACATTTGCAGCAGCAGCTCTCTTTATTGATAATGCCAGATGGGATGGGGTTCCTTTCTTGATGAAAGCAGGAAAAGCACTCCATACTAAGCGGTATGTAGAAATGTTTCATCTTCTTAAGGATCACTTCTTTTAATATTCCCTCATATTGTGAGATGTAAATAATTGAGTGACCTGAATTTTTTTCACTATAATTACCCAGAGCAGAGATCAGAGTCCAATTCAGACATGTCCCAGGTAATTTGTACAAGAGGAACTTTGGAACTGATTTAGATAAGGCTACAAATGAGCTTGTGCTTCGTGTACAACCTGATGAAGCTATATATCTGAAGATCAACAACAAAGTCCCTGGTCTTGGAATGAGACTAGATCGAAGTGACCTAAATTTGCTTTACCGATCAAGGTACGATAATCATGTAGACAATTAGGTTGACTGAAAATGGTCTAAAATATTTTGAAATATATTTTAACAACATGGAAAGACTCATGTTTTAATTATGACCACTTTGAAGATCAAAAAGTATATTCTCTATAGTTGTACAGTCTTAATTTTTCTTTTCAACATTAAAATCCATTCTAGTTCTATTCTTTGATAAGAAGGCAGCACCACCAATTGATGACAAAAAGCTTGGAGTTGTAAAATACATGTCCTAAACCAGAACTTTTATGCATAATAATGCAACAACATTTGTGCACTTACATAATGAAGGTGTCTTAATGAATATGATTCTGTTTTGAAGGTATCCAGCAGAAATACCAGATGCATATGAGAGGCTACTCTTAGATGCAATTGAAGGGGAACGGAGGTTGTTCATTAGAAGTGATGAGCTTGATGCTGCTTGGGCTCTATTCACACCATTGTTGAAGCAGCTTGATGAGAAGAAGATTGTTCCTGAGCTCTACCCCTACGGTAGTAGAGGGCCCGTAGGACCACATTATCTTGCTGCAAAGCACAATGTCAGATGGGGAGATCTCGGCGATGATGACTAGTAAAGCTGTGGTTTGCATGCTCATTGCCGGTTCTTGTTCCGATTTCAGCCATTGATTCTCTTTCAATGCAGATATTGAAATACTAAAATGTTTCTATAGTGTGGTGGTTGGTTAATCACAAGACAGTGCATTCATGGAAATGCAAGTAAAACTGTTCGGAAATGCAAATAGGCCTCAGTGGATTTTCTTCATGGTAGCAAAAGACTTGAGGAACAATTCTGATGTATGAATGTGTGACAAGTTACGCGAAATAATGACAACCTGAGCTCAGTCCAAAGTAATTGTATTAGGCCCAATGGGTTTTACTATTTCTTTGTCCAACCCATTTTTGTTCTTACAATCCCAAATAAATTTGGGCCACAAATAGTGAGAACATGACTGAGAGGGATTCTATGGACACCCTAGCATGGTCTCTGGAAACCCACACTCCCAATTCTTCAGTCTGAAATCTTTTCATATTTGCTCCTTATTTGAAAAAATATATAATGAAAGGAAAAAAAATTGTTGAATACAAGCAGTAGTTTAAACTATGAGAGAGACGAGGATTTTCCATACACACTACCGAAGTGTCATAAAGATTCAAATCCAACCACTGATCTGCAAGTCAATATAGTACGGGAGAAAAGAAAGACTTTAAATACTTCTCAAAAGTAAATTTAGGTTTTAGCCAAAATAAATAAGGGCAATTTTGTTCATTTTGACTTTTTTTACAAAATTTCTCTCTTCTTTGTGTTTTTTCAAAGTCTCCCTAATTCAAACTTGTTGGACAATGAATGAATGGATGGATGATAGTGATCTTGTAAAACTAAAGAAAGAGAAACACAGAAGGAGATGAGTGGGTGGGTCCCATGAGAGGGCTATATATTTATAAGGTGTGACAGAAGGATGAATTAATATTTTGTGAAATGTGAAGGGCAGAGAGAAGGGGCAGGGCAGGGGAGAGCAGAAGGGCAGTGATGTATGTTGGGATATATGGTTATGATAGTTACAGACTGAGTGTGGCAGGAACCCTAGTCTAGCAATAAATAGTAGTAGCAGCCTATCCCTACCCTCTCCTACCACCCTATATTTTCAGTTTCCAATTTTTCAAAATTTTCCAATTTTTGAGACACACAGACAGACAGAGAAAAGAGAGAGAGAGAGAGAGAGAAGAGAGAGAAAGGGAAGTTGATGGTTTGTACTTTGCTAAAAGATCTTTCAGTTATATTCCATCGAGACATCGTGATTAGACATGAGCATGCCATTCTAGTCAAAAAGCACTCCCCTGTCTTTCTCTGGCCCCACACCTTCCTTCCTTCTTCTTCCTCCTCTTCTTCCCACTCTCTTTTGCACAGCGTCTTCTTTACACGCCCGCCATCTTCTTCTTCTTTCTTCTTCTCAATTTTGATTGATAATTTAGGTCACGGGAAATGCTCTATGGTCACTGTAATTATATCTATCTTTGAGAGATTATTAGTTTAGGTAGAGTTAAGTGTCTCTACACTCGAGATTCTGTGTTCGATTTCTTCCTCGATCCAGCATCATCTTGTATAAAAGTTAAAAAATAAATAAATAAAATTCAAACTTTTCACTGGCATGATGCAAAATTTCCATGAGTTTGTAAGCAAGTTGTGCATGGCACATCGTTAATGATCATCATCTCCAATCAAATGCGTTGGTCCGGTGGTCGGTGGTACAACAATCACCAACACAACAATCACCAACCCAAATTCACGCTTGCCTTAATTTTGGCACTTATAACTCTAACTCTACGCCATAAACTTGTATCATCACTACTCCAAGTTCCTTGAATCTAATAATAAAATCTTTTTCAACTACTCATTAGCTTTTTTCTTTTTTCTTTTTCTCCCTCCATGTCTCCTATTATATATAGCATAATAGCAAGCTAGACTATCTAGAGTGGTAGAAAATTTTGACAGATGTGAATTAGGGTAATTGATTAGGCAAATTAAATTAATTTAGAGTAAATTAGATTATCGTGTGGTAGAAATTTATTTTATTGTTTTTGAACTTGGGGCATGCTATTAAGCTAATAAAAGAAGCTTTGAGAACCAAAAATTAAAATTCTTTTGCATCATTATGATCAAGTTCCACAATCTTCTTCTATTATCCTTGTCACCCTAATTGTTTTGGAAAATACTTCCCTCTTTATACTCTTGCCTGTACTAGTAGTTGTGATATATGATATGTGCAGAAGTTTTTCTTCTTATATTTTTGATGAATTATTTTGCATATGTGTTAAACTATGATTTGTAAGAGCATCTCCAGCACAGGGCCTTTTGTCAGGGCAAGAGGCCTCTTTTGAAGGGTTTGGACCTCCAACGCGCAACCAACATCTCGGGCAAGGCCTGGGTCCCACCAACCCGGGTAAGCCCAAATGCTAATCTTGCCTAAGTTTTAGCCTGAAGGAGCTGACGTTAGTGAGCCAAAAAAAAAAATCAAAAAAATTGAAAAAAATAAAAAACCCAAAAAATTATGAATGTTTTCCCTATAAATACATAATAATTTTATTCACTTTCCCTATAAATACATAACAAGTTTATATTTTATTGCATATTCTTTTTTTTTCTTGCCCTTGCCCTAGCCTTTTGGGGTGGAACCAAAAAAGGCAAGGCTGCCACTATTTACGTAAATAGTAATAGTCATTGCCTTGCTTTTGCCTTTACTTTAGCCTTTTAGGGTGGACATACTCTAAGAAGGAGAAGTATCTATCTCCTTACCAACAAGGACAAGTAGTATCCAATCTTTTTTGCCCTAGATTTGTTGTGCTGCTTTTTTCGTTTAGTCTCTCGAAGTGAACAAAGAAGAATCATGTGGGTATTAGTCATCAACAGTAATGACTGTAGACGTTAACTTATGAGGCTTATTAATTATGACGGTAATCTCGTGTCATTTTTGCAACGCTTGAAAACATTAACTCGGACCCCAAATCCAAACAAAAACCCTAATTAAGCTAGAGTGGACTTTTGTCCCCAACTTCTCAACAAGTCAATGAAACCCTGTTACCAAGAAGACTAATTAATAAGAAAGATGAGCGGTTTCCAGACACAAGCATTATTATTAATCACGCACGCCTTGCAAGCCTTGCAAGCCTTGCAACTTGCAATTTGCAAACAAACAAGGCTGAAAACAAAAAAAAGAAATGCAATTATTTTCTTTCTGGGTACTGTGATTTGTGCACTTTTGGTTTTGGGTAAAATGGCATGCCCATTTTCTTGACAATCATCTGCAACTGATACTCCAAAAGGACCGAAAAGAGTTAGTCCTAAAAGTCCCCTGAAAAATCCAGGGCTATGCCAAAAGCCCTGCGGTCTCTCAGAACTCCCTCAGCACCAGCCCCACTTCAACCCCTCCCCCGCCGCCGTCTTTGCAGCGCGAGAAATTAAACCAACCAACCAACCCACCCCCACCACCACCCCCCCTCCCCTCTTAGGTCATCCCCCCAACCCCACCAAAGAGCCCAAACAAAACTTGTTTTATTCTTCGCAATATTTATTAGTATGTATAATTATACTACAAATTTATGTCACACTGAGCATCTTCTAGTCACACTGAGCATCTTCTAGTCACACTCTCAATTATTGCTTTTCTCTCTAAACATTATTATTTACTAACTTTTAAAAGCAAATTCACACTATCAATTTATTATTTTCCACTTTGAAATTGATATTTTATTATATTATTATAAAACATACAAGTGCACTCCCTTCAATTAGTGTATGATGACCTTTTTAAAATGTTGACAATAAACATAAAGAAGAAATTACACTTGAATGAGTGCATCAAAAATTTTATTAGATCAACATGAATAACGAGTACAAAAGAAACAAACTGTAAAGGAAAATGCTTGGCTCCTTAAAATCGAAGAGGAGCTTCTCTCTCACAAGAAATGGAATTTTGTTTAACTTTTTGTTTTAATTTTTTTTTACAAGTGTCATTATCTCATTTGTTACGAGAACTCAATTTTAAGGAGCCAAGCGATACTCTTAAAATAATTACAGAAAGAGAGTGGACAATAAAATTCCACAAACTCCAACTGAGAATAAAATTACCCACAAATTATTATATATATATATATATATATATATATATATATATATAGAGTGATGAAGGGGGTGAGAGTGTGAAATTGCATATCCAAGAATCCCAAAGACCCTTTTTGGGTCCCTCACTCAATTGTGTCTTTATCCACACCTTTTTGTCCTTGTGATCCTTTCTCAAGTTTTTTTTTCCTCTCCCTCCTTTACTTGCCGGTCTCCTTTATAGCAGCTTCTTCTTTGTTCCAACCTTCTTTTTTCTTTTTTTTTCCCATTATTATCCATGTCTTCACCCTCAACTTCATCATCTTCTTCATCCCAAGATGGAAACCACAGTGCCAATGCAGCTGGCCCTAGCAATGTACCAAGAAGTGGTGATTTTGAAGGCCCATCCTCATCCAGACGACGTGCCGTAAACGAGGTCTGGCCTGAGCCTTTTGTGGAAGCCCTCGCTACCCAAGTTGCCATTGATGCCTCTCGCTCCATGGGAAGGCTTGCTGCAGCTCCTGCTCTTGCCAATGTGTTTCAGGTCCGTTTTCTAATCAAATTGAATAATCATAACTCTACTCAAACTCATGTTATTCCTCTGCTTAATTAATTATACATGAAGATTTTTTTGTTCAGAATTTTTGTGTAACAATGTGAAATTTGTTACCATAATACGAGTAGGGTATGTGTTTATTTGCTTAATTTTAATGATGTGGGGGGGGCATCTTTGGCTAGGTGCACTGAGAAACTGATGGGTTTTTACCAAAACTGGACAGAGTATTAGTCTAGTCAAAGGGTGTAAAATTACAACAAAAAAATAAAAAATAAAAATTTGAGTTCTGGGTTTTATTCTAATCCTTCCCTAATATTGGGACGTTTTACAAAATTCGATTTGGCTTGCCTTGGTTGCCTATGAGCAATGAGCATCCGAGAAGAAAACTACTTCTTTCTGAAAGCAAGTGCTTTTTTGATGGGTCTATTCTCATTCTCTCTATGCAAATTTTTTTCAAAATGTCCCTTTCACAGGTTTGTTGTTTTTGTAGCACACTTCACAAAATGTGTCTATTTTTGCACCCCTTTTCTTCCTTTCCAAAATCTAATGAAAAAGGGTTCTTTTGGCTTTGAATTTTTCCTTTTCCTCTTTATTGGCATGTAACCCTTTTGAGCTCTTGCAATAGCCCCATTGGCTTCTACTTTTTGACTCAACTTTCTTCAAATTTTATCGGGATGCCTTTTCTCAGTTCCTTATACAAATAATGCTTGCAGATATAGATAGATAGATTGATGGCGAACTTTAAGGCAGTGTTAAGAACTAAATAGCAAAATTTAAGGAGCTGTGTTGCTCTTTTTTATCTTTATCTTTTTCTATATCTAGCTAACATATGACGATTATACTAGGACTCGAACTTGGGATCTCCGACTCAAACTCGGGACCTTTTCTGGGAGAGCAATTGTTCTTCGAGTCTTTTTATAATTTGTTTTGTTTTGTTTTAAAAAAATGTGTGTTTTCACTTCGCCGGAAAATGTACTAAAATGAATGTGGAATATATTTGAAACTTGAACTTGATGCCATTAAAAAAAAAAAAAAAAAAAAAAAGAAAAAAGAGGGGAAAAAAAAAAAAGAAAAGATTGATTTTGAATCCAGACGGCTTTCCATATGAGGAGGGGCTATTAGCCATACGCATAGAGAGGTAGGGGGGGTGTTTGATTGAGATGAGATGAGGAGAGATGAGAGTGATCTCTCTGACAGTTGATGTGTCAAAAACCTGCATGCATGTGGCATATGCGATAAAGCACATGGTGCCCAATGCTGGTTTGGTCTACAAACTCATGTCTACTCGTCAACTCCAGAGGTGTGCTTGTCTCTTATTACATGCAATCTCAAAAACGGTCACTTCAAATATGCTATGCTTTGTTTTCTTTTGTTTGTTTCCTTTCGTCTTGTGCCTTTGAAACACTCTTATTACTTGGCCTCTTCTTGCTCCGGAAGCCTAACTAGGGATATAAATTTTGTTAAATTACAAAGCCTAACTATGATGTATGAAACTCTATATAAGAACAACACGCACTATAATTATTGCATTACATAAAATGTTCTCTTGTTAAACAGCTGGACAACTATACTTACGAGCTAATAAACTTTAACCATCGAGTATAAATTTTGTTAAATGACAAAGCCTAACTATGATGGATGAAACTCTGTATAAGAACAATACACATTATAATTATTGCATTACATAAAACATTCTCTTGCTAGACAGCTTGATGTCTATACGTACGAGATAATTAACTTTAACCATGAAATTTAAATTTTGTGTATGAATATGTGATTCAAATTAATCATCTCCCAACACTTTAGACGAAAGATTAGTCTTGAATGATTAAACATGAAATCATTGTCGCAAAAAAAAAAGAAAAAAAAAGTTATCTTGCTAGACGTACGAGAAATATTAATCACTGAATTTAAACCTTGTTTAAAGATGTCATTACAATTAATAGCCTCTGTGAACAAAAGATTAACTAAAACATCACCCCAGAATGTATTTACACGATCAAATCTCCCATAGGTGAGCTGAAAAGAAGAGAAAAAGAAAGATCCAATTAGAGCAGGAAAACGTGAGTGCACGCAAGGGTGGGATAAGTCCAAGTAGAAAGGAGGGAGGAGTCAAAGAAAGAAGACAGTAGAGAGGGGAAGGGAAGAAAGAGGGGAAGAGGGTAGGGATGAAAAAGATTCGCTTCTTTTGACGAGACAGGCTTTGGCTACAACCCACATACACCTTTCTTGGAAATGAAAGATATATATATATATGTGGGGAAGCACGCAAAATTTGCAATCCTATGTTTGTGTCAAAATAAATTTCGTAATGTTTTTGGTCCAAGCAAAAACCAAACCATGCTTTATGTTTCATGTATGGACCACCCACCCTCTACATGTGGTTTTTGTACTTGTCTTTGTCCCTAGCTATGTCAAAGTTGCTAAGAAAAATATTCCAAAGTTTTATTGAGAATATTTAGGTTACTTTTAATTGTCGCATGCAAATAGGGTCAAGTTTTATGTAGCTAGGCTTTAGCTCAATTGTACTTGGGTGGTACAATATATGTTGTAAAGTGTACGTTGGTTGAGTGATAATAATTAAAGTGGGGAGATTAGGTGTCAGCCTTCTTCTCCAGCTTTCAATTTCCATGATAGTCGGATCGATATGTCATTTATCTTTGCATATTTGCATATTTGCATGAGAGAGGAGAGAGAGAGAGAGAGATTTGCAGAAAATGAAATGATCACTAGATAGATATAAACCACACAGTTGACATGCCAGTGCTTTATTTAGACTTACTCTGACTGATGTTTTTCTTCCTCTGTTACGCTCTACTAAACCCTAGCTATAGTATTTACTCTCTCTCTCTCTCTCTCTCTGGTCATGCTTCACTGCTCATTGCCAGCTGAGCTGTTGCCTGCCCCTCCTCGGGCTCCACCTTCAAGGTCCTCTCTCTCTCTCTCTATCTCTCTTTCACATACAATAATAATAGCTAGCTTTACGCGCATGGCATGAACCTGTGCTCTCTCTCTGTCTAGGGTTTTGGATTCATATGCTTCTCTTCTTCTCTATCAATGGTTGTCCACCCACCCACCCTTCCACTTAATATGAGAACCAACTACACCCGAACGCAACAAAGTAATTAATCCCTAGTTTTTCCCTTTTTATTTATTTAAAAAAATTAGTTAAAGAACAGTCATCCTTGCACTCGAGGTTTTGTGTTCGATTCCCCCTCCACGATATGGGCTTGTTTTTAAAAAAAAGGGGACATGAATCTAGCTAGTAGAACATGAGGGAACTTGGACTGCCAACCCTTTTGTACGTTCCAAGTTGAAAACTGCACTGTTGAATTAAAATTTGTCCTGCAGGTCTTTGTATTGTTGCTCTTGTTTCCTTGTGGCTGTGTGGTGTGTGGATGTCGGGGGTGTAATTAGTTAAGGTGCCCTCCCTTTAACCGGTTAATAAAAAACAGATGCGTCAAATGTCTGACACTAACATTAAATACCCATATAACCCTTACCTACACATGCAAGCGTGCCTATTTTCTCCGCTTAATTAAAATAAATAAATATCGACATAGAATTATGTTTAATATTTTTTATACAAGGCAACGTGCATGCATGAAATGAGCTGTACCCCATGTACTAATTTCGCCTGCCTACGTGGCACTCTTTTTTCTTTGGGTTGGCAGATTTGTTCAACGTGGCGCGCCGTCTCCCGCTCGGACCTCCTCTGGCATCGGCTCACGCGCCTTGTTTGGGGCAGGACCCGCCTCCTCCAGGACACGTGGCGCGACGAGTACGTCTACTGGCATCGGACGGCTAGGAACTTCCAGATCCGTAGATCGGTCCACACAACACTCTACTTCGACCCGTCCGACGTGGAAGATTCCAACGGCTTCACCTGCCGCTGCCTCACGCTCTCCGACGCCCACCTTGCCTGCGGCTTCGCCGACGGCGCCGTCCGCGTCTTCGACCTCGACACCCGCCTCCACATCAACACTTTCCGGCCCCACCTCCGCGATCGCCTCGGCCCATTCTCCCGCGCCGTCACCGGCATCGTCATAACCGACTCCAAACTCGTCTTCGCCACGCTGGACGGCGACATCCACGTGGCGATCATCGGGATCCCCCAGATCACGCGCCGGGTCCACCTGGGTGAGGTGGTCAACGACGGAGCCCTGGTCGACTTCACGGGCTGCGAGAGGTGGTGGGTCGGGCTCTACGCGGGCGTACCGGGTCGGGCCTTCCACATATGGGACGGCGTGACGGAACAGTTGACTTTCGTGGGCGGTACGTTGACCGATCCGGAGGCGGTGATGGGGTGGCACATGCTGACCGAGATGACCGGGTTCGTGGGCCGAGTCCGAGTCACGAGTCGCGAATCGGCCGTGGCGTGCACGAGCTCGCGCGTGATGGTCTTCGATCTGACGAACCAGGGGGTCGTGTTGGGTGATGAAGAGTACAGGAACGGTAGGGAGATAATTGTGACCTCGGTTGACGTCAGCAGCGCGGCGTACGTTATCGCGGAGAGGAGGAGGGGGTTGGCTAGGTTGGCTAGGTTGGCTAGGGTGCGTCTGGTGGACACGATGGAGGAGGTGTGCAGGTTTAACGTGAGGGGGGCGGCGGAGATAGGGGCGATGGGGTGCATGAACGAGGGGTACGCGCTAATGTGCACCGATGGCGTGGTGAGTGTGTGGGAGGTGGAGAGGGGCACCTATCTGTACAGGTTCAGGGAGAGGATCGGGGACGTCAATGCGATGGTGTGCGACGAACGACATGTCGCAGCGTGCTCGAGTGATACGACACTGCACCTATGGGACTTTGGGGCTGCGGATTAATTAAGTTAATTAGGGGATTTAGTTAGTTAATGAATTATGGGACTCTGGGGCTGCAGATTAATTAAGTTAATTAGGGGATTTAGTTAGTTAATGAATTAATTAACTGGGTGTAGTGTAGGGAGGGAGAGAGTGGGTAGGTATTGGCTATTGGGAGATGGTGACACTGACAAAACAAAGAAGCAGAAGAGGAAAGCAAAATGGAAATTGTGGTGGTCAGATTAATGTTATGGAGGAAACTGACATAAGAAGTGTACTTATGATTTGGGTGGTGATATCATCAGATTGTTCAGATATCATCTATGAGAGAGAGAGAGAGAGAGAGAGAGAGAGAGAGAGAGAGAGTTGACCTGACCCTACACAACTACTAAAAGTGAGCTTTTTGAATTATTTGGACATGTTTTAATTTTCCAAGTCTAGTTTGTTCAGGTTCTGGGGCTCTTTCTGACTAGATGCTTTCTATTGTACTTTTTATTAAAATCATGTTATTGACTTGTACTGAATTGGGTTCTATTATATGAGAAAATACCAAAAAACATTTTTTCTTTGGTAGTAGAGGGGCAATGAAAATCTACAGTGAATATTTGCAATGCTTCCCTTTTGTTATTTTTTCATTACCAACTACCATTTTTCCGGGGTAAGTACATTATAAGTACAAAAACATTCGAGTTTACTTCATACGTATAAATGATGGGTAATTATAATTTGGTATTTACCATTTGCCTTTACCAGTCTAGACATGTATTCTTCGTCCAGAGGTTTATTTTGATTATGAATGATCTTTTCTGCATGAAATTTATAATTTTTGTTGTGGCCAAATCAACATAACCAATGGCAGTGATCGCTGTTTTTGTTTACGAGTGTTGTATAAATGGGTATTTTATTAATCTTTGGTTATTAAAACAGCCTGGGCTTCTTGCCAAGATAATTGAACAAAATGGGATTCTTTGCCTCTTAAGTAACAAACACAACTGTGCATAACTATTCTTGAGCCATTCCCTTTTTCACAAGCATATCGTAAACCCTATCAACTTTGGATGGTTCAACCTTGAACAGACTATGGGCATCAGATTTCTTCTTAACATTGCCATTCTCAATCTCTGTGGAGATGATCTGCAGCATGTTTAGATAATGTGAAGGTAGGATTCTCATCTCACTGCAAAGTCTTTGTTCCTGCATGTAATAGACAAACATTTCAACCAACAGAATTCGCTTTCTACGCTAAAGCATTAGACTCTGAGATTGGCTTTCTTACGGTTTCGGAGAGTAAATCGGCTCCGACTAGGCCAGTTATGTCCCAATAGTCCAAGGAGCTGGAAATGGCTTGTGTAGTTGAAAATGAGTCCTTGCTAACAGGATGCAGACCTGTGGATCCCTTAAAAGCTCCCCGAGGACTGATCTGCAAGCCTTTACCAGCCTGAGAGCTTTCTTTGATCCTCAGGGAACTTTCTTCATTTTCCTTCTTCCTCTTCTCCTCAAGGTATCTGCTTGCTTCAGCAGCTGTCCTACAGCCAGCTGTTCTAGCCTCCTGCATAATGAATGCAAAGAACATAAGCAGAAGCCATACAATATGATGCTTATTATTTCGAGCTGCATAAGTCATGTCAACTGTGGGAAGCCATGGTGCTTTTCACTTAGAACGATGTAAATTCATGTGATACCATTACTTACCGAACTAGATCAACCAACAGTCATAGTATATATAGAGGGAAATGAGGTAACAAAAATACAAGTGTGAGGCACATGCATCAGACCTGAAGATCTAGTATTCTTTTAACAATCTGTTGTTCCTCAATGATACTCTTGAGCAATTCCTTGTGCTCTTCATTTGAGTGGAACCGCATGAAAACCTTGAAGCGTTGATATATTTCTCTCTCTTCGGGTGAGAGGTTCTTCTCAAAAGGGTCAGGGTACAGCAGATTTCTTTCAAGTATGAAATCCTTCCTACGTTTCCTCTCATCAAGCCTGCCCAAATTCCCACATATTATTTGAGTATATCAAGGGGAAAAAGGGAAAATTGGACAGCAAGTCTAACTCATTTTTATAGTGAGGATATTACTTATATGAAAGTATGCATGAGATGTGAAGGAATAGGTTAATGAAATTCCTTTGAACCTAACAAAAATAATCACTTTATCTTGGTATACTTTAACCTCTTCTGTTTCAAAAACTTTTGTGAATTAGAAAATGTATCCATCGACCTTGAATCTACCAAAGTAACCTTATAAGTACCTCTTTGAGTAGACGTGTAGAACTCGTAGTTTCAATTCCCGGTCAGCATTAGTGTCAGAATCTTTAAATTCCATATCTGCCAGTATCTGCTCAGCATCGTTATCATATTCAATTTCAAACTCTTGTCTCTTGAAATTATAGCCACTAAATTCTGTTATAGAAGGTCCCTCGTCCCCTAAACTCCTTAGTTTTTTCCCTCCGACGCTCCGATCAACTTGAGATTCTGTTGACAATGTAACATAGAAATGAACATCTCTTTAAATCAATACATGACATTAATTTTTTTGATGCATTACCTATACAATAATAGTAACGTAAGACATAATCCAGCATACCTTCCACTTTACAGACTTTAATCTCATCCTTAATCTGCGCTTTGTTGGATGCCTTCTTCACAGCACCTAGGACCAGACCCGAGGCATCATCTAATGCAAAACACAAAATTAGGTCTCTCCATTCATGCATAAACAAAAACACATGATAAATGAAATTGCTCAAGAACCAAAAAGCCTCAACAGGGTTGATTGTTATACCAGCAGTTGAGTGGGATGAAGATTGACAAGCTGGATTCTTTTTTGATTCTTCACACCTGATCAAGCACAAAAAAGAAAGAGAGACAATTTAAAAAAAGAAAATGTGCAACAAGAACTTGAACCAATAGTAGATACAACATATAATAAAATAGCCATACTTTACTCCTGTGGAAAAGGGGGACACCTCTTTCAACGTAATCTCCACAAGCATGGGAACTTCTACAAAGAAAAAAGAAGAAGAAAAGATTGAGATGGACATTTTAAATCCACAAAATGAAAATAAAGTATATGTCTATAATGACAGTATGAAAGTGAGCATCATCACAAGCGACTTCAAAGAAGAAAAATGAACTGCCTCATTTAAAGGATTATCAGTCTCCACGAAAAACAGATACACAGAGCAATCTACGAACATTGAGCAAGTATCATCACACCTACTGAATGGTTTGATCTAAACTGTTGGGGCATCATAAATCATAAGTGATACGACAAAGGATATAGTTGCTTGCAATGCAAGATCACCATAAACAAAGTTGCTTTTCATGCTCATCTAATAATACAATCATTGCAAACTAACCTTTCTTGATTTCACCCGAGCCCTTAGCCAAGGCAAGAAGCTCCTCTCTGCTCTTTCCCATAACATGAGACATGTCCTAGGTGGATATTATGAAAATTATTAGAGAAAATTTTGGTTTTTTCTATATGATGTTTATGTGTGTATGTCACGTGTGTGTGGATACATTAATAAGAAAACTGGTCTTACTGGTAGAGGAAAGCGCGGAGAGTTCATATATAGCTTTAAAATGGTCAATACAATGTTGTCTGCTTTTTGTTCCAACATGTTCAGAAACTTCGGTCCAGTTCCCAAATCCATACATTTCAATACCCTAAAAAGTATGGTCAAAGAACAAGAGATATTAGACAAAGATTTATCAGTTTGACAAAAAGAAAAAGACACAGATTGATCAGAAGCATTATAAAAAGAAATCAGCAAATTTAATACCTCAAGCAATAGCATCTCTTCATCTGCATTCCAGTCTGGACATAAAAGTGGAAAAGACAAATTGTCCTGTTTTAAAAAACAAAATTCCTCAAATAATACATGCACGTTTAATAGTCCATGTCATATTCAAAAGCATCTCATAATCTCCGATGTGATTTCATATCGGAAGCAGAACAAAAATTTACTTCAGGAGGAAAATCTCATATATAATTAAATGAATGAACAAGCTCGAAAAAGTACTCTAAACAAATAAAAATAATTACTCATAGCTGTTTAGACACAGATTTGAGGTGAATTCAAATGGGTTCGGTTGCTTGCAAGGAAAAAATTCTTATCTGCATGCAGTATTTAGAGCTTCACTTCGGGTCAGAAAACCAATTCAATCTTTTGCCTTTTAATGCATTTTACTCAAAGGTCATCCTAATCTTGCCACTATCCATTTCCAAATTCTAAATTCTGTTCTGGATATTAACAGAATATCTTAAAGCTATAATAAAAATAAAAATTTCTTCAAGCAACCATCCCTGCAACAATTTCTATTAGTCTACGATCACTTCACTAGAAACATTTAACATTCACAGAGCAGATACATATCAAAACAGTAACTTTTGACATAAATACAAAGGTACTCACCATAACCCTGTATGGATGATTGCATTTGTGAGGTGTAAGTTCACCTCCAACGGAGAAGCACTCAATGCAAAGGTCAAAATCTGGGCACACCACACACTTTATGCGAGTTTTCCCAGATATATCTTTGTTGCAATAATTGCAGTGGTAGAAAGCCCCTTTGGGTTCGCTAGTTTCTTGGGCTACAGCTTTCTGAGCTGTGCTACTGTTCTCTGCTGGCTCTGTACCTGAAGCTGTTCTCTTTCTTTTGCCCCTACTGAAAATTACCCAAAAAGGAAATAACAATTTTTTGTGACCGAAATTGAGAAATTTTAACGACTTAATTATTGTCTGATAAAGCTTGAAAATTTGAACCGAAGTGATAGGAAAATTGACTAACCTCTGGTTGTGATTGTCTACAGCGGGATGCGAAGCTGCTCGGGACCGACCCATCGATTGAATTTCACGAAGAAACGAAGCAAATGAGAAGCCCTAATTTTTACAGGTGAAGATTGGGAATTTTCGGTTTGGGCCAATTGATGATGTGGCGGTTGAACTGGGTGCGTGTTTCATTTCCTCTCCAGCGATGTACGTGCGCCACGCAATTGGGTTTTCATCCGACGGTTCATAAAAGGAATACGTAGAACGTGTTTCTTCCGTCCGATATAGTGCGGTACACGTGTCGCTTAGGGAGTGCTTTCCACAGAATAAAACATGGTGTAGGTTCCGTACGATTAAAAACTCGTTCTTTTGAGGAAGAACGAGCATTGAAGGTAGGCGTTCCCGCTAAGTCGCTTGCAGGTGTCAAATTGCCGTAATTTGATTTTGGAAATCTCTAACCCTAAGTCCCTAACAGTCTTTCCCTCCACATCCCTCTCAGCAACGCCGCCGCCACCGCCACAGCCTTCTCTCACTCTTTAGGGCTTCGTGAGCATCGTCTCTGCTCGGTAATTATTCCTCTTTGCTTGTTTGTGTTCATTGGAAAGTTGGCAAAGTTTTGCATAGATGGAATTGGTAGGGCACAAAAGTTTTAGATAATTGTGTTTGTGAAGTGATAGCTAGTCGGTTGCTTGGTTGAACCCATCTGTTCAGACAGTTCTTTTTGCTATTTATTGATATTTGAGCATTCAAAGTTACTGCCTTTACTTAGACCTAATTTTTTATTCACCTTCATTTAGCACACTGTAGAATGTAGAATTTCTCTTTTACATGTGAGGCATTCAGGATGACTGCCTTTTGTTTTTAATCGTAATGGTTTTCTGCTATATCTTCTTTTCTTTTTCTTTTTTTCGTTTTTTGTTTTATTTCTATGAAGTTAATTATATCATAAATCATTTTTCATATCACATGTTCAGAAATGGTGGGACTATCCATAGGAGAAAAGCATTTTATACAGGGTGGCATTGCTCAGGATCTTCGTTCTGATGGCCGAAAAAGATTGACGACTCGACCCATCTATGTTGAAACTGGAGTCATTTCTCAGGTTAATATTATGTCATGTGTTTCTTTTGAAAGGAAGTATTTTTTTTTCTGCCTAAAGTGTTTGAATTTTGAATTATAGAATTTCCTGTGTGACGTGAAAATTTTACTTACTTTGTTATAATCCCCGTTCTTGATGGCGTCCATGCAGGCAAATGGTTCGGCAAGGGTCAGGATGGGCGCAACAGATGTCATTGCCAGTGTGAAGGTATCATTTAGTCTTGGCCTGAAGCTCGTACTAGTGATTTTAAAATGTTATGACTAAATTTATGATGTTTGTATGTCTAATTATTTAAATAGCCCCTGCTGTTCTTAATATCATATTTTCTGGTGAATTTGAATGAGTTCAGGCTGAACTTGGAAGGCCAAATGCGTTGCAACCTGACAAAGGAAAGGTCGTTGTAAATGTTGATTGCAGTCCCACTGCAGCACCAATGTTTGAGGTTAACACTTTTATTATCCGCTTCCTTCTCATTTTTTACTTTGTCAATTGAGGCTTACATCTTGGTTTCTGCAAGATCCTCTCCGAAGTACACTTTTTGATTTAGTGGAATTCATGCACTGATAAAATACGAGGGCGCTATGGTTGTCTATTTGTAATCCTATTAGGCAATCTCAACTTTTCCTGTTGGTGTACATTGCAATGGATAGTAGGAACCTATGTGTTTACGCTTCTTGTAAAGCTGTTGTTTTGTTGCATTTCTACAGGGTAGAGGGGGTGAGGAGCTGTCAGCAGAACTCTCAGTTGCTCTTCAATGTTGTCTCTTGGGTGGTAAAAGTGGATCTGGTCTGTATTCTCATTGAACAGTGAGATAAACATAGTAAATTTGTTGTACCATTGATGATGTATGATCTCTTTTGGCAATAAATATTTCTTGTTTGTACAGGCATTTCCATATAACTGTAAAGTTGATAATATAGGTGTCTTTGTCTGTTCCAGGTGCTGGAATTGATCTCTCCTCTCTGGTAGTTGTGGAAGGAAAGATCTGTTGGGATCTTTACATTGACGGCCTTGTTGTTAGTTCAGATGGGAATCTGCTAGATGCCCTAGGTGCTGCTATAAGGTACTTGATATTTCTTATCTGTTTTGATATGCTCAGTTTATTTCTGTTCTGTAAATAAGTAAGGACAACAGAAGATATTTCTGGCTGTTGATAAAGTTTAGTATTAAGTTTCCAAAGAAATTACTTATCTTTTAAAGAAACTGATGTTCCCAAAGGCTGCTTTGAGTAATACAGGCATCCCAAAAGTAAATGTTGCAGCCGGTGCATCAGGCGATGAGCAACCAGAGGTTGACGTAAGCGATGAGGAATTCCTGCAATTTGACACATCTAGGGTCCCTGTCATAGTTACATTAACAAAGGTGACATGAGTTAACCATCTCTTCTGTCCTTCAGCAAACTGCAAATGTTTATTGTCTTGTATTGATTGCTGCCCATCTGTTTCTCAGGTAGGTCGGCACTATATTGTAGATGCCACTTCAGAAGAGGAATCACAAATGAGCTCGGCTGTTTCTATTTCCATCAATAGGCAAGGCCACATTTGTGGGTTGACCAAACGGGGTGGTGCCGGCCTAGATCCAAGCATCATTCTTGACATGATATCTGTGGCAAAAACAGTAAGTGAGCAGCTGATAAACACTTTGGATTCTCACATAGCTGCTGCTGAAGCTGGCGAAGAGGAGTCGTGACATAATTATAACCTCTGATATATTTAATAGGTGGGTTTTGAGCAGGTCCTAGGTGTATGAAAATTGTAATGCTGATAACATTACATAAAGCTGATGAGAACGTTTGATTTGTTGTATGCATATTTGACACCTTTTAACCAAAATTAGCATCAGCATTAGTATGGAAGCTTTTGCAGTTCAGGTCTCTATTGCAGACATTATTTTTCATTGATGCACCAATTAATTCTTCAATTAAACTTACAATCTACCACGGTTATGTCTCGTATGGAACCATGTTTAAGGCCTGTTTAAAACAAAGACAGAGAGAATTGTTTACATGAACTTACCTGGAACAAGTTCAAGTGCATGGCTCAAGAGAAAAGGAGTTAAATTAAACCAATTAACAAAGGCCTCTTACAACTCAAGTAACAATCCGCATCCAAAACACCGTAGAACGTTCTCTTTGAAAGGTACAAGGAAAACAATGTACACCTTTACATGTTATTTCCGAATGTTCAGTTTTCTTCCACTACTACAGGGGGAGAGAATTTTTGCCATGTCAAAACCTTGAGGGATGAGGCGTCTAGCTTCCATCTCACTGCATAACAATTTTACCATTTTCTCGTTCCTGCATCTGCATAGTCCTAGACATAAATCAGATAAGATGCTTGAATCAAGAGCAAAAGATCTCTCAAACATTTCTTTCAAGACTTCAACTGCTCCATCAAAATTCCTGTTATTGCAGAAGCAAGATATCAGCATGTTAAAAGTATGCTCATCAGGATGATAACCACTCCTTATCATGCTTTTACATAACTTGAAGGCATGGTCCGAGTTCTTTCTCACACACTGCCCCTCAATAAGGGCAGAAAAGGTTGAGGCATTTGGGACAAAGCGCTTTCTATCAAGTTCTTTAACCAGATGTGCAGCTTTCTTTGTTTTACCCTCCCTGCAGAGTCCCAATATCAATGCATTATAAGTCACGATAGTAGCATTTACTTGATTCCTTGACATCTCCTCAAAAAGCCTATTGCCCATCTCGCTATTACCTTCTTGGCTGTACCCTTTTATCAAAGTATTGTAAGTTACGGTATCAGGAGCAACATTCACGGCTTTCATCTCACTAAAAATTCTGTTTGCTTCCTTTAGTTTTCCTTCTTTGCAAAACCCATCAATAAGTGAGTTAAAAGTAACCACACTCGGGTGCAATCCATTCTTCGCCATCAAGTTTTTGAACTTCAAAGCCGAACTCAGAAGACCCTTATCACAGTGTCCTGCAATCAGCGTGTTATATGATACAACTGTAGGACTAAAACCCATGCTGTCCATCTTCTCAAGGACCTCAACAGCGTTCTCTAATTTTCCCAATTTACAATAAGCAGATATAACCATATTAAGAGTATAAACATTCGGTGAAATCCTACAACGCTGCATTTCTCTATAGAATACCAAAGCAATATCAGCTCTATGTAAATCAAGCAATGAGCTAAGATATGCATTGCAAGACTCAAGTGTTGGGAAGAATCCATAATCCTTCATCTGACAAAATGTATTTGTGGCATTCCTAAATTTCTTCATATGCGCAAAAGTCTTGAAAAGAGAATCGAAAACACGAGGAGAAGAATCACACAAGCGGTACGAATACAATATTGCTTCAAACAACTTGGAAGGCAAATCTATCGAACCCGAGACAAGAACCTTTCTCAAAATAGACTCCGCAGACTTGAACTTCCTGTATTTGGTGAGAATGTGGAGGATCATGGAGTGTGTTTCAAGGGAAAGTGAAGTGGGGTTTTGAGCTGCAATTGAAAAACTCAAGGGAAAGTGAAGTGGGGTTTTGAAAAAACTCAAGGGAAAGAACATAGTCTTTAGCAGTATATGTTTCACTCTGAAAGCAGTTAGACCATTGGACAAGGAAGAGCTTAACCCAGTCAGAGTGAATTAGATGGCTGTTTGCAACATTCACAAAATCAAGGTCCTGCCCTTTGGGTTCAGGAATTGTTCTGTGGGGAATAGGAAGTGGATTCCAATCCTTTTTCCAAATTTCCCACAAGTTGTGGGGTTTGTAAAGGTGGGTTCTTTTGCAATTGAATTGGGCAAACTAGAAAACTGACGAAATGGGAATTTGTTCATACTTTCCTACTGTACTATGTATAGAACTGGGTTTTTCAGAAATGAAGTTCTTGGATCAATTCAAGGGTTGATATCAAGTTTTGACCTACAGATTCAGAAAACTGAAATTAAGTGTAGCTGGGTCTTCGATGAAATCATTGGGAACAAAGAGCATGGAACTGGAGAAACGGGCATGACCCACTGACCTTAATTGAGGCAGAGGATGAAAATGGTGGAAAATGAGTTCTTCTGACTCTGCTTCACCGGGGCATTGGCGATGGAGCAGAAGAAGCAGCAGCTACATTGAAAGTTGGGCATTGCAACTTTTATTTATTTATCAAACGATACAACTTGAACGAGTATCTGATTCTGAACTGAAATAGCATGGTGTTTGGTGACTCTACAAAGCTCAAGTTATATTATAACCAGCGTGTGCCAATTGGCCTTTTTCTTTTTTAAATTATATATATTTTTTCCATATTCAAATATAATTTCTTTTTTACATCAGGTAAATATATAGATATTCAAAATATAAATAAAAAAAATCGAAAAGAAAACAGAAGAATGTGTGTGGAGTGGAGTAAAGTGGGAAGTAAAAAGAGGAAGAGGAATGTGTATGAAATGGGGAGTAACTTCCTCCATATAATTACTTAGGTGGAATTTATTTTATATTTTATAATTGATCAAATTAGTGTTTTAACATTTTACCCATATTATATTAATTTGTACTCTTTTACCATTTTGGTTAAGGGAGCTTCACTAATATACCTAAAATAGGGGCTGAAATTATAAAAAAACTTCACATAGAATGCACTTTAGAAACACACCCAAAACTCATTTACTACATAAAAAATCGGTGTTTAAGTTTCTATAAATTATGTGATTGCCATTGATTAACTTAAAAAAAAAGTCCAACAAAAAAAATTTAAATAGCACCCAAAACAAACCCAGCCCAATTTTATAAAAAAAACCCAAACAATTCATTACAAACAAAACGTCTTGAAAACCATAGCTTCATTAATGTATCATGTTGATTAATGATGGTAATATTCCACACCTTTACTGTCATGTTGATTAATGGCTGTAATGTTCCAGTCTAGGATAATAACATTGCTATTTTCCTATGACATCTTATTTCTAATGCATGTCTACCCCTATAATGTTCCAGTCTAGGGTAATAACATTTCTAGTTTCCTATGACATCCTATTTATAATGCATGTATACCTTTGTAATGTTCCAGTCTAGGGTAATAACATAGCTAGTTTACTGTCATGTTGATTAATTGCTGTAATGTTTCAGTCTAGGATAATAACACTGCTAGTTTTCTATGAAATACTATTTCTAATGCATGTCTACCCTCTATAATGTTCCAATCTAGGGTAGTAACACTGCTAGTTTCCAATGACATCTTATTTCTAATGCATATCTACCCTTGTAATGTTCTAGTATAGGGTAATAACACTGCTAGTTTCATATAACATTCTATTTCTAATGCATGTCTACTCCTGTAATATTCCAGTCTAGGGTAATAACACTGCTAGTTTACTATCATGTTGATTAATGCTTGTCACGTTGCTATTTCTAATACATGTCTAACAAAGAAAAGATGAAGAAAGAACCAACTAGACCAACTCAAAACAAATTGAGCCCAACTTGTTAATACTATTATGTCATAAAAGTATATTGTTAATACTATGTAATAGAAGTATATTGTTAATACTCTGTTATAGAAGTACATTATTAAACAAAAAAAAGATCCATAACTGAAATAGTAATAAAAGATAAATCGATCATCAAATCTTAAAATACATTTCGAAAATCAACTAAAATCCGAAGAGAAACACATAATTGAAGCAAAAGTTCAAAATCTCAAGTCCAAACCAAACGACGACGACGACGTGGCGAAGAGGAGTAGAGCTAAGATCATTTGATCAAGGTTCGTTCGAGGTCTTGAACAATCCAAAAAAAAAAAAAAAAAAAAAAAAAAACAATAAGAATCGATTTAGAGCAAGAAGAGCAAGAATGTGAAATATTGAAAATTGTAGATTAAAGATGAAGAATATAGTTGGACCTGAGACTGAGCTTCAATGGAAGCTCCTCTTGCTCGAACACCAGAGAAAGCACCAACAAGAAAGGAGAAAATAAATTTGATTTGATTTTTTGCCAGATTTAATTTTTTTTGGCAAACTTGGTTTTTTTGGCAGATCTGTGCAAATCTTTTTTTTTTTGGGGCAGATCTGGGCAAATCTGATTTTTCTCTCTCAAATCCATAATACTAGGGCAATATAGGTATTTGTGTGTTTATAGTTTTTAAATAGTATGAGGTTTCTTTATAAGACTATGTCTAAGATTGAGTATATAACTAAATTTCTATTTGGTTAATCAGGGATATTTTTTGGATTTTTGAATATTTTATTATTGGCCTCTCTGCACGCGCTTCAACGCCTACAAGAGGCTTTTAAAAAAAATAAAATAAATTTATTTTAAAATTAAAAAAAGATAATGGGTAGTTGTGTTTCATAAAAATAGGATTCATTATCTGATTTTTTTTTAATTTTAATTTTTTTAATATGAAAAAGTGTGAATTTACCATATTAGCCTCATTTAATTAATAATTTTAATTCTTAATGTTTGGATTAACCAATGGCATTTTCTGGTATTTTGAATGTTTCATCATTCTCTACCTTTTGCTCTCTATATATAGATTCTCTACTTATTGTTTTGTATATATAGATAAGTAAAATTAATATGGTCCAAAGTGTCATTTTTTTCCCTTAATTATTATTTTCTATCATCATAATACCAAAAAAATAAGATCATTTTAATGATGGCTTAAATGTCGAAATGGTCCCTGTGTTTTACCTCATCGGCCAATTTAGTCCTCGTGTTACTAATTTGGCCAATTTTATAGAGGGAACAAACCAAGTAGTAAAGTCGGTTATTCTAGTAAACTGGTATTAACTTGTAATTCCAGCCACATATTGTAGCTTCAATTAAGTTAGTGACTAGTGTTTAGGGAATACATCCACCGGCTTTGCATTCTAAATTATTCTATAAAATTCTACTAGCTTGTAGAAGTCTCCACCAAATGTGCATTATTTTTCAACAACTTATAAACTGGTTCAAGACTTTTCAGCCTTAATGATTTCAGAGTGATAAATACGAAATAAATTACTTGTAGAATAAGTTATGATTGAAGACGATAAACTTGATTTCAAGTCATTACATTAATGGAAGAGGGTCCATGCATATGGACACTACCAATTGCATCTCCACCATTTCCATTTGATGGGCTAGAGAAGAGAGTGACTATTTTTAATAATTATAGTTTGGCAGCAATGTTTGTGCTTACATGCAAAAGACTGACTGTGGAACAAAGTTTCCAGCGAGATAAATATCAATCCTGCAGACGACTTGACTTTAAGTCTTGGAGTGATTGATTTGGATTCATCACCGCTCATCAAGCATCCCCATTTTCCTTTATTATTTTGCATGAGCTGTGTCTATAAAAGGAGGTGGATTTCTCGATTCTTAATTACATAAGAGCCATAAGCATTTCCATAATCAGAAAACAAAGCTGCGATGGGAATGGAATTGTGGTGGTCGAAGTTTATTTCTGTATGTAGTTTTATTTTGCTATTACTCAATGCCACTCACTGTTTTTTAGTTGTACAGACTCAGGCACTTGGCCAGATTGATGAGTGCTCAGCCTTGCTGCAGTTAAAGGAAAGCTTTGCAATTAACAAGTCTGTTTCTACAGATCCTCTTGCTTATCCGAAGGTTTCATTTTGGACGCGAGAAGGAGATGGGAATCGGAGTAATTGTTGTTCATGGGATGGTGTAGAGTGTGATGAGGACTCTGGCCATGTTGTTGGCCTTAACCTTGGCAGCAGCTGTCTCTACGGTTCTATCAATTCCAACAACACTCTCTTCCACCTTGTTCATCTGCAGAGGCTTGACCTCTCAGATAATCACTTCAATTTCTCTCAAATACCATCAAGATTTGGTCATGATCTTTCGAGTCTAACGTATCTCAACCTTTCAAATTCCTTATTCTCTGGCCAAATTCCATCAGAAATTTCAAAGCTATCGAAGCTGTCTACCCTTGATCTGTCTTTCAATTATCAGAAAGTTGATGATAGTATCCCTTTGAAACTGACAAAGGGCAACCTGAGAAGCCTCGTTCAAAACTTGACCAACATAAAAAAGCTTCATCTTAGTGGGGTAGACATATACTCCACTGTGCCTGATATCTCGGTCAATGCATCTTCTCTTACATCTCTCCAACTTGACCATTGTGGGTTGTATGGGGAATTCCCAGTTGGCATTTTCCAGCTACCAAACGTAGAGGTTCTTCGTGTGAGCTATAACTCAGACCTAACAGGCTATTTTCCCACCTTTAACAAGAGCAATGTTTTCAAGAAATTGGGTGTTGCCAGAACGAATTTCTCTGGCCAACTGCCTACCTCCCTCGGAAACCTTCATTCCTTGATTGTGTTTTCCATCTCATCGTGTAATTTTCATCCCAATGTTCCATCTTCAATCGGAAACCTTACCCAACTCAGTTACCTTTCCATGTCTTCATTTAATGACGTTTCCAAAGGCAAGATGGGAGAATTCCCATCTTTTGTGTCTAACCTGACACAACTTGAATTTCTAGACTTGTCCGATAATGAAATATCAGGACCAATTCCTAGGTCGCTCTTCCAACTCAAAAATCTTGAATATCTTAGTCTTTCCCGTAATAACTTCAGTGGGTTGGTTGAGTTTGATCAGTTTTCCAAGCTCAAAAAGTTGAAGGGCCTTGAATTATCGAACAACATGTTATCTGTGGAGATCAGAAATGATTTAAGTGCTACTCTTCCAAAGCTTCAAACTCTAGCACTGGGCTTCTGCAACTTAACAGAGTTTCCAAATTTTTTGAAAAATCAATCCGAATTGACTAGGCTAGACCTTTCTGGCAACTATATTCACGGCCCAATACCGCAATGGTTCTGGAATGCAACTAGAGAAACTTTGTCAAAACTCTCTCTTGATTACAACTTTTTAACTGGATTTGACCAAAATCAAGGCATTCTCCCATGGCCGAATCTGACCATTCTGTCTCTTCAGTCTAACATGTTACAAGGGCCTCTGCCAATTCCACCGCAATCAATCAAATTATATGATGTCCACAACAACGAATATACTGGAGAAATTTCACCTCTGTTCTGCAACTTCAATAATCTCCAAATTCTTGAGTTGTCCAACAACAACCTCAGTGGCATGCTTCCACAATGTTTGGGTAACTCTAGTGTTTTGGAAATATTGGCCCTGCAGAACAATTTGTTTAATGGATATATTCCTCCAATATGTCCAAGCAAAACTAGTCTGGGAATTGTTGATTTTAGTTATAATCAGTTGCAGGGGAAGCTACCAAGAGGGGTGATGAATTGTACTCAGTTAAAGGTTCTTAATTTTGCAAACAATCAGATGAGTGACATCTTCCCATCTTGGTTAGGGGCACTTCCAGAATTAAGGATTCTCATTTTGCGGTCTAATGGATTTCATGGCGTAATTGGGAAGCCTGCAACTAAACATGAGTTCCCAAAGTTGCACATCATTGACTTATCTAACAATGGTTTCTCAGGTATGTTGCCCTCTAACTACTTAAAGATATGGAATTCCATGAAATATGTTGATGAAAACCGGCGAACTTATTTTGAAGTAAATTCGGATGAAGTCGGTGGAAAATACTTTCGTAGTGATTACGCAATGACAATAAGTGGAAAAGGTGTTGAGTTGAAATATGAAAGGACCCCTTATCTTCTCACACTCATAGATCTGTCAAGTAATAGATTTGAAGGAGAGATTCCAGAAGGTCCCGTTGGGAACCTAAGAGGCCTTGTTTTGCTGAACCTTTCCAACAACTCTCTCACTGGTCACATTCCCTCATCTTTAGGGGACTTGGCTGCTCTCGAATCGTTAGATCTCTCCCAGAACCAACTCTCAGGAAGGATCCCGAGTAATTTAGCACAACTCACTTTCCTTGCATATTTTAATGTATCCCATAACCATCTCTCCGGGCCTATACCACTTGGCAAACAATTCGATACATTCCAGGAGGACTCGTACGAAGGAAACTCAGGTCTGTGTGGAAAGTATCTGCCAAAGAAATGTGAAGATTCTGAGAGCTCAACGCGGCCACCACCATCAATCGTGGAAGAAGATGAAGACTCTGTATTTCAAATTGCACTAGATTGGTACGTGGTTGTGCCAGGAGTTGTTAGTGGTCTGATAGTTGGAGTGGTTGTTGGGAACATATAGACAACAAAGAAGCACGAATGGTTTGTGGAGACATTTAGCAGGAGGAGGAAGCCAAGAGGCACAAGGGCTAGGAGGGGACGCAGAACTTTGAGCTAAGGGAAGTATTTGAGCCTTCGAAGAATATTATGTTGTTGCGGTGTGAGGTTTCGTGGTACCAATTGTGTAGTATATTTTGCATATGTGGTGATGTAAGTTATTTGTAGATGTTCAATAATATATTTGTAATGTATTTCTCAATAAGTAGTCAAATATGTCTTGAGAATTTGAAATGTGGTGGTGTAAGTTATTTGTAGATGTTCAATAAAGTGGATTGCAAGTTATGTTTTGAGAATTTCTTGATTAATTGCGATTGTTTTTTTTTATGTATTTAGAGACTAACAAACTATTTTAGTAATAAGCTAACCTAAGCTTAATCTTTGAGCCAGGGGGGGCTTCATCAACACTGTCTTGCGCTGTAATTTTTCCTATTTGGTTATTAGTTTTAATTGAAAATTAAAATTGACATGTTTTGCATAAAATTGTTTCGTATTGGACTGGGAGTTGAAGTTTGGGTTAAGTGCAAATCCCAGACAAAATTGCTATCAACTTTTCACCAACTGAAATTTAAAGTTCTTAGAAAAGACTTTAACGACTTTTGAATTGTTAGCCTAATGACTTCAGCGTCACAAAGATGTGATTTGGCTTAAAGTCTACATCCAGACAGACTCATCCACATGTGTCTATAAAAGCAATTTCTGAGCAAACGACTTGACTTCAAGCAATTTCTGTTCACCTTCTCCGTTTATTAATTTTTGTAATTTTCTCACTTCCAAATATTAATTTTTATAAAAGCGAGAATGGAATGGCGGTGGTCAAAGTTTATTTCTGTACGTTATTTGATTTTGCTGTTACTCATTGCTACTTACTGTATTTTATCTGTTCAGCCTCAGACACTTGGCCAGGTTGATGAGTGCTCTGTCTTGTTACAATTCAAGAAAAGCTTTGCAATCAAAAGTTTGTTCCACTATTAAGGTGGTTCAGAACAAATGCTCTCTCTAAGAAAGGTTTTGGATTTGAGTTCTAGCATCCATATAGTGTGTGAATTTAATATGTTATTTCCCCTCTTAATATGAAAAGTTCTTAAAAATACATGATCCAAAGCCAAACTCACAAAACCCAAAAGAACTAAATTTCTAAAACAACTGATATGTCCGAATAATAAACCACTCATTTAGCCTCAGAGAAAATGTAAAACATGAGGCAGATTTAGTGGTGGATCCATGATTTCAAAGATGATGAGGCAAAACGTACATACTAAACTCAACACTAGACTCAACTGCACAAGTGCCACTAAAAAATTACTTTGAAATTTAATCAAACATAAAAAGACTAGTAATAGTGGAATCTATGAAGCTTGACTTGAAGTCAATGTCAACGCATTCTTTGGTAAAGTTGTAACCAAGTAAGCAAAGACAACTCATTTTCCATTTCCAAAAGTATCTGTTTTTTCTCTTCATCCATCTCCTTTAATTCGTGCTTTTGAACGTTATTTATATATAATAATAATAATAATAAAGCAACTTTTTTGAAAATTTTTGGTCGGAAAGAAGAAAATACTCAACAACTTATACTGTCCGGCGTCCACAATTTCCCTCACCTTTTAGGAGAGAAACTTCCCTACCAGGTGTCACTGGTAGTTTTAAATGAATTTTTTTCCTCTATTTAAAAAAAAAGAAGGGCGATCACTTGTTTTATATAAAGACAAAAGACGTCCTTAATAGGAAGTCTTTTTTCAAAGGAAGTTCATTGATTTTTTTTTCAAAGGAAGTGAGGTACATGCATATTAAGCAGAGACAAAGATGAACGTCTCGCAGACGAATTGACTTCCAAGTCTTTAAGTAGTGGTGGAGGGAAGACTTTTCAGCCTTAATAACTTTAGAATGATATACACGAAATAAAATACTTGTAGAATTGATTAATTTTTGTCTAGCAGATGCAATTTCTGTTTACCTTCTCCATTTATTAATTTTTGTAATTTTCTCATTTCCAAATAATTGACTCATCCACATGTGTCTATAAAAGCGAGTTAAAGTTCTCCACCACCCTTAATTATGTAATATATCAGAAATGATATAGTTGCCAGGAGAAAGGAATCGCGGTGGTCAAAGTTTATTTATGTACATTATTTTGCTACTTACTGTATTTTATCTGTTCAGCCTCAGACACTTGGCTAGGTTGATGAGTGCTCTGCCTTGTTACAATTCAAGAAAAGCTTTGCAATCAAAAGTCTGTTATGCTATTAAGGTGGTTCATAACAAATGCTCTCTCTAAGAAAGGTTTTAGGTTTGAGTCATAGCATCCGTATAGTGTGTGTGAATTTAATATATTATTGCCCTTCTTAATATGAAAAGTTCTTAAAAATACATGATCCAAAGCCAAATTCACAAAACCCAAAAGAACTAAATTTCTAAAACAACTGATATGCCCGAATAATAAACCTTGTGCCCCTTGAGTTTTTAGAATTCTAGAGTTGACTTGCCATCCGTCGACCATCCGCCAAGATTGGTGGTATGGGAACTCCAAATATTTGGATGTTGGGCTTGCCCCTATGTTGGACTATATTTGAGTTCTCAAATATTCGAATATTGGGAACTCGGCGGACATACCTCCCGCCGAACTTCAACTCTCTTGGCGGAAATACCTCCCGCCGAACTTAAACTCCCTCGGCCCAACTTTGCTTGCTCAAGAGTTGCGAGGAGGGCGCCCGGGTGCGCAAGGAGAAAATCCGCCCTGGCCCAACTTTTTGCAAGAGGAGTGGCCGACCAAGGTATTTAATAAGTGCCCAGCCCAACTTTTTTAGAAGTGCCCGACCACTTTTGCAAGGATACGCCTAACTACTTTTGCAAAGGGAAGTGCCCGGCCATATTTTTGAGAAGGCACCATGGCCTTTGAAGAAAAGACCTCGGCCACCTTTTTGAGAAAGCACCTCGGCCGCTAGGAATTCTCGGCCCGCTAGGAATTCTCGCCCGCTAAGAATTCTCCGGCAGTTAGGAATTCTCGGCCCGTTAAGAATTTTCCGGCGGCTAGGAAATCTTGCCTGCTAGGAATTCTCGGCCCGCTAAGAATTCTCGACCGCTAGGAATTCTCTGGCCGCTAGGAATTCTTCGGTCGCAAGGAATTCTCCGCCCGCTAGGAATTTTCCAGCCGCTAGGAATTCTACGGCCGCTAGGAATTCTTCGGTCGCTATGAATTCTCCGCCCGCTAGGAATTCTTCAGCCGTTAGGAATTCTTCGGTCGCTAGGAATTCTTCCTTAGCAAATTGGGTGAATTTTGACCACCCCCAAACAGGTTCACATGCAAAAGACTCTGACTGTGAAACAATGTTGCCAGCAAGATAAATATCAATCCTGCAGACGACTTGACTTCAAGTCTTGGAGTGATTGATCACCGCTCATTAAGCATCCTCATTTTCCTTGATTATTTTGCATGAGCTGTGTCTATAAAAGGAGGTGGATTTTGTACAACTGTAAGTAATGAACTGATTAGTATAGTCTAAGCCTAGAACCACTGGCGGATCCACAGAGGCGCAAGGAGGTGCAGTGCACCTCCCCTAGCCGGAAACTTCCTTGGGGATGCCAGAATTTGCCCCTTTGCTAGTGCCTACCAATTGTTCGACTAAATGCCTCAAAGACGTTGTATTGTTTGCTGCATTGTGAGACCCTGAATATTTACCTTATATTTTTGGGCTCGATCTCACGAGCATGTAGGAGAAAACGGCTCATCAATTGGAGCTCCACAACCAAAGTTATGAATTTTCGAAGTTTTTCTACAATATTTGAAGTTAAGTTGCAAAGGCACAGTTCAAGGAAGAAGAAGACTCCGCGTCAGACATCAGCGCTTCTGATTTTGATTCTTGTTTAAATTGTCCAATAGCAAGCCGACACATATCTATTTCTAATTGGCCTAAATTAAAAAATTCATTAAAAACTCATATGTGTGCCAAAAAAATCACCAAAAATTACCCCAAACTTTTAATCATGTGTACTTTTGTTTCATGACCTCCAATTTACATGTGCTTTTGGTTAGATTAATTGGTATTGACTTTTGTTAGATTAAATATGTAATTGACATGGATTTTGTTCATATTTGATAGAATTTTGGTAAACTAATTGTGTCAATGACAAGGATTTTGTTCATATTAATTGATATCCATATAGACTATAATCAATTAGTTGTAGACGTAAAACTTTTATTTGTTTTAATTATGAATGACATTAGTATTGGTTAAATTCTAAGGGCATTTGGTTGTATAATTTTTTTTTGAATTTTTAGCCTTATTTTTTTTAACACACTACACGGATGTTAGGACTTGAACCTAAGGCCTTGCTTGAGTCCTTTGTAAATTTTTAGCCTTTTAAAATTTGCACCTCCCCTGAAAAATTCATGGATCCGCCACTGCCTAGAAGCTAGAACGATAATTGTGTATGCACTTAGTTTCTGAGAATTACAGGTGTAAGGCTCCAAAATGTAAGGCTGAAATAGCCACGTGTAGTGATCCTAGAATAGCTAGATGTGTGGCTGAGATTCAATATGTTGTGTGTGAATCCAGCTAAGGCTAACGATTATGTAGTACACGCTCTGCGATTTCTGCAAGAGAGAAGAACATTTCATCACTCTGCATTTCTTCAATCTTCTATTCCTTCTCTTTCAAGGCAGGGCACCGAACAGTTGAGATCAAACTCCAAACAGTAATCTCTACCTCTAAATAACAAGAAGGGAAAAATAATTCAATTCTTGCTACATTTTGAGCGGCTAGTCCAATGTATGAGAACCTAATTTGGACCTTTAAATTGAAATTTAGTGGTGAGAAACAAAACAAAAAAACCTGAATCGTAGTTTAAAGAGCGGCAGCGTTGTGAAGTCCGGAGAGACTGAGATTGTCGAAGACACAAGGACTGGCTGCGTGCCAAGGCTTGCAGAGATTGAGGTTGCTGCTGCTGAGGAGGAGTAGGACACAACATGGCTTCAATTCTCCGGAGGACAGACAGAGTCGCGGAATAAGAAGAGGTGAAGATTGGTGTTGTGGTGACACCATAATGCTATTTTTCTTCTTCTTAAATTCTCCAAAAACTTCAAGGAAACTTCCTCGTTGCTCAGACCTCCCAAACATGCTACCATTCAAAAGGATTTCCAGGTGCTGGAATTGATCTCTCCTCTCTGGTAGTTGTGGAAGGAAAGATCTGTTGGGATCTTTACATCGACGGCCTTGTTGTTAGTTCAGATGGGAATCTGCTAGATGCCCTAGGTGCTGCTATAAAGGTACTTGATATTTCTTATCTGTTTTGATATGCTCAGTTTATTTCTGTTCTGTAAATAAGTGAGGACAACAGAAGATATTTCTGGCTGTTGATAAAGTTTAGTATTAAGTTTCCAAAGAAATTACTTATCTTTTAAAGAAACTGATGTTCCCAAAGGCTGCTTTGAATAATACAGGCATCCCAAAAGTAAATGTTGCAGCCGGTGCATCAGGCGATGAGCAACCAGAGGTTGACATAAGCGATGAGGAATTTCTGCAATTTGATACATCTAGGGTCCCTGTCATAGTTACATTAACAAAGGTGACATGAGTTAACCATCTCTTCTGTCCTTCAGCAAACTGCAAATGTTTATTGTCTTGTATTGATTGCTGCCCATCTGTTTCTCAGGTAGGTCGGCACTATATTGTAGATGCCACTTCAGAAGAGGAATCACAAATGAGCTCGGCTGTTTCTATTTCCATCAATAGGCAAGGCCACATTTGTGGGTTGACCAAACGGGGCGGTGCCGGCCTAGATCCAAGCATCATTCTTGACATGATATCTGTGGCAAAAACAGTAAGTGAGCAGCTGATAAACACTTTGGATTCTCACATAGCTGCTGCTGAAGCTGGCGAAGAGGAGTCGTGACATAATTATAACCTCTGATATATTTAAGTGGGTAGGTTTTGAGCAGGTCCTAGGTGTATGAAAATTGTAATGCTGATAACTTTACATAAAGCTGATGAGAACGTTTAATTTGTTGTATGCATATTTGACACCTTTTAACCTAAATTAGCATCAGCATTAGTATGGAAGCTTTTGTAGTTCAGGTCTCTATTGCAGACATTATTTTCCATTGATGCACCAATTAATTCTTCAATTAAACTTACAATCTACCACGGTTATGTCTCGTATGGAAAACCATGTTTAAGGCTTGTTTAAAACAAAGACACAGAGAATTGTTTACATGAACTTATCTGGAACACGTTCAAGTGCATGGCTCAAGAGAAAAGGAGTTAAATTAAACCAATTAACAAAGGCATCTTCCAACTCAAGTAATAATCCGCATCCAAAACACCGTAGAATGTTCTCTTTGAAAGGTACAAGGAAAACAATGTACACCTTTACATGTTATTTCCGAATGTTCAGTTTTCTTCCACTACTACAGGGGAGAGAATTTTTGCCATGTCAAAACCTTGAGGGATGAGGCGTCTAACTTCCATCTCACTGCATAACCATTTTACCATTTTCTCGTTCCTGCATCTGCATAGTTCTAGACATAAATCAGATAAGATGCTTGAATCAAGAGCAAAAGATCTCTCAAACATTTCTTTCAAGACTTCAACTGCTCCATCAAAATCCCTGTTATTGCAGAAGCTAGATATCAGCATGTTAAAAGTATGCTTATCGGGATGATAACCACTCCTTATCATGCTTTTACATAACTTGAAGGCATGGTCCGAGTTCTTTCTCACACACTGCCCCTCAATAAGGGCAGAAAAGGTTGAGGCATTTGGGACAAAGCGCTTTCTATCAAGTTCTTTAACCAGATGTGCAGCTTTCTTTGTTTTACCCTCCCTGCAGAGTCCCAATATCAATGCATTATAAGTCACGATAGTAGCATTTACTTGATTCCTTGACATCTCCTCAAAAAACCTATTGCCCATCTCGCTATTACCTTCTTGGCTGTACCCTTTTATCAAAGTATTGTAAGTTACAGTATCAGGAGCAACATTCACGGCTTTCATCTCACTAAAAATTCTGTTTGCTTCCTTTAGTTTTCCTTCTTTGCAAAACCCATCAATAAGTGAGTTAAAAGTAACCACACTCGGGTGCAATCCATTCTTCGCCATCAAGTTTTTGAACTTCAAAGCCGAACTCAGAAGACCCTTATCACAGTGTCCTGCAATCAGCGTGTTATATGATACAACTGTAGGACTAAAACCCATGCTGTCCATCTTCTCAAGGACCTCAACAGCGTTCTCTAATTTTCCCAATTTACAATAAGCAGATATAACCATATTAAGAGTATAAACATTCGGTGAAATCCTACAACGCTGCATTTCTCTATAGAATACCAAAGCAATATCAGCTCTATGTAAATCAAGCAATGAGCTAAGATATGCATTGCAAGACTCAAGTGTTGGGAAGAATCCATAATCCTTCATCTGACAAAATGTATTTGTGGCATTCCTAAATTTCTTCATATGCGCAAAAGTCTTGAAAAGAGAATCGAAAACACGAGGAGAAGAATCACACAAGCGGTACGAATACAATATTGCTTCAAACAACTTGGAAGGCAAATCTATCGAACCCGAGACAAGAACCTTTCTCAAAATAGACTCTGCAGACTTGAACTTCCTGTATTTGGTGAGAATGTGGAGAATCATGGAGTGTGTTTCAAGGGTAAGTGAAGTGGGGTTTTGAGCTGCAACCCAATTGAAAAACTCAAGGGAAAGAACATAGTCCTGCTTAATCTTTAGCAGTATATGTTTCACTCTGAAACCAGTTAGACCATTGGACAAGGAATTGAGCTTAGCCCAGTCAGAGTGAATTAGATGGCTGTTTGCAACATTCACAAAATCAAGGTCCTGCCCTTTGGGTTCAGGAATTGTTCTGTGGGGAATAGGAAGTGGATTCCAATTCCTTTTTCCAAATTTCCCACAAGTTGTGGGGTTTGTAAAGGTGGGTTCTTTTGCAATTGAATTGGGCAAACTAGAAAACTGACGAAATGGGAATTTGTTCATACTTTCCTACTGTACCACATATAGGACTGGGTTTTCAGAAATTGAAGTTGTTGGATCAATTCGAGGGTTGACGTCAAGTTTTGACCTACTGATTCAGAAAACTGAAATGAAGTGTAGCTGGGTCTTTGATGAAATCATTGGAACAAAGAGCATGGAACTGGAGAAACGGGCATGACCCACTAACCTTGATTGAGGCAGAGGATGAAAATGGTGGAAAATGAGTGCTTCTGAGTCTGCTTAACCGAGGCATTGGCGATGGAGCAGAAGAAGCAGCAGCGACATAGAAAGTTGGGCGTTGCAACTTTTTTATTTTTTTGTTTTTTAATCAAAAGATACAACTTGGACGAGTATAATCTGATTCTGAACTGAAATAGCATGGTGTTTGGTGACTCCACAATGCTCAAGTTATATTATACCTAGCGTGTGCCAATTGACCTTTTTCTTTTTCTTTTTAAATTATATTTTATTTTATTTTCCATACGCAAATATAATTTCTTTTTTACATCAGGTAAATATATAGATATTCAAAAGTATAAAGAAAACAGAAGAATGTGGGTGGGGTGGAGTGGGAAGTAAAAAGAGGAATGTGTATGAAGTGGACAGTAACTTCCTCCCTATAATTACTTAGGTGGAATTTATCTTATATTTTACTAGCTTCTCCACACGCGCTTTGGCATTTGTGAGAGGCTTTTTTTAAAAAAAAATTACAAAAATTTATTTTAGAATTAAAAAAGATAATGGGTAGTTGTGTTCCATAAAAATAGGATCAATTATCTAATTTTTTTTATTTAAATTTTTTTATATGAAAAAGTGTGAATTTACCATATTATCCTCATTTAATTAATAATTTCAATTCTTAATGCTTGCATTAATCAAGGGCATTTTCTGATATTTTGAATGTTTTACCATTCTCTTCTTTTACTTTATATATACTAGCCTCTTGGCACATGCTCATGCATGTGCCAATTGGTTTTCTTTTTTATTTTTCTTTTATTTTTAGAATTAGTGTTTTAACATTTTACCCATATTATATTAATTTGTAGTCTTTTAGCACTTTGGTTAATCAAGGATATTTTTTGGGTTTTTGAATATTTTATCATTCTCTACTTTTTGTTTTATATATAGATAAGTAAAATTAATATGGTCTGAAGTGTCCTTTTTTTCCCTTAATTATTATTTTCTATCATCATAATACCAAAAAATAAGATCCATTTAACGATTTAACAGAAAAGTTGTGCTCCACCCATTTATTAAACTTTTTTTGGTTACATCCATTTATTAATTTTTTTAAAAACTACTATGTCAAATAACAAATTTTGATAAATTTCAATAGTAGAAACAACTGACAAAAGAAGCCACCAAACCCTACAAGACAATAAAAACACTAAACTAAAAAAGACTACAAAACAAGCAAAACCAAAAAAATAAAAGGAATAAAGTCGTCAACAGGGTCTAGCTTAGTGAAAAAGGGTATTAACTTGCAGACCTAAGGTCTCAGGTTCGAACTCCCACGCCATCATATTTGTGGGTGTGTGAGAAACTATAGCTTGTACTATTAAAAAGGAATAAAAGTTGCACAGACTATATCACTAAAATTAAGCATGATTGAGTGAAGGACCCGCTATTAAAGTGGTTCGGAGCAAATGCTCTCCCTAAGAAAGGTTTTGGTTTTGAGTCCTAGCATCCGTATAGTGTGTGTGAGTTTAATATGTTATCGCCCCTCTTAATATGAAAAATTCTTAAAAATACATGATCCAAAGCCAAACTCACAAAACCCAAAAGAACTAAATTTCAAAAACAATTGATATGCCCAAATAATAAACCACTCATTTAGCCTCGAAGAAAATGTAGAACATGAGGCAGATTTAGTGGTGGATTCATAATTTCAAAGATAATTAGACAAAACTTACATACTAAACTCAACTGCACAAGTAAATTTTATTAATAAATATAAAAAGCTACATTAGTTAGGGGATGTAATTAACCACCACCGGACATATTTCAAACAAAGATGCCGAACTGACATGACTCAGACCAAGTCACCACAAGATTTTTTCACTAACCTAAAAGAATAAAATGGAAATAAAAGAGAGTGGAGGAGGGAAATGCCCTCCCCAGTAGGCAACACATTTGGGTTCACAAATTATGTTCAAAGCGATCATGTTCGATTATGTCACTACTTTTAATAATTATAGTTTGACAGCAGTGTTTGTGGTAATGATTAGCTGGAGAAAGAGATCGATGTTACGTCCAAAAGGCTCTGACTGTGAAACATTGTTTCCAGCAAGATAAATATCAATCCTGCAGATGACTTTACTTCAAGTCTTAGAGTGATTGATTTGGCTTCATCACCGCTCATCAAGCATCCCCATTTTCCTTGATTATTTTGCATGAACTGTCTATAAAAGGAGGTGGATTTCTCGATCCTTAATTACTTAAGAGCCATAAGCATTTCCATAATCCGAAAACATAGCCGTGATATGGGAATGGAATCATGGCCGTCAAAGTTTATTTCTGTACGCTGTTTTATTTTGCTATTACTCAATGCCACTCACTGTTTTTTACTTGTACAGACTCAGGCACTTGGCCAGGTTGATGAGTGCTCAGCCTTGTTGCAGTTCAAGGAAAGCTTTGCAATTCGCAAGTCTGTTTCTGCATATCCTCTTGCTTATCCGAAGGTTGCATTTTGGACGCTAGAAGGAGATCAGAATCGGAGTAATTGTTGTTCATGGGATGGTGTAGAGTGTGATGAGGACTCTGGCCATGTTGTTGGCCTTGACCTTAGCAGCAGCTGTCTTTACGGTTCTCTTAATTCCAGCAACAGTCTCTTTCGCCTTGTTCATCTGCAGAGGCTTGACCTCTCAGATAATCACTTCAATTTCTCTGAAATACCATCAAGGTTCGGTCAAGATCTTTTGAGTCTAACATATCTCAACCTTTCAAATTCCTTGTTTTATGGCCAAATTCCATCAGAAATTTCAATACTATCGAAGCTGTCTACCCTTGATCTGTCTTACAATTCTGGGAAACTTCATCCTGACATTATCCCTTTGAAACTGACCAAGGGATACATGAGAAGCCTGGTTCGAAACTTGACCAACATAAAACAACTTCATCTTAGTGAGGTAGACATTTTCTCCACTGTGCCTGATATCTTGGTCAATGCATCTTCTCTCACATCTCTCCAACTTGACAATTGTGGGTTGAATGGGGAATTCCCAGTAGGCATTTTCCACCTACCAAACTTAGAGGTTCTTCATGTGAGTTCGAACCCATTGCTAACAGGCTATTTCCCCACCTTTAACAGGAGTAATTTCTTCGAGAAATTGGGTGTTGCCTACACGAATTTCTCTGGCCAACTTCCTGGCTCCCTCGGAAACCTTCATGCCTTGAGTGTGTTGGAGATCGCCTACTGTCAATTTTCCCCCCTTGTTCCATCTTCCCTGGGAAACCTTACCCAACTCAGTTACCTAGACATGTCTTCTTTTTTTGGGGGGACGAAAATCCTATACATGTCTTCATTTTATGTCATTCCAAATAATTTTTCCACATGCCAAGTTACTGATTCTTGGTCATGGGTTGGAAAGCTAACCAAGCTCTACACTCTGAGCCTTGAGAATACCTGCATAAAAGGAGAATTCCTATATTTTGTCGCTAACCTGACCCGGTTAAGTACTCTAAGCCTCGGGGGTAACAATTTCCAAGGAGAAATTCCTGGGTCACTCTTTCAGCTCAAAAATCTTGAATATCTTGACCTTTCCTCTAGTAATTTGAGTGGGGTTGTTGAGTTTGATCAGTTTTCCAAGCTCAAAAAGTTGAAGGTCCTTCGATTATCAGACAACAAGTTATCTCTGCAGAGCAAACCCGATTTGGGTGCTACTTTTCCACAGCTTCAAGTTCTGGAGTTGATTTCGTGCAACTTAACAGAGTTTCCAGAAATTTTAAAAAATCAATACGAATTGTCGCACCTAGACCTTCGTAACAACAGCATCCATGGGCGAATACCAAAATGGGTGTGGAACGCAACTAGAGAAACATTGTTCGCTCTCCTCCTCTCTCATAACTTCTTAACAGGGTTTGACCAAAATCCAATCATTCTCCCATGGCAGAATCTAGATTCTTTGGATCTCCAGTCCAATATGTTACACGGATCATTGCCAATTCCACCGCAATCAATCAGAAACTATTTTGTCAAAGACAATAATTATAGTGGAGATATTTCGCTCTCCTTCTGCAACTTGAATAATTTACATGCTCTTGACTTGTCCAACAACAGCCTGAGTGGCATGCTTCCAAAGTGTTTGGGGAACTCCAGCTCTCCGGAAATATTGGACCTGCACCACAATTCTTTTCACGGCAGTATTCCTCAAATATGTCCAGGCGAAAATAGTTTGAAAATGGTTGATTTAAGTTACAATCAGTTACAGGGGAAGGTGCCAAGATCAATGGCCAATTGCACTCATTTAGAGTTTCTTAGCCTTGGAAACAATCAGCTGAGTGACATCTTCCCATCTTGGTTAGGGGCACTTCCAGGTCTAAAGTATCTCAGTTTGAGATCCAACGGTTTTCATGGCATGATTGGGAAGCCTGCAACAAACCATGAGTTCCCAAAGTTGTGCATCACTGATTTATCTAACAATGGTTTTTCAGGTAAGTTGCCCTCTAACTACTTAGACAACTGGAATTCCATGAAATTGTTGACGATGAGAATCTCCAAATTTATTTTCAAGTCTCTTCGCGACGTCAAATAGCTCAAATAAATATGCAGGCATTTATGTTGTTCCATACTCGATCACAACTTTTGCAAAAGGTGTTGAGTTGAAATATGATGCGACCCCTTATCAGCTTAGGTTGATAGATTTCTCAAGTAATAGATTTGAAGGAGAGATTCCAGCAGGTATCATTGGGAATCTAAGAGGTGTTCATATGCTTAGCCTTTCCAACAACGCTCTCACTGGTCACATCCCCTCATCTTTAGGGAACTTGACTGCTCTTGAATCGTTGGATCTCTCCCAGAATCAGCTCTCAGGAAGGATCCCCGCTAATTTGGCACAACTCAATTTCCTTGCATATTTCAATGTCTCCCATAACCATCTTTGGGGGCCTATACCACTCGGTCAACAATTTGGTACATTCCTAGAAGATTCCTATGTTGGAAACTCAGGTTTGTGTGGAAAGCTTTTGTCAAAAAAATGTGAGAGCTCAAGACCGCCACCGCCATCAATCTTTGAAGAAGATGAAGACTCTGGGTTTCAAATTGAACTAGACTGGTACGTTGTTCTGCCGGGAATTATTAGTGGTTTAATAATTGGAGTGATTTTTGGGGACATTTGGACAAACAAGAAGCATGAATGGTTTGTGGAGGCAGCCAAGAGGATCAACAGGAGGAGGGGACGTATTTGAGCCTTGTATTTGTTTTTTATAATGTATTTCTAGACGAATTTACAAATTTCTTCTTTCCTAGCTGTTTGCTACAATATTCATTTTGATTAGTTACCGTCCAAGCAACCCCATAATATGTATCAAGAAACAGTTTGGTATTTGGATCAAACAATTACTGTGACAATCGGGTGCCAGATGGATTAGCCCAAGTTTTTGGTGTGCTCCCAAGTGGTCTTGAGTTCAAACTCCTATGGTACTCGTGTGTGTGAGTTTTTCCCTGCCAATTCCTAACTTTGGCAAAAATAAAAATAAAAATAAAAATAAAAAAAATACAGAGAAATTTAATCAAACGTAACATTATATTATTGGGTTTTCCCATATCTTCGGAGAAGTCATGTGAGTCATGTGTTATATATAGACGACAAAAATAATCTCATGTTTAGGATTTTGAAGCCTGTAATTTGTTTGGCATTATTCATTTACTCTTATACTTAAAAAAAATTAATTGCACTAGTAGAAAATGGCTCTATAGACATAAACAGAAATAGTATCTAAGATAGAGAATAAGGCAGGACGAACTTATTTTTTTAATTTATCAATAAATCATTAGATAAACTTCAACAATATAATCAAGACATCAACATGACATCTAATAATCAAGACATCAACATGACAGTCGGGACCATATAGATTCCACAGTGGTTCACTTGCAGCTAAGAGAGCAGTTAGCCTAATATGTCAACTCTGGCAGTAAGCCTGTAATTCATTGTTTGTTTTCCAAGTCTTTGTCTGGGATTGGATTTTGCATAAAGTCTGAGTTAGCTAGTGGTGTATCTGCCATAATTCCCAAGGAAGGAAGGGAATCCACATCTTTGAATAAACGATATGCAGACATGAATGCAACGTGTAAATGTCGTTTACTTTTATGTTTATCAAGTTTCATAGAAGAAAATAAAATTAAAAATTGAAGTTTACGATGTTTAATAGATGGCCTCTGAAAAAAATACTCAAGTGGTATGAGCTCAGATACCAAATTTAAAGAAAAATTTAAGTGTGAATTATATCAGCAATTAATGCATGCACAAGTACGATTAAAATTATGTGCACTATTAATTTAACTAATTTTGCTAAATTTATGAATGACTTAAAGTTTATGCAGATTTTAGAATTATAATTATAATTTCTCAGCATATGATCTTTTTTTTTTTGGGGCACCGAAAATTAAGTTTTCGGTGCCCCACTTTGAATGGTTTTGTTTGACTATAATGTTTACAGTGTTGATCCATGGCTTGTAATCTGGTTCAAGACTTAAAGGCTTAATGGGACAAAGCTAGCTAGCTAGATCAATGGCACGAGTCTGACTGGAACAACGCAGAGCGATACACATGAAAGAAAACCTACTCCTTGAATTATCCATGCAGACGATTGACTTGACTCCAAGTTGTGACATTCATGGCGATGCAGGCTGATGCTGTTCCACGAAAACCTTATTGAAATGGTGATCTGCACAGGACAACTGAAAAAGCTGTCTCTGAAAGGTTTAAGTGAGAGCTGGCTTTGCAAGACTTTTATGGTCCGTCTCAAGAGCTCACTTTCACCAGTCGGTTAGATTACTTGACGACAATGCTTGAAGCCTTTCATGGGGCAAAAGCTAGACTGGCCTTTAATAGCTTGACTTCATGTGGTGAGCGCGCTTGCCTTTGAAACCAGACACGGACTCGCCACGTGACTTTCCTTGTTTTTGACTAGTATGAATCTTCTTCTATTTTCCGTCTTTTGGTCAAATAATAGTTACTACTAGCAAAAGGTGCCCGCGCGATGCTGCGGGTTTTAAAATTGCGTGAAATGTGTATTAAGCGATGAAAATAGGCCGGGAACATCTCAACTACCCAATTGCCAAAATACTCAGGGTTTACCAACATGTTCAAATATTGTAATCATCTAAACCTATCATTACAACAACAAATTAACACCAACCAATTGCCAATTGATGCCATTAGCTAATTCCTATGCTCTATTCATAAAACTTAAAACAATTAATTGAAATTTCAGCCTAGAAACTCACCCCTTACTTAACAGAACTGAAAACACCAACCAAACCGCTCTATCCAAAGCAACGAAAGACCACCTGCAAAATATCAAAAGAAAACATGGTTTTAAAAAAAAGAAGAAGAAAAAGGAAGAAAAAACAGAAAAATCGGAGAAGAAATTAGTTTGAGTATTTCATGCATGCACAATCTTTTCATTAAACCAAAAATTAGCTTGACCAAAATCTGTAAGGAAAGAAACCACTCAAGACTACCCAAATTAATGTGTTTTGGGTAAAGAAAAACATTGTAAAGGCATAGGAAAAGGGCTGTTTAAATGATTCTAGATGCATTTGAAACAAAGAGTATATGATCAAAAAGCTACTGGCCTAAACAATCAAAAGTTACCTATGCAAAAGTCACCCTAAACAATCGAAATTCCAAAACAACTATCTCTGCATTGTGGTTGTCATCAAAGATTTGAAAATTCTATCTCGTAACCCTACACCACCAAAAACACAGAATCAATACTAAACTCAAAGAATAAGAACTAAAATTAATAGAGAAAATTGAACTTGATTTGAAGGTTACCAATATGTCGTGATGTATAAATACCTCAGCTTTTATATAGCATTAGGGATTACCCAAGAACCTGAAATCAAATTAACAAAATAAATGAAGCGAAATTTGTAAAAAATAAATCAAAAATAAAAATACCCAGAGCAAGACAGCAAGACAGAGAATGAGAGAGACACAAAGTCCAACACAAATCAGTGGCCAGTGTGGAAACTAAAGCAAAATTTGGAAGCTGAAAGACTCCCCACAAACATAGACTAAAAACTTGGATCTGAAGAGAGGTTCGGTAATGCTTGTAGTAAAAGCTTAGCCAGAACGAAAAAGCAAAAGAAATGGATAACAAAATCACCCAAAGAGAGAGAAATAATATTTTCTGTAAAAATGGCGTTCTAGAACAAAATCAGAGTGTTACCTAAGATATCCAGAAATTAAAGTGAAATCATATAAGGATGCCAAAAAAACAAACGCTATTTAGGTAAGCGAAACCAGAGATGGAGAGAAAAGGAAATTTGTTAATTTGTTTTAATTTGCTAACAATATCTAGAAGAGAGAGAGAGAGAGAGATTAATCCCCGAAAAATAATTAAAAAAAGCAGAAAATCAAAATGGACGAAAACCATTTGGTGAACCAAAAACAAAACCAAAATATGAGAGAGAGAGAGAGATTCATACCATTGACATCAAACCCATCAAATCTAAATGCTTTTTTCATTGGTGCTCTGGAGAAACAACATATATAATCAAAGAAATTCCATTAGGATCCAAAAATTAGAGATGGTAAACATATCAAACCTAAATGCTTTCAACATTGAATCAAAAAGAGGAAGCATGGTCTAATGTATGAGAAATCCGAATATCACAACAAAACACAGATTCAAAGAACAACAACATTGAGCAAGCATATTGATGAGTACTTCATCGACCCTTAAGCTACATATTTTTGGGAAAAATCACAGCTAATAAGTAACAACAACATTGAGATTCAGAGTGATTAACTGGCATTTAGAAACCCTAATCCACTACTGAAATTAGCTAAACACAAAACAACAACAGATCACGAAATCAACATAGGGGTAATAGTCCATATGTTACCTAAATTCTTTCTTTATGAAACTGTTGAATTATGAAACTGTAAATTTCCTTCTACTCACTACATTGGGGTTGGCTTAACCAACAAAGTAGAAAAAGGAATGCTACCCAGTGATGAAAAATATGTTCAATTATTAGGGGAAAAAAAAGGATAAAGGGAAAAGTTAAAACAAATGAAATAGATTCTCCAAAAAGGGAAATGTCAGGCCAACAAAAATTGAACTTAAAATGCATGTTTTAAGTAGTTAGCAGGAAGACCCAAAAAACAACCAAACTAATGTGAACTTTCGACTTTAGCAAGTAAGATGGACAAAATTGAAGAATTAAGAGCCACAACAACTGTACATCTCATATAAAAAAAATCAGAACAGATAAAAACCATTTGGTGAACCAAAAACAAAACCAAAATGAGACAGAGATTCATACCATTGACATCAGATTCTTGTATAATTACTCTAGTTCTTTTTCTTTCAATCTTCCTCCCTGTAACAACAAACCAAAGTCAATTCTGATTTACTTCTCATTTTCAACATGATGAATGAATAACCAAACCTAGAAAACCAAAAAGAACCTTAAAACCAACAATTTTTCCTTGAAAACGAATGAAGACCAAAGAGAGTCGAAGGGGAAGTTGCAATTTTCAAGAAGGATGAGATTAGAACGCAAGAAGAAAGGATGCGAAGAGCAGATGAGATGAGATGAATTCGCGGGGGGATATGAAAATAAGCTATGCAGGCTTACCTTGAAAGTACCCATGTCTGAGAATTTGAGAGGAAGACGACTAGGATCTCTGAGGACTCTCTCTCTCTCTCGCACTCTTCAACATTAAATATAAATCTTTGCTTGTCAAGAAAGAATAGCAACACTAAAGGAGATGTATCTTGCGTAGCCATTCCAGTCCCTAGCGCTGCAAAGAGTAGAAGCATGACCACTTATATTAGCCCCAAGAAAAGGAAACAAACAATAGTAAAAATCGCAATCTGAACTTGGATATACAAACTTTTTTAGTCTAGAGAGAAGTCCCAGTCAAGCAAACAAACTCAGCAAAAATCTAGTAGGGTAAATCAACCAAAAACAAAAAACTTGATGAATTAACTCTTCTGAATTTTTCTCGTATCACTAAGTGACACAAAAGAATTTCCAAGTGAAAGTGTCACATCCACATATAGTCCTAAACCAGTCTTCTTCAAGTCAACTATGCCTAAACATTGCAATTTTTCAGTTCGTAGAAAATCACACTCCCAACTGCTTCTTTCCCCTTACCAAAACAAACTTTCAAAATTCAGATCCCTAGTCCTAAACAGTATAAGAACGAATGTGAATTAAAAAT